ATTCGTCTCATACCTCACCGACCCCTCCCCACCACGACCCCCAGCTCTCACATACTCCAGATAATCCGGTGCCCCCGGAATATCCGTGTTATCCGCAATGACTCTTGATCCCTCCCGGAAGAGGTTCAAATCCTCACACAGCTGCAAATCACTCAGGTAGAACTTTTCCCAATGATCGAAGAAAGCCATATCGACTCCCTTTGCCTTAACCTTCCCTTCCTCGACAAGCTGCTTCAATGACTCTGACGCCGGCCCCACAAGCACATGCACGATATCCTCTACTCCCGCCACGCGGATCAAGTCCCGAGCGACTTCGGCCACCGTCTCGCTGACTTCAAATGTGTAGATGTGAAGACCCTCAGCAAAAGGACCATGCAGGTCACGGAGAATGGCAGCCCAGGCGATAGCAGAGCAGCCGATGTAGGTTCCGAATTCGATGATGATCTTGGGTGCGGTTTCCATTGTCGTGAGGGCATCTTGGGCTATGTTGAGCTTGGCTCGCTTGAAGTTCATGAGGCGGGCTGTGCGGCTGTAGAGGTCGAGAGCTTGGTATACTGCCCATGGGTTGTTGAGGAGGGCATCTTGAGGCTGGGAGTGGATGTACTCCCGGACGGCTAGGGCGTTGGTCTGGAGGATCTGAGAAGGGTGTTAGTGTGTTGGAGGGGTTGAGGTTGGGAGGTGTTGGACTTACGTTGTCTTCGGAGGCCATCTTGTTGTATAGGTTTGAGATAGATTTGAGATGCTAAAGTGGAGTACAAGGTATCAAGAATGATGGTATAGTTGTGAAAGGAAGATCTTTTTCTGAATGCTTAAGAAGACAAGCGTCAACGATGAGTATTTATGTACAGCTGCTCGCTATGAAGAGTGGGCATTCATACAATTGAGACTTTATCCGTTCCCTGCGGCGCCACTGAGTATCCATCTTATCTCCGACTGGGTCGTCACCAATTTTAGTTCCGTTTGAGAGTACATGTGGATATTAGACGTACACTCAGTCAATAGCAACTGTAGGGCTGATCAGCTTGTGACGCCTCAGGCAGAGCAAGTTATAGCCGAGCGGAAGCAGAACCCTGATGTGGCTATTGAGACCGATATCTCGGCCATAAATTCCGCCTATGGCTGTTTAGTCCGATCAGCTTAACACCGAGCCTAGCCATCGGCGCCATTCTCGAGGATTTAACTGCTTCTGGTAATTGCCATCAGCTTTGATGTGCCTACAGATCTTCGACGGTGTAGGTATGGCTCGGATGACATCATTTGCTTCGACGTATCAGTGTCCGACACTACCGGCTATTTACTGGTTCATATTGTGCATCCTTGCATTAGATGCGATACGCGGAGGTGCTTACTGCCCAGTACAGCACCTCAGAGGCATCGAGCGGATCGTGTCATGACATGTTCTCGCTCGGAGGACTCACAAGTCCTTCATCATCGTACTCATACCTTGGCTCCATATCCTGGGTGATAAGGTCAGTAAAAGACTGACAGGCTGCCGAGATAACTTACCCAATACTTATTGAACCCAACACCTTCACACACTTCCGAATATCCAAGAACCATAGGAGGAGCTCCAGTCATAAAACTGCGCTTCAACCCATCCAGAGCCTCGCGAATGCTCTGTAGTCTTGCTGCAACCAGCGTCCATGGATATGCCACAGCTGCAAATCCCAATTCTGCCAGCTCCTTAGCCGACAAGTTCTCGGATTTCCCACCCTCAATTATGTTAGCCAACATAGGAACATCCAACTCCTTGATGCAATTTCTCATGGCTTCCCTATCGGGTAATGCTTCGACGAACACACCGTCTGCTCCAATCCTCTTAAACTCTTTCGCACGAGTCATAGCCTCATCCCATCCGTGGATCAAGGAATCCGTTCTCGCTAGGATAAATATGTCCTGTCCCTGGTTACGCGCATCAACCGCAGCTTGGACCCTAGCGTATGCCTCGCCTCTCGACACAACCGATTTGCCCTTTGTATGACCGCATCCTATACAACTCAAGTCAGAAATTTCAGCCTAACGGGGGCGTACATTTGCAAAGCATACTCTTCGGCCATGTCTGATCCTCGATCATTACACCTGCTGCGCCTGCAGCAGCAAAACACTCCACAGTGCGTCGCACGTTCATCGGGCTCCCATACCCCGTGTCTCCATCCACCATGATAGGTACACTTGTGACACGGACTATTTCCTGGATCCTGCTGGACATCTCGCCCATAGCAATATAGCCCGTGTCTGGGAGACCATGAGATGCCGCCACAGCGAATCCGGATACGAAGATCATAGGGAAGCCAGCTTCTTCGATCAGTCGCGAAGACAGAGCGTCGTAGCCGCAAGGGTGCGCTATTATCTTCGTAGGATCTCGATGGGCCTCCAGCCACATTGTGCGTAGACGCGAAGCTTGTGCTGAGGGGATGCGCCCGCAGACATTTGTGAGGATTATTGTGGTGTCTTCAGAACTCCCGTTGTGGTGTGTCTCGATGTGCTCGGAGGTGTCGAATTGGAAGGGGTACGGGGTGGGGTTTTGCGAAGCCATCTGGCTGTAGAGTAGACTTAAACTAGGTGTCCGCTGGACTTGATACTAGAGAAAAGGATACTCACTGCTGTTGCAAATCTTAAACGTTGAAGACGAACGGACGGTGCTCGAGTCGAATCTGGGGTGGTCGTGACTGCCATGGCACTTGAACCCCGCAATCCAGCAGTGTTGATCCTGGATCCCCGCACGCGTCATACCCTCACCAACAGGCAACGGACTATTCACCCGAGAGCTCAAAGAGGGCCTCTCTTAAAGGATGGATCACTTTGACAATTTAAAGTGTCTATCTCACTTTTCCAATAGAGAAATCAGAAAAGATCCTAGCGAAATGATATGTCATCTCCTCCTGGGTATGGACTGAGCAGTTTAAACTCAGGGAAAGCGCATGCAAATGCTACCACCATAAATCGTGAGTGATGCTTTAAGATATTAACGAACGCTATCTTCTCTGTCCTATTCTCTAGCAGCACAAGAATATACTTGAGCTCGACTAATATCCCCACAACCATGTAGATGATATTCGATGACAAAGTTATACTGCTCATGAATCACCAATGGAACACATGGGAGGCACCGCAGTAAACAAGCAAGCACATTACTCTGTCATTTGCCTTAGCTCCTACAAGGTCCGACCGGCATGGCTTCCAGATAAAATAACGCGGTGCCTACCAACGGTCTGCTCCTATCAACTTGCGCATATCGTGAAATATCGCTACGGACTGTTGGTTCCGACTGCATACCCGACAACTATCAAGAAGGTAATGACTGACATGCCCCAGGGCAAGGATCGAAAGGATCAGTGTTGTCCTTGTTGATGAGATGAGCCATCAAATCTATGACACAAATAATGGTTGAGTTCAGTTAGCGCTGTTATCATCGCCACGAATATATTATCCCAATCAGTCACACGCTCCAGAGGCCCAAGCGACAACACCATCCACGCCAAATCAGGAACCAAATCAATGGAGTCAAAAAAAGGACAGAAGGATCAAACATGCGCGCGTCAATATTCACGTCACTATCCCACCAGCAACAGCTGAACCGGACATCCTATCATTCTGTCGCCATTCCGGTTTAATGCACGCCACACTCACTCATCCCCCCTGTCAACTCTTATCAACAACCCTCCAAGGAAGCAATCAGCAATCAGCAATCGATACAAGAGGAATTTAATATCGAATACGACCAGATTACATACACTAGCCCAGCGTTAGAACCGACCATCCCTCTTCCGGTTCCAACCCGCCTACCCAACAGCAGTAATAACTCCCGTCCAGATCAAGGTGCATGCAGCTGACCCGTCGATCTCCACGCTCACTAAAATCTCACCCTCCTCCTCTCCAGCCCGGGCTGAAATTCTGATACAGTAGCGTAGCGTGGCGTGGCTTGGGCGGTAAACGGACACCTACCTACCTACCTAGTAGTTCTGGTCCCTGTCCCTGTCCCTATGCATAGGCTACTGTGTAATCAATAGCCCATCGCCGATCATCTCTCGGTGATTTTACTCCAAACCGAAGCTCCGCATAACGGGTGTCGCGGGCGCATGCATCCCAACCGAGCATATCCGATATGTACATACATACATACATATATCCGGAGCAGAGAACGCATGGGCTAGGCCGATCATCAAACCAACTCACCCACGAGGTTGTCAGCAAATGCATACTAGGAAACTATCGTTTCAGATCGTAGGCCCGTGGCACAAATCCTGTATGGTGTATACCGTCGATCTGGATCTGGTCGGGTCGGTCTAGAATAAGAAAGGGGAAAAGCTGCCTCGCGCCGGGGTAAGCCGTGGCCACGTGGAACGACTTATTTTCTTATTTAAATAATAATATTTACGTGCCTATGATCCTTCTGGGCTTTGGAGGAGGGGGGGAGGTAGACTATACTGAATAGGGAAAATCCTGTGTCGAGGTGCTAACTTAGCGCTTGGAGATAGATTAATGGGAAGTTTCTGGAAGTTGTTAGTAGATGATGATATGGCCTGATTTATGATTATTGATCTTGTAAGCGCTGCGGCTGAGGAAAGGAAAGGAAAGAAACGGTCTAGATACTGGTAATATTACGGAATAAGATAACGGTGGAGGTAGTAATATGGTAAAATCGTATTGTCTATTTAGTAGTGAGGAAAACTCCAGGTGCTCGAATAATGCCGGAAACCAAATCCATGTTGCTCAGTAGCTCCTTTCTCTCAAATGTAAGTAAGTAGTAGTATAGTGGGGGGGTATTGTGCAAAATCCGGGGAACCTCGAATGTCCAAAGGGTAAAAATGTCACAAAGCAGCATAGTTAGTTGAATACAGGATATCGGTCATCAATCATCATCAGTTCGTTCTGCGTGTCTCTCTGCGCAGAATCCATGGGGTAGGATAGGGAGGCAGTATTAGAAAGAAGTACGGGGGTCAACAAAGGAAAGGAACTAGAAAAGAAGAAGAGAGGCCGTGACAAGGAAAATCGTGGATGCGTGGGAGGGAAACAAAGAAAGAGGAAGGCGGGGTGGGCGGCCTTTACTTCTCGCAAAGGGCGGTCAACTTCCACTCTCCGTCCACCTGACGGATGAGGTCCTCCTCCACTGCCCATTGACGCAGCAATGTATCTTCTGCTTCGTATTGGGCGTCGCCTTTCTCGTAATGACGACCGACATGCTCCATGCGGTCGTTCCAGCTCCGCGCCCCCGTAAAATGTTGCCCGCAAAAGCCACAGCGGCTCTCGGAAGGCGGCTTGCGTTGCTCATGCCAGCAGCGAGCCCGGACTGCTTCAAGGCTCTGCTCGAATTCATCTTTCTCTTTGTCGTTTTCGGCATATTTGCAGTTGCGACCGATCCAGGGGGCATGCATGCGGCGTTGATGTTGGGTGAAGAGATCCTTGCGGTTGAAGTCGTTCACCAGATGCGTTTCGTTGTACGAGACATAACTGCTTGAGTTTAGGCTCTTGTTCTTGCTGAGATTGTCAAGACTGCAGCGCCCAACGTCGCAACGGTAGAACCCCGGTTGGATGTGCTGCGAGGTCACATGGCGCTTCCACTCATTCTTCGAAACAAATGTGCTCTGGCATCCATAGTGGGAGAAACTGCAGATAAAACCTCGGCCAGCCACTGCACCGTCCTTCTTACTGCCGGTCTTGGTATTGGCTCGGGCCGCCGAGGTGGTCCTCGCCTTCGTGGAGGGTTTACGAGGTCGTTTGACTATGCGGCCAATATTAGGCTTGGATAGTTGCTGTGGCTTGGACTGAGAACTGGGCGGGCAGCAGGTGTCTTGCTGACTGGTTGTGTCTGGGTATTGGCAGCTTCGAACGTCACAGGTAGTATCGAACTCATCGTGCTGAGGGGGGCTATTGTAGCCGAAAGCTCTGCTCATGGCATTGTCTGACTCCGTCTCAAGCTTCACCATGGGATCGGGGTCGGGATACAGCTGGGAAGGCACCACGAGACTGTCGACGTCGGTCAGAGAGGCGGGGGAGGAGAAGCCTGATTGCGGAAGTACGGCATCATCGCAGGTGTACGGAGGGGACATATAACAGCCCATGTTGGCATTGCTAAAGCTACCGCTGGTGGGACTGTCCGGTCCTGGGGTGGAGATGAGATCACTGCTCCAGGGAGAGTTGAAGCCAGATGGAGCTGTCAATGAACCGGTGGTATGCGACAAGATCGGCTCGGCTGACCACGACATCGAGGGGGCGATGTAGGCGCTCTTCATTGAAAGGTCGGCTGGGGAGAGGTGAAGTTGGAAGTCCGAGGGGCGTTGAATCATCGTGGGGTCCGTGTAAGGCTCGTACTGACTGGGAAACAGCTCATAATCCTGGGGTAGATGGTCCTCGGAGGACATATGCGGGAAGTCTGCAAAGGTTGGGAAGTGGGCCATGATTCATAAGCTGCGACGAGGCTTTCTTTTTCAGGGTATCAAAAGTATGCCAGCAGGGAAGGAAGTCGCCGCTTTATAACCACGAAGGCCAGATGCATTCCAATTTCAGCTGGGGACGCCATGGTTATGTATTGGCTTGGGAGGGCGGTACACTGGATGGGTCACTGGGACCCAAGAGCAGCGCGGAGTCAAGGCCATTGTTGAGCCGCATCGATTGAACGAACTGAGCCATTATTCGTCGAGACGCTCAGGTCGGAGTGCACCTTGGGAAGCCGGAGCAATGAGCCCCTGCAGCGACGGTCGATAATAATCTTCTAGCCCGGGCGTCTGGATGTCAACTTACACGGGTTGGCCAGTCAGAGCCCAGCATTCTGGAGGGGGACCCCCTTTTTTGTTTTTTTTTTTTGTTTTTTTCCGGCTTTTATTTCTGCGATCCTTAATTCAATTTAGTTACTGTCCTTTTCTTGCGGTGGGTATTAATTCCGCCATGGAAGATCGAATGGCACCGTCGTAAGACGGCGCCTGGGAGGTGCAGGGATGGTGGTCCTCGTGTTTGGGGATTGACAGGACGGCGGCCTCCACCAGAGGAAACGATCGATGGGATTGTCGCCAGGCCCGTCCGACAGACAGTCCGACTCCCCGAGAGAGCCGCAAAGACGGTGAGCGCGACAACAGCGCCCTCGCCAGTCTCTGGTCCAGGATCATTTCCACCCCCTCGTGGCTCCCAACTCAAGTCCCACGTATCCACATTCCCCCGCTTGATTGGCCTGATTGACCTGGTTGGCCTCCTCTCTCGCCCAACTGTGCTTGGGAGCAATGGGAGCACTGGGAGGGCACTGTTGACTGTTCAGCCTCAATGATAGGCAGTGTCGAGACTCGAGCTAAGCCTGCATTAGTCGGGCAACGGGGGGAGAACCACGACAGGGTTCATTCGGGGGCCAAACCTACGGGGCCACCGCGGGCCATTTAGCGAGCGTTATCATTAATCATCGAGCTCCGTCATTAATGCTGAACCAACGTCGAGTCATTTGCTGCATCCCCTCCCCGCTCTGATTCGTGGTCTTAAAGCAGGGGGGCTCGAACAGGCAAGAGCCAGCGATCATCGGAATCCTGATGTGTTCATGGTTGGTTGCCTTTTGCCCAGTTGTTGACTCGTCCCCGGGCGCGATTCGGCCCTGCCGCCGACGCCCGCACGCCCGCACCATCTAAGCCCGCGCCACGCTGTTCCCCGAGACACGCTTCTGGAATGGGAGAAATGACGATGGACGACGGTTGATCCGAAGTGCCTCCGGGTGGTGGTCCTGGGCCCCTGGGGAGCCACCCGCTCAGGGATACCCGCTTAGGGTCTGACAGCTCACAAGTCATGGTGTCTCTCGTTAGCACTTTGGTCATCCTCCGAGCTGGGATTATTACTGTCGCTTGACTGGCATTGTGTCACTCACTGGCAGAGAGCACCGCCCCACTTCCGGTTACCCCTTTCCCATCCATACCACAGTAATCTGCTGGACTCCGGACACTCACCGTGCATGATGCGCATCTTGAAGCAGCCGTTCCAAGTCCACTTGGCGTCCAGTTTTTGGGGGCCAGAAAATCCCTTCAACGATACCACGCGACAAGTCCCAAGTACTTAACCTCCCATAGGGCAGCTCGCTAAACATTTAATTAAACATCATTGAAGATGGATACTCTACGGGGTACCCAGGATCTAGCCATCGGCCTTATCTAAACCCGAACCAATCACTGGCCAAGCATCTATCGACTAAACCAGAACACAATGCCAATCCATGGATTGGAAAGACCCCGGCCGACCACTAGGTATGTACCTAAGTCCTAACAACCAAGTATCTACTCCGTACTAGCAGGAGGTTTGCTGTCATCCCCGTCAAAACTCAAAAGGCCAACGTATCGGGCCTGGATGAAGTCGCGCTGCAGTCTGGGATACTGGCCATCCTGATCCAACAGTTGACTCACACACGCGCACATACACCCCAGGCATACCTGTGTGGCTGAGACGCCGGCTGTGCCTCGAATCCCGAATCCGCCTTGTTCAACAATCAACGTACACCTGCCACGAAGTCTTAGAAGCGAGGCTTCTTTTCTTCGATCCCCGGTTCCGTGAATTACGCCAAGCAATTTAGCACCGTCCCCCATCCTTGGATCGTGCTGCTGCTGCTGCTGCTAATAATGATGATGATGACATCCTCAATAGTTAATACACGGAAGCGGAAATAAGTGCGAATAAATTCGGAAGCTTCCGGGAACCTGCCTGGCACATGATCGCGCGGTTAGCCGCTGCTCTACTTTAGCGGCGCAACAACCACCATCTCACCCCTGCTCGATCGGTATGTGTATGCGTATCGTAATTACCTACTGCCTACTGCCTACTGCCTAGTGTATGCCCGAAATAATCCTGCTGGGCGACAGTCCCGGGTGCGGTATACAGTACAGAGTACAATGTTGTGCATTTTCCGGGACGCACAACGGGCGCGCGCCCCTCTCAACAACCAGGATGATTCATCTCATTCGCGCCCGGGCGTCGTTTCCTTCGGGGCCACAGCCCACACGCCTGGCTGCTGCAGGCGCGGGCGTCTGGGCCGCGGCGACTGCATGCGTGTGCACCACAGCCCCAGCTACGGCCGGTATCACATGGATTGGTCGGGAAATGTGCCTACTTCAACATCATCCTAGGCTCCTTGAGTGACATCATGGAACGGTGAAGTTGTACAATGTGACATGGGCCCGGTCGAGACCGTAGAGAATATGAATTCGAGAATTGTGGCTACTTCCACGTATATTAGGCAGTTCTGGTGACAATGATCAAGGCAGACAGCGAGGTATTCGAAGTAAATCTAGGGCTAAAGTAGATGTAGAACTATTGATACTCAGCCATGGCAGCTGAGATCAGTAATCATGCAAGCAAAATCCCCCCCAGATGTACTCCACATTGTAATAGCAAAGCCTAGCTTCCCCTGCCCGAATCTTTTCCTGGGATCTCGGACCTTGCTTCCTGTCGTCTACTCTTTCTTCTCCTTCGCGGATTTCTTCTTTGGCACCCGCACCAGCCAGTACAAAAACACAGCTGCAAAGGCGTTGAACACCACATACACGAAGAGAATTCCCACGTTACGCCAGCGGTCCGAGTAACTTATACTCAGTGTGCTCAGATACTGATCCGTCTTGGATATCGAGCACACGCGACAGTCGGTAGTACTCCCAGGATTAAGTAGGCTCGCCTGCGTATCGTGAACATATGAATCCAAGTAACTCGAGCAGTTTTGTCCCGCGGGAGGCGGTATATGCAGCAACTCGATATCAGAGCATTTGACATCGTTGCCCGCTATACCCACGCTCAAGATCGAGGACACGAGGTATGTGAAAGGCGATACTCGGTACATGAAGATCCAGAAGCGAGGAAGGGCCGACGGAGAAGCAAGAACACTATGCCATGGTCAGTCTTCCTGGTAGGAAAGAGGAGCCGCATTACTCACCCATTGAAGATGAGACACATTGAAAATAGAAGTTGGGCGATATTGCTGCCCGTATCTGGGTGCTCAATACCTGCGATGACCATGGAGCTGAAAGTTGAGGTGAACATCATGAAGATCAAAACTAGCAGAAACATGGTGCCACCTCTTTCGTTGACCGTGTGCGATGGGTAGGCGTTGCGATATAGGCCGATTGGATAGTACCATGTGAAGTATGCCGGAACAGCCATGAGAATATTCCATGGCAACTCGACCATAATACTGGCTAACATGAATGCTTTCCAGGAGTATGCCTTCGAAGGCCTTTCCCGGACTTCATATAAAGCCCGTTGCGTCGTAAAGTACGGCATCATCTGTTGCACTAGGTTGGGAAAGATGACCAACAACATAAAAATGGCGAACATCTCATTCTGCAACCCTTGGATACTGTTTGGCTCGCGCCAGAATGTGAAGCCGATGAATAAGGGCTGCGTTTGATTGGTTAGCCATGTACCCTGAAGATGCGCAATATACTTACAGGTATGATGCACATGGAAGCCTTGGAGTAGATATAAGAAGGACTTCGCCAATATTGCTGGAACATCCGCTGTAGGCAAAGGAGGAATTGCGTCCAAATAGGCATAGCAAACTCCCCATATCCCACCATTCGAGGAGGCGGTGGTCGCTGCAATAGATCCTGCTTCATCTGCGCAAGGTCTAAGCGGACTTGGGTGCGCTCAGGACTTTGATGCCACACCTCTGCCCAGTCCCGGTCAGCGTGAGATCCTGGGGCAGCCCCGATCACTTCCAACATCCACTCAGCAGGGTTAGCATTCCTAGGGCATTTGGGAGAGCCTTTATCCTCGAAGTATCCTATTAAGGTCTCCATATTCTGGCCCAACTCGCCGAAGTAAATTGTCTTGCCCCCTTTGGCTAGAAACAGCAGCCGATCGAACTGCTGCATCAGGATAGCTGACGGTTGGTGAATTGTGCACAAGATTGCTTGACCATGATCTGCCAGCTTCCGCATAAGAGAACATATGGACCATGCAGTCTGACTATCAAGTCCGGAAGTGGGCTCGTCGAAGAAGAGAAGGAGGTCAGGCTTGGCCGCAATCTCTACCCCGATTGTCAACCTCTTCCTCTGCTCGACATTCAGACCCTCGCCCAAAACCCCAACAATGGCTTCCGCATAAGCTTCCATGTTCAGCATTTTGATGACTTCTTCCACATAGGCGATCTTCACCATCCGAGGCGTACTCGCTGGCTGACGAAGCAGCGCGCTGAAGACCAGGGCTTCCCGCACCGTGGTTGTTTCGAGATGCAAGTCTTGCTGCTGAACATAACCTGTTTTTCTTTGGAAAGAGTCATCTCGCATCCGTCCATCGACTAGCATCTCCCCAGTGACCACCCCCATGGTCACTCGGTTGGCCAATACATCCAAAAGCGATGTCTTGCCAGCTCCCGTTACACCCATCAGGGCAGTCAAGGTTCCCGGTTTGACCCACCCGTCCACGTGGTCAAGAATCTGGCGTGGCTGACCCTTCACCTTGACATCGTAGCAAACATCTTGCCAATGAAATATGGAGGTTTGTCTGACAATGGCACCCGTATGGTCGGGATCCTCGTCACCGATACGCTGTTTCTCCGAGGTCGGGACGCTTTCAACATCGTCGTCACCAGGAGCCTTCCTTGTAAACGCCGGGATCTTGCCTCGAGGAAAGACCAGGATCTCGCCCTTTGAAGGCTTAGCACGAACCAATTCACTGCTGATAATATAAAGCGCCAGGAAAAAGAAGAAGAAGCCCAAGAGAATGCCATAATTGCGCCAGAGGTGCGGCCGGTAGTATCGGTACGAGTCATTCAGATATCTGTCGCCATCAATGTAATCCTGACCAGCCACAGCACCGTTCTGATTGCATATTTTGGAGGCAATAGGGGCGTCTTCGTAGCCTGGTCCAGACGGTATATACTGGGCACAGGGAAAGCGGCGATCACTAAACTCATTAATCATAAGAGATTCAAAAGCATACTACTTCGTGGTTAGCAGCATCCACAAAATTCATGAAGCGTTGCGTTGGTGAGGGAATGAAAGGGAGGTTATTCATTTGAGGCATATGGATGTCATATCAACATTTCCCAGGGTCTTGCAGCACCTTTGCTACATACGAAAGCCTCCAGAGGTGCACTTACGGCTATTGGATCCAAGTAATTCAACCACCGAAACCATGGATGCATATCCCGGACCGGAACTGTAAACCCTGTGTAGATCACAAGGATCATCATGACGATCGATGAAGGTACCATCGCCTGGGCCATGGATCGCGATATCGCTCCGGTCCAACGGAAAACGTTGGACATTGTCAAAGCGGTAGTCGTCGAAAAAAGGTAAAACACAAAGAAGTGTCCCGGGGTGCGACGCAAATTAGACATGAAATAAATAATCAGATTAAACTCCACTGAGACAATCATTTTCCATGGGAGATCAACAAGCATGGAGCTGATTGCCTCCGCTGAAGGATGATAGAGAGCGTACTTGTCATGTTTCTCCACTATCGGTCGTTGTTGCCACAAGGTAAGGATTTCGAGCGAGCTTGCGAATGCATTGAGCAAGATAGAAAAGAAAAGTAAGGCTCCCCGCTGGAAAAAGCTATCCGTGTTTGGACCAAGGTTGTAAAACACGCTAGCGACGACCAAGGCCATTATACAGTTGCCAATCAAACTAGCCAAGGTCATACTCAGATCGCCTTTGAGACGCTGGAACCCTCTGCGAAGACACAGACGAATCTGCATCGGGTATGACAGGGTATATGGTGATTTCATCCGGGACCCTTTGGCCTTTTCAGCGGCGCGGGAGCGGTTGAATTCTTCCAACTTGTCCCCGCCTAATGGGAACTCGGTCTGGAAAGCCTCAATATTAGCGAGTAGCTGTTTTCTCTCTGCGCTCTCCCTCCAGCGGGCCGCGAACTCGTCAGGGGTGCGAGGAACCACATGTTCATATCCTTTGCGAGCTTTCCGTTCTGTCGGACTGGTCAAGGAAGTCAAGAAATCAGCAGTGGTTTGCCTATCCGCGCATTCAAACCCCATTTCAATGAAGAAACGCCTTGCATCATCAGCCTGACCGAAGTAGATTTGCCGGCCTTCATAGAGAACAATGGCCCTGTCAAAGATATCGTAGATGGCTTGGCTAGCTTGGTATATTGCCACAATTGCAGTAGACCCAGTGTATTCTGTGGAAAGGCGCAGCTTCCTGACAAACTCAAGAGCTGTTGAGCTGTCCAGGCCGCGGGTACTGTTGTCCCAGCATTGTATAGGGCTACCACACAGCATGGTCTCAGCTATGCTGACGCGTTTTCTTTCTCCTCCAGACACACCTCGAATAAATTCGTTACCGATTCGGGTGTTTCTAGTGTGGCTCAGGCCCAACATGGCCATGACAACATCTCGCATGTGTGCTGCATACTGCGCTCGGGTGACGCCCGGGAATCTGTTGGATGGAGCTCGAGCATGTGCCGCAAAGTGCAATGTTTCGCCCACAGTGAGTTGCGGGAAATGTATCTCAGTCTCAGCTTGGTAGATGACTTCTCCCCTGAAACGGCTGTGCATTTCGTCCCAGGATATACCCTGATATTGAATATCGGTTCCGTGGTCGAGCCATAAGCCGTGAGTCTCTCCTGCAATAGTTTTGAGGAAGGTTGAGCAACCGCTTCAAAGATTGCGTGTTAGCGACTAACATTGATAAGAACATGAATACTCCAGACTAGGAGGTGCTAGCAAGATTGACTGCGTGGCTTACCTTCCAGGGCGACCAAGTACGACTAGCATCTCACCACTGTGGACGAATCCTTCGAAGTTACGAAGGATATCAATCCTGACTTTGTTCCCACAACCCAGCTTTTCTCGAAGCCAACCAAAACCCTTAAGCCAAATATTTGCAACATCTGCCTGGTAATCAGCGGCGGTACCGTAGCCGAAAGCGTTCAGGTTGCGAAAGGATACACCCGCAGTGCGGCGAGGATATCGATCCGGGTCACGCGAGGTGATTTGAAGCAGGTTCTTGGTCCATTGGCGCGAGTTGAACTGATCCGAGTTGGGATCGAGCTCAGGGTCGCTGGTGGGATCGAGAAAAGTATTGGTTCCCTCACCGCTGCTGCTCTTGCCGGACAACTGAGAGAGACTGCGTGCTAGAGCAGCTATCGCCTGCTGATTCTCCCGTCCGATGCCGTCTTCTGACTCTAAGAAAGCTGAGTCTGAGCCTTCCGTCTTCTCCTCAGATGGTATCGACGTGCCTATCGAGCCTCCGAGCTCTTTTCCCACGGCGGCAGAAACAGCTGTAGCCCCAAAGGGCGCAGGTGGTGCTGGCTGACTGGCCATGGCAACTGTCAGAGGTTAGGTGTTGCGCGGGGCATGACACTAAAGACGAAGCAAGATAAACAAAGAACAGGTCGGCTTTTGAATAGGAGCAGCAAAGATAAACAGAAAGACAGCAACGGAAATGAGGGAAGGAAGGACCGAAGAAAACAGTGATGGTGGTCAGATAGATGTCAGAGTCCGATAAGGTTCGTATATTGTGATAAGTTCCAGAGTACGGAAGACGGAAAGTAGGCATCCGCCCTTACGTGAAGTGAGAATCGACTGTTGCTCAAGGCCCGTCTAAGGTTCCAAGCCGAAGCTAGTACTTACCCAGTAATTGCACACAATGATTGTGATTGACGGAGTGGTGTCTTGGGACGCCTGATTTTGCCTGCCTGGTGGCGGCCAGGTACCAGAACAACAAAGGAGAAAATGCCCCGTGAATGAGTGGGAAGTCGCTTCTACCTGAGTACCCAAGTACCACCTGATTGGGTAGCTGGGGGGCCTCACGACCCTTGAAGGCACAACGATGTCTACTTCTTGGTGCCTGAAGGTAGGTTCCTGCTTAGAAACTCTCCTAAAGATTTTTATAGGTATGATTGATATATGATGATGAATATCTAGACTTCAGGATTCAACAACAGCCAGGTACCGAGTATGTATTCCTCCTGTCCCCAGCCAAGGAAGACTGGATTGAGTCGGCTAGTGCTCGCAAACAAGGTTGTACGGCCATCCTTGTATGATGAGCTCGTCTGATGATCTTCGCCAGGTCGGAGGATGACGCCACCCAAAACGTTGAACAAGGTGGTGTTTCCATTCGTATACACTTGCCATACTTCAGCTTCCCTGCGGGGTTACGGCCATCGCGTCTAATTGGATGCGTATCGGATTCGTATTTCGGGAGCCGTTTGGTCCCCATCCGAGACCCCACCGCTACCCCGGATCTAATCCCATCCGAGCTGTTATGTGCATTACCATCTTACCTACGGAGTAGATAGGTATCGAGGTCTAATGATCCTGACTAAGTTCCTTTGGCTAATAGCGTTCGCTTGTACCCCCGAGACTATCAGAGCCTATTTTGAGATGGCAGATAGTCTCCTGCTCATTTCCCTCTTTGAACCTGCGTTCGTAAGCAGCAATTATTTTGCAGAAGACTCCCAGAAGCCCCCAATTATTGATCAGATCAACATTTTTTTCTCTTTTCCATTATTCCAACACCCGATCGTTGCAGAACATGTGTTACGACTCATCACATTCTATTATCTTCTCCTAGGGATATACTATCTCCGAGTCGCAACTGGAGTATATGAAGTCCGCTTCTACAATAAAAGTAAATAAAGAAAGTAGTATCCGATGATACTAAGTCACATTGGACAAAGAGTATGTATTCTCGTCAGGATATTAGCACATCTATCATCTGGTCCTGGCCATGGGCTAGATAACTTCAAGATACAGAGAAGAACTGTCTGGGTCACAGGTGAGTTTATTCATTTACTGTCTTCTTCCTGATTTCCATCGCTGCAACTTGCATCATTGTATACCTGTGGGGTAGACGTGAAACCATCGATAATGCAATGCAAACTGCAACACAACCAGCATGGCAGCATCGTTGGGCGACGTGTGTGGCCTGGGCCGATGCGGAAATTGATTCCTCAGGCCACAATAATGTAATTGCGGAGCGTGATTTCGTGCTCGGCTCGGGAGAGAATCGTCGCCCTGCCATTGCAGCTGGAGCCACACCCATCCCGGCTCGATGGAGGCCATCGGCAAGCTCGAATTATATCAACCAATACAATCAAGCCAATAGTTTCTGGTGGGTGGTCTGGACCTGAGGTGGACCAGGCCTCAGCTGCACAGCTCGCGGCATCTGTTTACTCGCCCGCAGGTCGGTGTACAATGCGGCAATGCAGTATTTCTCTTGTTGGCGTTGTCCCCCGCAGTGGGGTCTGTGCCTGGCATTTATCTATCGCCAGGTACCCAGGTAGACATGGCCGATTTATCATTCTGCCACTTCACACACGGAGACAAAAGTCACTCAATCAGTCATGCATGCGTCGCTCCAGCATTCCTCCATCGAGGGCACTGTCAGAGATGAGACCGACATCGAACCGGCCGTGCCCGCACCGTACGAGGAGCAGCCTTTGCTCCGTCAGGAGGCCGAGGACGCTTGGAAGCCTCCTATAGGCTTTGTCTGGATACAGCTAGGTTTGTCACTTGGCCATTAACAAACAACTGGCAGACTGACTTTCGATGCAGCCATCATGTCTAACGTGTTCCTATCTGGCTTCGACGGCACCATCACTGCATCAACATATGCTGTTATCAGCTCCGAATTTAGTGCGGCCAACACGGCATCGTGGCTCACAACCTCCTATCTAATCACCAGCACCGCATTCCAGCCGCTATATGGTCGCTTTTCTGACATTTTTGGACGACGGACATCGTTTTTCACGGCCACAATAACCTTCATGATTGGTTGTTTGGGGTGTGGGATTGCCAAAGATATCGTATTTTTGAACATGATGAGAGCACTTACTGGTATTGGCGGTGGAGGTCTAATGACAATGGGTATGCAGTGGGATTTCCTCCCCCACTTGATACGAGAAGCTGACGTGGACCAGCCACTATCGTCAACTCAGACCTTATTCCTTTCCGCCGTCGTGGAATGTATCAAGCCGTCCAGAATGTTTTGCACGGTTTCGGATCCATCTGCGGGGCTTCGTTTGGAGGCACGATTGTCGATTCTGTCGGGTGGCGCTGGTGTTTCTTGATGCAAGTTCCGGTTGGGTTTCTGGCTCTCGTCACCGGTCATCTTGTCCTTCATCTACCTACGCAAAACAAGTATGCCAGCGAGGGGTGGAGTCTACAGGCTATCTGGAGACATGTCGATCTGTCCGGAGCATGTGCGCTGATTGTTGGCCTCTCCTCGCAATTGGTGGGCCTGAGCCTAGGTGGGAATGAGCTCCCCTGGTCCAACGTGTGGGTGATACTATCGTTTGTGGCGAGTGTGGTGTCACTGGCTCTCTTCGTTCTCATCGAGACGAAAACATCTGCAATTCCGCTGATACCACCGAGAATGCTGAAAGGCGTGCTGCCGGTTGCCACGCAAATTGCCAATGTCTGTGTCGGCATGGCTGCTTATGCAGTAGGTTGTCGCCCGATATTGCATCTCCCTGTTCGCTAATCGAGATAGTTTCTTTTTACCCTCCCTTTATTGTTCCAAGTTATCCTCTTGGACTCGCCTTCCAAGGCTGGCGCGAGGCTTGCAGTACCGTCTCTCGCTACCCCGGTCGGCGGGGTCATCTCCGGCTTCGTCATGTCGCGCTGGGGCAAGCTGGCCTATCTCGTCCGAACCGGCTGTCTTCTGATGTGCATTGGTAATGTACTTTTAATGCTCCTGCAATTCCATGACTCAGAGTGGAAGTATTATGTGGCGATGATTCCTTCCAGTCTCGGTCAGGGTATAACGTACCCTGGTATCTTGTTTACATTTCTCGCTGCATTCGATCATGCAGGTATGAGGCTCCATTGGAGGGGAGAGACGCTACGAATGAATACCAGACTAACAAAAAGATCAGACCATGCCGTGTCGGCCTCTACCGTCTACCTGGTTCGTTCAATGGGCACAGTCTGGGGCGTAGCCCTTACGTCCACCATCATTCAGAACACATTGCGCTCAGGCCTCGCTGAGGCCTTGAGTGGAATACCAGACAAATGGAAAGTAACTCTCCTCTCAGGTTATTCGCTTGTGCCGTGGAACAATGACTGATCAATATTATCTTCCCCGCACAGGTGATCGATGACATTCGTCATTCAGTGTCTGCCATTCACCATCTGCCGCCAGAGATCCAGCTAGCCGCACGAATGGTTTATTATAAGGGAATCCGGCTGTCGTTTCTGGCATCAGCATGTTTCGGGTTCGTGGCTACGATTGCGGCCCTCTTCACCCGAGGAAAGGGCCTGCACCGTTCACGCGAGGCGTAGATGATGCGCCAGTTACATTGACTCGCTTAGTTTAGATCGTGGCGGGGGCGAGGTGGTGAAGGTAAGTTTGAGGGCTTATCTCATCGCATGAGTATCGGAGATGGCAGTCTTGGGGGCTTAGGAATAGACATGAGCCAACTGGCAGGACAGTTTTCAGGAGCAGGGGCCACTTGGAGCCATCAGACAATTTGCTGGTCGTGAAGGAGGCATTCGGCCCTGAGAAAGCACATACCTGAATACACTCATTTAGAACTTTCCTGCACTTTTCACAATCTGCTGTTCAAATTAGATTGCTCGCATTTCAGATTTGACGTGGATTCTATAGGATTGACCTCATGCTCAGCAGGCTCTCGATTCCGCATTGCGGAGAAAGCTCCGTCTGCCGAGGAAGCTAATCTTTGGTTGTTTCCCTTCCTTGGATCGCCACCATTGCACACCAATCGGAGGCATATATACTCAAACATGTCTGCCTGGGCCTTGCGGGGAGGTCGCTGCGCTGCCGGCCAAGGAAATGTGTCTGGATTTATAAGGCATTCTTCACGACGCTATAGCATTGTTAGCCGCATTTCCCCGCACGATCGCCAACCACCAGCCAGAGTTCATGGATAATTCCGCCCTAGTTCCGCTATGATGGACGTCTCTAACCTTATTCTGGCGATGGTCCAGCTGTTCTCTCTCTCTTGGTTGGTCGGGACTTGATAACAGGGCTCGGAATTCGATAAGCGTTCCGGGATATCTTGGGTATCAGTCATCAGTCATCCCTATCGGACCTTGATGGCGACGATGAATCAACGAATCTAAAGCCTCCACAGCTTGATCTTATCGACTTGAAGCTCCTTATCGTATTCAGGCTGTGGCTGTCAAGGTGTATATGCCAAGCGACGCTGAGTTCATCTCCGCAGGAAGATTCATAAGATGGATGCCCCTCCCCGAGTGTTCATTTCCGGTGGCTCGTTCATGACGAACAAGTCAAGTGGCCATGGAGTCAGATAAATCCAAGGTCTCGGCCCTCAAGTCCGGGTATGCGGCCTCGGCAGACCCGGAGGTCGATATGGACAAGGGGCAAGTTGCCCTTACGGGCGTTCCGGACATGCACATGAAGCGAAACTTCAGCATCGTCAGTATCATTGCGTTAGGATACAATAACACGAACAGCTGGGTCGCCATCGCCACGAGCTTCGCCATTGCTATCCAGTCGGGAGGGGCAGTCTCTCTGCTGTACGGCATTATTGTCGTCACTGCTGCCATGTTCTGCACTGGTGTGACCTTGGCAGAGCTGGCCAGCGTGTACCCCACCGCCGGGGGCCAGTATCATTTCACCTCTATATTGGCCTCCAAGCGATGGAGCCGCGGACTGTCGTACTTTAGTGGTATGGCTGCCGTATTTGCGTGGATTACGCTGGGGGCCTCGATTGCACTATCTGGGACAGAAGCCCTCATGGCCGTTGTGATTCGATGGCAGCCGTCATACGAAGCTAAGAGCTGGCACTATTTCCTAGTGTATCAATTGATGAATGCAATCATGGTCATATACAATATTTTCTTGACCAACAAGACTCTCTGGGTGTACAATCTAGGCTGTCAGTGATCCCCCTCCTAGTTCAGAGAATACAAGATTAACCATAGATTTCTTGTGCAGTCATCCTGTCTATCTCGACCTTCCTGGCCATTATTATAACCTGCCCGGTGCGATCCTCTGCGAAGGTCAACACGTTTGAGACATGGGGTCAATTCGTCAACGGCTCGGGCGGTTGGCCGGATGGCATCTCGTTCTTGACCGGTCTCTCCACTCCCCAGTTCATGTTTTCGGGGCTCGACGCCGCACTTCATCTCGCGGAGGAATGTCTTGAGCCGGCACGCATTGTACCAAAGGCTCTTATTGTCACTGTAACGGTGGGGCTTCTAACAGGGTTTCCCTTTGCGATTGCCATCCTCTACAGCTACAGCAATGTTGAATCATCTCTCAACACACCAACAGGGTATGATCACCTTAATAACCTATTGATGTACGAAAGCTGACATGAAATGCTATTAGATTCCCCATCTACTTCATTTGGGAGAAAGCTACCCGCTCCCCCACCGCAGCAACAGTCTTCATGGCTGCGTTGTTTGCCGTCTCCTTTGTCGCACTGAATGCGGTGCATCAGACTGCCTCTCGACTCACGTGGTCGTTTGCCCGCGATGATGCTTTATTTCTTTCCAACCGATTCTCCATTATACACCCTACCCTTGGAGTACCAGTCTATGCGCTTCTCCTTGATGGCGTGGCCGTGCTGCTAGTTGGGATTGTCTACGTTTGTTCGACGACAGGTATGCTTCTGCCCATACACATCTGTGCAGGTCTAATAATAGGACAGCATTCAACGCCTTTATCAGCACCACGGTTGTCGTGGCACAGATCTCCTATGCCATCCCAGCGCTTCTTCTACTCATTGGGCGCAGAGATCCGCAGTACCTCCCGCCCGACCGCCTGTTCAAAGTACCCAACCTGGTGGGCTATGTTTCGAATGTGGTCTGCGTTATATGGGCTATTATCCTGACGATTTTCTTCTGCTTTCCTACTGAGCTTCCAGTCACGGGGAGTAACATGAGTATGTTCTCCTCCACATTGCTTATGCACCGTGCTAATACTGTTTAGATTATGCTTCAGTTGTGCTGGCCATTATGCTGATCCTGGGAGTTGCGAACTGGTTTGCGTATGCCCGGCAGCATTACCACGGGCCACGGTTAGACATGTGATATGACTTATGATTGAATCAAGTGTAGCTATCTTTAGCCCCTGGAAGTTAATACCAAATAGAATCTTACCCATGATTTCCCCAGACAGCCCCGCTGCATAAATCCTCAATCCACCCCCAAGCACCCACCACCTTCACAACCTCGAAGATACCCAAGATGATCAACTCCACTGAATTAAACCACCCAACCAACCGGCTATTTTCTATTTTAGGCTTTAAAACACACAAATACACACTCCTATAGAAACATAACTTTAGGATTCCCACAACAACAAAATAAAGATATGCATGTCAGTCATCGGAACGTTTCCGAACCCAAACCCACTCCCACTCCGATAAGATAGTGTTTATCTACTATCTACTACTACTAGACTACCTATATCCACACCGCAGAGTGTTGACTTTAAGATATCCACTTCTTTTGAACAAGAGACAGGCATTTGTTCAGTGCAACTATCATGCTTGTTAGGTGGTCGCGGGGTAGGATATGGGCTTGAGTGAAGGCACATAGATGAATAGATAGATAGATGTGTTCCAATGAGGGAGGGGAATCCACTGATTTGACAGTGCAATTGTAGTCCAATCACTTTACATTCACGTTCAATGCTTCGATAAACAGAGATGTGTGGACTGTGCTACTTGGTATGAATGAATAAGATATGCAGTGATGTATACCCAAGCCGAGTTAACTGGTTATGCTCCTCGTTTCAACTTTCAAGATAGAAAAAAAAGAAAAGAAAAGAAAAGAAAAAAGAAATGAGTGAGATATACAGACAAAACATAAAACATGAGAATATAAATACTAATGTATAGATCAGAGAGATCCCGGTAACCCATTCATAGTAATACCATGTAGATAGATAGATGATGGATACCTATATCTAAGCAACCAACACTGCCCTCACCATTAATTACACCACCATTTTCCTCTTCCAAGCAAGTATCAACTCTTCTAGTCTAAGAAAAAGATGGAAAAACCGATATATATAAATAGCCAATACGTTGCAACAGCACACCTCAATCCAGTAATTACCCCCTATCCCCGAGAACCACACCACACCACACCACGCATCCCCACCCACTCCCTCGGACATAGTATAGTAGTCTACATCACAGCATATCTACAACACCGGAGATAATTCCCTCTACCAGTAGGTAAACAGTAAATCCAGTCAGGGATATAAGATCATCATTATTTTTATTTACCACAAAATACTTACTGTGTGAACAAAACCAGACAACATGACCTCATCAAACCCACCCAGAGACTAAATGAATTACGAGTACGGGTTTCCCTGCTGCCTGTCCCATCCCCACATATTGCCGACTGGCTGTGATTGGTACGGAAAAGAGAGAGGGGGGGAAGAAAAAATCGGGCTCCTTCCTCTTTGGTTCATGCTTCAAAACAGTGTATCTGTATCTAGTTTGGAGGGAAACAAACCACTTAGTAGCTAGGTAGGTGGTAAGTAGCTAGCTAGGTGGTTAATTGTTCAGTTGAAGAATTGTGGAAGGCTGCGTACGGTAGAGGGAAGGAATATCTCTGTAGAACCATCTTTGGTCTGAGGGAGGAAATGAGACTTAGATACGGAGTAGGGAGAAGAAGGTTAAGTAGATGGATGTGAAGCATAGCCTCCCGGGAGGGGGCTGAAGATGAGACTCTGCAGGGCTGAGCCAGGTCTTGGGGTTCAACAGGAGAGAGATTAAAAGGCTGCCTAACTGCTGCAGACGATGGTACCACCAATCGGAGACGGCGCGGATGGTTCTCTCGCCAGCGGTCGGCTTGGCTAGAGTCAAGCTCAAGTCGAGTGCAGGTCCAAGAGTCCAAGACGCGACGATCGCGTGCCAAAATGTCAAGTCAGGTCCAAATTCAGTCTACACTGCATCTCACATAATAGCTGGCTACCACGCGCGGGTGGTGGACATATCACAGATGGCTTTCACCACACAGCGAGCAAGAAAGAAATCAAAGTCATCAATTAAAAGCGCCATGAAACAAAAGAAAATGGGTCCCTTCCCTTCCCGTTCCAAGCACCCCGGGTCCTAAAACCAGATGCCTCAATCCCTAGGGCACGACGTAGCAAGATAACAGAGAGGGGAATGGGTAGATTAACAGGAAAATAGACAAGACCGCGTAGCAACTGCAGCTGTCACAGCAGCGCTTCCCGGCGCCCCTGGACTCGTCCGGTCTAGTGTAGCACGCGATGGGAGAGGGAATTATCGTATCGTCGGGGTCATATATCGATCGTGAGAGCTCGGCTTCCGCGCAGCCCTCGCTACATCCGAGGCAGCGCCCGTAATCGATCACAGCTTAACACATTTCACAGCACTCGATGCACTCGAAGCAGCACTCGCAGGATTCTTCACACAGGAAGCAACAGCAGAGGGTGGCCAAGCTGGAGGAAACGGCAGGATTAGTAAGACGGCGCGAAACGGAAAGGCAGAACGGGTGAGTCTTACCAGGCACCTAGACATCCGCGGTCCTTCTGCTGGGGAGGGGGCTGCTGCTGGTATTGCATCTGCTTCCAGGTCAGTGGTTAATTGCATACCACACAGAGAGCACAATTATGACATACCGGAGGGTAGGGCTGCTGGGGGTATCCCTGGGGAGGATAGCCACCCTGCGGAGGCGGATAGCCCTGAGGAGGGTACCTGTGCGGAGCCGAGTCAGAATGATGCGCAAATCCGGGGTATGGTCCAAGGAGTGGTTTGCCGCCGCCGGTCGGTGCAAGAAAGTCCCCAGCGTCGAAATGCCTGATAACAGGCCTCGACCCGGGTTCCTGAGCCAACACACCGCGGTCGCTGGGATTCCGGGATCCCGTCGCAGGGCGGGAACGGGATAAGGCTGGGGCGCAATGGGCGCGGGTGACTTACGCCTGAGGCGGGGGAGGAGGGCCGTTGTAGTATTGTCCAGAACTCATGGTGGCGAGAAAGAATCTGTGGAAGGAGGGCGAAGCAGCACCGGTCAGCGTGGGTAAGTTGGCAGTAGTGAGTGACAAGAAGCGATGGGAGAGAAGTGGACGGGAGAAGGAAAGCAGCGGGTATGGGAGGGCCAATAATGGGGAGATAAACACACCTAAGACAACGCCAAGGTCTAAACGGGGTCGAGGAAGACAGGAAACTGGAAAGGGGGGAAGAAACGATCGCTAGGGGTTGAAGGGTCAAAAGCGAAAGGGAGGCGGAGATTGAGGAGAGGATCGCTGAGCCGCTGTACCTTTAAGGTTGGAGGAGGTCGAGAAGGCTTCTTAATAATAAGAAGAAGAGGAAGAAGCACCAGGTCGGTCGGTCCCTTCCTCCCTCCCTCTCATTATTGTAATTACCTCTCCGGCCCGGCCGTACGGCGCTCGTACCGCCCAGCCATACCGGCACTCTTGGCGCTGGGATCAGACGCCCACGAGCCAATCCTCATCGTGGAGTCTGATTCCTGGCCATCGTTTTACGCCCCCACCCCAAATAGAAGGGCGCCAGAAAAAAAACTAGTAGCCACCATACCATGCCTGGACGCCACGACGCAGGAAGCACAGCTTGACAAGTCAACAAAAATGGGATTCCAGTTTGAAAGTAGTAAGTGCTAGGTACTAGGTGATCATCAGTCTGTCCAAAGCCTTGACGGGGTCCAGCCGTCAGGAGCCCGCCCCGGAGCGACCGACCGTCAGCAGTCATTACAATACAGATTCGTACGCAGCAGCACCGCCCAGACTCAGCCACATTAAGGGCAGCCCTACAGGACCCAGTTACCGCCAGGCACCAGCCACGGCGGTTCCTGCTATGAATAAATAATGTCGGGCTGTCGGACGATTCACCCTTCAGCGGTCGGGGTGATGGCAGCAATCAGCATGGCCGCCAATCACTGTACCGGACCCGGTGACTCGCCCCACAGCCATCAGCCGTAGACAGTGGCTCAGGGAATGGGAGGTTAGTTGTCAGCCAACCGTGCTGGGCTGGCCAGAGCATCGCTGCCATCATTGGCAGGATGGCTACCCTGCGGTTCCACTGCATGGCCTGGCGCTCATGAGACCCTGAGACTGCGCCCAATCACCGCCCCCTCGTCAGGGCATGCATCGGGTGCCAGCACCAAGTCACTCCATGTCACCGCCTGGCAGCACCTCCGTTCCGCCTACCTTACTGTCTCTTCCGTGGCATCAATCATAGTCCCTGGGCTTCTTAGTATCCTTAGTAATAATAGGCTGCAGTTACCAGATAGGAACTGCAAAGTCGGCAGTAGTCATCCCATCATACCCTAGCCCAAGGGCTTGTGCTCGGGAGGACCGTTGCTTTCATGCACGACGTTCACCAAATCAATGTATTCAGGAATCTGAGTCTGGCTGATTGACTGCTCATCATCACACATTATGTCGTAGCGCCCATTAGGGCATCACCAGGTCGACTATGTCGGCCTCTGGGGTCGCAAGAAGAATGAAGAGAAGAGAAGAAGATCCGGAGAAAGAAGAAAGAAGAGAAACGGGAAAGAGATAAGAAATGAGAAATAAGAATCATGAAGAAGGATTCAGAAGAAGAGAAGAGAAGAACCGAAGAGCAATTATCACATGAAATATAGGCGAGAAACGCACGATGTGAAGAGTATAGAAACAACCCCAAAAGACGCAATGTTTAAGGAATATATCAACAAGAAGCCCGTCGGAGATACTAGAGATCTAGTCTCAAGATTCGCGGGAGGAAGAAATGCCAACCGTCAGGACGATGTTTATACAATCACACATACGAATCGATCTCAGGCGGCAAGGTCTGAGAATCAAAGTAACAAGGAGCAGCATCAAGAGACGTGTCCATGGCCATCGTTGGCAGCGCAGCAAAGGTCTCATACCCGTTCACCAAGGTTGACTCCAAACCTTGTGAAGAGATGTCCTCGACCGCCTGCGGCAACCCGGAGAATGGAACATCATCGGACGGACCAGCCGCCAGATCATCGCCTAGTGCATCCTGGTCAATATAGTTCTGAGCATTTTCGAGGACAATCTCCTCTTTCTGCACCATCCAATGCTTCAGAACATCCATAGGCGGATGGTTACCTCCGCCCTTACCACCGCGCTTCTCACTGTCTTTCCCACGACCGCCACGGCCTCGCTGGCACGGATTGAAGTGGGTGCGACGAAGATGAGCAGCGGCGTTGTAGTTAGCACCATATCTTTTGCCATTCCGGCAAGCCTTGCAGTTTGCCAGGAACTGCTTGCCTGGAGATATGTCAACACACACCCAAACCTTACGAACAACGGCATGGACCCGCTCGATGTGTCGACGCAGCTCGTGCTCCCCATGGAAGCCGTCAGGTTGGTCGTTGCACATGTTACAATACGTCTTCGGACGCGGGGGCCGCTGAATCGAAGCTTTGGGAATGGCTGCAACCTCTTTGGCAGTACCATCCGATGATGAGATGCGGATCATCTTGTGCTGCTCAGCCACCTTGGGTGGAGAGCTGCTGTGCGGCTCGGCTTTGGGAGCAATGGGCCGCGTGCCCTGCACAATCTGTTCCTGAGTCCTGCGAGCTGCCCTCGACGGCTGCGACAGAGACGAGCTGTCACTCTCAACGGACATAGAAGGCCTCATCTCCGTCGCTGGGGACGGAGAAATTGTAGGAATGGGCGGGTGGAAGGATGTGGAAGATGGAGCAGAGCAAGAAAATGACATAGGGCCAGAAGGCTCGGTGAATGGAAGGGGGACTTCAGAGTGGGGGTTTCGGTGCATGGATGCAAAGGAGGTGGGGAAGGGGACGTTCATCGGGGAGGTGGAGGTGACGAATTCAGAGGGCACGGAGAATGAAAAAGTAGAGTCCAGATTCGGTCCCGAGGAATCGAACCTCATCATTCCCATGCCTCCACACAGCGAGTCCGTAGTGGTACTCCTGCTCATCTCCACGGCAGCCGGCTGAAACGGTTGGTCGACCATAACGGGGTTGGTCATGGCAGTATAATTCGCCATTAGCTCAGGCTGGCCCTGGTTCAGCTGTGGTTGTTGTTGAAGTCCAGACATCGTCGGATCCGCAGAAAGCGCCAGAGAGAGTGCTGAGACGTGACCCTGGCCCTGGAAATCATCCAAGTATTGTTTGGCGTATTCGGAGGGCGTGTACTCGTTGACATGATCGAGGCGGCGCTGAACACGCTGGGGTCCATAGGAATGGCGAAATCCTGTCACAGTGGAGGCCAGCGACGGCCGGTGAGCAACCGGCGTCTGCTGGCTCTGCGAGCGGACCATGGCTGTATGCCGGGAAGAGGACCCAGGACCGGAGAAAGAGACCGAGTTGCCCTTCCGAGAGTTCGTTCTGGAGAGGCGTCGAGTTTCAGGAGCCGCTGGCGAAGACGCGTGAGACAGTTCGCGCGTCAGATCAACGGTCACTGGAGGTTCCGGAGTCTGCCAAGTGTCAATCCAAGGACTGTTGGCGGGTGATGACAGGAGAGAAGGAGACTAGGATAGCGCGGGAAGGACAGGATGGGTAGAAACGCGGGTATGGAGAAGAGGCGGGAGCATAAGACCAAGATAGATCACATACGGTGACTCGTCGTTTCGGTGGAGGAAGACCAGAACCAGGTAGGGTCCGGGGAGTATCCTGTCGTGTCCGTTTCCCAGATTTCTCGAGAGCTGAACCGCCATCTTCAAGGAGACCAGAGCCGGGAACCGGGCGGTAGCTGGAAGAGGCGGAAGGGGATGTGGATGAAGAGGCCGTGGTGGTCATGAACTGACTTAACCGCTGACTCCAAAGTTTATTTCGCTCTGATTCCGGAAGATGGGAGTGTCGAACCAAGAAAGCGTCCCGATACCCAGAGATGGCCCTTGTGAAGAGTTCGTCGTCGGCCATGGTGCCAGCCATAGTGGGTGAAAGAAGTCCTCTCTGAGTGCTGCCTCTCTCACGTGGGATGAGCGAGGAGGGAGAGCTGCTATCAGTATCAAGTGACTTCAGGGGGGTTGGAGGGGTCTGCGTAAGCCGCCGTCAGTATTTATTCCGCTCAGACAAAAGGTGATTGTCTTGTGGTAGACACGTCGAAGTGATTGTAGGGGGGGATGACTGACTGGAGGATCAAGTTCGAGTGTAGAGAAAAAGTAGCCGATGTTGGAAGAAACTGATAGTGGGGAAGAAAGTACACGGAGGGAAAAAAAAAACCGGTACAGATAGGTCGTGTGAGGTAGATAGTTTGAGATGAGAGAAGATGGACGGAGATATGGAAGAGGAGACACGGGGGTAGGAGATATATGAAGAAGGGAGGGTGGAGTAAGAGACAATGGGAGTGCCAGATGTAGGTATGTCAACTGTTGACGAGGAGGATGACGATAACGATAAAGAACGAGGAGGATGAGATGGGAGGTGGTTATCAATTAAATGGAGCATCCACCATCCCCACAGCCGGCTTGGTCGAATGGTCCGGAGGGTCGAGGATGAAACTAAGGTGAGAAGGGACTAGGAGGGGGGAGGAGCAGGAGGGAAAGGGTAAGGTACGAAAGAACGAGCGTGAGCCAGCAAAAGATCCGTCAGAAGGAGAAGCAGTAATTGCAGGTTAGTTTAGGAGTTCATCGCCCATCGAAAGGTTGAAACTGGGCGGGGATGAAGATGGAGGGACGGATTGGAGGCCTCCCAGACGGTCCCAGAGTCCAGACCCTCTTGGGGTGGCCAGGATCTGTCGCGTTTCTTTTTTATTTTTGCGGATGGATTTTTATTTTGTTTTTCTGGTTCAGTCTGAATTTATTTTTTCTTGTCCCGCATTTCTTTTTCTATGATTTCCCTACAAGGAAAGGGGGTAGAAAGAAGACGGAGGGGGAAAAGGTGCGAGCCAAAATTAAAAAAGGAAATAGTATTATTATTGTTGTAATTTTTGGGAGGGGGGATTGGATCATTTCTCCCTCTCTGGGCCGAGATGGTGATCAGAGCGCTAGTGCCAAAGGAGAAGAAAGATACCACTATCCTGGGGGGGAAGGAGGGGGGAAAAGAGGGAAGAGGGCAAAGCAGAAAGAGGGAAGGCACGACACCATCCATTAGGTATCCCGCCGCCATGGTGGTCCTCACCACAGAGGACTAGACCTGCCCGGAAAAGAAAAGGGGAGGAGGAGGGTGACACGCTGACTGTTCAACAGAGCCCGAATGGGCCTGGTTACAACGGGTTAGATACATCGATCGAACAAGTCGTAGTGGCCGGACGAACACGGTGTGTGCACCCCAAAGTGAGGCAGCGAAACGGATCACATCGTCATCGCCCCGGACCAGCAAAAAGACCTGCTGCGCTGGAGGCCATGATCAGTCATCAGAGTGGTTATGATGGGTTATGTGCACGGGATTATTGTCACGATAATTATTATGGGGACTGCACCAGACCAATTCCACTCGACATGATACGCTGTCCCAGTCCCCAGCAGCGCCTACGGCGGTACAAGGCCTTGGAAGCATCATGGGCCTGGTTTCCCAGCAGTGGCTCCGCAACCTCAGGTACCGACGGTCGCTCAGGTAGGTACAGTACGCCGTACTGAGGTACTCCCACCCAAGTCCAGTCGGTCGACACGGCCAGTGGCTTGCTGCGACGGAGCTTTGGACTAACGGTCCGGTTGGTGGGCAGGGCAGGCCACCTGCGCCCGTCTGCTCCGTCCAAAGCACCCGGGAAGTCTCCCAACTTTCCCCCTTCGACTCTACGGCTGCCACGTCGATTTCAGGCTACACCCGTTCGGGCTTTGCTCGTCCCCATACCTACATCCTACACTACCTACCACCGTGGTGCTCATCACGGCCAACTCTCCCATTAGTTGGTCGGACTCCTATGTCAGTTGGTGATGTGCTTGCAGATGACGAGCCAGCCGGAATTCATGCTGTCCGTTATCGCGGTCGCCTGTTGTCGTATCAGGCGCAGCAGTCGAGCAACAGCAAAGACAAGATCTCCTGAGCATCGAGCACAAACCTCCTCTCCGATGTGTCTGGACTAGAAACCTTACGTTCTAGGTGATCAAACTTAAGAGGCAATTGGGTAGCAACAAGACTGGCTGGCTGGCGACCTCTAGCATCCCATCCTCGATGACCCCCAGGCCTTAAGTGTGGCAGTCCATGATCGCTGTATGTACATAGCAACTTAAAGCAAGCGACAGTAACCTGGGTACACCCCCGGGCCCAAGCCGCGGTACCACGCGGAAGACACCCAGGGTTTGGTCAGCGTTGTCTGCACATGGCCGTCCCAGAATGACACGAGCTGGACCAGGTAACCACTGACACTGACTGCTGGCAATTCGTCGCCTGTAGGGGGTATGCTGTGCCGTAACGGGGGGAGGTGACGAAAATCTCTCGTAAACAGAAGTGCTAGAATATTTCCCGGATCGTCCCATGGCGCCGTGACCGGACGATCTCGACTGACTATCGACGATGGAGCGATCATTTGGGGAAGGGGGAGGGCGTGGGGCGGATGACGCTGCCGCCCAATAATGCCTGAGTCTCTCTCGAGTCTCTCTGAGTCTCCTTGGAAGGGACGGGTGTGAGGCACGTGATATCACATGACATTACCCCCTAATCCGGACTAGGCAACCGGGAAGCCCAGCCCACCTCAGCTTATCACTCGCGGTGGATAGGAATCTGGAAGAACAGTTGGTCCATGGGATCAACTACAACTACGTACCTACCTAATCGGACGCTGCAAGTGCGCTCCGGATGGAGTGGCCGATGTGCTGGCGTTTCACCTCCACCATGCTGCCAGCACAATGATATCCAGTGAGTGACTGAGCGACTAACCAGATGATGGCCTAGGGACGCGGTCTCCTCAGTCTCCTCATGTTCTCACCGAAGGCAGTGCTTTTGGCGGTCAACCACTCCTCCCACCGTTGTTTCAGACTTTCAGCATCCACCGCGAGCCCTCCCGAAGTCACCGCTTTTTGAGGCCTAAAGACAATGACGATGAGACGGAGTCGAAGCGACCACTATGGACCGACTACTGCACCGTAGCAGCCCATAGTCTGGCCCCGAACGGGTAAAGCGGCCTTCCTCCGACCGGCTATCGTGTTTGCACAATGCTGGGGCCAATCAGCCCCGGGGCTCATAGTCTGTTCGTCGATTCGAGAATACCAGCAGGGAATAATCAGGGACTACGTGGGATACTCGTGTGCACTGTGCAGACTTCTGACTCCACTGTGGCCTTCGGGTTAATCTGCGAGGTGGAGGGCTTGCTTCCAAGAAATTCCCTCTTGCCGATTCTCGAAGTCAGTCGAATGCCCGGTCCCCAGTCGGCGTACGCCGTCCACAATGACCGACCGTCCTCCGTAGCGGGGTATTCTTGATATGAGCGGCAATGTGTTGAACCCGTGAGTCATGTCCCTACCAGAACCATCCCTCTCAGTCCTGTCCTCGGTCGAGATAGGGGAGCGAGTAACTGAGCGAATTACTCACACCACGGAGTAAATTTGGGGTGGCAAACCGGGCTTCTGCATGATGTTTCAATAGACCGGAAACTGCGATTTTTTTCGGTCTGGGGTACCTATAGAAGGGTCGCGCTCGGAGTGCCACCCGATGCCGACGCCTCTTCATTATCAATAGCAGGCATCAAGTACGGAGTACAGCTTACTAGGCAAGGAAGAGCGAGAAATCATAATACTACTCCCCTCATACAATCGATTGATGGACTTTGAGGCCACGCAGGGGATAATCTTGCGACTCTATCCTCCTCATCATTATCATCGTCTTGTGCCCTGCCCCTCATCGGTCCCATCTTTGCCCACCCCCTCCAATTTACCCATCTCCACAATTTCCCCCCAGCCCTCAGATCACATACCTCTCGAGGTCTCAAGACCTTTCACGCCAACATTTCTAAAGGCCACGAAATCACACACTCGATCAAGTGGTGGGCAGTTTCCCATCACACGATGCTTCCAATCGAGTATATATGGCCGAAAGCAGTCCATCGCTGGGTCTGCCACGTGATATTTCTTAGTAGTCTTTCTACTTACATTTAGGAACGAGCAACCGATAAAATATACATCAACCAAACTACCAGAAAAGCAAACATACCCAACTCCTTACGAAACATAATATGACCAAGAACACAACCAGAACCCATATAGCTTGTAGAACTCCGATCTGAGCCACTCATGAACAGCTCAAAACCCACAATCTGATGTGATATTCTCATCGAGTGCCCGAATGACAGATTCAAGATTCATCCATCGAGTAGTGTCACACAAAGGGCACCTACGGCGAATCATCTTTCATACACAGTATCTACTGTATGCACCCAATCTGAAAGGTAATCTTTCTTGCCGGGTACCTATCTACTATTGGAAAGAATATCCAGATAACTGCCATCGGACTTTTTACTAGAAATGAATAGATAATGGCCGGGAGAACGGATGACACCATCTAGCACAACGCGACTGAGCAATGCAATCTATCTACTCCGTACGGAGTACACCAAGAAAAGTCAAGCGGAATGGTCCGGCTACCAGAAACCAAGATAAACAAGAGCGATGAGAATCAACATCATACGGTGCTGGCTGGCATCCGACGGGCTAGCTAGCTAGCTATCACACCAACGCATTGTGGTGATATTAGGCACACACTTACTTGAAATGACAGAGAATCGTTATCGCCATTGCTACCCGTGCCATTCTAGATCCTGGTCGTCTTAGTAAAGGATGGAGTTGGGCGTCATCCATCCCGAGCTGGCCTCCGTAGTCCGTACACATCCGGACTGGCTCCGATCAACTTGGAGAGTAAAAGGAGGGGAAAGTAGGCACGAAAGGTACTTACTTGCACAATGGGCTCGACAAAAATAGACGCGTGACGCTATTCCGCGCCCGTCGTGGGACTCAGATGGGGCCCCTTGAGAAAAGCACCCCTATTCGACGGAGAAAAGGATCGGCGGGCCCGCTAGACGTTCGGTGATCGTCCAATTTCCCTGAAGGGGGTGGGATGATAGGTTGGAAAAGGCTCTCGAGGTGTCCACTAGTTCGTACCATCTGTGATTCTATGCAGGATGCGCATACACTGTGCTGCCGGTTGATGGTGGAAGCAGGGAAGAAAGTTTTTGGGTTGAGAAAGAGGAGGGGAGGATTTTAGTTGCAAGTGCCTGACTTGGGCCGTGGTGGTACCAAGTCCAATGCGGAAAGAGTATCTGGATCCTAAGTAAGGATGGGTTAGAATCCCGAAGCCAGGATGATTCTTGGTTGCGATAAATAAAAATAAAAAAGAAATTAAAAAAGAGAGGAGGGGGGGTAAAAAATCCTCAACTGGAACTCTACCGAACTTTGGAAGGTTCCATGGGACGCCCGGTTGGCGCCATAGTATGCAAACTACAGCTGAGAGCGAATCATTTAAGATTTAGTTCGGCGCTGTTGGGCCACCCTGAATGAAAAAAAAGATTCAAGTTGTACTTTATGTCACGAACGCGCCCACTTCATTCCCGGCAACGGCTGAAAGGGTCATCTTACTTGAAACCACTATGACAACATCACCGCCGTGAACTTCGGGACGACTACCGCCCATGCCCAACCAGTCTGATTAGTCGGTTTCTGCCTTACTCGATCCCTGTCCAGCTGGGACCGAGTCAGGCTACGGGCTGAGACTGGGAATTCGGGCAACCACAATGGCTTGAAAGGCGGGACAGAAAAGGCGAGATCTGCTTTTCGATTCATAGAGCTTACCATCTGGCTGGGCCTGCGTATGTCCATCATCGACATGATTGAATGATTCATGCTGATACGAACAACATAGGATCATGGCTGGGCTGGTTCTCCGATTGGCAATATGGACAGCGCTGCCTGTACGTGCGGTGCGATTCACGAACTTAGGACAACTCGCCACAGGTAAGCCTGGGCATCTTGCAAGGCCTAGTCTGGAACGGCGTCTAGCCAGCCGCTGAGCCAGTTCTCATCCCGTTGGCTTGGTATGAATGGGTGCTATGACCGCCAGAGGCAAGGAAATGCTTCGCTTCAGTCAGATAGGTATCCCTCATTGGATTCTGGATGAGACATATCATGATGACGCGGCTGAACAAGCCGAGAGCTTGTCAATGGCTTCCCCTGTACGATCGCTGCTTTGCTGTTAAGCCTTGTCTTGCCTGAAGGACTAATTGCAGGGCCCCGTTTTGCACAGTGGCTGTGGCGATGCCTTGTTCCAATGGCAAATGGCGCATTTCAAGGCTGTGCACTTCGGCGTGTGTTGTTGGCAGATGGCATGTCGCAGATCAACGGAGCTTGCAAGATGTGTACTCTATAGCCTGCGTAATGGTCAGCTACGTACTAGGATTGTGATGTGGTATGGTATGGAGGGAAGGGATTTGCTTCTGGCTTAAGGGTCTGGAGTGTTCTTTGACCACCAACTGATCTCGGTGTTATTCTCCTGGTTCCATCGGTTGTTGCCTCTACAGGAAAGGCTTGATGAGGCATTTCTGTTATTGCATCGTGTTCAATGTCTCCTGCACTGTATCGCTTTCGTTCGCTCTGGTCAGGTCAGTGCGACTAGGTCGCCACTGTTCTTTGATGGGTAGAATGTGTATGTTTGCTTGCAGCATTTCTCAGCCAGCAATGAAATCCCTCGTCTGCTCGGATGTCGCTCCTAGAAGGGTGGGATCACGGTTCAACACTGTATTTTCTAGAGTCATTCCTTCCTCGCATAAGGGGCAGGGAATGGAATATGGTCGGGACTTATTGTGGATAGAAAGACTTTAGTACTGAACTCCATCAAATCGCTCCTTCCAAAATGACCTTGACATACATGTACTATACTGATTAGCTCCGTATCGACTGAAAGCTACCCTCAAACGCACCTTCAATCCTTTTTATCGATGATCAGAGTCATTCACACCTGCTTGGTAGCATAATAGCTGCGATGGTCAGTGATGGTCCAGGCAGATATTCACATTCTTATGTTGGGTCTTCAAAAGACTCTCAAGGTCATTTGCATTGGTGGTCCCTCATCATGACACGGATACAGGTTCAACGCACTGCACAATCTGATGGTTTCTGACATAGGAAATTATCAGCAATGAGCATTGAAACGAGCTAAGTGATTTTCGTTCCCAGACAGCTCAAGCTCATATGGTCTTTCATCTTCGACATGTTGCCATTGTCACGCGTTCCCGCGCTAATCTTGCCAAATTATTAGATCCTCCCTATCGTCTATAATAGTGCAATGGCTTTCTCTGGAAAGAGTTCGTAATATTTCGGTTCAGAGACCGGCCGTTGAGCCCGAGACGTTGCTCGGATTGTTCGCCATATGTATGTCTCAAAAAGCCTTTCTTGGGCAAAAAGCAGCGGTCTCAGAGAGGGGTTGGAAACTATCTACAAGAGACATTTCTGGATTTAAATATTGGCAAAGGGATATAGACAGGGACCAGAAACCTGACACCTTGTGATGGCAGCTCAGCGTTGGCACTCCAAGTGGATATCGCAATGTGTTCATTGCTCTGTCGATCTGACCCGAATCCAATGGCGACAACTTTCAACAAGTTTCAGCTCGCCACCTCTATGGTAACTATACTCAATGTAACTGATTGTTCTACAAAGCTTCTCCAACCTTTTTTCGACGGCGTAACTACGCGGTTGTTGTGCTAATCATTACGAAGATATACTTTGCGCAAATATGTCGAGAGCTCGCACTCATGATTACATCATGCATGGACGTAGGGAACAATTACGACATTTGTGAGCCGAACACATACCCTGCAGATGGGTTATTTGCGTACAAACCAGGGGAGGATTGATTTGGATTCTAAAAAGGTAAGTTTGACAGCAATGATAGAGGGTTTCCAACGAAGCCGATTAGGATGAAGTCATGAGCCGTTGAGAATGCGATAGCTCAAATTTGGACCCTGATCGATGGACCTGGTGACATCAGGCGTACCACTGATGATGCGACATTTAAATACTGCATCCACTTTTCCTTCGTAGCGCTGTGGTGTGGCCTGCTCATCGCGCAGAACAAGCAGGGGGGTTTAGATATTACCTACATAGTAGGAGGGTCGATATCATGATATAGTTAAAGGTTCGGATGGTACCGAGAAGGATGGAGGTTTCCCGTGCAAGACTAAAGACGTTGCGTTGGATGATGCCGGCTGTTTTGATATCGCGTGTGCAATGGACTGACGTCAGATTGCCACCCTGGAATCAGATCCCCCACAATTGAGGCTGCCAACGGCGTTAGTCTGACATCAGTATATAAGGTCTGGTGGTGGTGCTTACCCCCTGCGCACCCATTTCATCCTCACCATTCGGAATGAATATCATATTGTCCAGATAGTGTCTGGTAACTATACAGACACGACACCACACACTCTCTACTAGTCTCTACCATCTTCCGAGTGCCGCGCATCCACGTGACCTCTTTCAGGCCTCAGGCATCCAGGAATTCAGGAAAGCCACGTCATTCGGCGGTGAAGGAAACTACCCAGTACTGCCCCTCGATCGGGAAGGAGCGCCTCGGGACTCTTAAGGCGGTTTTGGAGTAAAAGGGGAAGCGGGCCTCCATCAACGCGATCGTCATCCTTGCCTTCTTCCCCTCATCCCGAATACCTTCTCCTTCGATTTTGCCTTCTATATCGCCTTCGCTTGCCCCCCCCAACCACTACGACAACCACCATGTCCGACCCTACCCTCTACCTTTACACCTCTCTTACTGCGGGGTCGTCCCATATCGTCACTGCAACTGCGCGTCTGGAGACGATCCTCAAAGCCAACAAGCTCCCTTTCCGCGCAATTGATGTGGCCACCGACGAGGTCGCTCGGAAGCTCTGGGGCCGTCGCTCCAAGGGCAAGAAGCTTCCCGGCTTGGTCAAATTCGGAACTGTTGTCGGAGTACGTATTTTCTCCCCGCACAGGGGCTAAGGGGCCAGGAGATAAAGAAGCCCCTGGTATCTCAAAGACTTTTGACTAACACTTTAAATCATAGGACTTAGAGCAAGTCGAAGAATGGAACGAGTATGGTGAGCTGAGGATGCAGGTTAACAGTGTCGAAGACTTCGACAGCATCCCCGCGACTAGTACTACGACCGCCCAACCCGAAACCCCCTCGGCCACATCCACCCCCACCCCTGAGACGGCTACACTCAAGCAGAGCACAATCAAGATTCAGAGCCCCCCTTCCAAGGAAACTCCCAAGGACAGTTCCATCGCGGTGGCTATGCGCCAGGCTAGCGAGGAGGCTGCCGCCAGAGCCAAGGGCAATAGCTCTCAACCCCCCGCGGCAAAAGAACCTACCCCCGCAGTCACAGAGAAGAAGGAGAGCCCTGCAGCTGATGAGCAGTCCCAGGCAGGGAAGGAAGACACTGTACGTGGGAATACGGCTGCTCCTGACACTCAGGATAGCAAGCCTAAGCGGCCGCCTCTCGTGCCCGAGGTGGCCGCAGAGTCGTCTGCTAATTTTCATGCTGATGCGGCTGAAGCTCTAGGACTGGTCCAGCACCACCGTGGATCCATCATTTCCGCCACGTCCAAAGAAGAACAGGACAAAGTCGCACAGGATCTGCGGAAGTCTATTTCCGGGGGTCAACAAGATCTTCTACAATCCTTGAGGGAGGACCATGCAGCGCGGACGGAGCAGGAGGAAACGATCGAAGAAGAGTCGGATGGCGGTGAACAACAGGATGGGACCCCGAGTCGAAAGGAAGCGCAGGATGTTCAGGTCAGCGGCTAGGGTTGCGGTTGCTTCGTTGTGCACCGATCAATGCCCAGCGTCCTACTATTTTCGGTTATCGCGAGCTTCCACTTTTTCTTTCCGTTCAGTGTAAAGATACCATGTTTGACTGATATTGCCTGTATCCTTTTTTATTGCATTTGAGGCTGTTTGTTCGAAATGTACCTGGACTCTTTCCTTTACATACATCTTGAGGGTTCCGCTGTTTTTCTATATCCAAACATCACCTTCTAAGTGCCCGAACGCGCATCGGCCGTCCGAATCGATCCGTTGCTCATCACATGTCAACGGGGAATCCGTAAAAGAGAACATTAAAAATTGTTAGGCGCCAGGAATAGGTTAGAAAACGGAACGAGCAAATAGAAACGCGAGAGACTGCAACGAAAATCGTGTCACATGAAGCGAAACTTTTTGAGGAGGGGGTTTACCCCTATTTACTCCTTCCTGTAGTTGTTGACAGCCTCACGAAGCTTCGCGATGACGTCGGCGGGGTCCTGAGCGCCAAAGACTGCCGAACCAGCAACAATCACATTGGCGCCTGCTTCAGCGGCCTGATCGATAGTGTACAGACCCAACCCACCATCAACCTCGATATTAAGATCGGGGTATTTCTCCCGCAGAGCCTTGACCTTGGGCAACTCGGAGGCCATGAATTTCTGGCCGCCGAAGCCGGGATGCACGGTCATGACAAGGACCATCTGATGAAGGATTGGAGTTAGTATCGTATCGTATCGCATCGCATCGCATAGCATCGCCATCGTTATCTCATTTGTATGTGGTGTTCCAAGCGGGGGTGTTTGTGGGATGATTTTTTGGGAGGTCACTCACATCCGGCCGCTCCTTCTCATTCTCATTGGCGAGGATATCCCAGAGCACATCGACGGGGGTATCAGGCTTGATGGCAATACCGGCTTGCATGCCCTCTTCGTGAATATACCGGATAAGATCCTTAGGGCTGGTCTTGGTGGTTGTGGTGGTGTCGGCGGGGCTGGTCGCGGCAACGGAGGAAATGGCCGCTTCGTAGTGGAAACAGTAGAGATCGCAACCGGCGGATTTGAATTCTTTGACCCATTTGTGGGGCTGAAGGGGATCAATTAGTATGGAGGTATTGAGGGGGGGAAAGGGGAGGCTGGGGGAAGGCATGGCTCACCTCTTGGATCATCATGTGGCAGTCAAAGGTGCCCTTGCCGTTGGGCTCGGTGGGACGGGCAACGTGGGTGCGGATCTGAGTGACGACGGGGGCGCCAAAGGTCATGTTGGGGACGAAGTGGCCATCCATGATATCGACGTGTAGCCAGTCGGCTCCTTGGGTGATCTTGGTTGAGCATTCGCTGCCCAGGGTGCCGAAGTCGGCGCTCAGGATTGAGGGGGCGATGATGGCGGGCGGGGACATGGTGGGCGGATTGAGGGGATTGATATGGGGAGGAGAGGTGTATGAGATTATGAGGTTATGGGGTTATGAGATTGAGAGGCAATAATTATACAAAGGGGAAGAATGGTATAGGCTATCGCCGGAGATGGGTGGCGGAGGGGCACCGATTTTATAGTACGGCTAGCAGAGGATGATTCTGAAGCCGGGGCACTGATGTCCGACGAACGAGGGGAAAGCAGTGTGTAATGCTAATTGGTATGGGCCCCGGTGGATATCCATCCATGGGGAAAAACCAGCTAACGAACAAGCCTCGTTGATATCACCGCCCTTTCCGGTCGACGTCAGTTCTCCGGACTCCCCCTTTGGGAAATCTGCTGTCCCCGATAAGGGCTAGGGTCCCGGCCGGCACGTGGGGGTGGCGCCAGCTTGGTCGCGGCCTGGGTGCCTGAACTTGGGTCTCGCCCAACCCAGTCAGTCACGGGAAGCCTCCCCCTCCCCTAACCTGCCCACCACCCTGACTGACACGGGCCCCTCCAGTCATTCTAATCCAATCCATGCATCTGCCAGGATTCCTCTCCGACGCCGACACGTTGGTCGGGTGACAGTTGTCCACTGGCTGGTTTGCACGGACCGGTTTCCCTTTTCTGTCCTTCCTGCGTAGGTCGACAGCTGATCCATGAGAGATACCTAGGAGCCTTGATTGTGTCGGGTGAAGTGAACTCTCACTAGCTGCCTATAGTGTCCACCTCGTCTTGATCACGGCGATCCTCATCGACTCCCACACACCACGGCGGATCCACAAATGGCACGCATTGATGACGGCTATTGACCGCTTGGACTTATCTCCGTCTATCCGGAGTGTCTTTTCTAAAGATAGACCACTGGGCGCTTAGAGCCTGCCAATGAGATGAACACCTTCTGTGTCACCCGCATGTGCTTTTCCTGGAGAGCGGTTCGGTGCAGACACAAAGATTCTCTCCCATCATGATTGGCACGCTTGCCTCCCGATCCAGTCCGTTGTCGCCCACCGTGGATGGTCAATGGCTGGGATTGGTCCTGGCCGAAGCGCCGGCCATGCCACCACCAATGATAGTATCTTCAGGCTGCCAAGTTGCAGGAATTCTGGGTGCTTTGTGCGCAATGGTGCAGTAGTTCCTGCAAGTCTGGTGATGGTGTGAGGGCGTTCCCTCCGGATTTCCCTCTTTCCCCTCCCACCAGCGGTTTATTAGTAGAGCCATGCGCTACCGATCGAGATGGTGATCTTCACCTACCCCTTCTCGGTCGGATTCTGCACCCTTTTTCTTTGCGTTTGCTTTTCTGTCGACTTGCGGTGCCTTTGGCTCTGGTAGCTAGGCCATCATTCATTCTATTATATATAACTGGTATTGGCAACCCGTTGATCGGTATCACTACCATCCAGATATTCTTAGCCGCTTCGTCAATTATTTGCTGTTTGATTCGATTTCTCGCATCCAGTCTTGCAACCCATATCATAATTGAAGGAAGAAACAACGTTGGGTATATTCGAGCATCATGACGGACGTGTACCGTCCTGCACCACCCAGATGTCCACCCCTGCGACAGGTGCGGGGGACAAGGCTCGACACAATCGAGGAGGATGCGCGCGAGGCGCAGTATTCAGAAAGCACGGCGCCTGTTGTATCGAGAAATAAACAGACGACACCACAGCCCCCGCAACAGCTTTTGAAACAACCACCTCAGCTGAAGCTCAAGACCAGCGGGCTTCAATTGGTGTCGTCTAGGCTACATCGATTCTTTTCGCCGATATCTGCAGGGTCCCTATCCTCTTGCTCGGATACGGAATGGCAGCGCCAGATGCAGCCGTTCGAAGATTTGTACGATGCTACCGACGAGGATTCAGACATAAGCGACGAGTGTACGTCCTTTGCCAGCACTCGGCCAACGAGCTTGGTGACGCCGACGACACGAACCTCGGTGGTTTCTCCCATCTCACGTAGTCGATATCCGAGTCTCACCATCCCATCGTCCACACTGTGGCCATCACTACATGGTGCCCCAAAGAGCTCTCCGATCCCGCCAACCCCACCGCCAAAGATCCCAGTCTCTCCAACCGCTCTGTCCATGCTAACCCATTCGGTGCCGGCAGTGCATGCTCCACCATCTTTGGATGGCAGTGTGTCCTCCGACCAGGTGTCAAACATCAGTGCTCCCGCCACTCCAGACCTGCAGTCCCTGCCAGATAATGACTGGACAATGCAAGACGTTCAAGTTCGACATGACTTGGAGGATGCACAGGATGACGAGCTCTCGAACATGGAGGCAGATGCGGATGTCCAAAGCATTCAGATCGCCATCGAGAGTGCCAACGATGACTGGCGGCAGGTCCTGGGCAGATTTCCGCGGATCCCTGGCCAATCAACCCCACCGTCTCTTGACCTAGACGCCGAGCCCTTACGGGGAGATACACCATCTGATCGAGGGGTCTCTCTTCCTGCGGATGCCTTGGAGATGCTGCGACACATCTCACTCGATGGCACCCCGGACCCCTGGTCGGAGACTTCGGAGCGGAATGAAGAGATGTGGCAGCTTCATTTGCCCCCAGAACGCCCACGTAGTGCCGATGACGCAACACCAGCGTCGGAACTCTCAGGGTATAGTTTCAGCCAGCTGAGCATACCCTCACCGGGGGGCTTTTTTGCTTCATTGGGCCCAAGATCCCGCCACACTTGGTCTATTCCACATGGCAACATGCCGCCCTCTTCTGCCATTGCTGAGAGCTTTTACAAGCTGCCGTTTGCTCGGGCCGAAGGGCAAATTGTTGAGCAGGTCATTGACTATCCCGACCGGACGACAGAGGAGCAGCTGACAGCGGTATATGACCCCATCGGGCCGCCAACCGCCTTCAGGATCCCGGCCGAAAGCCTGACCCAATGCTCAGAAGAGGTGGATGATCAAGAGTGTTCCGATGATGAGGCTATGGAGGAAGCCCCGATTCCGGCGGGCTGGGATGATCAGTTTGAACGAGACGAAGACTATGAGAGCGAACTGAGACAAAAGGCGATGTCGGGCCTGGATCGGACCAGTGACTGGCTGTCAGCCCAGGCTTCTTACCTCGCAGCTCTTCACGAGACCAATCCAGTGAACATGCTAGATGGAGATGCCCACAGCATCGAAGCTGCAAGCAAGGGCGAGCAACAGCCTCAGCTGGGCCGTAAACGGTCGGTTCCTTATGCCGGGATCATCCCGGAGGCACCGAGCTCTCAACCTTCAGCTCAGGCGAGTAAAGATTCCATCTACTGGCGAGGGTTTCAGGCGGTCCAGCAGCAGTCCAGCAGCCGGGATACGTTTGTGCATCGGAACACACGATTCGATGCCATTCAGTCTACCCGGCTCGGCCTGACTGGCACGCACATCAACCGCTTGCGGGGCAACTACGAAATTTCTCGTCCCGAACGTCCGGCCTACAAAGGTCCGTTCTCATTAGCGCCTCGCAAATCGACAATGGGCTCAGCTTTGGCCGAGAAGGCTCAGTTCTCTATGGTCGAGAAGGAGCAGGCCGTGCTGTCCCAGATCCGTCAACCTATGTGGGCCATGGATGCTCTCCGGTATGTCAATGGGGGTAGCCTAATCGTCAGCCCTGCCTCCAAGCGACTGGCCAGCACATCTATGGTGAGCTCGCGCAAGGCACCCCGTCAGCTACGCATTCTGGATCTCGGTGGACACGCCTCGTGCGAATGGGCCTGGCAACTTGCCCACGAGTACCCTCATGTCAAAGTCTATACGGTCTTTACTGAGCATCAAGCGGTCAACCCTGGCATCAAAGGACCCCCAAATCACCGTCACATGTCTGTGTCGCAGCTGTGGAAATTGCCGTTCCCAGACAACAAGTTTGATGTGATCTCGGCTCGCTCTTTCCCTGTTTTGTTGAAGAAAGATCATCCCGCCGGAGAGACCCAGGATCAGTATGACCTCTGTCTGAAAGAGTGTCGACGCTGTCTCAAGCCTGGCGGCTATCTGGAATTCTTCGTTATGGATGCGGAAATAACGCGGGCTGGCCCGCAAGCATCTGCCACGTCAGCAGAGTTTGCATCCAACCTCAGGGCTTACGGTTACGACCCCACACCCACGAAGGGCTTTCTCAGTCGCTTGCAGCGGAATTTTGCGGATGTCAAAAGGGCTTGGATGTTCTTGCCCATGGGCACCGAGCCGGTCAAGTCTGAACCGCCTAGGGAGACGCCGGATCCTAGAGTGAAGAGCCTGGTTGACGACTATGAAGCAGTCCACGGCCCAGTGGGAAGCACAGCCGATGTCGCCAACGTCACGGGGATGTTCGGGGGTTGGCTCTGGGAGCAATGGCTTGTAAAACTGCAAATGGAGATGGGAATGGACCAACAAGACCTGCTGGCAGGTATTGGAGGTGTGTTCGACGAGGGACGCAAGAACGGTGCAGGCTGGACCTGCTTGTCGGGATGGGCTATGAAGCCCAGACTGAAGAAGAAGCGCCACGGACGGAAGAGCAGCAAGGGCTGAGCCTTTTCATGCTTTCTTTGCGTCGGGGTTTCGTTCTCGGTGGACCAGCATATGATACCCACGTTGCCCTGGTGGCGCGCATAATGTAATAGCAGGCGTCTGTTTTCTTATCGCTCCCTGAATACCCCTTTCTTACGTGAAACGAATGACGATGTTTCTGGAGGTGGACAATTGACACTCACTCAATGCAGAATAACTACAATCTTTCGGTTTGTAGAACACCTGAATAACTTTCCATCCATATGCGTACGAGTAGAGTAGCTGCAGCTGGTGACTACCAGAATAGACCGACTTTCCATACTATACAGAGACCTTACCTCACCTGACACCCCTTGTAGCCTTTATTGTAGCCATTACTAGGAACACACCATGGAAGAGAAAAACACCTCATGGAGAGAAGAGAGAACAGTTCAGAGTTGATGCAATACGAAAATCAATACAACATTTCCTACTTGAGTTCACAAAGTCAGTTATTCCCCGCACAGCTGACTCATTTGGCACGTGACCTCTATCCCCAATGCAATGCTCAACACCAAACGCAGCATCATAGCCGCAGCTCCAAGTTATCGCATTCCTCACCCACTCCCACGCTCAACCCACCCCACAAGCCCGGGACAATCAAGACACACCCAGAACCTTTACCTCCAGGCAATGCGCAACTAGCCCGCCCACCAATTCACCACCCCAGCTCTCGCAACTAGATCCAGAATTAATCCAACCCCACCATCAACACCGCAACCATGCTCTTCTTCAGGTACTCAACACCCCTATCCACCTCCATAACTAAAGCACCAATAGCTAACAAACAACCCCCCAAACCAAAGCTTCTTCAAAACCCTCACCAACCAAACCGTAACCATCGAACTCAAAAACGACATTCGTATCCGCGGCACCCTCAAATCCGTCGACCAGTACCTGAACATCAAGTTGGATGATGTCGACGTCCTCGACCTGGACAAATACCCGCATTTGTCGTCCGTCAAGAACATGTTTATCCGTGGTAGTGTGGTGAGATATGTTATGTTGCCGAGGTCGGAGGTCGATATTGGGCTTTTGGAGGATGCGACGAGGAGAGGTATGCCGTGTCCCTTTTCCCTAACTTTCCAGCGGGGGGTTTGTGGTGAAATTATCAAGTGTTATATATGATGGGGGCTAATAATTGGTATAGAAGCAGCAAACCAAGCCGGAAAAGCCCGGTAATTGGTATATGGACTTGACTTGAGTTTCATTTGCATTGATGGTTTGGGATTGAGATGATGCAGTTACGGTTCTGCGTCATCTTTTCTTTTTCTATTTTATTTTATGTATTTTTTCTTTTCTTCCCGTTTTTAATCTTCACGATGTGATGATGTTTGCTGTTGCAGTTGCCGTTGTCATATGGGGCTCCTTATCTCTTATTTTTATTATTGCGCATTGGTGGTTAGATGAGAGGGATAGGCCAGAGGGATGAGGTCTGGCTGCTGATGACCTGGTCTGGTCTGGATGGAAGATACTACATGCGTACATTTGTATGCTGGTTGGGATGACTTAGGTAGGATATTGGGTGAAGAGTGGAATGTCCTGTCTATTCTCTGATATACGCATACGACGGTGGTCTGTGGGCTACTGGCAGCCTATTACCTAGCTACAAACATGAAAAAAATCTCCAAAGACATCAACTCTCCTCCCTCAAAACTCCCCACTGACCCAGCGTAGTTAACTAAAGTAATACCGCAAGCCAAGAAAGGTCACCTGACTTCGTGTCGCGAAAACCGAGTCCCCGCCGCGTCCGTTCCGTGCCGCCTCTATCTTTCGCCGCTCGCAATTGATTTCTCGTCAATCAATCAATACTCGGCTCTCCGTTCACTTTCTACCCCATCATCCGACATAATATATATATCTCCCACCCTCGATCGAATATGCTCTAGATAATCACCAAGAACCCAATCCTACCCAACCTGAACCGAATCAACCATCCACACCCACACCCACCGCCACCCAAACTCCCCAAAAGAAACGAAACATGCCCACACCATTCCCCGCCAGAAAACCACCCTCCACACCTGCCAAAGCAAAGTCGAAACCGAAGAAAAACACAAGTCTTCTCAGTTTCTTTCAGAAAGCCGATGGGCCGCCGAAAGCCACGTCCCGACAATCGCGGATTACGCAGTTTGCGACGAAGACGGAGGGGGTGAGGAGAGTGGATACCGCTTTTGGGAAGGATGGGTCTGGGGGGTTGTTTTTGGATGATAGGAAGAAGGGGGGGAGTGTGGTGAGTGGGGGGAGGGAGGAGAGGGAGAGGGAGAGGACGCCGGAGGATATTTGGGAGGATGGTGGTGATACAGTGGTTGGTAAGAGTGATAAGGGTGGGGGGGAAGAGGGGCGATTTCAAGAGAATGGGGGGAGTGTGAAGAGGAGGAGGGTTGAGGAGGATAGTATTTCCCCGGTTGAAGATGGGGATAAGGATGAGAAGAGCAGCGAGAGTGGTGGTGGCTCTGGCTCTGGGACGAAACAGGCCAAGACTAAGGCTAAGGCTCGAGTCAGTGGTCCGTTCATTGACGAGTCTGATAGTGAAAGTGAGGATTTGGAGCAGTTCCGGGAGTATGATAACGGGATTGCGCCGATTGAAAAGAAGAAGACTTCTCTGGATGAAGAGACGATAGAGAACAGGTTGGATGAAACGACAGACGAACAACGAATTTCCGTCGACACACCACTGGTAAGAAAAGCCACGAGCCACGCCGATGATGATTATGCGAATTTTGACGATATAGAAGAGGATGCATTCCGAGGGGAAGAAGATTTCTTAGGTGCTTTTGACGACGATGAGGATCTCAAGGATGGCCTGGGACTTGAACTGGATGATAATGGGGAAGAAGGGGACTTTGGCTGCGAAGCGCCGGTGTGTCCGATATGCCAGGCTGTTCTGGCTGGCTTGACAGAGACGGTAAGTTATGTGGCCTGGGTTGATAATGCCGGTGATAATGGTTGTCTAGGACGCCTCGGTACATGTGAACGACTGTCTCGATGGAAAGCCTACGGTATCGTCGAAATCGGAGCCAGAGCCAGAGCCAGAGCCAGAGCCAGAGCCAGAACCAGACCCCGAGGTTTCGAAAGCACTTAGTCGTGCGGACAAGGCTGCTGTCGCGAGACCGGCGCAGCGTGATCCATATGCCACCGGCGTGGCAGGGACAAGATCAGCATTTTCGAAGCTCATGGCGGGTAATGCGGAAGATACAGCATGGACGGCGGCGGCGGCCAACGAGGTCGCATCTCGTGGCAAACAGGCCTACCAACGGACGTGTCCGTTCTACAAGATTATCCCCGGATTCTCCCTCTGCGTGGACGCATTCCGATACGGGGCCGTGGAGGGCTGCAATGCCTACTTCCTCAGTCACTTCCACAGCGACCACTACATCGGGCTCACGGGCTCCTGGCGCCATGGCCCGATCTACTGCAGCCGAGCTACGGCTAATCTCGTGTGTCAGCAACTCAAGGTAGACCGGAAATGGCTCGTGGCACTCGAGTTCGAGGAGAAGACGGATATCCCTGGGACCGGGGGTGCGCAAGTGACCATGATTGAGGCAAATCACTGCCCCGGGAGCGCCTTGTTCCTTTTCGAGAAGCCCATTGGTTCTGGTCCGTCGCAAAAGATAAATCGTGTCCTCCACTGTGGTGACTTCCGCGCCTCGCCCCTTCATGTGCAACATGCTCTCCTTCGTCCCGAGGTTGCTGATCCGACGACCGGTAAGCACCGCCAACAACGGATCGATGCTTGCTACCTCGACACAACGTATCTGAGCCCCAAGTACGCATTCCCCAGCCAGGAAGACGTCATCCAAGCCTGTGCGGACCTCTGCGTAGAGCTCGATGGAGATCCAGATGACAGCAACGGACGGGCGTTTGGGCGACCAGTCAACGGGAAAAGCGGAATGCTGAGCAAGTTTGTCACCACTGTGACGGGATCTCGGTCATCCCAGGTGCCAGTCTCACGCCCTCCCGGGCGGTTACTGGTAGTGATCGGAACGTATAGCATCGGCAAGGAGCGCATATGCCTGGGGATCGCGCGGGCGCTGAAGAGCAAGATCTATGCAACACCAGCCAAGCAGCGAGTATGCGCCTGTCTGGAGGATGCGGAACTGTCATCGCTGCTGACGGACAATCCGCAGGAGGCGCAGGTGCACATGCAGACGCTGTTTGAGATCCGAGCGGAGACGCTGGCGGACTACTTGGACTCGATGAAGCCGCATTTCACGCGGGTGGTGGGATTCCGACCGACGGGATGGACGTACCGACCCCCTGCTGGACGCATCCTCGACAACCCACCGGTGTCGGTGGTACTCAACTCGGCGCATTGGAGGACACCCTTCTCAAGCCGGGAGCTGGTGCCGCAGCGCGGCAGCACGCGGGAGAGCGCGTGTTACGGGGTGCCGTACAGCGAGCACAGCTCGTTCCGCGAGCTGACGATGTTCTGCTGCGCACTGCGGATCGGACGGGTAATTCCGACCGTGAATGTAGGCAGTCGGAAGAGTCGGGAGCGCATGAAGGCATGGATCGATCGATGGGAGGCGGAGAAGAGGAAGAGCGGGTTGTACCCAGTGGAGGGGACTCGGTGGTAATTCGGAGGGCAGTGTAGAGTACACAGTAAATAGAATTTGCCCCTGGTTGGGTGTGTTATCCACCAGGGGCAATGCAATCATGTCCATAGAGATGTTCTCCATCGCTCTCCATTTGCGTTGCCTCTCGAGGTCACGGGACCACTGCTGGAGATGAATGACCTTTGGCGATGCGTTGACTGGCCCAGGTCAGCCAGCATCCATGGGACCTGAAAGTGTATGCGAGGCCGATCCCCGGGGCCGATAGCCAAATCCCCATGGGCCACGACAACCGAGCATAAGCGGGGGGAGAAGACTGGCCGGGCTTGCAAATCGGCTGGGTTGGTGGGCGAGGCTCAGCTGCCACTCCCGACTTTCAGTCCCGTCGGTGCCTTTGCCTCGGGGATCGCAAAGGGTGCCTCCCATAAATAAGGCCTCCAGCGCGGGGGATCTGGGGGGAATAGCTCGACAGCAAACCCAATTCTTTTACGGACATCTTTGACAGATGAAACCGTGACTGGTGCAAACTTGGTCTAATCCCTCGATTCTTTTTTTCTTCTTCCTTTGTGTTGTGATAATACTTGATCGTGATCTGATCCTGGAGGTAAGTGGTGTGTGCCTTGGCGCCTGTCGGCAAGCATTGCTTTTGGCCGTTGCCGGAGCTAACTTGACTTGTTTGTGTCCGGCTCAGATTGCAAGCGGCCAGCTGACAGACTACTGCTTACTTAGTACTTACTTTTGGCCTCGACCACTACTGGCTCGCCATGCTTGAGCTGCTCCTCTCGCCCTACGGGGCCTGTTTGGGTCTGGCCCTGCTGGCCCTGTACTATCTCGTCCCCTACCTGAATCGCTCCCATCTGCGCGACATCCCCGCCCCCGGTCTGGCCGCCTTCTCCAACCTGTGGCTGCTGCTGCAAACTCGTCGCGGCCACCGTTTCGTTACTGTCGACAATGCCCACAAGAAATATGGCAAGCTGGTCCGCCTTGCCCCCCGGCATACTTCCATTGCAGACGACGCCGCCATCAACGCCGTCTACGGCCACGGAAACGGTTTCTTGAAGTCGTACGTGTCCTTGTTCCAGCAATTGCACATCCCCTCCCATAGCTAACCCCGCACAGTGACTTCTACGATGCCTTCGTCTCCATCCACCGCGGTCTGTTCAACACCCGGGACCGTGCCGAGCACACCCGCAAGCGCAAGACCGTCTCCCATACCTTCAGCATGAAGTCCATCGGCCAGTTCGAGCAGTACATCCACGGCAACGTCGAGCTGTTCGTCAAGCAATGGAACCGCTTGGCTGATACCCAGCGCAACCCCAAGACCGGCTACGCCAGCCTGGATGCCCTCAACTGGTTCAACTACCTAGCCTTTGACATCATCGGTGACCTGGCCTTCGGTGCTCCCTTCGGCATGCTCGAAAAGGGCAAGGATATCGCCGAGATGCGCAAAACCCCTGATGCACCCCCGTCCTACGTCCAAGCAGTCGAGGTCCTCAATCGCCGCGGCGAGGTCTCTGCCACCCTGGGCTGCTACCCGGCTCTCAAGCCCTACGCCAAGTACCTGCCCGACCGCTTCTTCAGGGACGGTATCCAGGCCGTCGAAGACCTGGCCGGCATTGCCGTCGCACGCGTCAACGAGCGTCTCCGCCCCGAAGTCATGGCCAACAACACCCGTGTCGATCTCCTCGCCCGCCTGATGGAAGGCAAGGACCAGAACGGCGAGAAGCTAGGCCGCGCCGAGCTCACAGCCGAAGCATTGACCCAACTGATCGCCGGTTCCGACACCACCTCCAACACCTCCTGTGCCATCCTCTACTGGTGCATGCGCACTCCCGGCGTGATCGAGAAACTCCACAAAGTCCTCGACGAGGCCATCCCTCAAGACGTCGAAGTCCCCACCCACGCCATGGTCAAGGAAATCCCCTAGTACGTCCCCCCTCCCCCTCCCCCTCCCCCATCAACCAAACAAAACTAACCCCTCCCAGCCTCCAATACATCATCTGGGAAACCATGCGCATCCACAGCACCTCCGCCATGGGTCTCCCTCGCGAAATCCCAGCGGGTAACCCCCCCGTCGAAATCTCCGGCCACACTTTCTACCCAGGCGACGTTGTCTCCGTACCCAGCTACACGATCCACCGCTCCCCGGAGATCTGGGGTCCCGACGCGGACCAATTCGTTCCCGAACGATGGGATCCATCCCGTCTGACTGCGCGCCAAAAAGCCGCCTTCATTCCCTTCAGCACCGGACCCCGCGCTTGCGTCGGCCGCAACGTCGCGGAAATGGAACTCCTAGTCATTTGCGCCACTGTGTTCCGTCTCTTCGACTTTGAAATGCAGCAGGAGGGACCGATGGAGACTCGCGAGGGATTCCTCCGGAAACCGCTCGGTTTGGATGTGGGGATGAAGAGGAGACAGCCTGGGTCGGCTTAGGATACTATTCTAAGAGAGGGAGGGAGAAAGAAGAGGATGGAAAAGGAAAATGAAGGGGAAGAATGTCTATAGTTTCCTTTCTCTGTATATGTATGAGCATAAGCGAATGTTGAAGAGTACCTAGGTTGGTAGCTAGCTAGCTAGCAAGCAAGCAATGATATGATGAGATGATCACACACACCACATTCGCATTGAGTCGTGCCTCAGACTGTACCTATCTATTGACAGAATTTCCCAACTAGACCAAAGGAGATACCTCCTAGGTTAGTGGAACAATTCCAAGGTGAATAGTTCCAACATCTATTGCACATGAAACTTTACTATCTCAGGGGTAGTGGATTGAGTCGAATGCCAAATACAAGAATTCTAAACTATTTTGTATGACAGGCTAGACGGTCGCCAATACAGTGTCTTCAAAGATGACATCGGGTTATAGGAAACCAAGGAGAATTACATAGCATAGGAGATTCTTATTATAATTATACTATAGCTTAGCAGAGTCGTGATCATAGCTGCGTAGCATTACACTGGAGAACCACCAATCACCCCAACACATAAATACAAGCCCAAACACAAACGCCCCCTACCAAGTCTTCGGACCAAAGGTCTCTCCGTCCGCGACGAACTTCTGCACCGCAGTGCCTTGCATATCCATCGTTGCGCCCGTGATGCTGGTACCCCACCAGGTCGGGAAGCTGGTGCTGGTCAGATCCAGCGTCAAGAAAATCAGGATCGTGCACAGATCCAAGCCGACGTCCAAGCCTGCAGACAGGACGTAGTTGTAGTGCATCCACCAGCCACGCCAGCGGTCGCGGATCCACTTGTTGAAAACAATGCCCACCATACCCCAGGCCAGGTAGTTCAGGGGGGTGGCCGGGGGAATCAGACCCGCACCGCCGAAGATCAAGGGGGCGTTGATGTAGCGGATCGGGCTCTTAGGCCACATGCGAGCACCGAGGTAGATGGCAATTGGCAGAAGGGCGCCGACCAGCCAAAACCACATGAGAGGCGAGTACAGCTGACCCGGGGAGAAGATGCGCTGGGGGCCGATGAGACCCCAGATGACGGAGGCTTGGTAGAACACACGGCCGTTGGGGCAGGTGTAGTTGTTGGCCTGGTGTTCGCTGCACACGTCCTTGATCGTGGCCAGACCCCAGTTCATGACGGCAATTTGCACGAGCGAGGACCACAAAGCCGCAACCATCTGAGCCGAGAAGGTAACTCGGGGAGGCAGTTTCATGTAATGAGCTGTGACAGGTCAGTATCCGTTCGTTGCAAAGGGGGGGATCAAGCCGACATACCTAGCTTCATATCCTGGTTGAAGTAGAGACCTTGGTACATACTCATGTAGCCGTAAGTCTTGAACAACATCATCGCCATGGGCTTTCCAGGCTGGATGTAACCGACAATGAACTCGGTCAACACGTTCAGACCGATGGCAATGTTGGTGGCAGCCTGCACGATACCAATGGGCACGTACCACACCACGGCCATGATCAGCGAAACGAAGAAGGCCCACCAGCTCAGATGCGTCGGGTATCCCAGAACCATACCCAAGCCGATTCCGATCATGATCAGAGTGACCGCACCATACCACCAGAGTGGCACCGGCTTGTACCTGGCCATCAGGCGGGAGTGGACATCCTCCTCCTCCTTGCCGAAGTTGCGGAAACGCACCCACAGTTCCTTACCGTGGAACAGACCCGTGTGAACCAGAATAGCGATGATGCTCGCAAACGACAGACCATAGCAGAGAGCGAAGGTCGTCGACAGGAAGAGCGGCGAGTACTCCTGGTACGCCTTGAGGTTGAGCGTGTAATCCGCGTTCATGATCCGGGAAACATTGTACTGCGCACCAGTGTTGTCGTAACTGTTGGAATCGCTGATGGGCAAGTACTTGAACCACCATATGCCGCTGTAGTGCATGCCAATGGTGACGACCCAGAAGAAAATAAACATACCGATAAGGGTGTTGGCGATGGCGTGCCACGGCGCAATCAGCGGGCTGAAGTTGAAACCCGAGATCTGGGTCCAGTCAAAGGTCATCGGGATCAGCGACAGGCCGGTGGCACCGCCGAAGAGCTGGTTGACGACGGCATTCTGGGGTTTGATCCAGGTCACCCAGGCGAAGATACTGAGAAATGGGGCGATGAAGCCCGGAATCCAGTACCAGCAGAAGGACCCAATCATGACATAGAGGAAGAACCGGTACTTGCCAATTTTCCATCCGGAGACCTTGCTTGGATCGGGCTTGCTGTGGTCGTGCAGTGCCGTGAAGAGAGTGCAGTTAATGAGGTTGGACGGCCAGATCATGGCAGCCGGGGTGACCAAGAAGCGGTGGAAGAACCCAGCCATACCGAATCCGAGCATCTGGGTCGAGATACACATGAAGATCTCAAATGCCCACCCGTAGCGCTCTTTGTAAAAGGCCCGCTGGGCCAACAAGACGTCTGTCGCGTAGGCCGCACCACCACCAAAGGTGGCATTGGCCATGACGACGATGAGACAGTGCTCTTTTTTGCTGAAGGGGCCGGGGTTCAGGTTGCACTGGATACCAAAGAAACTGAATTGTGTGGCGGGCATCCATCTGGCCCACGCCACACCCACGGGGTAGGCGACGACCTGGGCGACGTAGGAGGGAATGACAATGTAGGGATCACGCATGGAGAACAGCATGTTGAGCGCCGAACCGATAGTTGCAAAGAGCATTCCGATTGTCCAGGCACGAATCGTGTTGGTATGGCCTCCTTCATCGAAGTTGGCCACCGCAGCGCGCACCTCGGGGTAGGGCGAGTTTTCGAGGAGCTCCGCCGTCATGCCCACGCGGGCACCCTTGTCGTCCGTGGTGAGGGCTTCATCGATCTCATCGGCAATCTCATCCGGCAAGTTAGGGTCCCAATGATGCTGCTCTTTCAGGTGCTTAAGATGAACGGCAGCCACCTCGGGGGAGGCTTCATCCGCCACTGCGGAGCTATAAGCCTGCTCCTTCTCACTCATCGTGGCAATCGATGAGAGAAAGCACGAAGAAAGGCGGAGGAAGGATTAATGAAGGTAAGGATGCATGCACGGAGAAAAAAGAGACGGGACCCAGAAAGGGGGAGGAGCAGAGCAACATATAACCCCCCCGATTCACCCTCGTCTGGATATAGTGAGTGACGAGACAACGAGGGCCGACGGTAACCCGACGCCTTATCGGTCTAGAAAATAAATTAAACCGACTGGTGGCGTCCACTGATTGCGGGAGAGTTTATCTCTCGAGCTATCAGTTACCCCAGTCTGTTCGCCATGTTCCGATGTAACCTGAATGAGTCTTAGCTCCGCTAGCTGAACCGGAATTGAGCCAGTCGTGAGTTAGCTGCGAGATCCAACCAGTGGCGGATTTGGGGATGGAACCGCCATTGTCAGCCCATGCACGACATGCACGGTCCTCGGAATTGCTTCCACGCCCGTCTCCCTTGCAATCTGGCTGCCTGGACCATTCTGGACGAGAATGATCTTACGCGCAGACCGACAAGTTGCGCCGAAACGCTTGAAGCGCCTCGGTGAAGGCACTAGCCCCCAGAACCTAAAATTGGGGTTAAGGAACTCTTATCCACCGTCCGGTTTGGCCCGCCAGCTGAAGGGCTGGCAGTCTGGCGACACCGGGCGAACCCGTATTCCAGTCGCCTCCAGTGGGGATGTGGTCATTTGAACGTTATCATTGATGGAAATTGGCACACGATCAGAGACACGTGCATCGGCCGGGCCCTCCGAAACTAGACACAAAGTTACCAGTCGAGTGACCGTAGGGCGCCAGTCGATGGTTTTAGCCGGAGTATGTCTTAGATGGGAGCGACAGGATCGAGGGTGGGTGGTGGCAAGATGAGAACCGAGCCACGCGAGTGGTTGCGCTGGACGCAAAGGAATAATCCGCGCCAGGGACTAAGACTAAGACTGCTAAGAGATAAAGAAAAAATTACCAACGAATATCGGCGGAAAGAGCCACGCTGATACGGCCGTGGGAGGAGTGCAGGAGTGCAGGCACAATCAATCCCCGGTCTTGGTCCGGTGGACTAGCCCAAATTGCGACAGGCTTGTTTGCGATAAGCTAGCGAGGCCCCGGCGGACTTCCATGGCGAATTGGCGGCCGCGAAGGGCGTCGCAGCTCCCGTCGCCACGCCTGGTGCTGAAGCCAATCGCCGCTCGTTTCAACCTTGGCGGCTCGCCTACCGAGGCTTCTAGACAATCCTCTCCTCGCGTGGCATCCTTCGTCTTTCTTCTTCCCGTGCAGAGTTATGGACGATCGACTCGGCTACCCAATAAGTTGGAGGGGAGGCGGTCCAAGAAGGGGGGGACCGAGAGCAAGCGCGAGTGATGTGATGTTTTGGTTTGGTTATCGCCCGCCAGTCCATGACCAATCCCCCGCTGCGATTGGCCGATGAGCTGGGCAACAGCCTCCGGGCGGGCGGAGACCGATAAGCCATCGAGCAAGACAGCAATTGTAACCAGAGTAAGTGTAGGTACTAGTGAGACACCGCACCCATGGCGTGCCATCTCCAGGTTGGCCCGCGCTATCAACGTAAATTAACTCCTGCCTCCTTTCGCCTAGCTCGGTGGTTGGGGAGATGCCCTATGCATCCTGTATCTGCCACTAAATAGCACGCGGGATGCGCCGTCCAAAGTTAGCCTTCCTGGCTGCATGGAACTCGGAACGCCTTCATTTTGCCATCGGGAGGGGAAGAACCTCATTCTCGAACGCCCCCCTGACTAGACTTAGACAGGATCATCACCCTTGCTGATGCAATGTAACCCACGTCGTGGGTCACAGGGATCATTGGCCAGTGAATAAGTACTCCGGAGGCTGATGGAAGCTGAAAGTTGGAAGGGAGGGATGGAGTGGAAGGGAAGTTGAAGGGAAAAGGGAGGGGAAGCCTCCGTCAAGTCAAATCACTTGACCCGCTTAGTGCCAACGGGCGTCGGCCTGACTCTCCTACACAGTATAGCATACTCCCACCCCAGATGCCCAGATGCCTGTGCATTCCCAACTCCATACGCCTGTTCCTTTGTTTCTCTCTAAGCGACCCTGCTACCTGTTTCGGGAGACGTGGCCATCGAAGGCCCCCTCTGATGGGTCGATGGGATTTCTGACTGCTTGGCAGGTGGCAGGAAGATGACCACACCAGCCCACCATGCAAGGAGGATGCAGCCATCTCGGAAGTTACCAAATGAGTCAGGGCCAGCACCGGCATGATAACGCATCATGGTTGATGATGGTTCGCGATGAACCACCCAGCTGGTGGATTGGTCTACATTGCAATCTGACCATGCTTTGGGAGCACCGATCTGGGGTGGGTACCAACTTAGATAGATAGATAGATAGGTATCAGGATGCGCCTACAACTTAGCCCGAGAGCATATATTAACTGTCATTAAGGGGCATGGTCTCGAATTTGTGACTAGGAGCGCGCATATACGGAGTAGAAACTAGACATGGCCCGGCCTAACGGTCAACACGATATGCCCGATTGCTTTAGTTCCTTGAGCTACACAGTACCGGGGCTCCGTTCTGAGGTCCGGCTGGTGCGAACCTTATGCGGCTGGACTCCGTTTGCTGTCCTATCTTCCGGTGTGGCTCGTCCTGAGCACCCCATCCTCTTGCATCCCCCTACGTCTCGGTGTTTTCCCTTGGCGTTTGTAATTTAGTTTGAATATGGGAATCATGCGACGGGATTGCTGGTCATTCCATGAACTCATCGAATGGTAATCTCTCCGGATTAACCCAACTCGTGTGTCAGAGCTCCTCATGTCATTCAAGATCCCAGCCTCGGTGAGTGATTCGGGTACCTTTGGAACTGTTCAAAGGCTTTCGGCTTCCATGATAACCGCTGACACTGTCGCGCCTCGGCGGTTCATAGCGATCCATACGGTTCGGTGGCAGCGTAGAGCGCCTCGTCCGTCAATGCCCATTCAAAGTCCGCCTGGAATTGTTCATCAAAATACGAGAAATCGGGTCGATCCACGGAGCCTCCAGGCGCATTTCCTGAAGCCCCCTGGTTTTCTCGATTGCCTTCGGCTCCTGTCAAGAGAACGTGCGTTAGTGACTATACCTGTCCGGAGATCATACAGACTTACCTTCCGGGGCATTGCCCTGCGATGTGGCCATGCTATAGAACTGAGGATCGAACTCATCCCGCCACCACCAGACCGTATCTATGACGGGGCTGAGAACCAACCGGCTGCGAATACGGAGGGCGACGTACTCGCTCCCATCTGACCTGCGAAATGCTTTGGTGCTGTTCCACAGTTGGCTCAACACAATGACTGTCTTGGCGGCGATATCATAGTTGTCAACCGACATCTGCTTGGCCAGGTTGATTGCGTTGAAGTACGACGACTTTGCTTTGTCGACATCCATGGTAGCCCACTGAGGACCTTTCAGAATCCGCACCAGGGCTGATGCTGCTAGGAGCAGCGCGTAATTCATTTGGATAGGTGAGGTGGCGAGGCTGACCATGTTTTGACCCAGGTTTTGTATGGTGTCAATTGTGTTACATGCAGTGGTCGTAAGCTGAGCAAGGCAACCTGACGAGAACGAACTGGGATATCGGAAAAGGTGGAATATCTGAATGCTGAGGCGACACATGGTTGTGGTGAACTGATCGTACGCTGTAGCCGTATTAGCTGAGATCTACCTTTGAGAAGGGTAGGTACCTGAGTAGGCCTGGGCTTCCAGGTCAAGCGCCTGGGCGTCATATGCTCGTAAGAGAATATCGAATGATTTTTCTTGTTCCAGGGACATGGTCCGGACCCCGAATTCGAGCACCGCCGCGCTGCAGCGGGTAATCAGGTCCTCGCATTTCAGCTCGAGTGCCAGGGACGGAGCGATTCTCTGGAACAACATATGCTTCAAGTCCCCATCTGGCTCTAAGTTTGTCAGAGAGCGCGGGGGCTGTCCCTTTGTTACACATGCACTAGATCTGTTTAGCAAGAGAGTCAATACCAGAAGAAGAGCTTACCGCTGATAGACAATAACACAATGGGCCCAAAGCTCCGAGCGCCTAATCATTTCCGCTTCTGAGGGTGCCGGAAGTCTCTTTCTCTTTGAAAATTCATGACTGGACATGGGAATGTGTAGACCGTTCTGCATTGCAATATGTAGAAGCATACCGCTCAATGGAAACGTCATGTCCACCATGTTAACATCCTTGGGGAATGGCCATGTGAGAACCAGCAGCAGTCCCTGGATGCTGTGCCACGCAGAAGCCCCTGACGCGACTGAAAGAAAGGCCATCTCGTTCACATTACGCGCAAGCGCAGTCAACAGTGTTGGGTTGTTAGGATAGGTTCTGGATGCAATACCGACTATAGACCAGAACAGGAATGGAGACTGTGTATAAAACGCGTTTGGCGTAGTCTCTGGGTCTAGAATCGGAAGGAACGACGCATATTGATGAAAGAATCTGCCTTGTGTCAGACGTTAGATCGCCCTTGTACGAGTATACGCACATCTGGAATAGATCATGAATTTCGCCTCCTGTCAAGTGAATATTGTTTAGTGAACGCGGCTCTGTAGAATCAGAAGCGCGTATACCCTGCAAGGTTTCGGGCCCTGGCAATGGCGGTGGTCCTAGTCCGATAGAAGGTAGTAACTGTTGCTGGTGCTCAACTGAAGGTGTATGCGATTCAGTATGCAATGTCAGATCGCCCGCGCTGGCTGCTGAGTTTGACTCCATTTCCGCTGCAGCCGTCAACATAGCAATAGGCGAGGGTCGGGGGTCGTTGGGTTGTGTGTATCTTAATCGTCGTCGCAACTCGTCTGCCTCGTGTTCTAACTCGGAAAGTCGCCTGTTATGAAATGGACGGTAGTGAGCACACGTTTTCACGGTAAAGTTGAATGGTACGTACTTGCGTTTGTGTTCCCGGCGAAAGGGATCAGAGATAATACAATGGATGTTAAGCTTGGAACACCGGGAGCATGGTTGATCAGGATTTAAGTAAGCGTCACATTTTGCCTGTGGTGCTGTTAGGGAATGGTTATTCATCGCTGACTCGTTTCTCCTGCTGCGCCCACAGTAGAGAACTCAGAGTTATAACCTTTCCTACCTTCTGCTGCCTACATTCCGTGCAAGCCTTTTTTCCTCTTTTCACCGATGGCGAGGGGCTATTGCAGTTAGCTGTGCTCAGGAATGGTTCTTGGGTGAGACCAGTGGTCAAGTATCAAGTTCTGGGTCCTTACGTCCGTTCTGGGGGGTCCATCACAAGAGAGGTTGCCTGAGCGCGGTCCTGCCCTCTACAACTGGGTGGTTGATGTTGTTGCTGTTGCGATGACGATGGAAGTTGAAGACGCCTGCGGCCAAGATTCGGCTCTGGGGCAGCGTGCGGAGATAGCGCCATCCTAATCTCCGGTGAATTGAACAGAGTGAAGTCTAGAGCCTTGGAACGTAACAACGGGCAACGCAACAGTCAATGTTGGTAGGAAGCCAAGGGGTGGGGCGGTCAGTTACTAAGTCTTTGTATGATGATGAGAAGCGAATATATAAGGATGTAGCCAGGTCGCTTATAATCATAGTGATGCTGGAACAATGGGTAGTAGACTAAGTCAGCATCCGACACAGTACTCAGTTGAGATAACAGGGAGGAAGTGACTGAGCCCAGTATGGATGATTCTATCAAGGATAAGTTGAGCCCACCAACTGAACCGATTCCTTTCGCCGATGGACCCTCGGATTCATCCACTGGAACAAACCAGAAGGCCAGCCGGAACCGGCATGGCATTCCGGAACAAGAGATGATATGATTGGCTGCAATCCCGGGACCGGCTTCTCACCTTTCGCTGTTGCTACTACGGAGTAGTATTCTTTGACTTCTTTGACCACCTGCAACTGAAAAATTGGGTCTACAAGCGTGTATCTTATTAAACAACTTATGTCTAGGAGATGGTTTTATTTTTGCTCCGGGTTGCCATCAAAAGTCAGATATAGTCCATGACGTACAATATATATCGATGCATGATGACAGTGATCCTTACGCTGAAGTCGCATCCATGTCCAGCTGTTGGGATAGTTATTGAGCCGAATCCACAGTGTTTCAAGACTCTTCTTTTTTCTTTCCAACAAAAGGATTCATTCAAGTGGCGTGACTTTGGGAATAGCACACCTACAAGGAATATAGCATAGCCGGTAGGAAATTTTTCCCTTAACAAGGAAAGGATACCCGGCTTGTCATAGGTCTTGGGACAATCATTGGCACAATATACGGAAGCTCATTAAAAGAAAATGGGTCTATTCGCTAGCGTCATATGATATTATGAATGAGAGGATCTAATGGCCACATGTCGGGAGGCACCATCAATTGTAACACAAATCCGGGTCCCCATGGGTGATGTTGGACGTGTTGATCCGATTAAAGGAACGCGGGATACTACCTGGTGCGAAAATGATGTACATACTACGGGGGTTGTAGGTCTGGACTTGATGGAGACGAATAGAACCTTTCAACGACGCCCTGCAGGTTGCCGGCCAAGGATTCGGAACTGTGGACAATATGGAATCTATATCAGACCATACTCTTGGCGAACGAGAAGGTTACGGTGCCACAGACGCACTAGGACGCTGCTGCATTGAGTGACGTGACACTGATGCTTCCGTGTCCTTGGGAACCGTTGGAGGTCAATAACTGTCTCAGCGGAGATCTTCTCAGGAAGAGTTTCCAGTTTCGTGATCGTGCATGCACAGTAGCAACCCAGGCCGGCTGTGGTAACGGTAAACAGTGTGAATGTTGATATGAAACCTACGGTCAGAGATTGGATTTACTGTTGAACTGTTGTTGCCTATCATTACACCAACTAGCGCGTGTCGATCATTCGACGAGATTTGCCCCAGGGTATGCAAAGCGTGCCTGCGATCGCCGCTGCAAGAAGCCATATTAGATGAGAAATGAGATGAGCGAGGAACTGGTCAACTCCAAGCATCCGACCGAATCCTCAATTGACTCGTGGGTGTTGTACAGTCGCCAATCGAATATGGGCGAGCCGTCCACTGGTAGAAGGGGGTGAAGATAGCAGGACAGTGATTGACTTTCCCTATGTTTATCGAGAGACTATCCCGTATTAGTCACACTGATATCATGAATGCTATAGTTGGGAAGCCTATCATGTGGCGAAGGGTGAGGCGCATATTCATTCACAGTGACATCACTGCAGCCACACCCCGGAGACCCAGCATATAAACACGTCGCAACCAAGGATGCTACAGCTAATTCAATACCTTGAAAATTACACAAAGTCATTATGTCTTCCGAGCTTCCAGATATTGTCGGATTGAAGCGCGCCGTGGAAAGGGGCCAGCGCGTTGGCCCCGAGGATGTCTCTGCTTTAGCACAGACTGAGAGCGAATTGACCGGTGCCGGCCCCATCAGAGGCGGAACAGCGGGTTGTCCTTACCTTCGAGGCAATCGCTGCATTATGCTGACACAAGAACAGCAACTGCTCAAAGTCTAGCCATGAAACAGATGAACTTTGACGAAATACTGGACGAACTCTCTCGAAAGCCCCAAAGCCACATAACCCAGGATGATGCTCGAGAGCTTTATGCAGCGGAGGTAAGCTGATATCTTGCTATATAGCTCTACGTCCATGTCTCATTGAGGGTTTTGTAGGGCCGAGCTTTCAACAAACCTCCGGGCCCGGGGTCCATTGCAGCCCAGGTCCGTTCTATAGCCGATCGAAACGAGGCCCTTGGGGTGCCTGCTGTGCCAGGAGAAGCTCCGGTGTATATTACCAAGGAGGATGCGAGTGAGGCGCAGCATGCTGAGTCGACGATATATGGCGGGCAGAATCCACGGGGTGGAATTGCGGCGCAGATGCAGGTGAGGCGGGTTGATGGGTTTGAGGCCCTTCGTACCCAGCTGACACGCACTATAGAGCGCTGCCGATAAGATCAATAATGCGCACCGAGAATAATCTCAACTCCTGGAGCTTCAGTCCGGTAACTAGGCTTTAGGAGTGATATCTTTCATCTAAATGTTATAATGGAAAATTGCCCAAAGGTCACTAGATCATGCGAGACACTTCTGGTCTTCTATATCTGTTTTATATTTATTCCCTTTCTCCGTGTATACGACCCGGTTCTTGAATGGGCATTGATTACGCTTTTGTTGTGTGGCAGAGAGGGAAATTTGTGGTAGAAGGTATTTAAACCCATACGGATGATAAAAGAGCAATTGTACCCTTAAAATTTGTTACATTTGCAATTGGGATATACACCTCGCTATCTCATGTGATTATTTTTGACAGCTTCAACAGCAACCATGATAAACCATTACTCAAAATGTAAGCTCTGGAAACCATAATGGCTGGCAAACACGCGTTTGAATCTACTTGCAGTGTTCACAGGTCAGGTGATTGAAGCACGCCTTTTGTTTCCTTTCCCCTCTTCCGTACAGTACCATGCAATCCAGTATCTTCGATCCATCCACTCGAGCATCTGTGCTACCGTCGTTTAGTCCCTTTAGGATACCTCTTCCTTGACAATCTGATACGGCTCGGATTCTCTCCTCTACGCGTTATACTGATAGCGCTAGATCTTGCCTGCATGTGCGTGCAATATCGCTTGTAAGGCACTTGAGAAGATCCAGCATTCTGCCATCATCCTTTGCTGTCTTTCCTTTGCTGGATATCTTTCTACTGGTTATTTCCCTTCGCATCCCCCATCCAGACCTGGCGTCATAACCATACTGGTTTCTTCCTTTGTATTCCAGAGAGGGTGGTTAGCGACGATCCTGTGCATCTTAGGTGGGTTGAAGCTTTGTGATTACAGCTAGCTTCATTACTACTGCTCCCGGCCCAGGACCTTTCTAACTTGCTTTCTTGTCTGAACAGGTATTTATCGATTTTTAAGACTCACTTCCATAATCTCCCGAACACCCCGCGGAAAATGAGCTATAACGATCGAACAGATCGGCGCAGACTTCAGTTGAGTGAATTATCTGGTTCATGGTCCTCGATATTCTCCTAGCTACCTCCCATATTGAAGCACAATTTCCAGCTGAAGCCTCAGACCTGCCCGGTTAGCTCAATTGGTCAGAGCGTCAGACTTTTATCCTAAAGTCCATCTGAATGTTGCGAGTTCGAGTCTCGCATCGGGCGATCTCTTTTTTTCTTGCACTACCTCACTAATGACAAAGGCACTTTTCCTTACTAATGGAATGACTTACTGTAATCGACATTACACATAATGGTCAAAATGACCGTCGATGTTTCCTGCGACCTCCTGAGCAATAATGTTTGCTGCTGCTGGGCGAGAATTGCGGTGGCGTTTGGTGGCCTATGTCCCCCCACCCACCATTCATTTGTAAAGCGCAAACTTGATTATCGGTCGGTAAACTAAATATGGATAGCTGTGCATATGCAAAGTGATACACTGCAGCTGCGAATCTCTGAGATGCCAATCGGCTTTTGGTTCTAGAACTGAAGCGGTGCTATATGGAAATGTGGGTCGCAGCTGTCATTATGGAGGGATGTATCAACAGGCATGCTCACTGCCAGCCCGGTGGTTCGGGTCATCTTCGGGGAGTACTGCAGCCGCGAGGCTCATGCAGCAAAACTACGGGTAAACGCGATATGCCTGCCTGCAGTTCAGGATTAGACCGAATAATCCTATGGCCTCGTTTGGGTGCGAGACCAATGAAGTCGGCGATAATATGTATATCCTGTATCCAGGCCGCTCCATGGCTCAACCGTGGAGAGGATATAAACAGACAAATGATTGGCTGATGGATAGAAATGACGGTGCGTCAATGAAGATTCCAAGTGGCTCTCCAGGTACGGAGCAGGGATCCTGGACATGATCTGATATTGACCCGCTATCAGACAAGAACTGGATCGGTCAGCATCTCTTGCTTTTTTCGGCATCTGCTACATGACTCGACGCTGAGAAAGTACGGAGTTTCTCTAGACGATTGGTAGTCTTCGATCCGGTCGACCGGCATTTGACGAGCTGAGATAACCGCCAATTCCCTGCTGGTCCGCGTGGCGCATGGATGTCGGTCAGCGATCGACAGCACCCCACCAGGACCTGCAATCTCATTATCTGAGACGGTGAGACCAGGTAGACCGTGACAAATAATTGTCCGGAAAGACCGTGATGGTATTTGGAATAACCGTAGCCGGCGGGACTCAAGACAACTTGAATCGAATCCTGAGGGATGATTGGCGAGTGGGGCGACTCCGCATTCACGAAACCGGTTGCTGAGCTGCTGGACAACCGACAAACACGCTGGAAATAGAGTCCGACAACTGACAAGATAGGGCGTGAGACAGCTGGAGTGAAGCCAACGAGTGGGCCTGAGGCCGGATGACGGCGAGGACAATCAGAGTTCGTCCCGTGACGCAAAGCCCCTCCTTCCATGACAAATTCCCCGTCGGGTCGCGACCATCCAGCCATCCAGCCATTCATCCAGCCATGTCGTCAACGAAAACGGCAGTTCCCTGGATGAATTGAAGGAAACATGTGAGCCTTAAATACTCGCCCACTCCCTTCTCAAGGTCCTCATTCCGTGAGCACCTTGGTCGCTATCGAATCATTTTCCCCAATCAACACACGCCATCCAATAACGCCGAAATGCCTTTGACCGGTCACTGCCTGTGCAAGGCTGTCACCTACTCTGCTGACGTCGACCAGCCTGCTCTGGTTGCGTACGATCATTGTGATGACTGCCAGCGTCAGAGCGGGTCAACCTACTGTAGGTGCTCTACATAGTACTTATTAGCTGGATATAATTAACTCCAACAGCCCTGGTTGCTGTGGTCCCCAAGGCAACATTGACCATCAACGGACCTGTCAAGACTTGGTCCGGCAAGGGATCTTCCGGTAATGCGGTGCACCGTCTTTTCTGTTCGGAATGTGGGTCGCCTATCGCCCATGACCCGGATGCTGCCCCGGAGATCATTGCTCTGAAGGCGGGGACTTTGGACACGGAGATTAAGAAAACCCTGAAGCCTGTATGTTGATGCCCTGTCATGTCGTCGCCTACTGATCTTTCTAGGACACCGAGATCTGGACTGTCAGCAAGCTTCCATTCTGCCAGGAGCACCTGGCCAAGCCTTTCGAGCATATGCCTCAGTGAGCTGCTTATGGAGTATGGAGATATGATGACGATGATATCAGATGTAGTTAATACGAACAAATTGGATAATTGATCTTTCATCTTGGATATATTTCATTTGACCGAGAATTAGATGTGCCACGAAAGGGAGGTCGTACGTGGGCAAATTGCGATACGCGAGAAATAACTCCGCGAGTGGCAACTGAGCACTGACTACAATCACAGCTGTCATTCTGGATCGGGACATTATGCCAAACCTATCTTAAGCTGCTGTCTTGGACCTGAGACGATAAGGATTCACTCGCTTACAGAAAATCTCAGCAATGTCTTCCGGGACACTTTACGTCAAAGACTCACGCACCGATGTGCAATATGAGATACCGATTCGGAGGAATGCAGTTTCAGCACTGGATTTCAAGAAGATCAAAGCTCCAGGGATTGGAACCGATCGGGCAGACCAGGTGGCTGGTGGCCTCCGAGTGCATGATCCTGGACTGCAAAACACTACCGTTGTGGAAACAGCTATAAGCTTCTCGTATGGGTCCCCTGCTATCTGAGCAATCTAACTGTCCTAGAGACCATGAGAGAAACCTGCTTCTTTTCCGGGGTTACAGCCTGGAGCAGCTCTGGGAAAGTGATTTTGAGGACGTGTTGCATTTGCTGGTCTGGGCGACGTATCCGACAGCGCTCCAGAGGAACGATCTGAGCCATAAACTAACAGAGGCTATGCTAGCTGTACCAGAGAGTGTGCAAAGAACGATTCAGAGTCTTCCGTGAGTAGTTTGAGGTGTTGGTGAACATTGACATGATGAATTTAGGACTTCGTCCCCGTTGCCGCTCATCATTGCTGGCCTTTCCGCCTATCTAGCTAGCCATCCCGACATGATTCCCACATCCCGTGATGCAAACCTGTATCGAAGTAATGAAGTTGCTGACCGTGCAATTATTCAGACAGTGGCAGTCTACGCTGTGGTGTTTGGCCTTGTGAACAGTCATCGAAAAGGAGTGCCGTTCGTTCCGCCAACGCATGGGAAAACATACTATGAAAATCTTTTCACAATGGCAGGTCTTGTTGACCCGAACACCGGTCGACCGGATCCTGTCAAGCTGTCAAGTTTCCGGCGGTTTGCCATGCTCAATTCAGACCATGGAATGGCCTTGACTGTCTTCTCCGCCTTGACCACAGCGTCATCCTTGACAGACCCAATCTCCTGTTTGATTACTGCCATTGGATCAGCGTGGGGACCCCTCCATTTTGGCGCCACGGAATCGGCCCAGCGGACATTGAGGGAGATTGGCAGCTCCGAGAATGTACCAGCATATATTGAAAGAGTCAAACAAGGACACGAGAAGCTGTTTGGCTACGGACACCGCTCGTACAAGGGCATTGATCCTCGAGTGCGACCAATCCGGTCTATGCTAAAGGACATGGATCTGTCCTCCAACAAGCTGCTTGAAGTAGCCGAGCACATCGAGAAGGTTTGCTCGGAGGATGACTACTTCAAGAAGCGGGGTTTGTACGTGAACGGCGACTTTTACGGAAACTTTATCTTTGCAGCAATGTAAGCAACACACTCAAGGCAGTGAATCATACTTACAGCGCAGTGGCTTCGAGCCGGAGATGATCCCGGCGGCGATGCTGGCCCAGCGGATCATGGGGATTATGGCGCATTGGCGGGAGTACATGCGTAAGCGAGATGTGACGTGGAATCGGGGCTTTCTGACAGCTACAGTGACACGCGGCAAGTTGTTTCGGCCATCGCATATCTATACGGGGGAGGCAGAGAGGCTGCTGCCAAAGATTTGAGACGATAAGTGATAAGTAGAGAAATGAAGGATATGATAGTGCTTCGACTTGATTATTGTAGCTTGGCCTGATTTGTACAATAGCCGATATTACTGGCGCCACTAGCAGCGACATGGCAGAGAATCAACGTCCAGTCAGCGAAACCACTCCCCTTCTGGGTGATTCAGGGCCATACTCGGCTTTTACTACAGCCCAGAAACGCCTCATCATATTGGCAGCTGCTCTGGCGTCTAGCTTCTCGCCTTTATCGGCCAACATTTACTATCCGGCTTTGAACTCGATTGCAGCTGACCTCGGAGTAAGCAGCTCGCAGATCAACCTGACCATCACCACGTACATGGTACGTCTGCTACTCTATGGATGAGCACTAACAGACCAGCTATGTCAAGGAATCGCCCCGACCTTTATGGGGTCATTTGCCGACCAAGCCGGCCGTCGTCCTGCTTACATTCTGTGCTTTGGGATCTACATTGTCGGGAATATCGCATTGGCTCTGCAACACAGTTACCCGGCCTTGTTGATCTTACGTGCCATGCAGAGCTGTGGCAGCAGCGGCACTGTGGCACTGGCCTCGGCCGTTGCAGCCGACGTGATCACGTCTGCCGAGCGCGGCACGTACATGGCCATCACCTCGCTGGGGATTATCCTGGCTCCGTCCGTGGGTCCCCTGCTTGGGGGGATGCTGAGCCAGTACCTCGGCTGGCAGGCCATCTTCTGGTTCTTGGCTGTTGCCTCTAGTATCTTCTTCTTGCCACTGTTGCTCTTCTTTCCGGAGACGTGTCGGAATATCGTGGGTGATGGATCCATCGTGCCGCATGGATGGAACCGGTCCGTCCTGGTTTGGTACCGACAGCGGCACTCACCTGAGACTCTCACGCCGCCAGTGAAGGAGAGAATTGCCCTACCTAACCCCCTAGCCACCCTGCGTCTGCTACTCCACCGTCCCACTGGTCTCGTCCTCTTGTCCAATGGACTGCTCTTCGCCGGCTACTATGCCGTCACGGCCGGAATTCCCTCACAGTTCAAGGAAATCTACCAGATGAACGACCTCGCCATCGGCATGGTGTTTATTCCAGCTGGCATTGGCTCACTACTGAGCACGACCTTTAACGGGATGATTCTTGACTGGAACTATCGTCGTTTACAGCAGAAGTTTGGACACCCGGTGCAAAAGACTGGTCAAAACCACGGGTCGTTCCCTATCGAACAAGCCCGACTCCAGATCTGTCTCCCGCTAATAGTATTTTCCCTTTATACTACACGAGACTATGGTTAACATATGTTAGATCATCTCCGCCATAGCCATCCTCAGCTACGCCCTTCTAATGAGCCTAGCGACCCAGCCCCCTCTCTGGCAAGCACTGGCCCTCATCTTCACCATCAGCTTCGCCATCACGGCGGCATACAACATCATGAACATTCTGATCGTGGACCTGTACTACGCTACACCTGCGACGGCGATGGCGGCGAATAACCTGGTCCGGTGCTTTCTGGGGGCAGGGGCCACGGGGGTGGTGCATCCGGCGATAGTCCGGTGGGGAATAGACGAACATATGGATGGGTGAGTGGGGTGGTGGGGAGTTGTTTGTTTATTGTTGGTGGTGTATATGAGGGGAATGGAATGGAGGGTGCTGCAGCAGAGGGCGCAGAGATGTGAAGATGATATCGAGGGAGAGAATAGGGGGGGCAGAGGTGTGAAGATGGTGATATCGAGGTCCCAGTGGGTAGTCTAGCAAAAGAGTACAGGATGAGTTGGACGGATATGACTGTCCGACTGCGTATGTCCCCGTGGATAATATTTCCCGGAAGGCGTTACACTGGCGGTGAGCTATACACCATCTGGTGAGGTAGATATAAGATGTATCTTCACCACATTCAGAGAACAACAACAATCTAATCATCATGGCACTCTTCCTCGTTTTCCTCTTCAACATGGGCATAACCACCGCCCAAATCCACCCTCTCCTTCCCACCTACCAACAAACCCTGCATCTTCGATATCCCAATACTCCGTGGGTTCAACCCGGCGATACTCTCCTGATGTCAGGTAGCCCCCCATATCCTTCACTATCATGCCTTTAAAACTCCAAGCAACTGAACCCAACCTAATCCATAATCAATTGAATAGACACCCACCCCCTCCCCACCCTCAGCACCCTCAACCTCACTCCGACCTCAACCTACCTCCTACTCTTCGTCGACCTGGACGTGATCTACAACCGCACCAGCACCGTCATTCTCCACTGGTATCAACCAGATTTAGTTTTTTCTAACACCACAGCCCCAACCAACTCTACAACACCAACACCAACCCTAACTCCCCTCCCTATCCCCATCCCCAAACCCCCCCACGACAAGAACCCCACCCCCCGCTCCGCATCCTACATCCCCCCGCAACCCCACCCCACACCCACCACCGCTACGTCTACCTCCTCTACCCCCAACCAACGAATTATACCTTCCCAGTTTGCTTCGAGTATATTTTCCCTCCGACAGCGCATGCCCGGGCGGGGTTTGACGTGCTTCAATTTACGTCTGTGGGTGGATTGGGGGGTCCGATTGCGGGGAATTATTTTTTTGTGGAGAGGGATGAAACGATTTCTTTGAGTGGGACTGTTACTAGTATGAGTGTGACTCATTCAGAGGTTGGGAGTGGGAGTGGGAGTGGGATAGTACCGACGACGACTTCGTTGAAGAGTGCGCCTTGTGGGGGGGCTAGGAGTGGGAGTGGAATAACAGGGACAGGAACAGGAACAGGAACAACCACAGGCACAGAAACACTCACCACCAATACCCCAGACCGAATAATCCAAAAGAAAACCATACACACGGACGGTACCACAGAGGATATTGAAAAGAGATACCAGGTCGTGCTCCAGAATTGACTCATTACAAATGATATCAAATCAAACCAAACCAGAACCACAACCAGAGACAGAAAAAAAAATAAAAATCAGAGTAAGGGACTGAATAAGAACAAACCTAAAAATAGAATAAGAATAAAACCAAATAGGATAACAAATTGAAATGAAGGTAACACCGGGATAACATTCCCTTTTTAGGAAACCATCGCGAATAGTAGTAAGTAGCCTAGCCTAACAGCCTTGTTCAATAACGCTGCAACCCCCTTACCGTTCTGTCAGCTTACCTACTACTACTACTACTACTACTACTACCGCTACTACTACTACTACTACTACTACTACTACTAGGACTAATAAGTATCTAGTTATAGGATACCTACATGTTACAGGCTACTGACTGTTCCCGTTACTTCCGGGGTCTTGGTTTGGTCTTGGTCTTGTCCCCCATCCTAATTCTAATTAGTAAAGGGTAGTTACATGTGTTTTCATTGAGGATCTACTGTTGATTAGGGAGGAAGAGGGTAGGGTAGGTTATGTCAGCCCTGCGTGAATTCTTTCTAACTCACTAAGTAATGGTTACTTCAAACCTGCGTCTTATACCATATTCATACCCCACCAATCAGATATCGTGTCAGTCCCGACATGAACTATCCAGTCACACAACATTGTGCTTACTGGTGAGCGAGAAGGTAAACAGAAAATCATCAGCCTTAGAGGCGGAAATGGTGTGTAACGTACTTTTTCTCTTTCTTGGGTTTGGGTTCTCGTTGAGGGTGATGTAACCTACCTTCGGCCTGGGAGTTAGGATTGATGTTGTATGACGATAACGATGTGATGTGATGGATATGGTATGGCGTGCTGACTTACTGACTTTCTTGGCTGGGATTGGTACGAGATTAATTGGAAACGGAAATGAAAATGGAAAGGGATATACCTCGGGTGTAGCCTTGGTTGTGGTTCTGTGTTTTGTGTACGGGAATGTGCTTATTATCTAGCTTACTTACCTACCTACCTACCTACTTACCTGCCAAATAATTAAGGATCTGACCTATATTACTCAACCTCATACCATTCATCTATCTACTCTTCTACTATCCCCTCTATCACCACCAACCCCAACAACAAACCCAAAAAGAAAAAGAAATGGACCCCCCCACCCCCTCCCCAAAAGCGTCAAAGTCCGATCCACCTGCAACGCCTGCCAACAAGCCAAAATCCGCTGCAGCCACGAGAAACCCTCCTGTCGACGATGTCAAAAGCACAATTTGAGTTGTGTGTATAGTATGTCTCGACGGTTAGGACGACCAGCGAAGAAGAAAGATGGTGGGGAGGATATGGATACGTTGGAGTTGGATCATCATCATCACAATCACAATAATAATAATCGGGGAAGGAGTGGGTGTAAGAAGCAGAAGAAGAGAGTGGTTGATCAGGAGGAAAGTATTTTGGATGGTGATGGGGATGTGTTGGATGAGCATCCGTTGATGATGATGGATGAGGGGGTTGGGTTGGGGTTAGGGTTGGGGATGGGGATGGGGATTGGTATAGGTGTTGGTATGGGGGGTGGGAGTGGGAGTGGGATTGAGGAGACGGGGGTGGATACGGGGGGTTTTGTGGATGCGAGTCCGACGGCGTTGTGTGAGTTCTTTCTCTCTCTTTCTCTCTCTTTCTCTCTCTCTCTCTCTCTTTCTTCCTTCTGGTATGTGGATGAGTGTTGATGATATAGTCTCCGACGCCGGCATCGATCTCTCCACCGATAGCTGGCTACACGAATTCATGTCAAATCCTGCTGCCGATCTAGCACAAGAGAAAGAACTCCTCGATTCTCTCGGTCTCAGCAGCATCAAGCCCGAGAGTACCTGCGCGGAAAGGTCCCCCGATCTGAAAGACATCCCCAAGACACTCATCCCCGATGCATCGGACAGTCACTACATCGCTCCGACCAGCTTCGAACAGGACCCCTTGATCGAGGTGGACCCTCATCCCGAGTCAAAATACATCAAGGAAGAGTCCCTGTCCTGGCCACAGCCATTCTCGACAATGGACGACTTCCCAACCAGATCCATGGTCACGGAGGCGAGCGCCTTTACTCAAACCAAAGTATCCAAACGTCCATACGCATATGGCTTCCCCTCCACCACCGGGGATATCAAACCCCCTCCTGTCATGCTCGCACCACAGCATTACCAATGCCAATGCCACGAGAGAACTACCCAGGATCTAATCCGTGTGAATATCTTTGCATCGCGCGCGAGTCCCTGCGCGACCATCGACTCCATCATCTGCTGTCAACGCGTACTGCAGCAGTTATCCGAGATGATTCTGCAGTGTGGAGTTTGTTCCAGGACGAGATTGAATCTGCTGATGGTGGTGATTGTCAGTATCGATGGTCTGGTAAATGCCCTCGAGCCCATCACTGCCATGGAAACCGGTCTCGTGGATAGACTGTTCACCGGATACCACGATCAACTGCTGCCGGAGATTCCAGGGAACGCGAATGTTCTACGGTACCGAGGGAATGGTTCCAAGCGGCAGGTAGAGGCGTGTGCGTTGAAGATCGGGACATTCTGCGTCTCGTACGAAGACAAGTTCATCTTCATCAAACAGTTGTTGCTGTTTCGGTTGGGAGGACTCCTCGACACGGTCCGCAGGATTCAAGCCTGTACGCAGGACACCCTGGCAATGCCGGCATCACAAGGCCGATTGATGATGATTATGGAGACGGAGCAGCGGTTGCGGGCAGTGATTATTCGGACGCAGAGGATGTAATGTTGTATGTTGAATAAAAGCGTTGTTTTATACCATATCCCTTGGTAGACAGTAATCAGCATACATTCCAGCACGTAAATCGCATCTATACCTCTCACCTGCAGAGATCATACCCATCCAGTAGACGCTCCCCCTACAAGGATCCTCCTCCTCACTCCTCGCCATCTTGTATACCAGCCATCCATCCACCAGTCAGTCGCCCTCACCACTGTGCAACGCATCCACGGGACAAAGGACAAACACGTTCCACGATGAAGTGGCCATAACAACCCATCCCATCCTCGAAAGTGAAATGTGAGGCTGCCATGACAAAGCCATCACACGCTGAGGTTGTACTCTGCGTTGCGTTGGGTATGATGTCGACGCATGTGAAAGCACCACCACCACCTCCTCCTCCTCCACCCATACTATACCTCAACCTCACACCTGCATGCAACAACGACATCCCAATCTCAACAATGCCAAAGAGCAGCATCAGCATCCAAACCCTCACCATACCCATACCCAAACACACAACCACAACCACAAATACAACAATGGACACCACCACCACCCCAAAACCCCCCCCAACCCATGCCCCACACCCTAACAACAATGCACCTCCTCACCACCCTCCGCACCTTAACCCCCGTCCTCGAACTAAGCACAATCCTCGACCTCACGCAGCGAATCCACACCCACACGCAGGAAATCCTAACCTGTACCGAGTGCCGAACCCCGTCTTCACTCACCATGCTCCCCGCGCTAGCAGACCACTGTCTGGGACTATTCGAGGCGGTGTGCGTGGCGTATAATATGACTGGGACGAGTTCGAAAGGGTTGTTTGATGCGGGGCAGTCGCTGCCGCTGCCGAGGGTGATTTGTATGAGGAGTAAGACGCAGTTGGGACAGATGGAGTTGGATGAGAAGGAGGAGGGGTTGTTGGTTAGGATGCTGGTGGGGAGGGGGTGGGGAGGTTGGTGGAGGGGTTGGGGATGGTGGTTAAGGGGTGGAGGGTTGTTGGGGGAAGGATGGTGCTGGTGGTGGGGGGGTGAGGGCGTGTGAGGCGATGATGAGGCGGGTTGGGGCGTTTAGGGAGAAGATTGATGTTGATGTTGAGGGGGGGGTGAGGAGGGGTGGGTCTGGGTGTGGGGTTGGGGATGGGTATGTATGTGCGTTCGTTGTGTTAGGTTGATTGGCTGGGTTGGGTTGAGCTGGGCTAATGGATGAGTGTAGGACGACGACGAGGCCTATATGAGATGTGAGGTTTAGGTTAATAAATTAGATTATGAGTCTGAGACGAGTCTGAGTCTTCGATGAGACAGGCATTGTTCGCCGTTCAGAGACGGGACATGGTCGAGATAACGACAAAAGGAACAAATGCAAAGTCTGAGAACAGGGCTCAAAGAACAACAGGAAAAGTAAAGTACAGAATCATCACCTATCCTCCGACATTCCCTTGTAGGTACCAAGGTGTCCAGCAGTCGGCTCCAGTATTCGGTTGATCGAAGGTGGCGAGATTGAGTCGATTACTGAGGAAGATGACGCTTGAACACGCCGAGCCACTGGCCCCATCCAATTACTTTGCCCTCCATCGCCCACTTCACACTGGCAACGGTGGCCTTGTCAGGCTGAGCCAGGCCGAGAGGCTCACTCAGAGCAACAATGGTGAAGAAGTAACGGTGGTAGCCATGACCATAGGGGGGACAGGCACCGACGTAGGAGGATCCGAGAATGTTAGGCACGTACTTCCAGCCGGCGAAAGTGACGCGGCCCTCGACGTTGGGGTTCTCCTCAATGTCGTCGTGATAGGCGACGAAGCAGGTGGCTGGAATAGCGAAGAAGAGTCCGTGAACAAAGACCATGAAAGGTACGGGCACATCGGGGTCCTCGCAGAACAAGACAAATTCTTTAACATCTCCAGCAGGAGGCGAGTTCCAGCGCAGCTCGGGGAATTTGCCGCATTTGGCGCCATCGAGGTACGTATGATGATCAAGTAGAGCACAGCCAGGGAGACCACACTCCGGAGACTCGAGCTTCATGTTGGGGTGGGGGATATGAGCGAAAGCAGCGGACTTGACAAGCATGTATTTGTCGTGGTTTCGAATCCAATACAGGGCTTTGAAAAACACCAGCTGGATATAGGCCAGCACGAGCCAGAACATCTTGTTGATGCTTATCAGAAGAGACAATTTAGAAGGTTTATGAGCAGAGTTTGATGAAGTATGGAGCGTAAATGAGTAGAGCTTGTACGAAGTATTCAACGTAGATGAGTAGAGCTTGTACGAAGTATGGAACGTAGTGAGCAGAGCTGAGATGGAGTATGGAACGTAGACGAACGGAGAGAGAAGATTTGGAGGAACGGATTGGAAGGTTGAGGATGGAGGGAAAAGATCTCGACGTGTTGTTGACAGAAAACTATAGAAGCAGCCTGGGCCGGCCCGAAACCGGCGAGCAGGCAGTGAAGGTCATTTGCATTTAGTAGCCGTAAGTCATACTGTAAGTCATACTGTCGGTCATACTTGGCCCAGACAATTGTCCGGGCTGCCGTTGGGCAGGGATTCACTGAGTTAGTGGAGCAAGGATTGTTGTTATGGATGGTCGTTACGGCGACAGCATCAGTGACAGCATCAGTACAGCAGGGGCAGGTAACACGTCTGTCAACATGTAAGCACCATACCCATCTGAAGCATGCAGTGCAGTGCAAGACAATATAAGATGAAGCTGGCAAAGACAACCGAACTAATTGATCGTATCGATCGTATCAGATAAGAGTGGGCCAGAATGACGTAGGGTGCATTAGCGTGTTGTGCACACGCGAGGCTGACTCACCAGCACCAGTCAGCACAACTCCTGCTCATCTCCGCAGCTCTCCGAGACCTCCGACTGTTTTATCCTGTGATGGCCTGCTGTGAGAACTGATCGCTGCCTCTTCTTCTGATCCTGTCATGGCTTTTCCCTCTCCGCCAGCCTCTCCGGAGGGAACCGTGCAGGGCCGTCCGCCGCGCTATCCTGGCGAGGATACCACGCCTACCACCCGCAAGGAACTCTGGGGTTGGTATGCCTATGGCATCGCTGCTGAAGTGTTTGCCGTGTGCGGTGTGGGTAAGCTTCCTTATGCCTCATGTCAAGTATCCAGCTAACAGTATAGGCTCGTTCCTCCCTCTTACACTCGAGCAATTGGCCCGCGAGCGTGGATACCTCCAGAACAGCCATTTGCCGTGCGTCGGTCCCGACTCGCCTTCTGCGCCAAAGCCAGCCATGTTTCGTCGTGATGATAATGAACAATGTGTGGTTGGATTGATGGGACTGCAGATCAACACGGCCAGTTTTGCCATGTATACTTTTTCGTTGGCGGTGCTCGTGCAGGCATTGACCTTGATCTCGTTCAGCGCTCTGGCAGATTATGGTATGCCACCACACTCCACATCCTGGCGATACTGACAGATGCTAGAAAACAACCGAAAGACTCTGCTCCTTGCATTTGGATTCATCGGCTCAGCCACCAGCATGCTGTTCGTCTTCATTGCACCGCCGGTATTCGTGCTGGGCGCACTTCTGGTCGTCATTGGGATCGTCTGTCTCGGTTCATCCTTTGTCGTCCTCAACTCCTTCCTCCCAGTCCTAGTGGCCAATGATCCATCCATCCAAAAAGGCATCAAGGAATCCGAAGAACTGCACCAGCTGGACTCCGACGGCGAATACGTGCATGCCCGAGCATCCTTCGACACCGACCCCGAGTCACCCCGTCCTCCAACCGGCCTCGGACTGGGCGGCGCAACGGGCACCTCGTCACCAGAACTGCAGCTCTCCACCAAAATCTCCTCCAAAGGCGTCGGACTAGGTTACTGCGCAGCCGTGTTTGTCCAAATCCTCAGCATCCTGCTCCTCTTCGGCCTTTCCAAAACCCCCCTTCCAAAAGCATCCGGCACCCTCCCCCTCCGCTTCGTGCTCCTGCTCGTCGGCATCTGGTGGTTCGCCTTCACCCTCGTCAGCCGTCGCTGGCTGCGCAACCGCCCCGGCCCCCCACTGGAATCATCCACGCACCAAACCCGCCTTCGCATCTGGCTGCACCTCGTAGCCTTTGCCTGGAAATCCCTCTGGAAAACCATCCTCATCGCGATCCGCCTGCGCGAAGTCCTCATCTTCCTAATCGCCTGGTTCCTCCTCTCCGACGCAATGGCCACCGTCTCCGGCACCGCCATTCTCTTCGCCCGCACGGAACTCAAAATGAGCACCACAATGGTCGCCCTCCTCTCCATCACCGCCACCCTCTCCGGCATGGCTGGTGCCTTCCTTTGGCCCCTCGTCTCCCGCCGCTTCAACCTCAAACCCAACCACACCATCATGCTCTGCATCTGCCTCTTCGAACTCATCCCCCTGTACGGCATGCTCGCCTACATCCCCGTTTTCAAGAAATGGGGCGTGATCGGCCTCCAACAGCCCTGGGAAATCTACCCGCTGGCTATCGTCCACGGGATTGTCTCCGGGGGACTAGCGTCGTATTGTCGATCGTTCTTTGGACTGTTGATCCCGCCGGGCAGCGAAGCGGCATTTTATGCTCTGTATGCGGCAACGGATAAGGGGAGTTCGTTCATCGGACCGGCCATCGTGGGCGGGTTGATTGATGCCACGGGGCAGGTCAGATCGGGATTCTTCTTTATTGCGGTGTTGATTGTGCTTCCGATTCCGTTGGTTTGGATGGTGGATGCGGAGAAGGGCAGGAGAGAGGGGGTGAAGGTTGCAGAGGGGTTGGCTAGAGAGGGTGAGGGTGAGGGTGAGGAGGAGGCAGAGAGGTTGTTGGCTGGTAGGTAGGTAGGTAGACTTTGTTCTGCTGTTAAAGATAGATGCATTATGGATGATGATGAGATGAGATGAAGAATTACGGATAGGTAGTATACAACATTGACTTTGAACGTCTAACCACGTGATATACCTTACCATTCACCGTTACAATGTACTATACATCATCATACCATCACACCATCACACCATTAATCAACTAACCAACCATGCTATTAATTATAAACCAATACCAAACCACACCACACCAAACCCAACCCAAGAACCCCTCCCAAACAGAAACAAAATCACTCACAATCAACAACAACAACCACCCAAACCCCCACTTCGCCATTACTCGCCATCAGCGGGGTACAATGCACCCAGCGATCCCTCCCCTGGGGATTAAACCTCGTTACCCATTTAATCCTCGCCGTGACACTCCTCCCACTCATCAACGCATGGAGTAGTTCGTCCCGGACTGCAGAACTGCCCCCAATCCGGGACAGGAATGATGATTGTAGGATTCCTGGGATTTGGAGGGATGGGGAAGTGAAGAGGATTCGGAGGGAGGGGTAGGGGCGGACTAGGAGGTACTATTCATTGTTTTTTTAGTATGGTTGTTGGGAGGGTTTGTGGATTTGGGGATGCATTGGGGGGGACGTACATTCTCATAAACGCCCGTTAATGAGCCCTTGAATAACTCTGCTTTGAGATCTACTTCGCGGATGGCTTCCATTTCGAGGGATGAAGTGATGGACCACGAGCGAGTGTGTGTCTGGGCCTGGAGGGATGTTTTGGGTCGGGGTTGGAAGAGATTCCCGCCGACTTCGCTGGTTATGTTGAGTTCGTGAGGACTGAAGAGTTCGCTGAGGTTGCGGAAGGGGTCGGTTTGGGATGGGGTGGCTGGGCTTGGAGTTGATGATTCCGATGGCGATAGCGATGGGGACGGGGATCGTGCTTCGTCTTGCATGCGTTGTTTTTCTTGTAACGCGCGGAGAGACTCCATTTGTGCGCCGTCCATGGCCAGTCCGCTGACGTCGATTTGGGCCCCGATGAAGTACCGGACTTTGCCGTGGCTATCGCAGAGGGGGGCGCATTGCAGGAGGTTCATGAAGGGGGAGCCGTCGCGGCGGCTGTGGGAGTTAGGTTGGGTTTGGGATATCGGTGTGTAGGGGGCGTACTAGTTTAGGAAGAGTTCGGAGTGGTGGCGTCCTGCTTCTATGGCTTCTCGGATTCTTCGTACACTATTGGCATTTGTTTTAGGGCCTTGTAGGAAGCGACAGTTGCGTCCCAGGACGTAGTCCATTCCGTATTGTGTGGTGCGGTGGAACTCTGGATGATGAGGTTAGTATGTATGATGATGGAAGTGAAGAGACTCACCATCTGACGCAAAGATAATCGGATTATCTCGTCTCGATGGATCTGTGAGACAGAATACCTCGGCCAGCGCATCTGATGTCTTCGAGAACTTATGCGGAAGGGTACCCCGGACGCGCTCCTCGACTACTCGACTGGTAATGCTGATGCAGCGCGATGTGATGAACGCCGGGAGTTCTTCGTCTGTCAGCACTTGGAGCGCCTCTTGGACGCGCCACTGCAGTGCGGGATGAGTAGCCTCCCCGATCTTCCCAGACACAGAGATTGATGGTGGCGGGTCATCAATAAAGCATTGGACCAGTGCATTGGCGTATTCGATTGCTTTAAGCGCTTTGCGCGCATTCAAGTAGTAGGTTAGATGTCGCAAAGAGCGCGGACGCTCCTCGAGCAGAAACTCGCGGAAGCGCGAGAGATATCGTGGGTTATTGAGAATCGAGAGCATATGCTCTGAGGAGAACATGAGGTCAGCAAGGCGCTCCAGACTATGTAAGGGTGTTTCATGAGTGTCGTCAAGCGGCGCAATAAGGTCGTAGGAGAGTCCGGCTTCGTGGACGGGATTGAATTGGTCGGATCCATCGTAGGGATTTTGCTGCTGCAAAAGAGGGAGTTCATGGATCATGTAGTTTCGTCGGAGGGTCTTAATGGAAGGTCTGGATACGAGGCTGGTCGCATTGTTAAGAATGTTGGCTCTGCTGGGCGGACGAGGGAAACCGAGGAGGATTTCACTGGGGCGTCTCTCTGCACTTCTTTCTGTCAGTAAAGGCTAGCAGACGAGGGTATACTGCAAGACCTACTGCGACGGAGGATATTCATCCAATGCGACGGTGGATGGGTAAGAAGAGCGCAGAGAGTCTGCGTCGAAACCGCTGTAGTTCTCCATGATGGTCGCGCTGTTCCTGACCCGGGGCAGGACCACCCTTTATACAGCATGGCGATTTCAAATCCAGTGATATATCTAGTGATCGCTGAGACTTCCACCTTGGTTATAGACAGGTAGAAAAGGCAACCTCAGATGCGCCGCGAAGCGATCGAGAACGAACTGCGGCGTCGCAGATGCCGAACCGATCGATCGATGCGGGCAGCTGTCACCCACGAGATCGGTCCGTCGTTCATGCATGATGCAATCGCGCATGTGATGTGTCATACTATTGATCTACAGAGGGATCGGGCGTCTAGATCGTCAACTCATGGCGATGTGGCTATCTGACACTGTGATCTATCTGCAAGAACTTCCATCTATAGAACACGAATCCATCTACGGGGTAGATTGAACTGGATCTCTTTTCCGCGCTCGGGCCCCTATTGACTAGAAGGACCGGACTTTGATGAAAGTCGTAAACTCCCCATCCTCCAAGGCTGCGCCCGTCACGGGATCGGCGCTGTCAGGGCCCAGCAGTCTGAACAGCCAGTATGGCAGCTTCGACCCTGAATCAGACCACTCCTTGATCGCCCAAGTCGTCACATTGTTGGCTCCGATGAACAGGCCATCCTGCTGCACCCCGTCCACGTAGTGATGGTAGAATTCCACGGGAATCGTTGCCTCAGCAGGCAATCCCCACATCAAGTATGCGGTGTAGGGGATGGAGGTTATATTCCATGGCTGGTAGCTATAGCCGCTGACGCCCGTTTCGACGAGTCCAGTGAGAAGTGAAGGAGAGTCGTCTTCGCAAACGATGGGGTTCTTGGCCTCGTCGTTTCGGGATCCAATTGCAATCTAGATACCCCGTTAGTGGAACTGCACACTGCTGGGTCTGTCTACTTACATATCCTTCATGAATACCGGTTTCGCCCGCAGTTCTGAAAACCACGCTGGTGTCGCCGAATCCTTCGATCGAGCATGCTTGATCCGAGGCGGTGGTGTTGACACAACCGCTGACCACCAACATGAATTGGCTGGTCGATCCAGTCTCCGAGTCGTAGGAGTCGATGTTGGCGCATCCGCCTGTGGCGACGACGGGCTGCACGGTAGCAGCGTAGGCAGAGCCTAGCATGGAAAGACTAGTAAGAATGGCGGGAATCATCGTGTAGTGTGGTAGAGTGAATGAGGATGGATGAGAAACTTAACGAGTCCTCAGCGGTATTTATACACGGGATAGTCATCTCCGGGCACTCAAAAACGCGACAGGCCTGACTCAAGCCGTTGCCGGTTCTGCAACATTGAGGCTATCCCATCTCCATCAGGAAATGTCTCAGGCAAGCTCGTGGGGGCGAACGCAAGCTGGTCGCGGATTGGCGGTTGACCTTGCCGACGGGGCACCATTGACGGCTAGATCCGTCGCTGCTGGACCCTCGGCATAGGCAGCCCTCGTATCCTGCCTGGAAGGATCGTATTCTGCCTACATGCAGGGTCTGTTGCAGAGCTGCCTGGTTGATGTCTGTTTTAATATATAGTCCGATATCGATTTGGTCTCGGGAATTTCTTGAAACATGTCCAATCGGAGTTGCACTTTGTCTGACACGACATGTCCCGTAGACTCCGATGACGGGATGATCGTTGGGGTGAGATCATGTCGTGCCCATGCCATGTGGGGACACAGAGGCCTTCCTTGTCAGCGCCTCATGAATTGATCAAGTTTCACCACAGCGGTCTATTATAGCCATTTCTGTCCTTCTAAGAGTCTTCCCTAGATATTCGCTCGTTCCATCACTTCTGTTTTAATAGAGCACCCGGACTGCATTGAGTAATGACCATAAGCGAGGCAGTATATAGTGTGCCATTAGACCTATAACTTGATCGAGATTAAATCCCCACTGAGGAAATATGTCTGAAAAGCCGGTTAAAGCCAGTTTCGCATAGATGTCGCTGGTTGGACACCTCCGATCAGAAGACCGCCAAAGTCCCAGATTAGAAGAGATATTCGGGCATAGGGACTCCGATATGTGCAAAATCCAGCACCAGGCCTAGATGATTTGTTAAGGGTCAAAAAGTGAATTCGGGAGCCCTGCATCTGTGCCAGAATCAAGCTCCGCTTATGGCAAAGAAACAGCAATTGATACCTACACCAAGACTTCAGTTTCTAAACTCGGATAGTATTACGAGTTGGTAGGCCGCCTCGTGTCATGTTGCCTGAGGCAGTCAGCTTCGGAATAACTATGCTCCTAATGTTTGTCCCAGCCGATGGATTATAATAATTCCGATGCCGACTCGTATCCCCATGGGGAACCTCGATAGCCAGGGGCAATCATACCAGTCTGGATCCTGGTCAAGTTGGCGTAAACGACCGATGATCTGGCATAGCTGATCGCAGAGTACTCTTTTATCTGTGCTTTTCAAATCATCCTAGGCATCGTGCAAAGTCCGCCCGTCAATGAGCTCCATGTAAATAAAGACATAGTCTTCGTCGGTTCTCCATCCGTAGATTTCAGGTACTGGAACGGTGTCACCGAAAACCCGTCTCAGCATCCACAGGCACTGAGCTTCGGCAACAGTAACAGTACGACCAAGTTTGACAATGAGGTTGAGGTGTTCGAATACCACGGGCTGTTGCCGGGATTTCGTAAAGTCGCGCGATAAAGCCTTCACTTCCGCTGGTGATGGGAGGCGCCGATTGGGTTTCGCAAAAAACGAGGACTCCAGAAAATCCGCCTTCGGCTTTGTCGGATCGGGTAGTTTAGAAGGCGGAATTGGATTTAGAGTGGAAGTGTTGCTTGGGGAATCCATCATGAGGGTGCTGAATGTTCTAGATACTGCATGTGCGGGTGCCAAAGAGAGCTGGTCATCAATCACGATCACCACGGTAACGACTGTCAGCGAAAAGCTGCAGACAATGACTAACCAGGGGAAAGGCACATGACCTCCAACGGCTCGTCCATTGTGGGATCAAAAAAATGTAGTGATAGCATGGCACGTGGCCCCATGGAATATGCTGCATGACAAGGATGAGCGTTGCAGTTTAAATCTTAATTGCATAAATAGAATTACGGATAAGTTATCCAGGACCCACAGGAACTTAATTTTGATTTTCCTTCTTTCCCTAATTCCCCTTACTCTGTGCGACGCGTTCCTGCTTCTTGTCTGTCATTGACATGGTATCAGGAATCTCAGCTCCGCACCATCACGGCAACAATAAGAGATACTTAATTCAAAGTGATAGGCCCTCGCCTGGTACTCGACAGCTGTTATGTGTTAAGAGGCTCTCTATAGGTTGTAGCAGCCAGACTAATCCAACCTAGAGCAGCAAGGTGAGATGACCCAGCCTTGATCTTTGCGCCAATCTCCAGACCCGCATGCATGTCAGAACCTTATTGTGGATCTTCAGATGCAGATCCACTCAATCTTGTCGGTATGTAACTGAGACAGACAGATATCACCAATAGATGAGTCTTCTGATGCTGCATCTAGGAATATCAAGGGCAGGGGTATGAATAGATGGCCCGATACCTTTCTATAGATTCGGGCTATCCTCAACAACAACCAGAGACAACAGATATCAAAGCCCTTATGCGTTTTTCATGCTTTACATCAACAGCTTTCCAGAATATGTGCCGTCTATCGAACAGACAGCCCTCCTACATGTTGAGCTCAGGACCTCAAGTCTGACTAAAGCAGTCCTGTCCTCACTTTTCATAGATTGTTACCTCAATTCAGTCCGATGGACGCGAGATACAATACTGGAGACCATCCTCGTTGATAAAAAGCTTCATACTAACGGGGAATACCAAGTCTGTCGCAGGCTCATCATATCTAGTACTGAAGGGATCTCCACCTCTGCGGACCCTCTGATTGGCTCCTTCGTTTATAAAAGGCCCCTGGCCGGTGTCGGTGGGCTCGTGCCAGGACTCGAGCCACTACGGAGCACTGCTGGGATGGAACGGGAAACATCCCGCCTAGCGGCATCCACTTCAGCCTCGTCCGGTGGAGATGGCCCAAAGGCATCTGTTTATTTATTTGGCCAGTTTCTCTAACAATTGTCCAGCAGAATCAAAACCTCGTTCACAATGTTAGCACCTCGACGCAAAACACGCACGACAAAGTCCAAGACAGGATGTCGTACCTGTCGGTGGGTGGATTCCCGGCTCCGTCATGAATTCGCGACTAACCATGGTGTCAGAGCTCGCCGTATCAAGTGTGATGAACTGCCTGGAGCATGTCGAAACTGCACCTCGACAGGTCGTGTCTGTGAGGGATATGATGCATATCGACTGCCAGTGCGGCGCACCCGACGAGACGCCGGTCCAGAAGGCTTGGTGCTCACGCAAACTCCAAGCGGGCTACGTTGGAAGATCACCTCAGATGAGAGGCGATGCCTTTCCTTCTTCCAGCATCGCACCATTCCAGACCTGGTTGGTCTTTATGATTCGCCTCTCTGGCAAAAGCTGGTTCTCCAATTGAGCCATGCGGAGCCGGTTGTGTATCATTCTGTCGTTGCACTTGCGGCAACTCATCAAGCCCTGGAAGTCAACAAGAAACCCTGTTTCAAACAAAGTTCAAAAAACATCTGGTCGCAGTTTGCACTGGAGCGGTCTAGTAAAGCTGTAGCGTTGTTGACTCAACGTCGCATGTCGCAGGATCCCCAGTTGCAGGAAGTGACGTTGGTTAGCTGCCTCCTGTTCCTCACTCGCGAGCTCCTCTGCGGAAATTATGATGTTGCATCTCTGCATGTTTTAGGGGGTCTGAAAATACTGAAGCAACTGGGTATTCAAAGAAGAATCTCGGGCACATTGATATCGCCGGTCGAGCAATGTGTGGTTGAAATGTTCTTGCACCTACAGATGCAATCTGTGTATTACGGGACCGGGGCGCCATTGACAGTTGACGATGATTTTGTGTATCACCAGCCATATGAGGATTACTTGCTTATTTTTCGCCGATTACAAGATGCGCGACAGGTGTTCGAGCCCCTTCTGAACACAGCTTTTCTCTTCGTAGCATCCTGTCGGCATCGGTCCGACGAAGAGCTCTTGGCAGGATACAGCAATTTGGAGCAGAAACAACTCCTGCTTCTTTCTTACTTCAGTCGATACCTTGAGCAATTTGAGCTGCTGTATCATGGAGCATACATCCTTCTCAATCAAAGAGAGCAGCGAGAGGCAGATATGACCAAGCTGACTTGCCTCAGTGCTCTCTTATCGCTCAAGACCTGTCTATTGAGCAAGGATCAGCTGTTCCCAGACTATCTCACCCCAGAATGCGAGGCACTTGTTTCATTTGCTGAAGCCGTCGTTGGCAGACTACAATCGCATTCTCTGATAACCCTAGACAGCGCCGTTATTGCAGGTTTATACAATGCCTCGTACAAATGCTCTGACTTCAGTGTCAGAGTGAGGGCAATAGACGCCTTGCGATCCTGGCAACACTGGGAGGGGTTTTTACATTCTGGCATCACCGCCGATATTCTCGAGGAAAGCATGAGGGGAGACCTGTTGAAACTGAAACAGAAGCGGGATACGACAGGACGCTGCCTACCTCCAGGCGTATCTTTTATAACGACACCTGATGGACAGGGTTACGCACGTGTGCCGTATAGGATTGGACAGGCTGAGAGAGAACGGTGGATAAGCATGGAGACACCGGCTTCACTCTTTGCCGCCTTCTCAGCTAATAAGACGTCCTCGAAATGGGCCTGTGTTCGGTCTCTTGGTACTTGCTCACCTGCTGGCAGATGGGCTTTTATATCAGAGCGGGGGTCTCACGATGGAGAAAGCCGAGGTCGTTGGGTTCTTTTCCCTTCATAAGGTGTAAGCACAGACCAGTTGCTACTCTATATATCTAGAGATCATGTTGGAAGAATTCAACTAGACGAATACTTTTGATAAGGCTTACCTTTGATAATAACCAAAAGAGCTTGTTGAGTATAGACATCGTGGTTCCTCTACAAGTCTGCCATCACGTTGGTCAAAGTTTATGATAAGTGACATACAACTGAACAAGATGATGGACATGTACTTTAAGGGTGCCAAGGGGTTTGCATTATATACCTCAACTGGCGTCATTGCTAAACAACAAACCAATAGATTTGAATGCTCATGCCTTGTCCAGGCCCCACCGCCACCCCTCCTTCTCCTACACCTGGAACAGGAACACCACTTTCATTCTTTATCCCGTCCAGTTCTCCCCAGCCAAACCTTCCGGCAGCAGCTCCTATTTACTCTTTCCTTCCATCGGAAACCTTTGTTACTCTTGCGGAGTCCCCCACTATCAGGATCGATTACGTGCCGCATTCTCGGAAGCACGCCATGGCCGCAGCAACCAACCTGCGCTGGCTCGTCGGTGAGGGTCCCGACGCGCTGGAACAGGGTATTTCATTTGGAATCCCATGGCCTAGGGGACAGTACCAATCTGGTCAAAAGTTTGCGATCGAAGGAGAAGGGGGTGAGGAATACCTGCTTGATTCCCGGGAGCTGGCTTTCTGGGCAGACGGTTCTTTGAAATGGACGACACACTCGGTCAGCAGTAATATTGGGCATAATCGCAGTTACACGGTCAGAGGCGCGTCTATCCCAAGTGAGATGGAACCAGGGATAACAATTGAGAGAAAGTCTGCTGGCATGGTGGTTTCAACGAGTCTCGGCCTTCGTATTCGATTTCCTGCTCCTGGAGGCCCTAATCTGTTTGAAAGTGTGTCAGTGAACGATCGTGAGATATGTTCGGGTGCAATGATTGTCGCATCTATTGATGGCAAGGAATACATGCCGGCAGTCAAAGAGGTCAATATAGAAAACGTCACTCATTCGAGGGCCGTCGTCAAGGCGTCCGGGGTTCTGGTCTCGGCTGAACAACAAGAACATCTTCCTTTCGACGTCAGAATTTATATTTATTCACATGCTCTACCGCTCAAGATTGTATTCTCGTTTGTGCATGACCTGGACCCAGAAGAGCCCCTCGGGTCCCTAGGGCTTCGGTTCGCTGTGCCGATGGATAAGAGCGAGTTGTATAACCGACACGTTCACTTCATGGGTCAGAATGAAGGGACAATGAAGGAGGCAGTCCAAGGACTGTCTGGACTATGGCATGGTCTAACCGTTCAGAACAAGGTTGACCAAGCTTCTGGAAACATGGTGACTCTCAGGGAGGATCGATGGCTGCCATACGTCCCCTCTTGGAACGACTATTGCCTTACCCAGCTATCGTCAGACGGGTTCACTATTAAAAAGCGCACAAAGGATGGATGCTCCTGGGTAAAAGTCGCTGGAGGAACTCGATCTGCTGGCTCGGTTTATGTCGGGTCGGCAACATCAGGGGGGTTGGCGATTGGAATGTCTGACTTTTGGGAGCGATATCCAACCCAAATTGATCTAGCAGACTTGGTCACGGAGCAGGCGTATATTACGATGTGGATGTACTCACCGCTGGCCGAGCCTTTAGATACGCGCCCATATCACGATGGTCTGGGTCTTGATACTTATCGCAAGCAGCTCGACGCTCTCGATGTCACATACGAAGACTACGAGCCTGGATTTGCTACTGCTAATGGTATCGGCAGAACGAGTGTCTTCTTCATCAGACCCTTCGCAAATAGAACACCTTCTAACAAAGAGCTGAGCACCTTCTCAGCTTTTGTGCGAAACCCTCCCCGACTAGTTCCGACAGCCGAATGGATGTACCATGCTGACGTCTTCCATGGTTCCTGGGCTCCTTCTCACCAAACCTTGAAACATCATCCGAGCAACGTCGAGCGGGACATCGAGAAGAACCTGGAAACGCTCTTTACGTTCTACCGCAAGCAGGTGGAACAGCATCGGTGGTATGGATTCTGGGACTATGGCGACGTGCAACACACATACGACCCGTACCGACATTCCTGGAGGTATGATGTTGGGGGATTTGCATGGGATAATTCGGAACTATCGACAGACTTGTGGCTCTGGCTCTACTTTCTCCACACCGGTAGAGCAGATGTTTTCAAGATGGCCGAGGCAATGACCCGCCATACGGGCGAAGTTGACGTTTATCACACGGGACCTTTTAAAGGCTTTGGGACCCGCCACGGGGTCCAGCATTTCAGCGACAGCTCTAAGCAACTCCGCATCTCCAACGTGCTCTACCGGCGGATTTACTACTACCTTACGAGTGATGAACGTACGGGCGATCTGATTAACGAACTTCAAAACTGCCAAGAGGGACTAGCGATGCTTGACTCCCACCGCAAAGTCCAACAGCACGCTCTGATTCCGGAGGGATTCGCGATCGCAAATATCGGTCTTGATTGTGGCGCATTGATTGCTTCGTGGCTGACAACTTGGGAGAGACGAGTAGCCGGGTGGTCGCAGGCCAAGGAACGCCTGATTAATATGCTCAATGGCATCGCCAACCTCCGACACGGCATCGCAAGGAATGCCATACTGCTGGACCTTTGCATCGGGGAGATTCGTGAATGCCCTCCCCCGACTCCGCCGTATGCTGTCAAACACCTCTCCATGTTGTTCGGGTTTCCTGAGGTTGTGGCGGAAATGTTAAATTACGTCAAATCCGAGCCATCATCTACAATGACACGGTTTACGGATGTCTGGCTCTCGTACTGTCGCGCCTATAACGGCGGATCGGAGACTCAACGACAGGAATTTGGCTTTGAGTTCCCTGCTCAGGCAACATGGCGACAGAGTCATTCTACACTTACTGCTTTTGCGGCAAGATATCAAGGCAGCAAGGTATTAGGTGAAGCAGCTTGGAAACAGTTTCTGGATGCCGATGGCTACTCTCGACGTCACAACTGGACAGTTGTAGAGACTTCGGGTCTTACCGATGGGGAGGAGGCTGCCTGGATCACTACAAATGAGGCAGCACGGTATGGTGTCTCGGCTATTTTTAATCTGGCGAATGTCAGGGAGTACCTTGAACACTTTGAGGAAGATGAAGTCAACCTGCGTGAATAGTGACAGATACACTAAAGAGTCGGATACAGGTGTGGAAGTGCTGATCTATTGATACATGACGCCCGTAAAAAGTGAATCTGCTTATACAGTCTGCACACTGATCTGGACCACAGAGCAAGCAGAGGAAATATTCTCACGTATCAATCCACGGATTTACAATCCTCGAGCCAAGGAACCTCACTAGGGAGGTACTTGTAAGCCCGAAATATGGCATTACTCTGGTACATGAATCCGATCCGCTGCATCTCCGCCAGCTCCCTTTTGTCCATCACCTTTTCATACGTGTTCAGCTGTGGCACCACAAACTCCCATACGAGCTTTTTATCCTCTGTGACTTCCAAAATCCTCCCCGAGGCTGCCTCACATATCAAGACATTCCCATTCACCAACATTTGCGCTGAGCCCATGAACGGCGTGAAAAAACCCAACCCACCTGTGGTGGAGTCTGTCCATTCCCAGATCACCTGCTTCGATTCACGAGAAACTATAATCGCGCGGGAAAATGGGACTGATATCTCCGGTCGGAAGACACCGTTATCCAGGATAAGCAGGTCGCCAGCAGAATTTATCGCATGAGCGCAATGTTGCTGACACACCGTGGGCGCAGTCACATGCCAGACAATGTTGCCAGTCATTCGGTCGATGATGAGCACAGACGAGGTATTCCGGGATGATGCTATGATGTTTTCTGTTACTGGATCGATTGAGACACTGTTGATCAAAGGCCAATGTTCGCGAGCGTAATGTGGATGCGATGCAAACTGCTTCGGATCGAGATGATCGATGGCACGCCAGGACCAAAGCAACTCTGCTCCTCCGCTGGTGTCACCAGGGTTGCCTTCAAAATCGGCCGACCATGATGACTTGAATGACTTCCATGGCGCGACGAGCCGGATGCAATCCCCATACATGACCCCGCCCGGTGCCTCGCTGCCGGGTATCCCACCCTCGACTCGGGCTGCTTCTTCTGCGGTCAGAGGATCCACCGTGGTATATAGCAGAGTGTCATTGTCGAGATGATGCTGGTCGTGATGGGCAAGAGGGTCTAGATATTGACGCAGAACCTCTCCGTTTGGAGCCACCTGCATCATGGCGCCGCCGCGGTACTTGGCCCACATGGGAAAGAGATCAGGGGCGTCGGGATGTACGCCGTTGTAGGCCAAGGCACCGGTGGGAAGGAGTCGGGCATGGCGACCGGCACGATGTGGAAGTTTCCATCGATGCACTTCCCCTCCGGATTGAGAGATCAAATGAGCCGTGTTTGAGGTGAGAGGCGAGTACAGGACATAGCCTGGAGACACTTTTTCGGGATCAACCCCCTGGAGCCCAAGGCCACGACGACGGAAGGTGTGCTGCTCCATGAGCGTAAGAGAATGGGCTATTGATCTTGAGTGAATGAAATAACAGGATGCGACAGGGGGAGAGAAGAGAAGATTTAAGTTGGGGAGGACTGCAATCCAGCGTCATCCAACAGACCGGCATGCCGCGGTATACCTACGGCAAATCCGACGTCTATCGCGCAATCATGATGGCGTCAGATAAGGCTTCAATGGTCTTATCTTCTTGCAGCGGACAAATGGAGATGAAATCGGCATAAATAAGACATGAAGTCTGTATATCACAGCGCTGATGGAAGACGCTGACCGAAAGGTGGTTGTGCTGGCATCCTCATCCGATCGGACCCGCCGCCCAGATGAATCAAGAAAAGCAAGACATCATCACGCAGGAGTCTGCTAAAGAGCAGAATGCCCCTGGTCAAGCATGGATGTACCGAGCTTTGTCTATTGAAACCGGCGGAATTGAGCGCATCACCGATGATGACCGTCAGGACAACACCACGCGGTTTTGGAACGCTGCTACATTTTGGTACGAAGCGCAGTCCACCTACTAATAGTGTACTTACCGAACAAAATGACGGAACAGGTTCAGTGCCAACATGGCCGTCGCTACCCTTAACATTGGCGCACTGGGTGGCTCATATGGCCTCGGGTTCTGGGAAAGCTTCATTGTCATACTCTTGGTGAATCTCATCGGAGACATACTTCCCGCCTGGACAGCGACCTTTGGCCTAAGTGGCCTTCGAATGACGACTTTCTCGTGCGTACATCAAGCCCTCTTAAAGCAAGAAGCTAACAATACTCTTTCAGTCGATACTCCTTCGGCCACTGGGGAAACTTAATTGTCGTGATCTTCTCCATGATCTCCACCACAGGCTGGAACGCGATCAACGCCATTTCCGGCGCCTCGGTCCTCAGTGCTCTATCGAACGGGAAGTTCCCCACCTGGGCCGGGGTGATTGTCATCTGCACCGTCGTCTACATAATTTGCGTCCTCGGTATCCACTGGATTCATCGGCTCGATACGTTTCTTTGGATTCCCTTTTTGGTGGTCTGGTGCGTCGCAGCGGGGACTGGGGCTTCGCATTTCACCACTGCCGTGCCCCACGGAAATGAGTATAGCAGCTCCGACAAAGCTGCGTCAGTTCTGACATATATGGCGACCATATTTTCCTTTCCCATCTCCTGGATCAACTGCGCAGCAGACTACAACGTCCGCATGCCTGCGGGTACTCCCCGCTGGAAGATCTTCTCGGCGACCTATGTGGGCATCTTTGTGCCCACAGTCCTTGTACAGACGCTCGGGCTGCCCTGTACACGGGGACATTGACAAACGCAGCATGGAAGGCGGCGTATGAGGACTCTTCAATCGGAGGGCTACTAGGGATGGCATTATCCCCAGCGGGGGGATTCGGTAAATTCCTCATGGTGTTGGCTGGCTTAAGTGCAGTTCCGGTACACCCTCGTCACTTCATTCTCCGTTCATTTAGAATCAAACAAACTAACACACCCAGAACAACATCCCCAACAACTACTCCTTTGCCCTACACGCCCAAAACCTCACCCCACGGGCCGCTAGAGTCCCCCGCATCGTCTGGATCACCTTCGGCTTTGTCGTCAGTCTCATTATTGGCTGCTGCGCAGCTGAATACTTCAAAGACGTTCTGCAGACCTTCTTCAGTGTCATCGGCTACTGGACCATAATCCACGTGACGGTCGTGCTCGAAGAACACGTTGTTTACCGTCGCGGCTGGAAGGGATATAACCTCGATGCATGGAACGACCCCACCCAGTTGCCATTCGGGTGGGCTGCAATTGGCGCCTTTGCCGGGGGAGTGGTGGGCGCTGTGTTGGGAATGAAGGTAGCGTGGTATGTTGGACCGGTTGCAGCTTTGATTGGGAAATCGGGGGCGAATATAGGCCAGGCGATGACGCTGGGGATTTCAGGGGTGTTGTTTTTGTGCTTGAGGGGGATGGAGAGGCGGTATTGTGGGCGGTAATTTGTTTATATAGAGAGGTTCTTATATGTATAGCGTTTTGTTCAAAGTGTGTATCTCGAGTCGGTTCAAATGCACCAGCGATGAGCTGTATTGTTTCTCAGCCGGTCATTGGTCTCTTGTTCTTATCTCCGCCTATCACGCCATTGACCCGCCCCCGACTTTCATCTCTGGTCTTTCTATCCACCTGCTATCTGACTTTAAACCAACATTGAAGTTGATAGTCCACTGTCCACAGTGGCAGTCCTAAGAGCAGGATGCCTCCCGATCGTGGCCGCGCATCTCGGGCCTGTATTGCCTGTCGGAAGCAGAAGACTCGATGCTACGAAGCAGGAAACCCGAATGGCGCTTGTCTGCGATGTGAGCGCCTCCGTCGCAAATGCTCCTTGGTTCAATCTCCAGTCCCCGAGACATCCAAAACTCTCCCAGATCCAGAGACTGCAGCTCGGTAAGCTCTACACAAGACATGGCTGGCTCTGCGACTAATTACTCCAGTCTCGATCGACTCGAGAGAGCCGTTGCTGCATTGGTTGATCGACTGGGCGAGGACCCCATCCAAGCCATCAACCCATCTGAGAATCCAGTAATCAATGACAATAGCAACGCCACGAAGAACACTCCCGACGCCCCAGTCATCGTGCTCCGAGACCTGGCAGACAACCCACCAGTCCCTGATTCTCCATCGACGCCTTCATCCCTCGACGATCTAGTCGACCCCGACCTTGCCTTGACTCTAATCACCATGTAAGTTCCCTCTCCACTTCCACCCGACATCTCTAACCATCTCCCAGATTCCACACTCACTACGGCCGATGGGTCCTTTTCGATCCATCCTCCACTCCTCGGACCATCCTTCCCCAGATCCAAAAATCCCCCCTTCTGCTATCAGCCTGCTACCTCATCGCCATCCGCCACACCTCCCCAGCCCTGGCAACCAGCCTTGCCCCCAAACTCTACGAATCCAGCCGCTCCCACATCTCCACCGCCCTCCTTACAGCCCCTCAACCCATCGAATTCTTCCAAGCCGCTATAATCTTATGTCTATGGTCCACAACCGTCGGCCAAACCCCCTTGTCTATCGACGGCTGGCTCCTCAGCGGCTTCGCTCTCCAACACAGTGAATCCAGCCCGCTATTCAACCCATCACCCTCCCAGGCCCTCAACCACCGATTCCTATGGAACCATCTCTGTCTCGCGCACTTGCATTACTGCGTCGGCACCAGTCGAAAGCCCATACTCCAGGAGACACAAATCACCCAATGCAAATCAACAATCACATCAGACCAAACCACGAATTACGAGACTCGTATGGTCGCCGAGATAGATCTCTACTGGACAGTCTCCAATCTACTCTTAAACAGCGGTAGAAGAAAAATCAACATCCTCGAGTCTGTAACAAAACTTCAAAATTGGAAAACAGAGTGGAGGGGAGTTCTCGGTTCGATTTCCATCCACCCATCTAGACACCCATCAACACTAAGAACACAACTAACACATGAATGAATGAATGAGTGAATCCAGACCAACCCCGATCCCAGTTCCTCCAAATGGGCTTCCACTTCTCCACCCTTCTCTTATATAACCACTCCCAACCCACACCCACAACAACCCCATCCCCGTCCTCCCCTCCTCCATCCCCAACCTAACCCACCACGCCACAACAATCATCCAAACCGCCATCGACACCGAAGATGCCCGCACCCGCCACCTAACAGACCACATCTACCACATGATCACCTTTGCCGGGATCGTTATCTGTCGATTACTCCCGCACCATCATCACCATCAACCCGAGATATCGCTCCAATACCAGGTGCATGAACTCGAGGGTTTAATCATAAGACTAATCAAATGGCTACGCTCGATCGGATTATCCTGCCATATCGCGCATAAGTTGAGCGCTATTGTGGAGAAGGTGTATCGGGGGGTGAGGATCAGTACGATGGAGGGAGGAAGTGGGGGGTGTGATGAGGTGGGGATGGGTGATCGGGATAGAGTAGATGTGGGTATGGGTGTGGGTGTGGATCTAGAAGGGGGTTGGATGTAGATCTAGGTTTGGATGCGGATTTGGGGAATTGGTATGTTCCTGGTTTTCTAGCTGTGGGGGTAGGTACTATGAGTATGGGTGTGGGTGTGGGTGAGTGGGATCATGGAGGGGTAGGGGGTTCGACGGATTGGGAGGGGTATTGATTGGTTTGGTTTGGATTGGGTTTCATGGTATATGTTAAATATCTACATATTGGAGAGTAATAGGTACCCTCAACCCTACAGAGTTTGTTTATTTACCCCGTCCTATGTTCAAATTGATTACGGAGTACTCAAGTCTTTACTTCATCGGTTTTGTTTCTTTCCACTATACGGGCCATAGGGCATTATATTCCCCTTTACGCACTTGTCTCCCCTTCTACCCACGCTGACTTTCCCATTCTCTGACCATTAACCTCCCAAATGACCGACCCCCAATCTCAGAGAAAATAATAAACTATCAGCAAACTCCCCCCGCCATCCTCATCGCCCCCCTCGCCTCATCCATCATCCCCAGAATCTGACCCGCCGCGAAGATATTATGCGTCGCCCCCTCAACCACCCACGCTTTCGCCGTATTGCCAATGCTCTTCATCTCCTCCACGATCTGCAGGTTCTCATCCACCATGACCTCCGCTGTACCCGTCTGCACGAAGATTCCCGTAGAGATGGTAGGAAATTCCCGGCCTAGGGGACTCAACCAGGCTTGTTCTCGGGCGTTTTCCTCAATAGGGGCGTAGCAACTGGCGCCCCATTCGGCTAGAGAACCGGTGAGATAGTCGCTGCGGGCGTTACGGTGATGGTTGATTTTGGCGGCTGTCGTTGGGGAGAGATCTAGCCAGGGACTCCAGAGGAAGGCTGCTCGGGGGAGAGGGAGAGGGAGGTGGTGGTTGCCATCTGTTTTTGATTCTGTGGCGAGGTAACGTAGTACTGTGAGGGCTAGACTGGCGCCGGCGGAGTCTCCGGAGATGATGAGCTTCTGAGGCGAGACGCGGAGGACGTCCAAGACGTAGGCATAAGCCGTGATGGCGTCTTGAAGGGCGGCTGGGAAGCAGGTGTGCGTGGAGGCAGCGGGCGTGGGTCCGGCTAGTCGATATTGCACCTGTAGCACGGGCTTGTTCAGAATGCCGCTGAGTTGATCAGGACCCCATCCGCCCTCCGGGGGACGTGCGCCTCCCATCACGTAGGCGCCTCCGTGGAAGTGTAGGACTATTCCGTCGGGGAAGGGACCCTTTGGAGATGTGGGTGCGGTGGAGTACCACACGGCTCCGATGGGAAGTGGGCGAATTGCTGGGTTGGTGAGGAGGATGCCACGGTAGTAATTGCGGGTTTTGGTGCTGGGAGCTGGCTGCATGACGATGAAACGATCTTTTTCGTCCCCCGGAAAGAGGGTTTTGTGAGCGTGAAAGTCCGTGGCGAGACTATAGCGCCACCATAGGTCAAATAGCTTCAGGCCAATTGCTTGGTGGTATGTCCAACCGGGATAGGGACGGGCGAAGGGGATTGAATAGTAAAGGCAAATGCCGAGGATGCGAAATGGTAGAGTGGCCAGGTACCAGCTCTTCACAAGGATGGGTCGTAGAGTTGCCATAATGCGTTGTCGATGAAGAACGCATGAGTCGCAGGGTGGGATTATATGGTGATGTCCCCTCTTTCTTGTCAAGATTGTGTAACGGTTCCAACAGATCATTCAGGGGGGCTGGGTTGTTTGAAACAAAGAAACATGTCGATCAGCCTGGGTCATCCAAAGCTGAAAATCATTTCAGCTGAGACACGTCTAGCCTTGAGCATCCCTGTCCGATGAGGCGCTAACTGACCTCCAGGATCGTTGCACCCCTGACACCTCCAAATTCATTTGGGTTGACCGGTTATGCAATTTATAGTTGGGCTTAGTTGGTCCAATTTATCCAGACTTCGTATGTTAGGCAGATAAGATGAGGTTTATGCCGCTCCCATCCTGCCAATGCTCCTCCAATCACCGATAGGTTCCTGTTACCAGTATAGCGATGATCAAGTGTATTCTATTTGGGGCTTCTTATACTGTCTGGCTTGCAGGTGCCAAAACATGTGATTGCAGTTCCGATCCAGAAACGGATCGCCAATACCTCCAGGTTGTCTCCCCTTATTTTTTCGCGACAGGGTAGTGAAATGCACTCATGAGGATTCCGTAACTGCGATAACAATCTTGCCTCTCGTCCGACCTGTCTTGAGTTTCTCAAATGCTTTGGGAGTATCCTCGAAGGAGAACTTTGCATCAATATTGATTGTGATCTTGCCCTCAGCCACCCAATTCCCAAGCAGAATGAGATCCTCCCTATTTGGAGAACCTACGATGAACACATGACGACGCTGCGCGCCGCCCAGGAACGAAGGAACGGATTTATTGTAAAGGGTGTGGAGGAGACCAATCAAACCTGAGACAGTCGCTGGTGCTCCGATCTGCGCGACTTTGGCCTCTGGCTTTGTGATCAGATGTGCGAATCGGTATAGATCGGGTGTATCTCCGATTTTGTCGACTATATGGTCAAAGGTCTGACCATTCTCGCGATGTAAATCGATCAGATTGCCCTGGGTGTAATCGATGACTTGCGCACCAAGCCCTTGGCAGAATTCTATGTTCCTCGTTGAGCATGAGGTCGTCACCTCGGCTCCGAGAATTTTGGCAATTTGGATCGCAAAGATGCCCACTCCGCCGCTACCACCATTGATGAACACCTTTTGTCCAGTCTTGATAAACGGCGCAAGGGCTTTGTAGGCTGCCATGGCGGCGGATGTGATGCTTGCCGCTTCTTCCGGGGAGACACCATCCGGAACACGCACACAGCTGGACATGGGGGCGATGAAGTATTGGGATAGGGTCCCATGTTGCTTGGGACTACCGAGACTTCCGAAGACTAGATCGCCCAGCTTGAGATCTTGGTTGGAGGGATAAACTGCTTTGACACGGCCATAGAAATCATATCCAGGGGTTGCAGGAAGCCCGATGGCGAATTTGGTCAAAAGTCCAAGCTCTGCTATCTTATAGTCGGCCGGATTCAGGCTCACATAGAGACTTTCGACAAGGACCTCATTTGGGGACAGGTTCTCGGCAGAAGGCTGGGGGAGATCCGTCTTGAGACAGAGTCGCTTCTCAAGGTCGCCAGTTGCAGTAGCATACTGCCATCCACTCATCAAACTCATCTTGATTCGGTTTTTCCAATATAGAATGGCAGATGATGGATATGCCAACAGCGTCACCAAGAAAGTATGGTTTTAAGGCGAGAAATGACCTCATCCGCGACGGATCGCGGAAACATCTTACCCGAGCGGGCAGACATCCTCCCGGGCCGATCAGGTGACTACATCATCAAAGGTTGAATCGTTTTCTCAGTCCATCTTTATAGCTTTCTTCCTCTTTCAGCTTCTTTTCAATCAAGCTATCCGCTTCGACGCACCAGTACGGACTGACTGTCCGATCAAATATGCTTTGTGTGCAGTGCTCTTCGGAGAATCTGCTCTGGATATGCTCGTTGAAGACTCGGAGGAGCCCTTTCGGGCTATGCACGGCTTGGAAATACCAGAAACTCCCCCTATCCCAGCAACTCCTCACAATCTGTGCGTGAGAAACATTCGAACGCTGAGATACCTTTTCCTGTTCATCCAGCGCCTCCATGAATTCAATCACAACCTTTTCAAAAGTCTCTAGATCCTCTCCACGTTCAATGTCATCGATAGGCCGACCAGTCAGCCAGTAAGGAGGTGCCTGAAGCTCGACTGGAAAGGCACAAGCCCATTCTAAGTCAATGAGAGATGTGATATGCCAATCTTCATCGACAAAGATATTGCTCGGGTGGAGATCGGTCAGGGTCAGTACGAATGGGCCATGGCGGTACTGCCGAGAAATAAACTGATGTAGAAGGCCCCGCATCATGGTCAACGCAGCTAGTCGTTCTTGACCATCCTTCACGTCATGGATCGCATTTGGCTAATGATAGATACGGTTGTCGTGACACTGTAAAAGATCTAGAAGGTACGGTTCGACGGATTGGTAGGTTGAGTTATATGGAATGGTTGGAATTCCCTCGTTCTCAAAGGTTTGAAGGCGTAGCGTCAAGGGGCGATTAGTGAGACTTATAATACCATCGTTGCTCACAGTGAGGGATCCAATCCGAGGCAGCTGGGTACGGTTCAATGACAGAATAATGTTCGCAAGGTCATTGAACAGCGTTTTCCTCCGTATTGTGTCTTGAAGGTGAAGTCCCCAAGAATCAGAGAGCATCCGGCCACTCTTGATATAACCAATAATCATGGACCCCGTCCTCAGTGCACCCAAGCGCTGTAAGCCAACGTAAGGACACGACGTCGGAAACCCAAGCCATGAGCGTACCACCCAATTTATTCGCCAACGAAGGCGAGAGAACAGGGATACACAGGCAGGTTCAACGAACTGCAACCGGCTGTGACTTAGCTAGAGTACTGGAACAGGCCTTGGGCTCACATACAGTTTGTCCATCAGGGAATGCAAATCCATGGAGTGATGGGATGGGCACATTCGGACAATTCTGCCGGATCCAAATATAAGTAGCTGCTTCGCATCGCAGCTTCTCGTCCACGTTCCCAGGTTTAATCTCTTCACCGATCTTGTAAGGTAGCGGTATTCGAACAAGAACATGATTCTCAGAAGGTGGGTTAATGCAAATTGGAATGCATACATTGTAGCTGCCAAACATCCAGTCGGCTTCATCAGCAACCTCGCAAGATTTTGCGCGAGGATGATATGCTACCGTATTTCGATTTCAGCTTTGAGAGATATAAGATGTGACCAAAAGTCCTTCTGCTTCCGCGGATAATCTAATCGATGCAAGATATTGTCGTCGTCTGCCAGGGCATCGTCCAAGGAAACATTGTTTCCTCTGAGGAGAGGTAGTGTTGTCATTGTAGGGTCAATCCCAAGCTGGCGTGATCAAAGCAACCAAATAATAAGATAGACCCATAAGACATGACTTTGGCTTCTCATTCAAAGCAGCACTAGTCGTTGTTCGGGGCCAGCCGCGAATAAGTGGAACAACAAAACCACAACCGATTACCTAGAGAAGAGGCTGGGCTCGGCTCAGGGGCGGCAATTCAGGGCGGTGTAATAGCGCTAATCCAAATCCGGTTAAGCTGGAGCGGATGCCGGAAGGGATATCCACCCGAGCTGCCCCTGGAGATCTGGGTCAGTAGTAGTCAGTAACATCACGAATTTTGACGATTCTCGGACCATCGGGGTGACCCAATCATTACAGGATAGCCCCCCGAGAATAAAACCACGCCTTAGCCTGATCAACCCCCAAGACTGTACTGAGAAGCATCCGCCCAAACAAATCTACATCAGCCGGTCGTGCAGATTGCAACGCGCCCACAAAATCCGCATTGCAGATCAGAAAATGCTGGTTCTCGTTCCACGCAACCGCAAAATCAAAGGCAGTCTGCGCGTTCCACAGCTGTGCAGATAGATACCACGAATGGTTGAGACCCAGACGGCCGTCGCAGCTGAGGTTGTTTTCGCCGATAATCAAGCGGTATATCTGGATCAGGTAGAAGCTGAACAGCGCAGTGCGTCGCGCCGACTCCTGGTATACCCAATCGCTCCATGATTGCATGACAGCTTCCATGGGTGCGGAAGAATCAGTTTCGGCTTCCACAGCTGGGAAATGAACAAGGCTCAAGAGGTTGAGGGCGGCGGTTTTCAAGACAGGGATGAGTGGTTCGGCGGATACGCGGGCGTGGATATCACCATCGAAGAGACGCATAATTTGATAGAGAATGAGTGATTGCGTGTAAGCGAGGGCTTCTATATGTGTGCTTGGAGGTGGGGAGGTGAGCAGGTCGTCGATGCGGGTTTTGAAGGAAGATAGGATGACGGGGGTGTTGATCTCGTTTCGAGCCATGTAGAGGGCACAGCAAGCCAAAGCGTCTGCTATTATTAGAAACGCATAAGCTGGTAGGACGGCAGTGGCCTACCTTGCACTGACCTCGGCATGCCATCTTTGTACAGCTGGCGATGACACCATGGGGTCTGGTTTTCCAGAACCATCATTCTGGGTGCTTGGTTTAGCACATCTATGCCGAATTGCAAGCGTGTCGCGACGATTGTCGAGATAGGCATCAAGGATCTCGTCCTTATCACGGCAGTACCTGGGTCCTGGTATGCTAATGGCGGCGCGGAAGGTTGTAGGGGTGGACATTCGGCAAGTAGATCGAGAAGATCCGTCTCTGGGTTGGAGAGATCAACCACCCCTGACTCTACATGTGGTAGGAGTATATCGAAGTCAGTCACGCATTGGGCCTCCCCATATTGTGGCGAGAACAAATCCTCAGGAGGACTAATCGGTAATGACGATGCCTCCTTGTCCATCTGCGGTTGTCTTCCCGGATAGACGCAGATCAGGTTGCGGCGGGCACATCGAAAACAAGCCGGCCAGGCTAGGTCGCAGCGCCGCTTGGCAACCTTGCAGGCTTCACAGGACTTTCGCCGCGGCGGGGCATTATTCCGCTCTGCAGACGAGTTAAAAGACTCCATTTGTTCTTTTGTGACGCTGAGATGCTTTTCACGACATGAAGAGAAAAGATGACAGCGGAAGAAAAACAGTGGAGACGGCGGAGTTCCGCACGCTAAATCTACTTCGACCAATCATCGTGCAGCCAGACAAGTGGGTCTCCGCAGCGGACTTTGTATACCTCCTTTCAAGGCTTCAAGTCTGCCATATATAAACCCCCAAACTTACCCAGATATGCTCCCATCATCATTCCATCCCCTTCAGTGCACCATTCTGCATTCCCACTACATACAACTCTATTTCAATCCATTACTGTACACCTCTACCACATCCAAAACTACACAAATCTCTATCCCACCCACCCCACCACAATGTCCATCTTCGTCTGCGGCGCAACCGGCACCCAAGGCGGGTCCATCACGCAACACCTCCTCCAAAAAAACATCCAAGTACACACCATCACCCGCACACCGACCTCCCCCGCCGCCCAAACCCTCCAATCCCTCGGTGTACGCATCACCCAAGGCTCCTACGACGACGAAGCCGCCCTCCGAACCAGTCTAACCGGCTGCACGGGACTCTTCCTCAACATGATGCCCGATTTCCTCAACCCGGAGAACGAGACCATCCGGGGTCGTCGCATCCTCTCACTCGCTAAAGAAGCCGGCGTCAAATACGTCGTCTACAGCAGTTCCTTCGCCGCGAACGAACCTGAGAAAATCCGCACATTCACACCCACGAGCTTCACAGGGAAGATGCTCCTCAATAAACAAGCGCTGGAGATTGCGACCCGTACGGCGGGGTTTGAGAGATGGACGATTTTGCGTCCCGGGAACTTTATGTCGAATTTTCTGGGGCCCAGGGCGCGAATGTATTCTGGGTTGGTGGAGAAGAGGTGTTGGACGACGGCATGGATGCCTGAGACGAAGATTGCGATGGTGGATCCGGTGGATATTGGGCGGGTTGGGGCGGAGGCGCTCTTGGATGAGGATGAGAGGTTTCATGGGGCGGAGATTGAATTGGCGGGGGAGTTGTTGACGGTGGGGGAGATTTTGGGGGCGTTGGCGAAGGTTACTGGGGTGGAGTTTAAGGCGGATTATATGACCGAGGAGGAGATTGGGAGGCAGGTTGCTACGAATTTTTTGATTGAGGCGCAGTTGGCAATGCGGGATATGGCGCAGTTTGCAGATTTGGAGAAGATTGGGGAGCGGGGGTTGGGTTTGGGGAGGTTTGAAGCGTTTTTGGAGAGGGAGAAGGAGAATGTTGTGAAGACTTATTCTACTTAGTGTGCAACACCTTTTATTGATTTTTCTCATGTCATAGTGACCCATATCTGTCCATATTTTAGATTTTATACTCTGCCATGTGCCAAATCAAATATAGTGCAAGCTCAAACAGGCCAAGATGTCCAAATAAGTCCCTTATAGCTTCCCAGTTGCAATGTTACCTGCTCCTAGAAAGACCTTCTTATCCTTTAGCGACTCACTATGCCACTGAGAAGGTGACTGCGTGTCATATCCCGCATGAGAACGGACGTATCTCGATGCCACGGTCAGGGCCACTTCATCGCCATCGACACAGGCATCATACATCAACAGACTAGAGCAGACAATGGCTTGCACGTGGCTGAGTATCCCCCTTCCCCGCCAGAGAAGTTCGGCCTTTTCAGCCTTCTCTGTCGCTTGTATGAAACGCTCGAGCCTCTTATGGACGAGCACACACTCGTCCGGCAGTCTTTGACAGAACTGGAGTACGTTGCGCGTCCACTGACCCAAGATGTTCTCGAGGACTCTGCCGTCCCCGAGCCGCCTGTCGGTAATGACTCGAACCACATCTTCAGCCATCACACTGACTGTACCCTCCCAAATTGGATTGACCAGTGTGTCGCGGAAAATCCTCGCTATGTTGAGGATGCCGCCATCTTCATTGTTCTCACAGTATCCCACCCCGCCCAGACCCTCCATACATGCACGAAGGCCATGAACAGACTCCACGCTGACCAGTGCCTTTAATGCGGGTGTAATTAGTCGTAGCAGAGTTGCAGCTTGTTTCTTATCCCGTGGGATTAGCGGAGTGGCTTTGGTATTACGGACCATCAAGTTCCAATCTTGTTCGATGGAGCCCTGCAGCGCAATGCCGAAGAATGTCCAGTGCATCGCCGCCCAATATTTCACTGTTTCATCTGCCATCCACCGTACGTGCTGCCTGTTTTCTTCGAGAAGAGAGCCTTGAACCTTGCGAGCTCGCGTGTAGGCCCGACAGATGGCCAGACCGCGGCCCCAACCTGCCGTGGAACCAGCGGCTGTGTACAAACGAGTGACATTAAGGATGGTGGCCACTTCTTTCACTCCCCGTCCCTCTTCACCGATCAGCCAGCCTCGCACTCCTTTGAGCTCCAGCTCCGCTGTGGGTAATTGCTTGGTACCTAGTTTATTTTTCAGTCGCTGAATACGAATACCATTTAGCTCAGTCTCGCTCGCACATGCCGAAACGCGCCGCCGCATTGGTGCGTAAAACAGACTGAGTCCCTTGGTTGTCTGCGCGAGCATCACTGTCATCTCCGAGTCCGTCGCGCTGCTGAACCACTTGAAACCGTCAATGCGCCAAGGGCCAAGTGGCATACCATGGGCGTCGTGAGAGGCGCCCTGGAGCACTTCGTCTTGTGTAAGCCGACGTGCGATCGTCTCCGTTCCTCGCACATCACTGCCACCCGTTCGCTCCGTCATCCATTGACCGCTTGTCCACGCGACTCTAGGGTCTCGCGACACGAGGAGTTGGTAAGCTTCACGCATGACCTCGCTCCGACCAGGTTGGTCTCCATCGGGATCACCTAGATGAGCTGCAAGAAGCTTGGCTGCTCCGTCTGTCATAGATGCAGGGCAGCCCGTCATGGCAGCACTTCCAGACCAAACATGGTTCAGAGCGAATTGATGCACGCGGCGGTTCCAACTTGCGCTTTCCGTCTCGTACGCTGAACTCACGAGACCCTCTTCCTGGCCGATTGCCTTGAGCGCTTTCCAGCCGGCTGATGTCCATAGGGGATCGTTCCGGTTTTCTTCGCCAAAAGTGGTGAGTGGACGAAGAAAAGGCTGGTTGATCTCCGCGTCGACACTGTCCTGGAGTGTGGAGGGATCAAGGGCACGGCGAGCGACGTTGTGGATGGATTGACCCACGTTGCTGCAGTCGCGGGGAAGATAAAGCTCCAAGATTCGACCCAGGACTACATCGTCAGATTTATTGTGGTTCTTCTTGGAGCCTGCCGTGAAATTATAGCAGGGAAGGATCTTGGGGAGGCTTTGGAAAAACCCCTCCGTGGATGATGAGGGCTTGGAGGCCTGTCCTGCCATGAGTCTCAGGTTTGTCAGTTCTAGAGATTAGTGACTTGATAGAATAGCAGGGTGACCTCTCCAACCGACAGCCAGTGGTTCCCCACCTCGGCTGCTGACTCTCAACCCGAGACATCCGAGGACCTCGGCGGGCACTTGCATCACGAGTTGATTGGTGGTTGCATACCTACGGCTGAGTGTATGATGGCGATCGTTCCGCCGTGTTGGTCACCCACTAACATTAACTGTACTTGGTTATGTGCATGTTCATCGAATCTGCGAAGATGGCATCAATGTAGCGTTGTTCCAGAGAGGTGTCGAGTTTCCGTGCTGGTCGCAACATTCAGTGAGCGTTATCCAGCACCACAGGAGACGTGAGACATACCTGGGAATCTACCGTCGCTTTAGCAAAAGATGACATGGCTGTGTATCAAGCTTTTGGCACCAAATGGCCACATCGAGCGCATCACATGGATGGCGTCGACCATCCGCAACCACTTCAGCGTTCCCATCAATCGGGTATCAGTTCGTTCTTCGACATTGTCAAATAGACAAATCCATTCTCCTCCAATCATCATGTCGGTTAGGTCATCCCAAGCAGTATCGTGCTGCGGTCAAGAGAATGTTAGTATCTCTCCATAACCGTTCAAGGAGTCGGTACAACACCAACTCTAGTGTGGAGAGAAAACTCCCCTAGAGCTCCAGTAGGGTTATTTGATCAAGCGGTCATTTCAATGTCATAAAAGTACCGTTGTGGAAGCATTCATTGGGCGGCCAGTTGAGAGCTCGAGGGAGCAAGTGAGGGGTTCCTCTGGAACGAGCACACTGGCCATCTCTAAGGGGTTCTTGAGCAGCTGCTAGAAGAGTTAAATAGACGTTTCATGTAATAGATTTTCGGATGATGTATCTGGATAGATGTCAGTTCTTCTATGTTAGCAATCAGGAATTCAGGTAGTTGTGAGGTTGATCGAGGAAGATGGCGTTGAAAGGGAAGGAGTTGAGGATCGATGAATGCCATAATGCCGCTCTAGATTTCCGCGAACCACATTACCAGAAAATTATTTTTATCTTTATTACAGATATTCTTATTCATTTATGATCATCCAGATTGATCTGGTAAAACCACAACATGCCTACTGTGTAACGGAGCTGAGAATCATGATAAAACAAATACTTTATTCGAACAAATCCTCCATACCTCTTACCGGTAAGCATATGGCATGACCCCAGCTTTCAATCAATTCATTTATAAATCATGAATTTACTACCTTATAACCCCCCTCTTCCTTTCCAAAGCTTCCCTCAACCACCAATCCCCAAATCCCACAATTACCAGACAGACCAAATCCATACCCACTTTTAAAAAGCCCTCTCAACCTCAAACACCCCCCTCCCTCCCACATCTCCCCTCCTTGTCCACCCCAGGCCCACAACCCACCCTCCCATCAAACCTCCCCTCCTTCCCCAACGCAATCCACCCATCCCAATTCCCCCCCTTATCAAAACGCAAACATTGCGTATCACACCCCTCATACTTCTCCGCCTCTTTGAGAATATAATCCTCCACAGCCTTGCCAATCATCTCCGACTGAGTAAAAGGAATCCCGCAGTATCGGCCAGGAATGCGATACGTGTGGTAGGCGTATTTCCAGACGTCGGGGACGCGGTGGGTCTCGTTCCAGAGTTCGTTGATTGTGCCGTTGGTCGGGTGGCAGTTTGGGGCGCGGCGGAGGAGGTTTTCGTTTAGGGTGAAGGTGAGGGATCGGATGGTGGGGAGGGTTGGGGTGAAGGAGATGTAGATGTAGATTGCTAGGATTAGGGCGAGGAGGGAGGGGAAGAAGATGGTGAGGGGCATGGTTTTGGTTGTGTGAGGTTTGGGCTCAGTGGTTGTGTTTGGGAAATAGTTGGAGAATTGGTACAAATGAGATGTATCTTGACCGGGTGTTTATATGTCGATTAGCGCGGAGATGAAAGGAACGATGATATCATTGTGGTAATAAGACACACTAGCAGAGCCTCAAAAAGGCTTCAAGGCGGCCTATCAGTCTTTTTAAATGCGGTTGCCTGGGCATTTGGTGGGTAAAAGCCGCGGGCAGTGGAGAATTGTCCGCGCTAAGCACTGGGCAGGGTCTCAGTTTTCGTGGAGATGGGTCTCTCGGTTCCGACAGGATCAAAAGTTAGTATGACGGGATCAGAATATTGCTCGTATTGAGTCAGCTATATTGTAGAGCAGATACGGTTGGCCAGTTCTCGAAGATGCTCCACATGCTTTGGACGGTCGGAAACAGGCTAGAGCTTGAGTGATCTTCATGGCCCTATAGCACGGCCTCTAATGTACGGTTCCAGACGACCTTTATGGTTTTGAACAAGCTAAGATATCATAAAAGGAATTTCTCTTAGGAATATTTCCCATCACATTGAAATCAGCAGGCCGTAACAAGCGCCTAAATGATACAGTCCTTAAAATACAAAACGATATGTGACATAACGCAAGCATGAGAAAATGGGTATACAGAAAGTAGCGTATGCATGCATCACCAGTAAATATCCACATGAGTACCTAGTACCCATAGGCATTGTGGCCATCCCTCAGCGAAGCTCAAACGAGAAACACCCTCCAGCAAACCGGACACGCATCATGATACTCCAAGAACCAGCTCTCGAGGCACCTTCCATGAAAGACGTGTTTACAGGCCAATGCGTGGATGATGTCTTCGCTATGGACGGGGTCGAGGCATATTGCACTATTCATGATCCAATTATCGTTAGCTTGCTTTGTTATATATTCAGTACAGATCATCTGGATTGAGACTATATACGCAAACGGGGAAATATGTGTATACCAGATACTGCTCTCCCCCTCATCACCTAGCAACGGGCTCCGCTCATTGCGAAGCGACGAACTATACCATGTCTCGTAGCGTTTAAGAGGCGCAACACGATTGAGGGATTTCAAGCGCTGGGAAGAGTCCCACGGGGATGGTTGGTCCGGGGTCGCGGCAGGTGTGGAGGTGAAGTCGAGAGTACCGTATGCGATGCAGTAAGATTTAAGGAGAAGACTAAGCATACATATAGTCAAACGTTAGTGTTTTTCTATATGAGTGAAGAAGAGGATGGAATGGTACCATATCGCTGTGATGATGTAGATGCCTAGACAAAGAATGAGAAGGACTTGAAGTTGAAGAGTTTTATCAGGAACTTTAGGACTGCCTGGATCTGGAGTCGGCTGTGGTGTTGATTCTTCCATTGTCTCTTTGGCAGCTGTCTAAGATGTATAGAATGCGTTGTTGTGGATCATCCGGGGAAAATGTGAGAGAGGTCTATCGTGCCTGTGAGGGCGTTTTTAATATGTCAGAGCCGGGGAGGAAAGCCTCGCAGCCGAAGTAACCCCGAGAGAGGCTGCATTCAGAAGGTAGACAATCTGGGGAAAGCAAGAGGGGGTGAGGGGTCAGGTCGGAGTGAATATGGTCCGACCAGGGAATAAAGACAGCCGGGTACCTTATACGGCATGCATCCAGGGGAATACCGCGAATAAACTTTGGGCTTTGGAACCCGCTAATCAGGCCACTAAACAGGGGAGGTCATCGTGACGCGTTCATTTCAGTGCAGTGAATGAGAAAAGACTTGGCTGTTGTACATGCAGTCCGTGCAGTGCAGATTACTAGGATTATCCTCGTTGACAGGTGAAATGATATTCTCCGATATCCGAGTGCATACACGAATTAGACTTTCCCAGGCCACATCTAGACCTCTCCCTCTAGTCAAATATCAGGGCAGTCCCGCGTCCACCATATCTGCCCACCTCCACCTTAAACAACCGTCTCTATGCCTCAAACCATTCCCACAACTCTACCCAACTCAACAAGGTTATAGTCTACAATGACCTCTAAGATCCCGGAGAATCTCTACCATGTCCTCCTCACAACCACCCACATCAACAAGAACCCCAACAACATCATCGAAACCCTCCGCATCCCAGGCACCTACACGTCCCTTCTTGCCGCCAAAGCCGCTGCCCACAGCTGCCTTTACGACGCCGGCTACGAGCGAGACTTTTTCCCGACCTACGAAACCAGCCACGCTATCTTTGAGAAGGAGAACCTCCCCGACCGTTTGGGCCTCGCCATTTACGCTGTGGCCCCGGACGGCACCACATTCCGCGTCCGCATAGACACCACCCCTAACAAACTTCAACTCACCACCGATCTTGACGACGGCCGTGTCTCCATCCCGCTGTACTATGTCGTCCAGGCTAATGTGGAGTACGATGCCATTGAGGGACAAAGTACCGTCCGGGAGGTGATTGTGCAGAGCACTTTCACGGAGTACCTTCAGGGGAGGGAGTATGCGAGGAGTGTGTTGCTGTCAGAACAGGACGGGATCTTGAAGGGCAGTTATGCAGCGTATGTGGAAGCCGGAGAGGAGGAACGAGATTGTGGGTATGGGGAGAACGTGGTTGTGCATGCGTCGTCTGATTATGGGGTCAATCATCTAGTTAGTGTGATTAGGAATCAGGAGTTGGGGAGTGTGATTTTGGCGGAGGCTGCGATGAGGATTGGTTAGTGCATCTTTGAGGTATTCTCATTCAATGATTATGAGCCTTTCATAGGGACAAGTGGGGTCTGAAAGTAGCTTCTGTCTATTCGATTTGTTGTCTAGTCAACTTTCATCTGTGGCTCGGTAATTGAGTCATCCTTGTGCAACCCTCTCAGCAGTAGATCCCAGTAGTTTAATCATCAGAAAAGAATGATTGGCCCATTAGACCGACCTATCCAGCGAGTATCTCCCGGCCCGGGGATTTGACTGTCCCACTACCCTTATTCCTCTCTTTTGCAATGATGGCATGATAGGTAGGGAACTTATGGCCAGAGTTCCACGTACAGATGACAGCATGAATCTGCCAATCCCTTGCATAAGTACAACTACCCCATGCCCATCTACCCATCCATCCGCAACACGCAAAGAACCCTTCCTTCTCATCTATCAGCATCCCTACCTCACCCCTTGTCCAATCTTCTAAAGCAATGTCCTCCAAAACCCAAACCCCGCGCTTCGACATCCTCGAAACACCTGATGGCTACACCCTAGAAGGTGAATATCCCGGCATCAAAAGAGAGGATGTTTTCATTCACTTCCCCAAGCCCAGCACTATAGTGATCCAAGGCTATGTTAAGCCCAAAGACCCCTTTGAGGGTTATGAAGGCAGAGGGTGGTGGGTCTCGGAGCGAGTGACGGGAAAGTCTTATCGGGCATTTATATTCCCCATGGAGATCGACGTGGAGCGGACTGTTGTCAAGTTGGCGGATGGGATATTGTCAATCCAGGTTATGAAACATGACACTGGAAGGGAGAAAGAGTGGTGCGCTAAATGGGAGATGGTGCGTTGATTGAGATGTGGGGATGTTGTTGGCGGTGGTACTAGTGACGGTCTTGGATACGGAATTTGGAGCGATTGTTGAGATGACATCATCGGGATTAAATCGGGGGGGTTTTAATTAAAGACGAAAAAAGAAGGGTTTGGAAAAGGGAGGAAGGAGGATGAATGCAAAGAAAAATACAAAAAGATGGTCCCAGAGGGGCTCGAACCCTCGACTTTAACGTTATTAGCGTTACGCTCTAACCAACTGAGCTATGGGACCCGCTTGTTGAATAGCCTCCAAAACATAAACATTATAGTCTACAACAACAATTTGTGCTCAACCAAGCATCTATATCTGTCTGTCTGTTGCTTGATGATTCAATATTATAAACTCCAAACTTCTGGTACCCTTCAAGTAGCCGTCTATGGGCTTGGAAAGCAGCGTATTATATGTAAGTCTGACATTGAGTGCAAAATTGAATCCCAAGTACTAAAAGTACAAGGTACTAGTGCGGGAAATATATATCCATGATCCTGGCACCAATTTCTCCATCAACCCCCATTGTCGCAGCCTACCTCACACCTATATTGCTTTGTCTAAAAAATGACACGACTAGGTTAGGAAGGAAGTGTAGAAGGCACAGTGGGCCTGAGCCTAGGAGAATAGGCCCAAGCAGGTCATGAACATAAAGCTGGTCTGTCTCGCACCCCCATAGTCATATGCTATAACCTCAACTAATTGTGCTATTTGACCAGAGCCGAGCCTGTCATACACCCTAGAAGCACATATAAATTGATACAGAAGAGCAAATAGCTACATCGATAGACTTTCGTCTAGCAGAAGTGCGGCGGTAAATACCAGCCATGGGTTCGAAGTCAGCCCCGCAAACAGTATAGTTCTGTTTTATTTCCAGTTCAGCTCACAAGTCTAGGCACAACTCTACGTCATCAAGAGCATGACAAATATGCTGAGTTTGCAATTGCGATAGCTTACATGGAGTAATTAGACATCTTCGCTTCGCTTCCCAATGGCTTGCGATATCGGACCGTGGGGACTGGAGTTGAGAACTGTTTCTGCCCCAAGTATGGGGTATTACATCCTCTTTATCTACCTCCAGATATGGCATTACCAATTTCCATGAGACTCCTGGGGTTAAGCGGGGGCCGAATGGTTTTCGACCCGAGGTCCAACAACCATCGGCCGGATCCGATGGGAAGCCAGCCGGCTGGTGGAGAATGCCACGACGATCCATTCTTAGCGGGGAAGATGGCTTCCTCTGCTTGGCGATCGATGGCTCTTGCTGTCCCTTACAACTCCATGAGTTACGTCTGGCACGCTCGGCTACACAAACCTTATTCTAGTCCGGAATGAACAAGTCCACGCGACACGGGCGCCGCCGATGACCGTCCATTACCAGGGGATGATGTTGTATAAAATAATGGACCGGATGCCAGGTCAAGCGCAAGCCAAGTCCGATGAAATACAATAGGCGGGACTGGCTGATGTCGCGATCATTGCATAGTATCCTTTACTGCATGTCTTAGCCATGCAACCCTACTTTGGCTTGCGTGGCGCTCTTCTGAACCGCGCTATCATTTGGCTGGTTGTCTGCCCGGCCTTCGTGTGCTATGGTTACAACCAGGGGGTGACGGGGGGTCTGCTAACGCTGCAGTCGTTTGCGGAAACCTTTCCCCAGATGAACACTCTCACCACTACTGGCGCTCAGCAGCACTACAACTCTACCATCCAGGGTATGATTCCGCCCCAGTAGGCAATCAAAGATTAACCGTTGCAGGTACGGTGGTCGCTTTGTACACTGTCGGCGGCATATTCGGATCCTTGTCATGTATCTACTTAGGTGATCTTCTAGGCCGGAAGCGAGTGATCTTCTTCGCTTCAGCTGTGTCGATAATTGGTGCCCTGCTGATGGCCACATCGTTTGGACTGGCCCAGTTTATCGTGGCGCGTGTTGTCCTAGGGTTGGGAACTGGTGGCTACGTTGCCACTGTGCCCGTGTGGCAGGCTGAGATTTCGCAGGCGGGCAAGCGAGGCGCGCATGTCGTGACGGATGGTATCTTCATTGGTGCTGGTATCACTATCTCGCTGTGGATTGATTTCGGCTTCTACTTTGTCACGGGTAACTCCGTGTCGTGGCGGTTCCCACTGGCCTTCCAGATTGCCCTGTCGCTCATGGTGATGGCCTTTATTGTAGTCTTCCCCGAGTCACCTCGATGGCTAATCAAGCGGAATCGAACGGATGAAGCCCGGGAGATCCTGGCTGCGCTGGCGGACGTCGACCCGGCCGATGAGAGCATCACCCTGGCGATGCGCGACATCGAACGGTCGCTTGCGCTATCAGGGTCAGGCTCATGGAAAGATATGTTGAGCATGGGCGAACAGCGACTGTTCCATCGGACGGTGCTGGCCGCGGCGGGACAGATGTTCCAGCAGATGTGTGGAATCAACCTGATCACATTCTATGCGACCACCATCTTCCAGCAGTATCTGGGACTCGATGCGGTGCCGTCGCGGATTTTGGCCGCTGCAATGGGTCTAACACAGCCACTAGGCGGATTTCTCGCCTTCTTCACGATCGACCGGCTTGGCCGACGAGTACTGATGCTTGGGAGTGCAGTTGGGATGTCAGCATCAATGGCTATCTTAGCCGGGACGACATCTCAGTCAAACAACTCCGCCGCGCTGGTCGTGGCGGTGGTGTTCCTCTTCGTGTTCGAGTTCATCTTCACGGTGGGATACTCGGGGGTGACCTTCCTGTACGCGACAGAGGTCGCACCATTGCAGCTGCGGGCGGCCATCAGCGCAGTGTCGACGGCGGCCGTGTGGACGTTTAATTTCCTCCTCGCCGAGGTGACTCCGGTGGGATTCGATACGATCGGATACCAGTACTACATCATCTTTGCGGTGCTGAATGCGGCGATTGTGCCGATTGTGTACTTTTTCTTCCCGGAGACAAACGGACGATCGCTGGAGGAGATTGATGAGATCTTCCTACAGTCGAAAAGCGTGTTTGATCCGCCACGACTAGCCAGGACGTTACCACGGATGCATCTGGCGGAGGTGGTGGATGATCCGGAGGTGGATGCGAAGGTTGGGAAGAATGGTTATGATTGATGTACCCACTTAGCTATTTTCATGTTAGCAAGAAACAGCTGCATGTCAATGTGGGAAAATGACCCCATAACGTTGATGAGGATACATGATCTAAACCAGATCACACCTAATTCATCCCTGGCGAGTGCTTCGAACACCCGTGCTGTATCTTGAGGCTTTCTGTAGAAGCCCATCACCTGATTGGCGCTCGGTCCTCATCTTCCCCTCTTCTCCCCCCTCTTCTTTCCCCCATCTTCCATCTCATCTCTCCTACCCTCCACCACTCTCACATGCCATCTTGACTCTATGATGCCCATCAAGCCTCGGCAGCTTACATCGGAAAAAGTAGGATGAAGATGGACAAAGAAAACGCTAATTCAAACTCTGCTCACCACGCCAGCACATAGCTGGGTGACTTCCCCGCATGTCAGACTCACTGATGTGACCCTCCTGAGGCCCCACCAGATACGAGTAGGATTATGGTGAGATTCGTTGTATCCGATTCTCTATTCGTACTATTCGTATAAGGTTCATACTAATGGAGCTAACAAAGGACTACGACTACGCGATCATCAAGTTCCAGTTCTTCTCCGGAAGCGTCCAGATAGCATCATTTGCATTAACGTACATGTCATTAACTCATCCATAACCGGCGCAGCCTTTACCGCACAGTGTATCCTCCATCGATAACCAGATCGTGGCCCGTCGTGTACGTACTGGCATCACTAGCCAGATAGACATAAGCACCCTTCAGCTCCTTTGCATCTCCGTTGCGGCCCATTGGAATCATCGACATCCACAGATCCTGAACCTTCTTGTCCACAAAGTCCGACAGTCCAGTGTCGATGTAACCCGGGGAAATGCTGTTCACGCGGGCAAAGTCCCTCCACTCATTCGCCAACGACCGGGCCATGTGGATACACCCAGCCTTGGCCACGTTGTACGAGGTCTGTTCTTGCGGGAAGTTGGCAATGTGTCCGGACATGCTGGAGGTGATGATGAAGCTGCCCTTGCCCCGCTGCTTGAAGTGGGGGCCCACTGCCTTGGCGCAGTGGAATGTGCCCGTCAGATCGGTCTGAATGACCTCTTCCCAGTCCTCCACGGAGCCGTCCAGGATACCGCTGTTGGCAGTCTTGCCAGCGTTGGCGATGAAGGCGTCGATTTGGCCAAACTCGGCAAGCACGTCGTCGACGAGCTTCTTGACGCTGTTCCAGTCGCCCACGTTGCACTTGTAGGCCTTCGCCTTGACACCGTAGGTCTCTGCGATTTCTGCGGCGTTCTTCTCACCACCTTCAGGACGAGACGAGTAGGTGAGGGCGACGTTGGCGCCCATTTCAGCGCAGCCACGGGCGGCTTCAATGCCCATACCACGAGGGCCGGAGGCGCCGGTCACAACGACGACCTTGCCTTTGAGGCTGAAGAGGTCGTGGAGGCTGGAAGCGGAGGGAACAGGGATAGGCATTTTGGTAATGTGTAGAGGAAATTTGTTATGAGGAATTGAGAGTTGTTGATGTGAGAATGGAGGACAGCATCGGCGCATCTTATATAACCGAATCGGGAGTGATGAAGTCATCGAAGCTATGACGTCATGACCCAAACCGGTTGCCAAGTCTCCAACCCTAACAGCATCATCTCCACATTCACCCACTTCCACTGGGAAAGTTGCAGACTGGAGATGGCCACTCAGAGGATCGGATTTCTCGGTCGCCCCGGGTTTCGTTAAGGTCACTCGGCCCGGATTCGGTCATGACGACATGTCGCCGCCGACCGGTGCAGGCTCTGCACCTATTTGACCCAACCTCACCTCTGCACTTGCCAAGCAGGAACTGCATTATCCAGAATATAGGATAAAATATACTCATGTCAGCTCCAGCCGAGAATCGTCGCCCGCAGCTGCGCCGGGGCAGCACAAGGCACACGAATGAGTTTGATGACACGTTTGCCGGACGGTGAGTGTCAATCTTTGCTTAAGATAGCGACCGCTAACGGTCCGCAGGTCACGATCGTTCTTCCGCCGTGAATCCCATGTGGGAGTGGTTAGTCACAATGATCTGCGTGACAGGGAGGACATTGAGATCCATACATGGAACGGGAAAGACGATCCCGACAATCCGTGAGACGTATACCGCAGGATATATGTGCATAGCTAACGACTCAGGTTCAACTGGAGCACCACTTACAAATGGGTTCTCACTTTGACTGTTTGCTTCATGTATGTTGCTCCCCATTAGTAAAGTCTTCACTAACAGAAGCAGTTCCGTCCTCACCGGTATTCCAGCCGGCTCCTACGGTGCCGGCAACGACTGGATGGCATCTCAATTCCACGTGCAAAACACCCCTTTTCCTAACCTTTACTGGGCTACGACCTCGTGGAACATGGGGGCAGCCTTCTGGCCCCTCATCTTCGTTCCTCTGACTGAAGCCTCCGGTCGCATGCCGGGGTACTTTGTGGCATACATCATCCTGATCATCTCCCTCTTTCCCTCGGCCTTTGCCCAAAACTACGCCACACTCGTAGTGACCCGCTTTTTTGGCGGCGGGGGCTCCTCCGTGTCCATCAACATTGTTGGCGGCAGCATCAGCGATGTCTGGTACGGCGACAAAGCACGTAGTCTTCCCATGTCCATCTTCGGGTTGACCAGTGTGATCGGAATCGCCCTCGGGCCATTTGTCGGGTCTGCCATCGTCTCCATCCACAAAGACGAGCCATGGCGTTGGATCTTCTACGTCCAAATCATCTACCTCACGGGTCTCCTCCCGATCTTCTGGTTTATTCTTTATGAGACGCGCGCGGACGTGATCCTCGCCCGACGTGCCAAGAAACTCCGCAAAGAAACTGGCCGACCCATCTACGCCGAAGCCGAGCTCGACAACACCAGTGTCTGGCGCTTGCTGCAAATTTCCTTTGAACGACCTACCCGCATGCTCCTCACTGAACCCGTCGTCGCGTTCTTCACACTCTGGATCTCCTTTGCCTGGGGAATTCTCTACCTGTTCTTCAGCAGTGTTGTCCAAACCTTTAGCACCAACTACGGCATGAATGTCCTGCAGACAGGGTGCATTCAGCTCGCCATCTCCGTGGGCGCTGTTATTGGCACCATCATCAATCCCCTCCAGGATATTATCTACCTGCGGTCCGCTAAGAACAACAAAGAAAAGCCGGGGAAACCGGTACCAGAAGCCCGACTGTATACCAGTATCGGGGGGAGTTTGCTCTTCGCGGGGGGGCTATTCTGGTACGGTTGGGCTAGCTTTCCCTCTGTGCATTGGATTGTGCCGACATGCGGGATTGCAGCTTGCGGCATTGGAATTTACAGTATCTACATGGCGGTGGTGAATTACCTGACAGATGCGTATGAGAAGTACGCCGCGTCGGCGTTGTCGGCCGCATCGCTAGGACGGAATAGCTTTGGGGCGTTTCTGCCTCTGGCGAGTTATCAGCTGTTCGAGAACCTGGGCTATGGCTGGGCGGGATCGCTGCTGGGGTTCATTGGACTGGCATTGTCGATTGTACCGGTGGTGTTGGTATGGAAGGGGCCGGAGATTCGTCGCCGGAGTCCATTCATGCGGGAGGCTACGTTCGGAACAGACGAGGAGGAGGACGTGGTGATGGAGAAAGAGGGGGATGGCGAGACAACAGGGACAGTGTATCGGGATACACACACGGGATATCCTCAACACGACACGCAGCGACTGAATGTCAATGGACAGGAGGAACGTCCGGGGGATGCAGTATAAGCTTGCTTGATTTCATGTATTATTCAAAGACATGTACGATAGAAAAGTCTTCCCCCCCCACATCTCCCTCATACTCAATTACTTAGCATAATTCTGATGCCAAACATATTCTCCCCCCTTTACCCCCTCCAACAACTCCCTAACGGCTCTCCTCGCCCCGACGGGCTCCCTCCCCAACACCCTCCCCATCAACCCATCCGTCGTCTCCAACTCCCCCTTCCCAATCCCCTCATACCACCCAACCAACTGCCTAAAGAACCCCTCCTTTTTCCCACCCTCATCCGTCTCCGCACAAACACGCACATACGTCTCCGGATCCACAAACTCCAACACCACCTCCCGTCCGGTCGTCTCATTAATAATCCCCACAATCTCACCAAACGTGATCGTTTCCTTCGCCGTCAACAACACAATCTGATCCTCATGACCCCCCTGAATCATAAGCTTGGCGGTTGCCTCGGCCAGTTCAGACCGTAACGTGAAAGCGATCTTCCCGTCCCTGGTGCTAGAGGGGAGGTATAGGGTGGTAGTGGATGGGTACCAGTTCATGAAGACGGGAAAGGCATCAGTGTAGACGCCTTCGCGGATGGAGGTGTAAGTTACTCCGGACCTATTTCTATTATTAACAGAACTGAGAGAAACAGGTGGTAGGGGCTAGGATGTAGGGGTAGGAATGAACATACCCCCTCAACATCTCCTCCGTCATCAAATGCGCCTGTTGCACTGATGCTTTCGAATGCGAATCAAACCCTCCGAAGGCGAGGGATGTATACCATATCTATTCCCAAACACCATATTAGCCAGCCCCCCAAATCCCCCCAAAAAGCAATAAAAAACAGATAGAACATACATGTTTAACACCCACCCTCCTCGCAACATCAACCACATTCCAATGCTGCCTCCTCCGCCTCTCCACATCAAAAGTATTCGTGCTCACGAAGAGAAGATTCTCCACGTCTGCGAAAGCCGTTTCAAGTGTAGCTGGATCATCGTAATTGACGGTTCGGAATTGGATTCCCTGGGAAGTGAACCTTTCGCTGTTGGAGGGGTTGGATGATGAGGCGGCGAAGTTGTTTTTGGGTAGGAGGGTCAGGAAGTGAGATAGGATTTGGGAGCCGAGGCCGCCGGTGCTGCCGGTTAGGAGGTATTGGAGGGGCATGGTTTTTTTTTTTTTGCTTTGGGGGGGGGGGGTTGTGGTGGTGAGTGGTGAGGATTGAGGATTGGGAAGAGGGGGTGGGATTGTGGTTGCAGTGGATGATGGATGATAAATAGGATGAGAAGGGGTTTTTATACGAAGCTGTAGTATAGTCCTTCATATAAGATGGATAAAGTATGCAGCTATGACATGACGCCATAAGCACAGCTAGCTATACGTACACTGTAACGCGGTGCTGATAAATCGACGTATTTGTAAGATTGATTGTGGGGCATGCAGCGACTAGTCTTTCCTATTCATTCTTGTTGTTTTTACTTGTAAAGATGATTGGATGGACGAGGGTACTGATCCATATTTATTACTAGGTGGTGGCTTGTTTTACTAGAGTGATTAGAATATTTGCCAGTGGCTCTAAATGGGGGAATGGAGAGGAGATCTGGGGATGGGATGATTCCTCGGGTTTAATTCACGCCGAGACGAACCCCGCATGGCTTGTGCTTATAAAACAGGCTAGTGAGTGGGGTGCTATGTAGGAACTAAGAGAAGCGCCAAGAATATGATCGAGCAAAATACTAATAAGTCTTAGTTAAAACTTGCAAGTTAGCTGTGATTAAGAGCATACATATCATACGGTTTGTTCTGTAAGACAGCGGTCTGATACCTAGATTATTTAGTGAGATTCCCTGCTATAGATTCCCGCGGGCATAGGGAGTATATGGATTAGGAAACTTAGAATAATCAATTTTATAGAACAGGCATCACTGTAATTCTCCCCTGAATAATGAGACGGGATTTACTAGGTGGTTGGGTAAGTATTATTTACTGAAGTGATTCCTAAATATTTCAAATAATCTACAACCATTACTCTCCATAGTAAATACACATTTCCAACACCCAAACACAAAAAATGGCGAATTCCTGATCCTACCACGGTATCTACCTTTTGATACGCAGGAGAATCCACGACATCCTCCTACAAATAATAGAAAAATAACCTGCCCGATCAGGAAGATGACAGCGCCATAAACCAGGTATAAATACTATCTTGATCTCCTAGATTAATGAGCAATCATCATCCCAAGCCCAATAATCCCACCTCCACCATACCAACCATACCATACCATGTCATCCACCCCCATCCCCCCGGGCCTCACCCCAATCATCAACAACCTAACCCACCTCATCGAAACCAACAACTACCTGAAAAAAGAACTCCCAGGTCGATGGGTCTATATTGGCGAAGCCTTTGAAAAAGAGATGCAGAAACTCGAAGATGAGATGTATCGTGGGGGGAATAATGTCCGTATATACTTATATTTTCCATACCTACCAGTATCACTAACCTGTATATTCACTGCCAGGTCCGATCATTCTACATAGCCCATGTCTATTACGGACTCCATCTCAAAAATACCTCAAAAGGCCTAGTCCTGTTTCATATCCGTGGAACGCCCAAAATATACCCCGAAGATGAAGCCCTCCCGTCTGGATCGTATCGATACATGCAAGACCCATGTATGGTTTTACCGGGGGGAAGAGGGGAGGGGGTGGATGTTGGGGTACTGGAATTGGCAGCTGGTTCGAAGTTTGAGATGGGGCCGTGTGATGGGACGGGACGGTTGACTAGGGCGGAGGCGCTGGATGCTATGTTGTTTGGGAAGTGAGTGGGAGAGTTTATTCGGGTGGTTGATACTTGCTGTTGCTGTTGATGTCGTTTAAAGAGATGGTATTTAGTTCTTTCAAGAGGTCGGTAGCGTTTCGATAGGTGCCTGGAATCCAGCACTTTTCGATGATATGTCCTAGCCAAATGTCGTGGGTGGTGGGGAGAGTTTCCCTCCGGGGTAGTGTTGCTCGAGATATGTTGTTCTCATGAAGATCAAACAAGCATTTCTTTCCAGTGACAACTTCGTAGATCACTTTGCCCAACTGACCAATGTCAGTTTGTATGGAGTATCCATTATCATCAACTGTTTCCAGATCGCTATCAGGCGGCATAATAGTGGCCTCAGTAAAATCGCAAAACTTGATCGAGAGATCCGAATCGAGCAGGATATTTCGACAGGCAATATCTGCCACAATGACGGAGCGGTGGTGTATGTGGGATAACGCAAGGGCCATTTGTCGAAACCAGGATAGTTGGAGAGATTTGGATGGTGGTTGTTTGTTGCGGGATAAATAGGAGCGCAGATCTCCATTTTCCATGAATGCAAGGTGGGTGGTTTTCTCGGAGAAAGAGATGTAGGGTACGACTCTGGTACAATGGCCGAGGTGTTGGTACACGTTTTGCTCTCGTTGAATGACGGTAATGTTGTCAAGCACCTCATCGTCTGAGGTAGACAAGTACCGTAAGGGTAATTTGATCGCTGCGTTGTCTTTCAGGATGACAACACCAGATCGGCCATATCCAAGGAGTTGGTCTTCTGAGATGGAATTGCCCGATGGGTCCAAGAATGGGGTTGACATGATGGAAACAATTATCTCAGCTCAATGATAGTAAAGCTATATCTGCTGGGACTTTAGTTGAATTTATAAGCCAGAAGTTTGATTCAAACAAGGGTACTTCTTTTGGCTTGGTCCGATAATCGCGGGTAGGGCGGGTGGTAATTGGCAGATGCATGCTTTATTACTTACTCATCGTCATACCAATCATATTATTATTCACAGTCAGTGCAGTCCAAATAACTGCAGTGGCATTCAATGGAAAAGACTCCAATTCAAGGAATGGATATTACTAAAACAATCAGTATAATTCATATAATCATGCCGGCTGAAATTATCCCAACCCACTATACAAAAGAGAAGAATTATTTATCTATCTCTACTCTACCATGCCATTACACATCACCCCATCAACCAACCAAAATAACCACCCACTGCCACTACGCAGTCGGCGCAAACTTACTCCACGACCGGATCTTCTTCCCATAAATATAGAACAAGATCGGCACGGGGAACAATATCGCCGTGAGACATCCCAGGAGGGTCATGGCCCATGGAACGCCTAGATTATGGAACTGGTTTTGTCAACACCATACTTTTCTTCATATATCCATTTCCTTATAGAACGGAAAGGAAAAGAAACAAAGAAGAAATAAACTCACCATTGGAATCGCAAACATGGGAAACCCCGCCCCTAGACCAGATCGAAAGAAACAATTTGCTGCAATGGCCGAGTTGGCATTAATGCTATAGCAGTCGATGATATAATTCAAGCCCTATTTCCATCCTTAATTCCAAATAATTAGAACAAGAGGGTATAGGGGAGACATACCTGCATGAAAATCAACAAGATCCCCGCCCCCAAAAACCCCCCCGAAATAGCCTGCGGCACCCAAATAATATGTTTATTCGACGTCCATCCAAACCAAAACATCCCTGCCGGTAACAACACCCCCCCGATCATCATCGGAATCAGCCTCTCCTCAGGAACAATCTGCCCCGTCTGTTCCAGAATCCGCTGAAACCGAGTCTTCGTGAAATAAATAATCACGCAGCAACCAAACACCACACCCACGGCGATGGCAATAAACGGCAACGCCCCGACACCCTCGTTCCATCCGCGCTCCTGCTGAAAGGCAACCGGGTAGGCCTCGAAACAGAGATACAGGAACCCGTAGATGAAACCCATGTACAGGGTAATAAGCAAGAGGATGGGTTCGCGGACCAGCATCAGAAACGGCCGAATGAGATACACCGTGGCGATATGGGTCAAGTCGACGGGTTGTTCTTCCGAGCGGGCATGTAGTGCCCAGTTCCGGGTTTCGAAGCGCAGGCGACTTGCTCGACGCTGCAGCAGAACCGGTCCAAACGTCTCCGGGATGATGAGGAAGCCGACGGCACCGAAGAAGAAGGCCATGATGGCGGTGATGTATTCGGTCCAGCGCCAGCCGAGGTACGACATGGTGATGAAGCCGCCGACGATGGGACCGGTGACGGGTCCGACGAAGGTGCTGCCGGCGAAGACGGCGATGGCGATGCCGCGTTCCACGGGCCCGAAGAGATCGGCCAGCATGCCGCCGACGATGGCGAGAGGGGCGCTGGCGAATAGCCCGCCTAGGAACCGGCAGATCATGATGGTCTGGAGGTTTTGGGCTACGGCCACGGGGATCTGGAAGATGGCGAAGATGAAGAATCCCGTGAACAGGGGGATCTTGCGCCCATAGAGTTCGGATAGTGGGCCGAAGAATAACGGCCCGAAACTATAGCCCAGGACGAAGAGACTGGTTCCTAGAACCATGACTTCGTCCGAGACGCCGAATTTCTTGGCTGTCACTTCCGAGGCGGTGCTGAAGACGGATGATGCAAAGGTTACCGAGACGGTCATGAGGCCGAGGAGGATTGTGATGGTCCATTTTTTGGAGCGGGGGAAGTTGGTTGGTTTTTCCTGATCTTGAGTTAGTATAGGGTTATATCGAGATGGAGGAGGAGGAGGAAGAGGTGGAGGAGGTATACGTACAGGGTCGTCTGGTCCATCCCAGTCCACGAGATTAGGATCCTTGCCGCTCTTCTCATCGTGCAATCGTTGTTTCTCTACATCTTCATGGTTGCTCGATAGGGAAGCACTCGAGCTGGGATGCGAGCCGGCCTGCGGCGAGGCGGTTTGCGCGCGAGGGTCCTCCATGACTGAGCTACAATAAGTCCGATATATTTGATCAGACATCTTGTCGATTACTATGTACTATTTATTCTGGACCTCCTACTGTGTACTGCATATGGTCTGATGATGTCAAGCTGGACGGTTGGCATCCGATGGATCCGTCGACGTCATATGAGCCGTGGCAAGCACTAGTTATTGCAGCATATGAAGGATAAGCCTTGCATAGAGGAGTTAGAGCCCGTATTATTATGGACTGACATCATCCAGGGATTGTCTGGTGCCTGACTGCGCTTCCCCATCCGGCACTCGGCTCTCGGCATTTGTCCTCCGAGCCATCAACTGGCATGTCGCGCATTGTCCGCGCACGCAAAGCTGGCACTGCTCGGGTGCTCGTGAATCGATCTGCCCGACACATACAAGCCCAGACAGCACTGTCGATATTAGCTGGGTCATCCCATCATTCAGCAGGGCTCACTTACCAGACACGCGCCCACGCTCACTACCAGCACGTTGAGACCCGTCAAGAATATCTTCCGGGGAGACGACACATATCGGCCCCGGTTCAGGAAGAGCCAGAAAACCCCACTCAGCCCATCTACAAGCATCGGTCAGTGCGAGGAAGGATCTAGACCCATCGGTGGAGACTCACATGTAAACCAACTGGCGAAGAGTGCCGTCTGCGAGAGTCAGTCAGCCTTGTGATCCACCATTCACATCCAGAAACCTACAATCAAGCTCAACAGGTCATTGAAAACCGGAATCGCTTCGGCGATGATCCACGCAAATGTCCACAGAACCAGCGCAATCAGAATCCACGATCCAATCGCCACGAATCCGCGCTGGTGCATGCGGTCGGTGCCTCGGAACAAACGGACGTAGATGTACTTGCAAGCCACATGACCATTGATCACGCCAGCGACAACAATCTAACTTATCAGCCAATACTCCCACACCCCTATCCCCCCCCTGGAGGGATTTATTACCGTCGGAATAGCGATGCCGTAGGCTATCTTGGACAACAATGGACTGGTCGAGCCCAACGCAGGTGATGCCACGTCCTTGCCGCCGTACCGATAGATCACCACTGCTGCGACAACATACATCGACGTATCAATCCCCTGCAGCATGTACAGCGTCTTGGGATAGTCGGTCGGCACGCGCATTTCCGAGATGAATCCGAAAAAGGCCACGTGCCCGGCTGCACAGGTTAGCTTATCCACATCTATGCGCGCAGGACATACCGTATGCAAAGACAATGTTGGTGACGGCCAGGAACGCTCGGTAGAAGGAGTTTTCCACGGTCGCATCGACATGTCCATCGCCCGGACGTTGGATTGAGATCGCAATCATGGTGATCATAACCGCTGAGAGGATACTGATGAAGGCTGTCTGGGTCAGCTCATTACTCCACCACCAGGACGAGACATACACGAGATCGAAAACCAAGACACTTTCTTCAGGGTACGCGGCAAGGTGAGGATAAACGACAGCACCAAGCCAACAACCCCAAACACAATGGAGCAAGTGCCATGGTCGGTCAGAGTGTTCATCATGACGATAAAGGTCAGGATATGACTGCCCATGATGAACACCAGGAAGAACAGCTGCGCAGTTCCCAGGATCTCGCGACCGATCCGGCCCATCATGACCTCGCCGGCGTCCCCCATACTGTGCACATGGGGATACTTCAACTTGAATTGACCCAAGGTATAGCCCGTGTAAGTCGCCAAGGCACCAAGGCCAAGGATCAGGATCACCGCACTAGAAGCTTAAGTTAGCCACCAAGCCACCGGTCGGACACCATGTCACACACGCGATCAGGCCAAGAGACGCCACGGCCGAGGGAAGGGAGAGGATGCCGAGCGAGATGGTCTCCGCCACCATGACTGTAAGTTATCAGAGGGATTCAACTATGGTACCAGGGTATATACTCATGCCACATTGCCTGTGCAGTTAGCCACCGAAGCAGACACTAGAACCAGATCACATACCACCATGCCAGCGTGCGGTACTTCACCTCACCAGTCTCATCATGACTAAATGGATTCTCATAGTCAGGAAGCACAGTCTGACTCTCAGGCTTGCCTTCTTCAACAGGCGGGTCCTCCACCCGGCGGAGCGCAGTAAAAGACATTCTCACGATCCGGAGTCAAATAGTGTTCACGATCACGATCTAGTACTCGAGAGCAGAGACACTGGAGAACAACACTGATAGAGGGAGAACGAAAAGGCCAGGAGAACAAGATCCGCTGAAAGAAAGGAGAACGACAGGTCAGACGACAACACTGAAGACCACAGGGCAACCCACCATTTCATGAAAAACTTACCTCTACCTCATTGTGTAGGACCCTGAACTAGGTGAGGACGCCTCCGATTGGACTGCCATCTCACGTCATGCAAGCCAGCAGTGAATGAAGGTGAAATGCGGGGATTTCTTGCATGGATCGATCCAGTCGGGGAAATCCGAAGCCATTCTCCTCTTCTTCAGTAACCTATTTATGGGGAGCCATTGAGGCCAAGAGGACTGAGGGGCACGAGAAAGGCGCGGTCAGTGGACACTCTGTGTTGTCCACATGGCTTCCGGGGAGATGCAGCGCCTATCACTTGCGAGCAAAGTTCAGCGTAACGAGCGATGTAACCTCCCTCAGATTCGTGCTCGGTGACCCGTGGCTAGGTGGCTGGTCTCTGGATACTACCAGGGAACGGGCAATTAAATGATAGCTGTCAGGTATTTCGCTCTTATGATAAGTGAGACAGGGTCTTTGCAGATGCAAGATTCCGAAGTCTTGCGTAATAATGATCGCCAGATGGTCGAAGAGTTCCTCCATTGCTTTGGAGATGCGAGCAGGGAGATGTACGGAACTTTATGACGAGACCAAGACGTATGGGATATAAAAGTGGTATCTATTTCAAGCTATGTCTCAATCAAGCAGAACAAAATCATGTCTATGGGTATTGTACGCAATGCAAATCTATCCGTCTATCTCATGTCGTGTCATATCTGTCCATGATGTCATGCCATCTCTCTCATTGTTGCCAAACATGCCCGGTCGCGGACATACAGGTCAATGCCCGCTTCGGCACAGGAACGGTGCAGCGGTTCAGCCGTCTCATATACTCGGGGCTTAATGACCTTCTCGCCTGGTCCCCCTGGCTGGTAGCCTGATGCGTCCTCGTCATCCTCGTCATGGAAGAAGCCTTCAATGTCGATTCGCTTCAGCCCCGCAAACTGTGTCTTGCGCTTGTTGAGCACCGCTTTCAACTGTGCAACCAACATTCCCAACGAATTCTCCTTGCACCCTTCCACGTAGAGCGACTCCACTGACGACGGGAGCACATCCGTGAGTGGACACGACGGTTCATACTGGTAGCGCACATCCAGCAAGTTGGGCAGGCGGATGCGGATCTCCTTCAAGGATGTAAACTCCATCAGAGGCCCAAACCACTCGTCGTGCGTCTCGTTCGCCCCGGCAATGGTGAAGGGTAGGTGAGTGCCGTAGTTATCCAGCCAGAGGGTCTGCAGGCTGTCCTTACTGCCTGCGAGCGACTCCAAGAATGCAGAGGGCCGGAACCCCTCCGCAAGCAAGTGCTCGTCAGAGTGCTGGTACTTGAAGGATTTGAGTGAGGAGCAGGAGGCAATCAAGCTCTGCATGCCTTGGGAGCCGTTGCTCGCATTAAGCGTGATTTCGGAAATGGGCGAGGTGCCGGGCATCGAAATCTCGACAGGCTGGACTGACTCCGACTGACCCTCCTGTGAGCGGGTAGACTCAATGACCGAGTCCGCCGAAAACGTCCGCATGGATGGCAATTGGAAGAAAGGAAGGACCTGAGATGGCTGATAGCTTCCCCGGCTGTCCTCATCGGCTAAATGGGTCAAAGAAACCTCCCGCAATACGCGGAGCGCGGGTTGATCGTCAAAAGGCTTCTCTCCCCGCACAACCCGCTGCATCATGCGGTCCAAATAGAGGTTCTGCTTGGGGTAGACCAATTGCAGGTGCCTCAGATTGCTCACCAGCGGCAGGAGAAGCGCAATCCAAGCCTCTTCAACATTGTCCCGGAGATCCTGTTCCCATTTTATGTGTTCTTCTGCGGTATGGCTGAGTGTGTGGGCCCATTGGATTAACGGCGCCAGGTCTTCGTCAGAGTGAGTGGAAGGAGTGGAAGTGGACCAGTCGTGAAAGTCCAGGGTGCGAACGGCCCGAGCCAGCTCGGGACGACGGAGCAGAGCTCCTAAGAAGGAACGTGTCTGGGAGCAGTCCTTCAAGGACGCTGCTTGGTAGACCAACCGTAGGAACAAGTCGTGAAAATGGCGGCAGACAAAGAGCAGGTTGTATCGATCCCGGTAGTCTTCCACATACTCCCCAACCAGGAGGAGGATGTCATTAGGAAGTAAGAGCGACATGTTGAGGAGGGATCAGCGGTAGTTAAATTCAATGCATCTGGGGAGCGAGGCGAAGGGAACAGACACCGGAAGCCCGGGGGTTTAAGAATGCCCGCACCCGTCGATAACCTAAGATAGGGGAACTGAGTTTTTGCAAAATCCACCACCTGGGTGAACTTTGCAGGCCGAGTATGGGGAACAGATCCATCGAGTGGGCCAATGGACGGGAGCTGGCGGAGGGTCGTGGATCCCCGGGATCGGTTGACCTGCTCCGTCCACGGTTGATCCAGAAGGTCCGTATCGACACAACTTGTCCTCATCCGACACACGGCCATTGTCTGCAAGGTATGACGTGCCACTGCATTATGTGCTTCCGGCGGACAGCATCCATGGTGTTCGTAGGCTCGAGTGCAGTAGTCCAAGTCTTGCAGGGCGGAGGTGCATTCGACGGGCAGGAGGAGACATCAGCGGTGATGGAAAAATTCGACTACCCGACGGTGGGTTGTCGCCACCGCCATTCGTGACGGGCCGGTGGAGTCGCGATAGACAGAGGCTCCATCACGCGGGGCAATGCTGCTTCTTTTGCTGGGGATGTGGCCGGCTCTCCACTGCTCGCAGTGGCATTGACCTTGCGCTTGTGGTGGTGTGGATGATCGGTCTTACTGATCAGCCTCGTCGCGGGGTCAGAGACGGAGATGACATGGAGGAATAATTAGAAGAGATGAGTAATCTAGACTTTGGAAGCTGTGGGTGGCTGTGAGCATTGATGGCTCTACCCTGACCGACAGCAGTGATGCAGCGGATTCAAGGTGAGGGCGGGTGAAGGTGAGGCTAAAGACAAAGACTAAGGCATAAGTCCCGTGATGTCACACCCCTTCGGTTCGGTGCATACGATCTGCAATGCATATCCCAGTTACTCTTCCACAAAGACACTCTCGGAGTCTCGACTTTCCTGTTTACAAGTCCAAGTCCACGGTCTACCTCTGCAGTGCCTGACCACAGGGCCCGAGCGAGTCGGCCAGCTTGCTTGATGGGGCGATCCTTTTTGCCATCGGTGGACCCGCAACGCCTGGTTTTTCGCCCCGCCGATAAGCCTGCCCCAGAGTTGTCCCGCCAGTTACCAAAGCTAACCATCTTGTCATACCCATGAGGCATGATCGCCATAACGGATTCTCGTTACACCCGGGGAGAAGAACAGAAGAATATCCATCTCGGTCAGGGTCTCTGCTGGTTCTGAAGATGCTTCAGGCTGGAAAACAGACAAAATTCTCCATCTGCCAGGAACGAGATATGATTGCTGGCAAACCTTTCCGAATTCCGACATGCATTGCTCGACACATGCATCCTGCAGCTAGATAAGTAGGAATGCGGTTTCGGATGCATCTCGGCTTATCCGCCCGCCCGTTGAACGCCTTCCGTTCGTAGTAGTCTAGCTGGCCGTTGCCCATTGTCGAGTATTTCTCGCCAGGTGCGGGTATGGCGGCAGTGTTAAGGCCTAAGGGATACAGAATAGTTGTTTGACTGGAGCTAGCTGACACTGTCGTCTCGCCACGAAGGTGTTTATGACCGGCCAATTAGGGGTGTTGGTAGTATTATCCGCATTGTAGCTCTAATGTCAAACCCATGCTGCGTTCAAGATAAGAGGGCTACTATTCAGCACACTAGATATGCTTACGATCTGGCTGGCCTAAATGGACAACTTTTTAGCCATTCATCTATTCTAATGAGATGGGATTATCCATCCATGGACACGAAAAGCCAGTAGTAACGCCTCTCGAACGTGACTATCCAACGGCCGTGATATATTCACGACTGCGTTGGAGAGGCCTAAGAACCGCACATCTTACAGGCGTCAGGATCGGCGTACTATAAAACAAGCGGTCATGAGACTTGTCCCTGTGACCTGGGCCTGTTGGCATTGCAAGAGATGCTAGAGGCAAGATACGAGACCCTTGTTGTGCAACTGGGCGGAGTTTTGGCCGGCACAACAGCTTATCCATTTCGAATTGGGCATCGCGTTCTGTCGAGTTTCCGGATTTATTGGCATGGTGTATTCCACGATGGGGTGTTGGATTACCCTTAGAACTATGCCCAGTTTCCAGTCTCGAATGTCATATCAGAATTCGTTCTGAAGTTGCAACGCAATGCGTCAAGATAATGGACAGTGGCCCTTGCAGGTCACACAGGTGGGCAGGTTAGGGGCCCACACTGACTGATTAAGTTGTGTTAGCAAACAGCCTAGAATCGAGAAGATAGCGGTTTAGTCTCTCTTGTGGGTAACGCATTTCCTAGTGTAGGATTAGCTGATATCTACGCTGATCACTATCCTGACGTCCCTACATACCCTGGCGACAATAACACGAAGACCTAACTGGAACATCGGCCGTTGCGACTGCCTGCTTCAAGAGGGGCTTCACAATTTGAGCTTCGGCCGTGCGCCCGAGTTTGGTCAGGCATTCATAATACCCATGCAACGCCCACACATTGTTCGGATGCTGCCTCGCGCGAGGCAGGGTATCATCAAATCCGAGATCAGCCTGGTACACGGCAGCTGCCTCTTGGACATGACCCTGCTCGAGCAGAAGCGCGCCATATGCATGGCGGGTAGGTTGCATCCATCCCCACGGCTCATCATATGGCAAGTCGTCATCCAGAGTGATCGATCGCCGCAAATGACCAAATGCCACATCGAAATTGCCACGGCGATACTCCAGTTCCCCGTCCAGCATGGCTTCAGCCACAGCCAGGATATCTGAACATTTATTGGTGAACAGCATCCGGCTATCAGGTACTTGTTTGGCAGCCACCTTGAACAACAACCTCTCTTGGCTCGCCTCTTCCACTCTTCCAAGCGCAGCCAGCGCCACCCCCTTTCCGTAGTGAATCATCGCCGTCGTGACACAATATAACTGCGTGTCTTGCGGATATTCGAGGCCGATGAGATCATCCCAACGTCCAAAGCGAATAAGAACATGCACTTGCATACCCACAAAGCTCTCCAGCCAGTCAGCCATCGGCGGGGACTCAATGCGCAGGAGCTGCTCCGGAATAGACGACTCTAGACTCTTCACCGTGTCCAATGCAACTCGCGACTGTCCCGCAAACATAGCGGCATACACCCGGAAATGATAATCATGGGACCGATACAGGGTATAGAAGTTGACCGCGCCCGCGCGGGAAAGGAACTTCTCATCCGCCCGAATCGCGTCCGAGTTCGACGCAATCGCCCGCCTATAATCCCCGCAGAGGATATCCAAATGAGTCGGCATGTGGTTGAGATGGCCCGCATCAGGCACCAGGCCCCGTAGATGATCGGCAGCTCTGAGTGCCGTTTCCGGCTCGCTGGACATCTCCATTAAATGAATGTATAGATGCAGGACTCCCGGATGACGCAGAGCCTCGTCCTGCGTTAGTGCGAGATCCAGGACCTTCTTGATTTCCACAGTACGGGCCTCAGGTGCCGGCTGGCCCGTACGTAAATCCCAAAGCGCCCACGGGGTCAAGTTCATCATCGCATCCGCGTACAAGGCTACAACGTCCATATCATTGGAGAAGCGTAGGTAGACAGACTTCATCGCGTCCGCATATTCCTTGTTCCAGCAGGCAAAGTCCTCTGGAGCTACATTCCGCGGGTAGCGATATTGCATGGCTCCAATAAGCGCCGCTTCCACGGGTTTTGTTGTGGTGGCATGTTTCTGTGCCTCTGCCACGGCTTGGTGGGTGCGCTGAACGGCGTCGGTGAGTTCGTGCTCGTCGAACGCTTGCCACGGTTTGTTGTAGTTGGGACCTAGGGTATATGCGAGACCCCAATACGCCATAGCACAGGTGGCATCGTGTGCGATGGCTTTCTGAAAACAGTTGGCTGCTTCTTCGTGGTTGAAGGCATATGTCCAGATGAGTCCGCGGTTGAACCAGACTTGGGCCTGATGGCTGGTGGTGGTCACCGGCCGGTGGAAAGAACCAAAGTCATAATAGTCATCCGCCTCTTGCTTAGACATCTTTGCCGAGATTAAATTTGCAACGGATAACAGGCCTATTTAGGGTGTATGGGCGGTGTCGACGATGTTGTGATGTCGATGCGAATAGATGAAAGATCCCCAAGTGGGGTAAAGGCTATCTGGCCGCTGTTCAAGGCGGGCAACACCACCAACCATCAGGCCACTTGCTGCATACCCTACGCGAATGTCTGGCTTTCGGGCCTGTTTGTATTTATCTTATTTGTCTAGGTGGCTAGGTACTTGACAGGAACATTAAGAGGCACTTGACTCGCCACATGCTGCACCTAGCACGGCATGCTCACATCCAGTGCCAGATAGTAGGAACCAGAACCAAAGGTATTGTCTCTTATATCCTTGACCGTCAGATTTTCCAGCAAGCTCCGACCAGTTCATACTGCATTTCCCCAGATCGACCCTCGAAAGCCATCATAAAACGCCTTGTTCCAGAAATAAGAAAAGTAGAGGACGGAGCTTGCTATGACCCGTACATGAAAATCCGTCGATATCCCCTCCCTGAACACCTTTCCAGCGTGCGCGTATCTTAGCGGGAAAAGTATTTGGTATATGTCTTCAATTGCCTGGTATAGCGTCACGACTCCATCTATCGTAGTCCCAGGTCCGTCATTTCAACACTGTCCGCGGAGCCCATCCAGAGGATATTGTTACACCTATTTGACGAGTTATGTCAGCAAATAATCCCCTCGACGTAGAATGCGCATCAGAAGAGGGGTAACGGATGCGAAGTTTCACACTGGCATCCGAGCAACCCAATCCTGATCATATGGGACAACCGAATGGACGCACCTGATCAGCACCAGACCGAGTGTTCCCGTGTTCTTTCCGTCAATGAACTCTTCCGTATCCCGCAGCAGCACGTTCATGTAGGAATCGATGCTCTCAAGCTTGCCCTTGTATTCCGTTTGGCCCCATTTGAGACGGATGACGAGCTCGGTTCCGACTCTATAGATAGATTAGATGATGTTTCTGATATTGTTTGCGTGTGATAAACCGGGGAGGATGCAGGCGATCGAGGAATCAGAGAAACGGGGTCGAGTATGCGTACCTAGCCTGGAGGAAAGGCCGGGGGTTGACTGGGTTGAACTAGGATCACAGAGTTAGCCAGCGCCCAAATCCATGGCAAGTCATGGCTGTAGATAGAAAAGACAATCGCGGGATGGAAGAAAGAACGTACACTCATTGTTGACCTCGGATCGATGCCAGCTACTCAGCTGGTGATTGCACAATATAGATATCGGTATTCAGACGCGTCAATGGATACGGGTTCTGCCAGTCAAAGAATAAGAGTACGTCTCCGAATCCGTGGGATTTGGCTGTTCGCGTGCTAGAAGAGTTGGGGAGACTATCGGAGATCGCAGTCGCCAACTTGACGGAGCTGATGCAGTCCGCGAAAATGTGATGCTGCTAGACGCGGGTCTGGTCCAATCATAACTCCTTATTCGACACCGCCCTCTGAGCACTGCAATATCGCTCTGCATTTCCATCCTCCTGCAACTGCTCAACCAGAACTGATATAAATCCATAGGCTAATCCAGTTATTCTGTCATTACCTCGGCGGCTGATTCTTGTAATTGCCTATGTGTCACATAAATGCCACCTCGGATCACTATCAGCCGACTCATTGCCGTATGCTCTCTCACATCACCAAACCGCCATACAGTCAAAAATCAAAACATTCAGGCCTCATCAATAACGCGAGGTAACCTGCACTCAATCCACCCTTAGAAGATAATACAAAGATTTCGCATGAAAACTCATGCCCTGCCGACCTGCCAGCTAAGCTCCTTGATTGAAACCTCTTCTCCAGCCTTCTCATCATAATCATACCACTCGCCATCCGCAAACTCAATGCCCGTAAAAGATGACGAAGATTCAGTACCCTTGGCCTCCCATTCACCCTGATAGACACAATTAGCCAGAGCATTCTCGGTCACACACCTAGCATCTCCTAGGTAGGTAAAGGAAAACGACTACATAGAAAGAGAAAGGGAAACCTACATCAGCCTTGAAGTCCACAAACTCCAACCCTCTGCAATCAATTTCAATCACCGTCTTGCCCTTGCGCTTCTCGTCTGCCTCATAGGCATGAGGTCCAGCAGTGATTGACGCCGAATGGGTTTTCTGCGTCCCATGTTAGCAAAAGCCACAAGTTTAGGAACATTGGTTCTGTTCAAGTTTACCCACCTGGCACAGCTTGCACTTCCAGACAAAGTTGGCCTCGCCTCTGCTGCCGGGGATCTCATGCTGTTCCTGTATGCACTGTGAGCTCCTGATTTGATTAGTAGATGGGAACAAAACTTACGAAGCGGTTGAAGCTGACCCAGTTGGGGTGGGTTTCCCGGCAGGACGTGCATTGCACCTTGAAGGTGTAGTAGTAGGGATTGTCCTCGGTGTCCTGGGGACGGAGGTCGGTGACGCTGTTTGAATTCTGTGAGCAGAGGTTCGTATGGTATGAGTTGCGAGGAAGGATCTTTGCGACAGGGTATTGAAACCGATGTTTTCTTGATTTATGGGATGTAGAGACAGTGGAAGACCAGATCACTGCGATTTAGATATGACTTACCCGGTGAGTTCAGCAGACAGGACGAGGGAGAGCATCTTGGCTGTGTTTTCTGCTATTGGTTGCTGATATAAAAGAGAGATGGAACTCGTACGGGGCGGGGCTGTGATCTTGTTCGGTTTTCGGCACACTTGCCGTCTTCCCGCCTGTGCTCTTTTTTTCTCCTAGGGTGACTGATGGTACATCCCTGTAACCCAAGTACATCCCTGCAACCCAAGTACATCCTGGTATTTGCGCAAATCTTACAAAGCGCACCCAATTTATGTCAAAATTCTTGATTGCACTTCTAATAAAAAAACACAACGCCAATCATACCGGTTCATAATCGCTTGAGCTGAACGAATTCAGAGACCAAACGCAGAAGAGACTATGTACAACATTCCTCAAACTGAGGAGAAACTATAAAATACAAGAGAATTGCAATAGCCATTTACAGACGGCTGTGCTGTTGATCCTGGCCCAAAGGCTTCGTCGCGAACGCGCCAAAGAATGCATTGAGGGCGTCCACGGTGCCGCTGCCCTCGACCAGCTGCACTGTACATGCGACATGGCTGTCGGGGCGAGTAACGACCACACCACCCTTCTCGGGGTCGAAGCCCAACTTCTCGTGTGCGGCATACGTGGCCTGAGGAACCCTCACGTCGGGGATGTTGTCGGCATAGATGTGGTGGTGGTAGTCGCGGAGGATCTTCGGCACCGCCTCCACATCGATCTGGTTCTTCTCCCCAGCATAGACCAAGCAGATGGAGAAGAGCTTGGAGTGAGGGAGGTGATGTTCAAAGAATGAGACATCAGCAATGTCGCTTCGGCGGTACACGGAAAGGAAGGATCGCTCCTTCTCGAGGTTGGCAGCAAGATCCGTGATAGCCTTGTTGGTCTTGTCCTGTTTACCGGCAAAGACAAAGATACGGAACGCACCATTGGCAGGTATTTCCTGTTCCAAATGCACAAAGTTGGCATCCGCCAGCCGGGTGACCGTGGTAGGGGTGAAGGCACGGCCAGGCGTCAGTTTCACCCTGGGAATGTCGAACAGTGGGGATTGAGCCGGATGGCTAGGATCCCAGGTGAACACACTGGGCTTGTAGGCAACACCATAGCCACTGGTGAATTCGCAAGAGGATTTGAAGGTCTGAACGAACTCATCTTCCTCTCCATTGGCAGCAGCAGTGCGGCTAGCCTCTCCAACTTCACCCGCAGTAGGGCGACGCTTGGAAAACAAGGCGGCATACTTGTTATCGAAGCTCAGCAGGGTCTCTGCGATATCCTTACGCTCGCTCTCGTAAGTGCTGAGGATCGAGCGCTTGGCCAGGCCAGACTCGACGGCGTGAAGCTTCCAGGCCATGTTCAGGGCGTCGTGGAAAGCAGTGTTCATACCCTGACCAGCCTTGGGCTAGAAGGCATGTTAGCGATCGCTCTTTGAATGGCAGGAAGAAGTTCACGTACGCTGTGAGTGTGGCAAGCATCACCACCCATGAACACACGCTCATCCAGAGTATATTTTTCGGAGATACCCTGGCCGATGGGATAAACGGAATACCATTCCACGCGGTCCCACTCGACCCAGTATGGTTGAAGGATCTTCTTAGCGGTCGCCTGGACGTCCTCGGCGGTTGCTGTCTTCCTCGGGTCGAAGTCGGGATCGCTAGACGATGCGATCTGGACATAGAGACGGACCATGTTGTCCTCGCGTGGAATAACCATGATGGAACCGGCATCTGAGTGGATAGTGCACTTGGTCTATTGACAGAGCAGCAAGTTAGCGACAGTCCTGCATCTCGATATAACATCTAGAGTTTCCTTACCTCAATGTCAGGGAAGTTGGTCCTCACGACACCATCCATGACACCCCACACATAAGAGATGGGGTCCTTGTACTGGATCCGAATGCCAAGTTCTTGTCTGATAAAACTCCGAGCACCCTCACCGCTGAACAGATACTTGGTGCGGACGGTCTCAATCACATTCGTGTCGATGCTCTTGAGCTGCACTTCGACGGGATAAGTCTCGTCCAAGCCATCGTTCTTGAACCCAGTGATCGTCCATGGTCGTTGGACTGTGGTGCCAGCCTTTTCAATCTCGTCCAAGAACACGCGCTCGATCTTGCCCTGATGGACCAGAGTGGTGAAAGGGTACCGGGTGTCGATAAAGCGGGGACAGCTAGGCCAGCTGCCAGTGCGGTGGATACCTTTTCCGTCGGCGAGGGGATCCCAGAAAGCAACGTCGTACACCTTGGCTGGCTTAAAGGCCATGATCTGGCGCTTCAGACCCAGGTTGCGGAGAATCTCGGTCGAACGAGGCTGGATACCGTCGGCGCGGCCGGTGGCGGTCGGCACGGGGCGGTTGTCGATGTGCTTCACTTTGTAGCCCCACCGGGACATGCAAAGCGACAGAACAATGCCAACGGGGCCAGCGCCCACGATGACGATGTCATATTTCTCTTGTTGTGAAGGGGCCATGTCGGCGACTCTGTGCTAGGGGGTGTCAAGCTTCGGGCGGTGGATTGTAGGTGACCGGATCCGAGGGGTATGTACAGCGATTGGTCGGTATTTTCAAGAGAAGATTAAAATATCACCCAAGGTGAGAAAGAGAAGCAAGATATGAAGCTGATACGGGAGAAAGATGTCATGATGAGAGATGGGAGTGGCCATATAAATATCACAAAGTGAACTGGGGGGAATGGCCCGAAAAGTGCAGCAAGACGAGCATCGGGGAGCCAGAACGGCATTCACAGTCGGCTGGATGTGGAGAGTTGGGGGGAAAGCGTGGATTGGTTCGTGGGGACGATCGAGAGGAAAGGGCAGGCCAGGCAGGAGAAGGCTGAGAACCGCAGTGTCAGCAACGCAGGGAGGCCTCTTTGGCCAGTGGGAGGCAATACTGGGGGAGATCGTTGGGGGGCTGCGGGGAGGCTCTGGGGCGAGTCTCATAGGCCCGACGGACTGCCGTCGCTCGACCCGAGCCTCCGGACTGGCTGCGGCTACCATCTCGGCAGGTGGAGGCTTCCCACGTGACTCGCCCTCGGCAACCTTTCCCGGGATTTCGGACTCGCAATTCCTGCGGCCTCATTGGCTAATTCGTGAGCTGTAGCCTCCTACTTGTATCTCGGTGACCGGTGTAGATTTAGGCGAGGTATAGGTAGGTGCTTAGGTGCTCAAAAGTAGTATCAGCTATCAAAACCGAACCCCATGCTCTTCACGCGAAATACTCCGGCCATAAGCGACACCAAGACTCCAACCAGAATAGCATACTACCTCCTCCGTATTAACCATTCCATGTCCTCCTCACTAGCACAAGAGACAACTACTACATACCAACTCCGCCTCTACAACCCGACAAGTTTCTCCGAGGCCAACAAACACATCCACATCCGCATCCACATCCACATCCCAGTGCATATTCCAACTCACAACTCACAACTCAGCCATCGGCAACATCTCCACAAAAGCGGATCCCCTCAGTAATATCCCCCGTGTGTCTGATTCGCTAACCCACGACTCGCGTCCCTGACACTCCCCGCCCGAAAGGCACTGCGACTCGGCTTTCCCCCAGCCCACACTTGCCTGGTTTGTATCCCGCGTAGTGTGTGGATTATCCGTAAACCCGAGGCAGAGTCTGATATATGAGGTATGCTTGATGGGTATTTGGGTTGCCACAGACGTTGTCGGTACGCGGTGGTTTTCATGGTATTTGAATTGTGTAGGAAGTGTTAATTGTAAGGGTGTCGGGATCTGGAACGGGTGCTGGGAGGTGTGGCCGGCATGCCGATGGGTTGTGGGAGAAAGGGAGGGTGGTTGAGAGGGTTGACTTATTTTTTGATAGTCATGGTGGGATTGAGGTAATCTTGGGTATTCCGGTTGAGGGTATTGTGGCAGGATGAGTTCTATGGGTTTCTTTGGGGATTGGAGTGTCTATACTGCTGTTTGTGTGTATTGGTTTGTTGAAGCTGATTGACAAGCTAAGTGGTGTGGGGATAACCTCGCGTGCGGATGTGCTTGGAGCAGCTATGATCAGGTTTGTTTGAGCAATGCACATATTCATGGAGTGTTTCGTGAACTATGACTGCCATTCAGAACTAGTCTATTGAGATTCTAACAGGTCTGATTTTCTATAGAGAAGAACATTGTATTCCGTATTCTAGCCTATTGTCTCTATAGGAAGGGGAGGAGGGTGAAGCAATAACACAATACAACATATTGATAAACCACAAAACGAAGAACAATACAATAGCAATCAATAGCCATAAGAAAAGCCAGCTTGCTACTTGTGACGTCTTATTCAAATGATCGATGTGAAACCTATTGTTGGAGAACAATAGCCCTGATTCACTGTATGATTTCCCAATCGGGAAGGCATGTCACTATTCAATAGGCGGATACAGGCCCTCTATGGACTACAATGTTAATTGATACAAGACCATTCTATTGTATTCAATAAGATTGAGTGGTCTTCAATGGATCAATATGGGGGAGTTTCGTATAGTCCTGTTTTCTGTCTCGATCTCTTGATAGTATATAACTCCTCGATATCTTCAGTTTCCCCTTCTATGCGACTCTCTTAACGATCTTTGCATATTTTGCGTCTGTTGCGTATCAATCCTTGCTCTGCTCTATCTTATTTGTCTTTGATCGATCATTCAACCTTCAGTCTGCAAGATGGAAAGCGAAAACGAAAGTAGCGAGACTTGGGAAGTCCCCATCATGCTCAGTCCGGAGTAAGATTCAATTTCAACTTGCCATCCTCCATGATGCTAACCGGGAGTAGAAACCTCAGTTACGAGGAGCTTGCCAGATTCAATCCATTTTTTGACAAGATCATGGATCTATGGAGTAAATCCGCAATGATCACGAACACAATGAATTCCTCGGATGCCTCGGCGAGTACCTCTCCATCGCAGTCCATGGACTCCGGAAATGATTCTTCCTTCAACCATCGCCAATCATCCACATCCCCTTTGTTGAACGAATATCAATCTCGCCTTGAGCAGCATGTATCAGAGCAGTCCCGCGTGGAGCTGCATCACTCCGGGCGTCTTGAGTCGGACTGCATGGATTCTTCTTCAATTGAAGCTCCCCTAGGACCGATGAAAACCTCGCACAAGAAGCTCTTTGGTGAAAACGGCTGGCTTGGATGTACCGCCGACATGAAGGATCTGCCCAGTGACACGAAAATGTTCAAGGGCTTGAGAGGATTCGGCAGGAAGATCAAGAAGCAAGTGGAGGAGCTCGTGAGTCTTTCCTGCTTTAACAGGATCATGCATACTAACATTAGCCTCAGGCGGAGGAGATGGCCAAGGCACATCCAAACCCTCTCATCCATGTGAGCCTGCGCCCAAGGATCGTTCCCGAGTCGACCATCCCCATCTCGCTAGACCCTCCGACCCAAGCCAAGCTATACTCGGAGATGGAAGTCATGATATGCGTCACCGCGAACAAGTTCCTCCTGGATCAGTACAATGAAGGTCGCCTCTCCGAAGAATCGATCCGAAAAGTCACCAAGTACTGGGGCTCGAAGAACAGGCCTCAGGTTATCGAGTTCCAGTTCGACCAGGCCACCCAGCGGCGACTGATTATGTCTAACATCCGAACTCTGCGTTTCAGCGGAGAATTTTCGACCAACCCGGTTCTTCTCAAGTCGAACCTTAATAATTGGAAGGCAGTCAGTAAGGAAATGAGCGTCCGCACCTTCTGTGCTCCTGACAGCGCCATCCGCAAGCACATGCACGACATCCACAAGATTCTCGATATGCTGGATGCGCCGCTTGTCACCTACATCACATTTGAGGAGCTCCAGATGCGGACTCTGTCTCTCATGAAGGCATACCTGGAGAAGCTTTGCCAGGCCGACGGTGGTAATTCGAAGTTGTCTCGATCAAGTCGGAACTACGGAAGACATCTTTCGATGGCATACTAAGCGGAGGTATCCTTTCTTTCTTTTTTTTTTGCTCCTTTTCAGATGTGTCTTTCTCTCTTCTCCTTCTTCCTATTTAATGAGCGCAGCGTTTGCTAGAGACAGCCAGTAATAATTAGCATCACAACTCAATCCAGTGAAAAGATATCTGTGCTCTTGACCAGTACTCTTGACCAGTAATAACTGCATGACATGAAAAAGATTGCCCACTTTTGTTGTGACTCTCTGATATCCTTCGAGTGGCATACGGCAGCTTAGGGACTTGATACTGATTCGGTGAGCCAGGGTAGCCAGGTGTTCAGGTTTCAGACCAGTTACTCCCAACAAGTTGAGTTGCCGGGCGCTTTGCTGCAGAAGCAACCCACTATGCAGCCATGTGGACCAATAGCCACGTAGGTAACAGGTTTCAATTACCAGCCCCGTCCCTGAGATAGCGACCAAGTGTTGCACGGTGGTCTGAGACAGGCTAAAAAGAATGAAAATCCCCGAGGAATAATCTCACCAATCATTTGATCGATTTCAGCGCGCGCCCGGGGCCCTATTCGACATGACAGGCAGATCCGATCCATCCATGTCAGATCCCCGACACAAACCTCCGAACAAGGATATCAGAGTTTCGAGAAGTCTAACAGTCCGCTTGGGACGAACCAAGAATATTCCGAGTCAACAAGACAGCCACGCGCATTACTAGACAACGTGTCTGATTCGTAGGAACATGGTTTTGGCGTTGTCATGTTGGGCCCGCTTTACGAGAATGTAGGGGGCGATGGATTGGTGGTGGCCGGAGCCCAGCTACGTGTCGGGCGGGCTTTTGGCCTGTCACCGTACTAGTGCCATCGGAGACTCCCAACAATTGCTGAGTGGCACTTTAGACGCCATTGTAGCGTATCTCTTTAGTAGTGATTTAGTCAAGTCCGGTAGAGATAAGATAGTCCCTACTCCTGATCTGCACGGTTGTCAGCCGCGATTGTTTCTATGATCTCCGCCCAGATAGGTGCACAGTACACAGTAGGGGGACCTGGGAGCGACACCACTCACCTGCCCCGTTGATGGAGGATGTATCTAGTGGATAGGTGACCTATCCGGAGACCACCGAGCTAAAGATAGACTAACTTCGGTCGTTGATAAATGGTAAGCCACTAAAGCTGCAGTGGCGGTGATGATGGTGGTGGACAAGAAGAGGTGTTGTCCAGTCGAGACCGCAATTGACTTGGCCGCATTCACGTGGGCCGACGTCATGGGGTCCTTCGCCCATTCATGAGCTCGTTACTTTTCTTCATCTGCCACCTTTGGGGCCCGGTTCCATCGCCAGGTTCCTGGTTGGTTTCCACAGTACTGCTTCTCTTTCCACTCCACTTGTTTTGACTATGATCCATTTTATTCCCCCAGCAAGTATCGAGCTCTATCCAAGCTCTCCTTGATGCCCGACCTCCCTTGCTGACCCTACAATCCAGCGCGAGCTGGAGACACCGAAACGCCACTGCGTGTCTGCCTGCGATATTACCCCGTCTAAACCCCCAACCATGCCGGTCTCTCCCTGATAACTTCCCACTGGCCTTGTTTCTCTACAAAGCTCTCACTTACGGTGCTGCTGGTGCACCTGCCGCTGGCCGTCACAATGACAAATGGGCCCATCCACACCTACGGCTCAACATGTCTTCTAACGGAGGATGATTCCAACCCATTTTCGTGGCTTTCTCAAGATGATCCACCTATCGTTCGTCCGCAGTTTTTTTACACGTCTGCGCTCCCGATCGACGACCCATTGGCTGCCTTGCCTCCTCCGACTGGCGGTCAAGGATCTGGAAATGACAGGGCTCCGCTCCAGCCATTTTCGGTCAGGGATAACGCGGCCCTGGAAGATGCCTGGAAGCTATTGCAACAAACCATAAAACAGAAGCTCACTGGGAAATCCAACTCTCAGTGTGGTCCCCCATCAGCCAGAAACCCGGGGATAGATGTACCAGGCCGGGAACTCCCCGTCGAACCAGGGCGAAAGAAACACAAGGGACCCCATGGCGATGCAACCTTCCTGGGAGGTCAAAAAGGACAGTTAGGTATTCCTTCGCGCTCCTTGGATGATCAACTGCCGCCCAACTTCAGGCTTCGATCTAGGAATGAAGCCGGCAAGGCAGACGTAAACAACAAAGTATCCCGAGACAGGTCACGCACACTTGGCAGTAGCTTAGATGACGGTCCCATATCTGGCGCTGCCCTACGTCGGAAACGAGAACCGCCTTTCAACGACAAATTTGACACAGTAGAAACCAAGGCCAGAGAGCTGCTAATGAATGATGACACTGGTGGCACGGAAGGTACCAGCCCGCGAAGCTATCCCTCACGCGATGCGAGCATCAGCGGCTCGCCCTTTGCCAGAGCCCCCATCTCCCAATCACACAGCCCTTTGGGCCAGTCGGTCGAGTCCCTTTCGTCAAGAGACGGAAACCAAGAACCTCCAGTTGAGCCATCAGCGACACCGAAACCATCAGGCCTAAGAACGGCGATTCGTCAGGGCTCTGATGAAGCTGGTGGTGAAGCTGGAGAATCTGCTCAACTGGATGAGCCGCAACGCAAAGTCCCCGTGGGTGCGTCTCGGCTTCACCTTGTCGAATTGCCGAGTCTAAAGGTATAGAAATTTCTCGCTTTCTCTGTCCATGTCTTTGATCATGGACCTGTGGAAGGCTAATCTCTGGCAGATGAAACCGATCTACTGGAGTCCCCTGCATGACATTTCGAGCGTTATCCGCGCAACATGGTTTTACAAAAACACCATGCTACCCGTGGAGACGGAGCTTGCCAATAAGTTGGAAGATGGCTACAACTACCTGAAACCATGGACTGAAACATGGCAAGATGAACTCAACAGCTGTGTCGAAAATGGTGCCGATGCCGAAATGAAGATCGTACACAGGCTATGGCCGAAAGACAACACAACTAGACCACCGACGGCTGTGGTTGTGCCTAGTTCCGATACTTCAACCTCTGCCCCGCTTCTGTCAAACGAATGCAAGAGCACAGGAGTGGAGAGTATGACACTGGATACCAATCGAGCTGCAGGCGGTGCCTCCGCATACTCCGAAACCGTCAAGCCTTTCTTGAATTCTAGTGTCATCTACGCCGATGGAAGAAACGCACAGATCCTTCGACCAAGCCTTCTTCCATCTGTGTCGAGGGGACGCAAGCCGCTCAGTGCAATCCGTAAAGGGAGACAAATCGGAATTCCTGTGGTTCGTGGTTTTAGTAGGCGACTGTGGGACCGACTACACCCCAGCAAACCCAGCCCAGTAGACGTGCGAAACTACCTTCGCAGTACACAGTCTCGAGCAATGTCAACGACATCCACGGAGCCTATTTGCTATGCGTGTGCGATAGAGGAGTTGCGACCCGCTCCAACAGACCTGGTTCTGGTCATACACGGAATAGGCCAGAAACTATCGGAGCGGATGGAGAGCTTTCATTTCACGCACGCCATTAATGCCTTTCGAAGGCAAATCAATGTGGAATTGAACAGCGAGCCGGTCTGGCCACATGTGCGCCCAGGCCATGGGGGCATCATGGCCCTTCCTGTTAATTGGCGATCAACCCTGTCTTTGGATGAAGCCAATCTTGAATCTCCTGCCGCGGAAGATCCTGCTGCAAACCACTACTCGCTTAATGATATCACGCCTGAGACGATCCCAGCTGTCAGGTCGTTAATCAGCGATGTCATGCTTGACATTCCATATTATTTGTCCCATCATAAGCCTAAGATGATACGAGCAGTAGTCAAAGAAGCTAACCGCATCTTTCGGCTCTGGTGCGAACATAATCCAGGCTTCCAGCAGGAGGGGCGAGTTCATCTGCTTGCACACTCTCTAGGGAGCGCTATGGCCTTGGATATTCTTAGCCATCAGCCAACGAGGGTTCCGTCCTTCGATTTCTCCAAAACGAGCATTCACGGGGACATGTTCGAGTTCGACACGAAGAACCTATTTATTTGCGGCAGTCCGGCCGGGTTCTTCCTTCTCCTCAACAAAGGTAAGACTAGACTCTCCTATCTACCTCCAACGAGCATGTTCAAACTCACATTTCACTTAGCGAACCTATTGCCCCGCCGAGGCAGAGATAAACCTGGCTGTGAAGGCGACGATCGGCTCCCTGGCGTAGCAGGAGAGGCCGATACATATGGCTGTTTAGCCGTCGACAACCTGTACAACATCATGCACACCACTGATCGTAAGCATCTCTGGCATATATCAGCCCAAGCCTCGATACTAACACCATCTAGCAATCGCCTACCACGTCAACGCCATCGTTGACAGCGACCTAGCTAATTCTCTAAGACCCGCCTCCATCCCAACCTCCACCGCATCATTCTGGCAATCCGTTGGCAGCGTATTCCGCTGGAGCTCACCCCCGACTCTGATCCCCTCCACTACAACCATCCCCACCCGTCCATCAACCCTCAACAAGCTCCCAACCAACGTCGAACTCGAAACCCACGACTTCACACGCGAGGAAATTGCCGAAAAACGCATGTTCCTCCTCAACGATAATGGCCAGATCGACTACTTCCTCTCCGGCGGCGGAGGACCTCTAAACATCCAGTATCTGAATATGCTCAGTGCGCATAGCAGTTACTGGACTCTGACCGACTTTGTTCGGTTCCTGGTCATCGAGATAGCCCGTAAACAGGGTCGAGACTACACCTTACCGGTGCTACGTGCCGCGAAGAAGAAGGGCTGGAAAATTCACAAAGGCTGATGGATACCATGATTCCCTTTACTTATGCAGGCCTTTGCTTTGATCCTCTTGTTTCTCTTCTCTACAATCTACCATATTTTCCTCCCATCTAATTCTCAAATTGTCTTCTGTTTTCATTTTTTTATCTTCTTCGTGAATTTGGTCCCATCGTGTGGCGCAACCTTGGCCCTTGTTTGGTGGTAGCGATTACCCTTTTCTGGAGTCCAGAGGACCTGTGTGCGCGCTGCTACCGATTCTTCCATTGCTATGTTTTAACATTTGGTACTACTATGTTTTGGAGCGTTCTGCGCTGGATAATACAGGGTTCGAATATGTGGCGCAAAATATTTGAATATCATCTTTATAAGATGACACCGTTTGATCACTGTAACCGACCCCGGTCACAACGGAGAGGTCTTTCATCCATTTTAGTTATATAGAGTAGGCTCATTGGTAACTATTACCACACTACTCAAGACAGCAGACGGGAACGATGTTTATTGAAAACATACTCCAATCAATTCTCAGGCACCACAGGGCCCATCATCAACGCCTCGACCAATGCTCCCTTCTCAACCTTCCCAGCCCCAGGCCGCAGCACCAAAAGCGCATTGGCACTAGCCAAGCTACCCACTCTGGAGCTCCTCTGTCCCACCCCTCCCATTCCCGTACTCATGGCATAAAGCCGACCATCTTTACGTGACGCCGTTACAATAGCCCGGTGGTACTCGGTGCGCTTAGCGTCAACCGGGAACGAATGTGCCAAGGACACAGATACAAGGGGGAGTCCCAGGGGTGGTGATATCCCGGCGGGCGTGATCTGCCGTTGTTCCATGCCCATGAGCTTGTGGAGGGAAGGAAGAACGAAGAGGTTGAGGGTGACGAGTGCGGAGGCGGGATTGCCGGGGAGGGAGAATATGAGTTTTGTTTCACGCTCTTGTTGTTGCGCTGAGGATGAGGAGGATGGCTTGAATGGGATTGTGGCAAAGGTAGTTGGTTTGCCCGGTTTCATGGAGACACGGCCGAAGTGGATGGTGCCGCCGAGGGAACGCTCAATGGTGGGTTTGAGGAGGTCGAGTTCGCCCATGGAGACACCACCGGTGGTGATTATGACGTCTATGCTTTTTTGGGCTTTTCCAACGCCGCGGAGGGCGTCGCGGAGGCTTTGCTCGAGCTCTCCAACTGGAGTATCGCGGGCGATGCCGAGATCAACAGTGGGGAAACCCCATGAGGTGAGGCAGGAGAGGAGGGAGGGGCGGTTCGAGTCGCGAATTTGGCCGCCTTGGAGCTTGCGAGGGTCGTTGTGTTCAACTAACTCGTCACCGGTGCTGAGAACTCCGATGCAGGGCCTTTTGTAGACTTTGACGGTTTTCGTCCCTGTCGCGGCAAGAAGCCCGATCTCGCCGCCTACCGAGGTGATGAGATCGCCTTTTTGGAGGATGCGCGAGCCCAGAGCTACATCACTACCTGGTTCACGAACGTTTTCTTGCGGCTTGATGTCGCCGGTGAGGATTTCCACGGTTGCTTCTTCTTGGCCGTCTGGGGTCGATGAGGTGAGGTCGGTATCTTCGACCATTACAACGGCGTTGGCGTTGGGCGGGAGCGGTGCTCCGGTGGTGATGCGGGCGATGGTGCCGGGTTCTAGCGAAGTGAGGGTTCCACCTTCGTTGGCATGAGTTATGGATGCAACGGGGAATATTCCCTTGGTGCTAGGTCCGGCATCTTGTGATTCGGGTGCGATAACGGCGTATCCGTCCACGATGCTGGCGCGGTATGCCGGCACGGCCTCCCCGGCGTAGACGTCTTCGGCAATGACGGATCCAACGAGATCGATTGACACAGGGACTTCGATGACAGCTGGTTCGGGCGTCTGTTGGCTGATTATTTTCAACGCTTCGTCGACGGAGAGCATCGGGTATGGGGACTCGCGGTATCGACGGTTGGGTCCGGCATTCGGATCGTTTGACTGTGGTCTTTCTGATGGGGATGTATGTGCCCGAGGGACGGCATGTCCGTGCCCATGATCGTGGGCATGAGAATGGCCGTGATGACCGTGGTGGTGGTGATGGTGATGATCCGCCTTGCTACCAGAGGGAGACGCAGCAGACACACCTGCCTCAGCCTCGAGCTTTTTGACCCCGCCCGCATGGATCATTCTGGAGTTTGCCCCAGCCGCCTGGCTACAGGCATGTGGCAACAACTTGAGGATGGCTTCAAGATTCTCTTTGGCACCTTTCGGAGAGCCAGGTACGGTGACGATCAGTGTCTTGTCTCGCACGCCTGCAACGGGCCGGGACATCATCGCAACTAGTGGTGCTTGTTAGTAGCCAAGACAGGTGGTGTCCTAGTGATCGCCTTACAGGGCGTAACTTTCAATGAAGCCGCAAGCATGCCGTGACTGAGTAAGCCTAGTCAGCACCGGTCTAGTCATTCCCTAGGAAGAGATTAGGAAGCGCACACGAGGCCAGATGCATGGCGATGGATGAGAGGCGACACGGCCTGTCGAACATTAGCAAAGAAACAGAAAAGGTGTAGAACAATAGGAACACCGACCTCCGGCGTGATATCCTTAGTAGCAAATCCGGTTCCACCGCTTACGATCACAAGATTGACCCAATTGGGGCCGTCTGTCCAGTCGCAGATGGCGCGTTGGATTTCCAACACATTATCGGGAACGATATTGATAACGGGCTGGCCCCAGTTATTTGCCCCTTCGGTTGAGAAGACAGTAGTTAGGGTGTCTCCCACTTTGTCCGTGGAGGGGTCTTGAGAGGCGGTGTCGGAGACGACCAAGATGGCCGCTTTGAGGATGTTGTCTGCCATCTTGGAGAGGTGAGGGGGGATGAAGATTGGAGAGTCTGGCCGTCGGGATGGTGGTGGGGGGGAAGTCAAGTATGAGAAGTGCGCATGGGCGCTAGGCTGGCGCTGGCCGGAATGAGGACCCGCCACGCCTTAGATACAGTCTGGCAGATAGAAAGGCCCCAGCAAGCTCCAGCTCACAGAAAGAAAGAAAGAAAGAAAGAAAGAAAGAACTTATGAATTGGCATGTTTTGTCTTTTGAATAATCTCGTGATATCTCCCAACAGTTACTGTACACCCTTCCTTCCCTCATTTCCCCATCAGTCAAAGCAGCAAGACGTTCAATGCTATTCACGCATAGCCAACCGTTCTACAGTCAAATCGAATCCATGCGCCCAATGCGGCCTATAAATAGGACAAAGAATAGAAAAGTGAAGACAAGACTGATATAGGTCATACAGATCATCCCCATCATGGCCCTCTACGCCCTCATCAACATTCTTCAAGCGGCTCCGAAGTCAAGCGCTTTTCCTCCAACCAGGAGTCCAATAATCAAGCCAAAAAGACCGAGGACGGAGCTAAAGATCTCAACAACGAGGATCTTCACGAACCTATAGTGCGCATTGTTAGCTTCCACCTCCGCGATCGAATGAAGGGCTGACGAACAAGCTCGGGTCAGCAGCATCAGCCAGGGCTGCACCACTTCCGTTAATACCAACGGAAATGCCGCAAATCAGATTGCAGGCGCCCACGGTGATACCGCCCCAGAACAGCGCATATCCAGTATAGTAGTCGCTGCCAGAGAAGGGCCCCTCGCCTTCAACCAAATTGAGCTTAGAGGAGAAGACGATGGCCATGATGACACCGTAGATAGCCACAACTTCACAGAAGATAATGGAGATCAAGTTCTTGGTGCGAATTCTAGGCGCCTTAACACCTCCACCAACGATCGATGAGCCGGTCAAGAAGATACCCCTGTCGGACGCATATTAGCATCCCGCCACTGCAGCCAGACATGCCAAGCCATACCATGAAGCACCCACGACCGACAATCCAATGCACATAGCAATTCCAAAGTTCGCCCAAGCGTACGGGGATACCGACTCGAGTAGATAGCCGACCTAGATCGGTTTAGCGGGCGTCGAATGATGATTGTAGGTCTTAGGGGTTGCCGCGTACGTTGAACTCTTCATCATCACCGCGGAAGAGCAGATCTAATCATGTAGAGAGACCAGGTTAGTTTACCGACGGAGCCCACCGCTTCAGCGAGTCGGTTCACTTACACCCTGCTATCACCAGGAGTGACACGGTTGCAGCACTAGCAGAATAGTAGTAACCCATGATGAACCCTCCGCTGACGACACGACCTGGGCGCTGAAGGATATCAAGAAGACAAACGGCGGGGGCCCCGGAGAGGTGAGGAGGAGTTGATAGGAGCGAGACGAGGACCGGAGGAGCTCTTGACCGAAGCGTGTAGCTGGAACTAAGCCGCAACTACAGCGGGAGGTCAGGCCGGGCCGGCGTTAATCCGCGGGCGTGTGCTTGTTCGGTCCATCCGCCATCCATCATAATACAAATAATACATAATACTGTCAAGTTCCCCGGACCGATCCATGGGTCGAGCTCTCCTCCAGTCGACCCTCTGAACCTCTTGCACGACTGTCCGGTCGTCTCTCCCACCTGTCGACACCCTTCGGAGATACCCCTCCCCCCAATATATGTCCTTGTATCCCTAGTGCCTTCCCACTTCCACTTGCCCACCGCCTGAACACTTGTCGACTTTGCGACCTGCCTCCGTTACCTACCCCTGATTCCGCCGCTACTCCCACGACTTCCACCACCATGGCATCCACCTCCGGAGTTGGGTCGTATTCGAACCCTTTGAAGAAATTCAAGTATGTCGGGCTGACAGTCTACTTCTTGGCCGTCTTAACGGGCGACTAATCAAATCGCAGGCTGGTATTCTTGGGCGAACAGAGTGGTACGGACATCCACTACGACTATACTTCACCCATTGGCGCCACCCGGTCTCTGACATCTGCCTTACAGTTGGGAAAACCTCGTTGATCACCCGGTTCATGTACGATTCGTTTGACAACACGTACCAAGCCACCATTGGAATCGATTTCTTGTCAAAGGTATTCCACGCCTCGTCGACTGCTTCCCATGCAAAACAAGCCTATATCTCGCCGTTCCTACCCGGGTCTCATCATTTCCTATACGCACCCGCTGCTCCAGGAGGCTAATTCGCACTGTTCGTCTTAGACTATGTACTTGGAAGATAGAACCGTCCGCCTTCAGCTTTGGGATACGGCCGGTCAAGAGCGATTCCGATCTTTAATTCCTTCCTATATCCGCGACTCCAGTGTTGCTGTTGTGGTCTACGATATCTCCAACGCCAAGTCTTTCCAAAACACTCGCAAGTGGATTGACGACGTCCGCGGAGAGCGTGGAAATGATGTGATCATTGTCCTGGTTGGCAACAAGACCGATTTAAACGATAAGCGCGAGGTCACGACGGCGCAGGGCGAGGAGGAGGCGAAGAAGAACGGCTTGATGTTTATCGAGACCAGTGCGAAAGTTGGTCATAATGTGAAGCAGCTTTTCCGGAGAATAGCGCAAGCACTACCAGGCATGGAGGGCGAGGGCAACCGAGGAGACAATCAAAGTTTGTTTCCACCTGCACACCCAACTATCATCACATGGTCTTGAATACTGACAAAAGTTCAACAGTGATTGATGTCAACATCACCCCGAAAGAGACCACGACCAACGATGGATGCGCCTGTTAGATGCCGTACTCGTCACGTTCCCACGGGGTCATTATTACCGCTCGCGACCCCTTTATCTGTGCCTGAATCTCAATGATGAGGCTTGAGATTGTCCATAATGCTCTTCGTTCTTAAGATGTACATTTTTCTTTCTTTCCGTTCCAGGTGAATAGCGTGTTTAGATCAAGCTTGAGAATTTCTTTTCTTCTTTTTCTTCACTTCGATTCGTCTTCTATTTCCTTGAGATCTTGCCTCGAAATCCAACACTTGACGGAAGAACCAGGCGTTCGGTTTCTGCATTGACATCATATTGCATTGACCCGCGGCATCCCGGGTTTGCGTTGTTTTGTATCCGTCTTGTGCGCTTACGAGCATCGTCAACGATGCTGCTGCGATTTTGTTAGAAATACTACCACTGCAGACGGCGTCATTATTTCACTTGCAAAGTCGTGGCAGGACAGGCTCTGCTCGATTAGGTGGCTTTGCGAAGGGGCTATGGTTCTTGTCGTATGATCAACGGATTGGACAATTGGGCCCTGTCCACTGTTAGGGGAAATCTGACTAAATGGCTACATGGAATCAACACTAGGCCCGAGGGAAAGTTTTCCTGAGGGCCCTTAAATGAACCCCTGAGTGAGAAATTTCGATGGCAGTAGTAGGTACCTAGGCAGGCAATCAGGCATTAGCAATCGTCGTACTCGTATTGTGGCTTGGCAAACATCATTCAAGCGTGATGTACGTACTACATCGTCAGTCTAGTAGCTCCTAGTTGCAAGGACCCATCCTGGAGGGAGTGGACGGGGAAGGAAAGGGAGTCGGGCAGATCAGACCACAGTGAATGCATTATAAGCCAACATAACAGGATCGGGTCGACAAGAAGAGAACACAGTGACAATGTACTACTCAGTAGTATGGAGTAGATATAGGTACTACTCGTGTATAGACCAGGACGTCATGCGGCGCTTGGCAGTGACAGGGTCTGTTCCAGCAGCAGAGCGCCATCAAAAGGGCATCGATCGGCAGGCGGATCGCCCGGAAAATCGTGCCCCTGTGCAGCCCGCAATTGGGCGCCAGCGTCACTTAAACACGCCCGTCTTTCCTCGTCGTCTCCGTCGTTGCCCGTCCGTCCGTCACCTTCCATTCCTTTTCCTCTTTCTGTCGCTCCCTCCCACCACCAACCCCCAGAATCATAAACCCACTTCTTCCTGATATCTCTGCCCCGGCGATATCAACCATGGGTTTATCAACCCGTCTCCTCCGCATCCCGCGGCCAGAGGTGTGTCTCAACTCCCGTCGTCTCCCTCTCGAATCCATGAAAATTTAGGATGGGAGCGAGACCCCGACCGGCCCGTTGCCCGGTCGCTCACTGAATGAGGCTAACCATCGCACCCCGGTGACCTCACACAGACCTTCCTCTATGTCATGAGTCTACAGACGGGCGCCTCTTTGATCACCTTGTCGTTGCTTCTCAACAAAATCAGCGGTCTCTATGGCTTGCTCGCCCTTTTGACCGGTTACCACCTCTCCCCCGTCCAGCTGTCGATGTACCTCTACTCTCTCCTCGCTCTCGGCCTCACAGCGTACCTCTTCCCGCACATCCGAAAACAAACTCCGTTACAATGCCTCGCGCTCGCCTGGCTTTATGTTTTCGACAGCCTGATCAATGCCGCCTACACAGCAGCCTTCGGTGTGACCTGGTTTCTCGTCGTCTCTCAACATTACGATAATGGCAACGCCTCGGGACCGGGTGGTGAGACCATCGCCCAGACCGCTGGCTTCACAAGCCCCAAATATGAGAGTGTCTCCAAAGGAGATGGTGATCATTATGCAAGGAGGCCGGAGCCCCTCGGCAACGCTGTGGCGCAGCCCGAAAGTTTCCAAAGCATTCTAATCATCTGCTCTCTCTGGATTGTCCGCGCCTATTTTGTCTTCGTCATGCTTGCCTTTGCGCGCCAGGCCCTGCGTCTCCACATCGCCGTGCCTCGTCATACCCAACTTCCGACCCACAGTCGCAATACTTCCATTGCTAGCGTCGCCAGTGTTGCGGACATCGACCGGGAGCCCTTCTCACCATATAGCCCCGATGGCCAGGGCTGGCAGGGAAAGCTTGGGCGCATCATGATCGGCATTGGCCGTAACTACTGGCTTGGTGAAGATGAGGAAGGCGGCAATTGGATGGTCACCCTTGGCCGTCGCTTCCGGGCCCGTGGTGAAGACACCGAACTTCCCGGTCCTCTTGAGAGGGAGAGAAGACGCCGATCCGGAACCGGTCCTCCCCAGCCGTCCCCCTCAGCCTTCCAGGCTGTGGCCCTGCAATCGCCGATCCATGAACACACCCCGGGAATGAACGTGAAGATGCACGGCTGGAACGAGAGCAGGTAATATGCGATCGTCTGACATTGGAGTAGCATACCAGCTTCCTCAGACTTGTCGCCATGGCATTTCCAAGCCTGCTAGGGGTTCCAGAGTGCATGTCGGCGGACAGGAATTGTGGCCGTCTGCCATATGTTGGTAAGACGACGATTGCGCGCCTTCTGTTGACCATGCCGCACTGTGCTGTGGAGAGGCTCAAAATTCCGTAGCCTCTTTCCTTCTCCGCCCCACTCACCTTGCATGGTTTCTTTTCAATTCTGTTATTATATATGCCGAAATGATCTACATACACTGTTTATGAAATGGGGGAATGGGTGATATGGGGTGACAGGGTGACACCTCATCGCTTCTGCCTTCGACTTTCACAACGACCTGGCTTCGACGAGACGTCAGCTCTAGGCGCGCGCGAAAGGTCCGGGCTATTTGGAGGCACCATGACTGGGAAGATGAACATAATGGCTTTGAGGGGGGTCTTGTCGTGCCCAACGTGGACTTGGCGTCTGGGACCTGTATATTTGTATCGACATAGGGTTGGTTCGTTTTCGGCGTCTTCAGGGTACATTTTTGTTGCATCATGCTAGGGATTTGCATATATTTTCCACCATATTTGGCCCCGAGAAGAGCATTATATATTTTTGTGTGCAAGACATAGATACCCAGATCCGCCTCGCCGAGTCGATTTGTCTTGCGTTGTCAATTCGATTAAATGATCTCCGCCCGATTGTGTACATGTCCGAGTAATCTCCGAATTCTCGCCCGAGAAACGATGATGTCAATCATGCTATGTAATAATGATAGGTCTCGAGCGAATCCCGGCAGAAAGCCCGGTAAACACAGACATGTGCTTTGAATATATATCCGATCGGGATTATGAGCGGAGGAAGAAGAAGGAGAAGGAGAAGGAGAAGGAGAAAAGACCAGATTATAAATAATAAATAAAATCAGAGCAGAAACAGACTTACTACTGCCATTTCTTTCCGGGTAAATAGTTGACAAGAACATTCAATGGATTGCGATCGAGTGCATGAACCAGTCCCGCTCTGCCCGGTTCCCCAGATCGTTACGAAACGTGCTTGGAAATCGCCCGGCGGTCGGCATTCAGAGCAAAAGCCGCGACCGCAATTGTTTGAGGAGTCAGGCCAAAGCGAAGGTGACGTGCTCGAGGGCCAATCACGAGATCCCCGCACTTGTCCTCATCGGGCGTGTTTGCACAGATACCCTGTGGCTGTTTGCATCGATGTCGTGATCGCAATCCAATCAGAGGGGGGCTAATCCAACCCCGATGGCGGAGAAGTGCCCCAAAAGTCTATGAGGAGCAGAACCATAGCTCTCTCTGAGACGGAGTCTGTAGAAAAATTTAGGGGAACACGGCTCAGTGTGAAGCTAAAATTCCCATGTCTTTAGCTTGACTCCCTCCTCTCTCCTTCCTCATTCCTTCCCTCGTCAACCTCATCTATTGAACTCGATTTGAGTGGGGAGTCACCGTATGCGGTGATATCCATTTCTCTCTACTTCAAGGACCATCCCACTTCTTGCGCGTTTCGCAGCGCAGCCAGTAATTGTCAATATGGCGTCCGTTTCGACTGCAGGTGAAGCAGGTATGGCGTCCATCTTGATCCTTGCTTTGCACGATTGCATTTTCCTTCGGCCTCCAATCCATCTATCGTTCTGTCCGAGTGCTAATCAGTCGTTTCATGCTTTCAGTGGCGAGAGTCGCCTACCTAGCCAGTGATGTTGTTCTCTCCGTTCAACCAACGCTGCAGGCCGATTCTTGGTTCTCCAAGACCCTCAAGACCCTAAAGGCAAACAATGCTCGCAGCATTCTGCCAAGGGGCGTCACTGACGTAAGTCATACTGAGTCTGGCTTTGCCGAGCGACCTGTGTGAGTGGCAATCTAACAATGTGTATAGGTGGTGGCCGTTCGTTACAACGAAGATCCCCTCCTTTCCGCTTTCCATCCCCTGCAGGCAGGCAATGCGGTGTCTGTTGTCACCACCTCCTCCACCTTGCTCTCCTCCATTCCTCACCTTTACCGCTTGGCGAACAGCCCCGTCGTCATCCATGTCGCTCTGGAACCCTACCCATTCCCAGACTACTCCGTAATTAGCTCTATCCGCCAATGTGGGTTCACTTTCCTGCATTCTGAGACGGTCCAGGAGGCCCAGGATATTGCCATCACTGCCCATGCCTTGGCCCGCAAGTCCGGAAAGGGTGTGATCCATTTCTTCGACCCTGCCAATTCCGCCCGCGACGATGCTATTGCCGAGGAGGATGCCGAGGTCCTCAGGTCCCTCCTGAACTTGGGCGGAAGCTCTGTGACACATACTTCCGGCCTGGGTGTCCAAACGCTATACACTGATTCTGGCCGGATTGCCACAGTGTCTGAGGATGCTGTTGACAGCGCCGCCAGCCAGGCTGAGGGTACCTCCACCCCTGCTCAGGCATCACAGACCCCCTCGAGCCTTAGTGTTGACAACTCGTCTGTTGGTTCTTCGCGGAGGGACAGCAGTGTCGATAGCCGTGCCACTAGCTCTGCTGCCACAACCATCGATGCTTCATCGACACGGCCAGTCAGTGCCGCAGATATCTTCGAATGGACTGCTCAAATCTGGAAGGGGCTTTCGGAGACAGTCGGGCGCAACTACCGCGCGATTGAATACACCGGTCCCTCCGATGCTAAATCCGCCATCTTTGTCTTCGGCTCGACTGGCGTGTTTGTGGATGTCCTGGGCAAGGAGGAGGCTACCGGTGAGCTTGGAAATGTTGGCTTGATCACCGCGCGCTTGTACCGTCCCTGGGTCGGAGGCCAGCTTGTGAACTCTATCCCAAGCTCGGTCGAGAAGATCGCCGTGCTGGAGCAGGTCCGCAAGACTACGAAATGGGGTCCGGCGTTCATGGATCTTCTTTCGAGCCTTTCACCATCTGCTGCTGGTAGGGCTACCCCTCAGATTGTGGGCTACAGACTGGGCTACGTCGAACCTTCTACCGCCGTTCAGGCTATCCGTGGCATCGTGCAGAACCTGAGCTCTCCTTCGCCTATTCAGAACCTCGAAATCGGAAGCTCGAAGGTTCCGTCCGTTGAGCCTTCTCTCGAGCAGCCTCACATTGAAAATGCCTACCTCAAGATCCTCAACCAGCTCTTTGGCGAGCGCCTGCACATCGCCAATCAGTTGGGCTCGAAGAATGCGGGTATCTCCTCCACCATCGCTGCCAGCCCCGAATACGGATTTGGTGCGCTGACCGCCCGGTTGGAACATCGTCAGCGCTTTATCCGGGAAGTGGAAGAAGCATCAAAAGCTACTAGCTTCGCCACTGATGTGCCCAGATCCTGGCTCTCCAAGTGGGCTCTTAGCGCGGGAGACGCCTCCAAGGCCAACAAGTTGGCCCCCGACGTCATTGCTCGCCTCTCCAACGACGGCTCCAAGCTTGCTAGACAGCTCTTGGAATCTAAGAAGCTGTTCTACGATGAGTCTTTGTGGCTCATCGGCTCTGACGCCTGGGCCTACGATCTCGGAAACTCCGGCGTTCACCACGTCCTCGCTTCTGGAGCTAATGTCAACATGCTTGTCATTGATTCGCAGCCTTACTCGGAACGCACCGCCGCCGACCCCACTCGCAGAAAGAAGGACATCGGATTGTATGCTATGAACTATGGCAACGCATACGTTGCCTCGGTCGCCGTCTATGGCTCCTACACTCAGGTTCTCCAGGCTATGGCCGAAGCCGAGCAGTTCAAGGGTCCCTCCGTCGTTGTTGCTTATCTTCCCTATAACCAGGAGAACGACTCTGCCTTGACTGTGCTTCAGGAAACCAAGAAGGCTGTCGACCTTGGCTACTGGCCCTTGTACCGCTGGAACCCTGGCAATGATGAGAATGGCGAGCCCAAGTTCTCTCTGGATTCGGACCGCATTAGGCGCGAGCTTGAGGAGTTCCTCCGGAGGGATAACCAGCTCACCCAGCTTATGAACCGCCACCCCAAGTTCTCGGCTACCCTTTCTGAATCCTATGGCACTGAGGTTCGTTCTTTGCAGAAGCGCAAGGCCAAGGACTCTTATGAGAAGCTTCTCGAGGGCCTCTTTGGTGCTCCTCTCACCATCCTTTTCGCCTCCGACAACGGCAACGCGGCGACCCTAGCTAAGCGCCTTGGAAACCGCGGTCGTGCTAGAGGCTTGAAGACTATGGTTATGGCCATGGACGACTACCCTCTCGACGACCTTTCCACCGAAGAGAACGTGGTTTTCATCTCCAGCACTGCCGGTCAAGGAGAGTTTCCTCAAAATGGCCGTGGACTCTGGGAGTTTGTGAAGAACACTGGTGATCTGGATCTGTCTTCTATCAACTACTCTATCTTCGGTCTCGGTGATAGCCACTACTGGCCCCGTAAGGAAGACAGAATCTACTACAACAAGCCCGCCAAGGATCTTGATGCTCGTATCGCCTTCCTTGGTGGACGTAAGTTGACAGATATCGGTCTCGGTGATGACCAAGATCCCGATGCTTTCCAGACTGGTTACTCTGAGTGGGAGCCTCGTCTCTGGCAGGCTCTGGGAGTGGACAAGGTTGAGGGTCTTCCCGAAGAGCCTGCCCCATTGACCAACGAGGATATCAAGATTCAATCCAACTTCCTGCGTGGTACCATCGCCGAGGGCCTGCTGGATGAGACCACTGGCGCTATCTCGGCCAGTGACCAGCAGCTGACCAAGTTCCACGGCACCTACATGCAGGATGATCGTGATGTCCGCGACGAGCGCAAGGCCCAGGGTCTTGAGCCTGCGTACAGCTTCATGATCCGTTGTCGACTTCCGGGTGGTGTCGCTACCCCGCTTCAATGGCTTCAAATGGATGCTATCAGCAGCTCGCATGGTAACGAAACCATGAAACTGACGACGAGACAGACCTTCCAGTTCCACGGTGTCATCAAGCGTAACCTCCGTGGCGCAATGCGTGCTATCAACAAGTCGCTGATGACCACTATCGCAGCTTGTGGTGATGTCAACCGTAACGTCATGTGCAGTTCTCTCCCTGAGCTTTCCTACTTCCATCGCGAGACGCACGCTATCGCCCAGAAGATCAGCGATCACTTGCTTCCCTCCACCACTGCCTACCATGAGATCTGGCTGAAGGATGATGACGACAAGAAGGTCCAAGTTGCGGGCGATGCCGTTGTTGACCACGAACCGCTCTACGGTCCCACATATCTTCCCCGTAAATTCAAGATCACCATCGCCATCCCCCCTCACAACGACACCGATGTCTACGCTCACGATATTGGTCTGATCGCCATCAAGGGCTCTGATGGTCACTTGGAGGGTTTCAACATTACTGCCGGTGGTGGTATGGGTGCTACTCACAACAACAAGAAGACCTATCCTCAGACTGGACGTATGTTCGGTTACGTGCCTGCTGACCAAGCTCACATTGTCTGTGAGAAGATCATGCTGGTTCAGCGCGACCACGGTGACCGCAAGAACCGTAAGCACGCTCGTCTCAAGTACACCATTGACGACATGGGTGTGGATGCCTACAAGGAGAAGGTCGAAGCCCTTCTTCCCGAGGGCTTGCGCTTTGCTGAGCCCCGCCCCTTCAAGTTCGTTTCGAACGTCGATACCTTTGGCTGGCTGAAGGACGAGAAGGGCCTCAACCATTTCACTTTCTTCATCGAGAATGGACGTATTGAGGATACCGCGGACTTCAAGATGCGTACTGGGTTGCGTGAGCTTGCCAAGCTTGACAAGGGCGAGTTCCGCCTCACCGGTAACCAGCACTTGATCCTATCCAACGTTGAGGATGCAGACCTTCCGGCCATTAAGGAGCTGATGGCTCAGTACAAGCTTGACAACACTTCCTTCAGCGGCATGCGTCTGTCTTCGTCTGCTTGTGTTGCCTTCCCCACCTGTGGTCTTGCCATGGCCGAGTCCGAGCGCTACCTGCCGGTCCTTATTTCCAAGCTGGAGTCCACTCTCGAGGAGGTGGGCCTGGCTAGTGACAGCATCGTCATGCGCATGACTGGTTGCCCCAACGGTTGTGCCAGACCTTGGCTTGCCGAAGTTGCCTTCGTTGGTAAGGCGTATGGTGCTTACAACATGTACCTTGGTGGTGGTTACCACGGACAGCGTTTGAACAAGCTGTACCGGTCTTCCATCAAGGAAGATGAGATCCTTGATATCATGAAGGATCTCCTCAGGCGGTACTCCAAGGAACGGAACACCGACGGCGAGGTTCCTGAGAGATTTGGAGATTGGTGTATCCGTGCCGGCGTCATCAAGGCGACGACCGATGGACAGAACTTCCACGAAGGAGTATGTTTCCCTCTTCCACACGAGCTCTTAGGCACATGACTAACAATCCACTAGGTTGCTGAAGATGACGAAGAAGAAGAGTAGACGTTGGATATATCCGGAAATGGACCTGTAGGATTCTCGGCATATTAGTGATATTATATATCTCCTAGAAGTTTTATGATTTTTACGACGATACAGCTGTTCTGTACATAGTGTTGATGACCAAAACTTGTCGCATCTATATTCCATAGCTGGAGTATTGTAAAATGTACACCGTCACCAGAGTTCTTCCTTGATAGTGTCCTTGACGGTAGGAATTCCTGATTGTGTATATATGGGGACTGGATGTGTTATGACCGCCGTGATGTTTTCATAGCCCATCTAATCAGATATATCGACTACCCAATGCTCGAATCTAAAGAAATGACCAGCACTTGTTTCAACATATGTATACCTTCTAAGACGGAAGGCGGTGTATTTTCATCGATTCTGCCCGCGGGCAGCTTATCAAACCTCCGCCTCCGATAAAGCAAAAAAAGTTGCAAAAAACCGACCTCACGAAGACCGCACGCCATTGTCTGGGCCATTCCCCCTCTCCTCTCACCTCCAACCGTCCTAACACGCAGTCACCCCGCTCCCCTCAATGTTCTCATCCTCATAATCAAACACACGCAACCATCACACCCGAACCCCCCATGGATCCCTCCGACGACCCCGTCGTCGCCTCCTACGACGTGTACCTCACCGACTCCGACATCTCTCGCTACGTCCTCCAATACCTCGACCGCCCGACCGGATCCTCCTATGACGACCGCCACGGTCAAAAGCCCTCCTCCTTCCGCCTGAAACCCAAGACCGGCCTCGTCGAAGTCGACGTCCCGATTAACACGCGCGTCAACTACGATGTTAGCAAGGGATTGCGGTACGGCGATGCCCTGAAGAAAAGCCGCAGTGCTCGCGAGGGCGGCGCATATGGTATGGCGGGCGGATTCAGTTCCGGGGGAGCTGGTGCGGGAGGCAAGGTGAAGATGGAGGCTGGAGTGGAAGTGGATACGAAGGGAGAGACAGCCTCCCTGTTACGAGTTCAGACACTTGGTGGGAGAATTAAGGGTCCTGAGGATGGAGACCCGGTTTATATGTTGGCGGCTTTTCGTGGACGTGAGTGCATCCCTTGGAACATTATGCTAGCTGGGGTATGGTTATGAGGAAGTGACTAATGGGATGGGGTTTTAAGAGAATTTGCATCTTTCGCCCGTTTCGGCTGTTGTGCAATTGCATCCGCAGCTTCATCATTTGGATGCGTTGGATGAGATCCCGACCAAGGGGAAGGGGAAAGCTAGGAAGGAGGGAGAGGAAGATCGGCCCGGTGAGAGTGAGGCCAGGGCCATCGATGTGAAGATTAAGGCCGCGGAGGATGGAGAGGCGGCGCAGGTTGCGGGCAATCTGGAGCTTTTGAAGAAAATGCAGGATGAGAAGTGGAAGGATTATGAGTGGGTTGATGCTGAGGTGAGTTCCTGGATCTTTGTCCCCGGAGAGTTTGGTTGAAGAGGTTGCTAATGCGGGTGGTTTGTTTGTTAGACGGAGGAATCGTGGCAATTGTACGAGAACTACATGATGCATCAGGATGTGGAGGGTCTACCGCAGCTGCAGTCGGCGATTGATAGCGAGAGTTATTTGGATACGATGAGCGCGCCTCGGATTGATCCTGCAAGGCCGGAGATGACTGGCTGGGCGATGAAACAGAACCGGAAGAAGCAACAGCAGGAAGAGGGGGGTGCTGCTGAGGAAAACACCGAGGAAGGTTGATGCAGCTGAGTTGGCTTCGAATACCATACGCAGAATTACGAATTCCAAATGACTTGCATATATACTTGCATCATGGCTGGTGGAAGCAAACGCGGGTGGCACGGCAGTACGGAGTGCTTCATGTCTGAGTTTGCGTAGTGGAGAACAGACTTTAGGAGTAGTTGGACAACCATGTTCCTCTGTCTGAACAGGAACTTGACTGCAATACTGCTTGTGGATGTCTATTCGAAGCCATTGACCGATGGAACCGTTTCTGGATTTGCCATTGCGCTCAATTCTGCTGGCAGAACTCGATCGAAAGGCCGTAGATGGGTCACCAGCCAATGAGCGCCGGGAAAACCTCCGGTAAGCTTCCAGAACATCACGTGCACCTCACGTGCCTTATCGCCCCGTTCGGGCGGTGGACCAATTTTCATTTCCGTCCGCCGAAGTCTCCGTCTCCAGTAGAGCGCATTATTTCTCGCCTTCACGCCTTTTCCTCTTCCCTCTCCTCCTCCTCGCCATCCACTGTCCCTTTCTCATTTCTTTCCCTTCTTCCATCGTTGGAGGGCTGCAGGACGGCTTGTCAGATTGGATAGATGTCCATTGTCTGACGAGTTCTCATTCTGGGTCATTTGAATCCATCCTGCATCTATTTCCTCTTCCCTCTTTTTTCATGATTGTTGACGCCTAGTTTCGCACCCGGTTGAGCGTCATTCTTCTTTCTCTATTTGTCAATAATCTGTGATATTCATTTAATTGTCAATAATCGCGTCTAGCGGTGTTTGTGTATCATGTTGTCCCGAGTTGCTCTCCAGAAAAATGCCTTCGCTCGCCTGCGCCTAGCCAAGGGGCGCTCGGTGTTGCCTTCAGCCGCATCACTGAGACTTCATTCTAATTCGAGTCGACCCATCGCCCTTACCAACCCATCTGCGAACATCACTCAGGAACGTTCTCGTCGACCATCCTTCCAGTCAAGTCGGAACCTCGCCACTGCTGCAGACCAGTCCGCAGTCGACCAAGGGTCCTATGGATCCTTCGAAGCTCCCGCATACAACCCCGAACGGTACTACGACCAACAATTGTCCTCTTTCTTCTCGCCCCTCGCTCGTGATTTCGATCCCTCGTCCTTGATCATCGTGAATGATGCCCTGCAAACAAAACCTAAAGTGCTGCGGAGGGTGAAAGGTCTTGGTGGCGATGAAGATGAAATGCTGGCAAACTTTGATCTGTCCCTCAGACTTCATCGGTATGATCGAGCTGCTATCCTTCTTTCCCGGCTTAGAGGATGTTATCCGGTCGCTTCTTCTAAATACCTTGCCCTTCACAATCGCTATCTTGAGGGGATGGTCGGGCAAATGATCTTGACAAGGCAGCATAACCTCGTCCTGCCAATGCAAAAGTTCTTCGAGGTTGATCTACCGGCCTCCGGGGTGATTCCGGACGCAACTACTTACGCAATCATGATTCGGATGGCACTGCGTATGTTCCACGGTACGAAACGTGATAGAGCAGTGCGCAGATACTGGGACTTTGCGAAGAAGGCATCTCTTGAGGAGGATGTTTTGGCGGCCCCTGTTCTCTCGGAATTGGAAATTGGAGAATTGTCAGAGGTTAGTTTCCTTCTCTCCAATCAACGATGTTACCGGAATATCTGCCTATATCTATGCCTTTACCTATAGAAAGGTTGCTAATTACAGAATAACATATAGATCTGCTCCTCGGACATCCAGCGGGTTTCAATGGGTAGCTTGGAGGCGGACAAGACGCTTGAAGGTAACCGCCAATCGGATACGCTCGATGACGTGCCGGATATCAAAGCTGTTGAACAGAAGGGTCTGGGTCTCTCATCCTTGAAGGAGTCACTCTCGCTCTTCTCCAATGCTTCAAGAGTGTCCGTTCCCGCGGAAGGCGAATATTCACCGGAGGAAGCCCAAGAACTGTACAATCTATCCAGGCAGCGACAGCTTGAAGCCGACTCTATACAAGCAGCCCTGAACCGGTGGCGGCAAGAGAACACTGACAGAAAGAAGGCTGGTCTTGACACTACCGGAAGCGAGAAGCGTTTAGGCAACATCATCAATCAGTGGCATACGGATCTGGTCACCAGGATTGACCAGGAACTCAAGCTTGTTGAAGAGGCAGAGTCAAAGCCCCCTCGCAACTTGGAGGATACTGAGCGTTGCGAATACGGTGTCTTTTTGCGCTGTGTTGATGCAGATAAGCTAGCGGCTCTCACCATCCTGAGTGTTTTGTCTTCGTTTGGCAGGGGCGGAATGGATTCAGGGCTGAAGCTGGCTTCACTTGCTACTAGTATCGGCTCAGAGCTTCACGATGAGTTTTTGGCTGAACGGACCCTCCAGAAGGAGGCGGCAGCCGATGCTGGCAGGGTTAGAGCGGTCAAGCAAACACTCGCGCTTCGCAAGCAGAAAGACGGTCGGCCACGGTGGCACACAATTGTTCGAAATCTAGAGAAGGATGACCCTACCGTTGCTTGGTCACCCCGCGTGAAGGCAAAGGTTGGCGCCGCCTTGATGAGTTTCCTTTTCGAAGTCGCCAAGGCTCCCGTCAAAATCGAAAATCCGGAATCGAAGAAGACTGAGATGTCCATGCAGCCTGCCTTCCAGCATGCCTATCAAATCACCTGGGGAAGACGTGCAGGTTTCATTCATCTCCACCCTGCGATTGTCAAGATAGTCACCAAGGAACCCACATCTGACCTTTTGGGTCGCCATTTGCCCATGTTGTGTAAACCTCGACCTTGGAAGGGTATGAACGATGGAGGCTACCACGTGTATAAGAGCCACCTGATTCGCACGACCCCTGGTGAAACCTTACAACCCGCATATGTGAAGGCAGCGCTGGAGAACAGTGGACTAGAGCAAGTTCGACATGGCTTGGATATTCTCGGCACCACCGGATGGGTTATCAACGAAGCCGTCTTCAACGTTATGCTTGAGGCATGGAATTCTGGAGAACCTGTCGCCGACCTCGCCCCGTTGGAGCCTGATCTGCCTCACCCCCCTAAACCGACTCCGGAGGAGGGCTATGAAGCCGAAAAGAAATGGGACAACGATATGCGTGAAATCGAGAACCGGAGAGCTGGTTTCCACTCCCAGCGTTGTTTCCAAAACTTCCAGATGGAGGTGGCTCGGGCGTACAAGAACGACACATTTTATCTGCCCCATAACCTGGATTTCCGCGGACGTGCTTATCCTCTTCCCCCTTACCTTAACCAGATGGGTGCGGACAATGCGAGAGGACTGCTTCTTTTCAGCGTCGCGAAGCCGCTCGGCGCGAGTGGCTTGAGATGGCTAAAGGTCCAGATTGCCAACCTTTCTGGATTCGACAAGGCCAGTCTCTCGGAGCGAGAAAAGTTCACCATGGACCACCTGGACGATGTGCTTGACTCGGCTAACAACGGCCTACACGGCAAACAATGGTGGCTTAAAGCAGATGATCCGTGGCAATGCTTGGCTGCCTGCTGTGAGTTGAGAAATGCGCTTCAGCAAGCGGATCCCACCCAGTACGCGTCCCGCCTGCCGATCCACCAAGATGGTTCTTGCAATGGATTGCAACACTATGCAGCCCTTGGTGGTGACAAGATTGGCGCTCAGCAAGTCAACCTTGAACCGTCCGATCGCCCATCTGATGTGTATACCGGTGTTGCTGAGTTCGTCAAAGAGGCCGTTTCCCGGGAAGCCGCTCAAGGCCACAGCGTGGCCAAATTCCTGGACGGAAAAATCACCAGAAAGGTGGTGAAGCAGACCGTGATGACGAACGTTTACGGTGTCACTTTCATGGGAGCCATGAAGCAGGTTCGCAAGCAGCTTATCGACCACTATCCGGAGCTATCACAGGACCAGAAACACCAGGGAGCCATCTACATCGCGCGGAAGGTCTTCGAGGCTTTGGGAACCATGTTCAACGGTGCCCATGATATCCAGTACTGGCTGGGTGATTGTGCCAGTCGTATTACCCAGTCTCTGGCCCCGGATCAAATTGAGCAAATCGCCAAGGAGGCCATGACTCCCGAATCTGCAAAGACGATGGAAGACCCGACAAAGAAGTTCCGGTCGACGGTGATCTGGACAACCCCGCTCGGGTTGCCTGTGGTCCAGCCATACCGGGTTCGCAAGGCGCGTCGTATCTATACCACGCTCCAGGATCTGAGCATCGTCGATGGCAGCTCGGGGGATGTCGTGTCCAAGCGCAAGCAGCTCCAGGCCTTCCCCCCCAACTTCATCCATTCCCTCGATGCCACCCACATGATGCTGTCGGCCATCGCATGCCACCGGGCTGGCCTCCAGTTCTCTGCCGTCCACGATTCCTTCTGGACGCACGCCTGTGACGTCGACTCGATGAATGAACTGCTTCGCGAGGCATTCGTTCGCATGCATTCCGACGACGTCGTCAAGAGACTGGCCGCTGAATTCGAAGTCCGGTACAGCCAGAATCTGTTCCTCGCCAAAGTGGAAGCCACCAGTCCCCTTGGCCAGAAGGTCCGCGCCCTGCGCAAGGGATCGAAGGTGTCTCAGAAAGCCACCAAGGTGCATGAGATGCTGGAAGAGCACAAGCGACAGAAGCTCCTGAGGTCGGATGATCCGGAACTGCAGGCCCAGGGTCGTGCCATGGTCACCCCGGGTAGCATCTTTGAGGAATTCGGAAGCGACGAAGATCTGGCCATCGCCAGTTCGCTGGGAGAGACGGCGGTCGGTCACGTCCCCGAGGACTTGGCGGCGGCGGAACGGAAGATCTCAGGCATGGAGGCCGACCCCACGGATCCCGCCATCGAGTCCCTCTTCCAGGGCTTTGACAATGTGCTCGGCGCGAAGGCTGACCCTCACGATGACACTCCCCCGGAGGAGCCGGCCCCGACCAAGCGCAAGGCCAAGGCCAAAACCTACGTGCATATCTGGCTCCCGTTGCGGTTCCGTCCGGTCCCGACCAAGGGAACCTGGGACGTGACGCGCATCCGCGACAGCAAGTATTTCTTCTGTTAGAAGTGCCGTCGCACGGGCCGCGGCTGTCTCTGCTTCGGGCGTTCTGGCACGGAGCTTGATCTCGTTTGACGTTGCACTGCACCGATCCTTCGGATGGGTGCTCGCTCTTGATATCCCCTTGTATATTTATTGATCTTCTGGTTGTTTTCTGCTCGGGTGCCGAGTTTGGCACGGGGGAGCTCCCCCCTGATAATTTTCTGGTTCTTCTGGCATGGGTGCTGCATGGGTTGGGATGCATGAATGAACGTGTATAGTCTGGATTGTTTTTCTTATTGTTTGGGCATAAAAAGGGCAGATACGGTGTATATATCAGGGATGGATGTTATTTTGGACAGTGTATATATGTGTATGAAGTGAATGTGACCTTGTGAGCACAACAAAAACTCCCATTGGGCGAGGGGAAAGGTCGGAGATAAGTTGGATGCAGGCCGGCGAGGCGTCGTACATGAAGGGGGGGGACGAGCCCTGCATGGGCCGAAGCGAATTCTGGAGTCGGGCAGTGCGGAGTATCCTCAGCTAGGAGCCGTAAGCACCCATGTTCTTTCTTTCCTCCATCTGTCCGACCGGATCTGCCATTGGCGGAGGGACCGCATTTCGCATGGAGGATGGCAGGGAATTGAAGTGACCCTCCTGATCCATGATCACATTGACGAGGGATGATGGGGGAGGATGGGGATGACCGACAGACCAAAAGACCTGACGATCCGGAGAGAGCCCCGGCTTGGTGGCCTCCGGCCTGCGCTTCCCCGCCTTTTTTTCCCCTGCAATTCTGCAATCCTTTTTGCTCGGCCTCCAGGCCTCCCTGTTGCCCCCTCCCCCTCCCCCTCGCCCCTCTCCAGCATCTTCAGCATGCTGGATCATTCCACGCGGATATTAATCCTTAACGCATTTCTGGTGGTCTGATCCGACCAAGTCTTGAGTGTGGTGGTGAGTGCTTGTCTCGCCCTTCCCCGGACCTGCCCACCCGAACTACCGCCCAACTAGTTCGCTGGTCGGCTTCTTTGCGCCTCCGGCTGACTTCTCCTCTTCTGCTGCTTTTAATCTTTAGGTCCCTTCTTTTAGTTCCCTTCCTAGTCCCCCGCAGTTGCAATCGGCAATGTTGTCGGTCTAATCGGTCCCTGTTTCCTGCGATCTCTCTGGCTGGTTTTCTCCCCCGCCTTGGACTTCAATCACCTTGCCGATTTCGAGGATCTTTTAGTCGAACGTCGCCGGCTCCTCCAATCCCGCTAGTTTAGTGTCTTGCGCACTTGGGGCCTTACGGCCCTTCGATCCACGAACGGCCTGATACCTCACCACCGACCGTCGTTCTTCATGTGCCGGTGGGTTAGTTGCTCTGCCCGGTGAGGATGTCGACTTCCTCCATCCCTCAATTCACCAGCCCATTTTCTCCTTTCTCCTCCGCATCGCAATCGGCCGGTATGGCGCCGTCTCAGACCGTCGGGCTGGATACGCTCGCAGAGGGCTCGCAGTTTGTCCTGGAACAATTGCAGATGTCTCGAGATCTTGCAGGGACGGGCGCAGGGGACGGGGCGAGCTCCAGTTCCTTGAGAGACTCCATCTCTCATGCCAAGGACAAATCATTCTATGACAACGAGAAGCACCATAGTATTGGGTCAGGCTTTCAGAACCCTCAGAGGGATCCCCTCGTCGAGGCTCGTTCTGCGATCCGCAAAAACTCATCGTCAGCTCCGGTCCGACGAAGAATCAGCCGTGCGTGTGACCAGTGTAACCAACTCCGAACCAAATGCGACGGGCAGCACCCGTGCGCCCATTGCACTGGTAGGCTTTCCGCCTTTCTCCGACGCTAGCCCCCAGACTTGTCGTCTTGACTGACTTTTCAACAGAATTCGGATTAACCTGCGAATATGCGCGAGAACGCAAGAAGCGTGGAAAGGCGTCGAAGAAAGACCTGGCAGTGGCAGCGGCAGCGGCAGCAGCTACGCAAGGATCGAATAGCCATTCCGGACCGATGAGCGCGTCGCTAATGAGCGAGCAAATGTCTCCCGACGGCCGACTGGCACAAGATGTCAATGGCAGATATGACTCGGCCTTTGAGACTGCGCACAACCTTACCTCGGCGCAGTCGCAAATGCAGCACCCAAACACAACAGGTCTATCAAGCCTGCACGACTCCCGTTCCGCACCGTCGCACTCCCAGTCATCGTTAGGGGCTACCATCGATGCGATCCCTTTGAGTCATTTCAATACGCTGAACGATTCGAGTCGCCCTCCAATATCCATCTCCGATCTCCGATCGCTGCCCTCTTCTGTCCTGCCTCCGCAAGGATTAAACTCTGGATATGGTGAGAGCGCATTCGGGTTGGTACACCCGCAGGAGCCGGGCTCTTCTCCGGCCAACCATTTCCGATTGGGAAGCTCTGCAGAAAACCCATCGGCGCCGTTCTTAGGACTTTCGCCTCCTGCGCAATCGCCCGGCTGGCTGCCTCTTCCATCGCCATCTCCAGCCAACTTTCCCTCATTCAGCCTGCATCCATTCTCGAGCACTTTACGATACCCTGTTTTGCAGCCGGTTCTGCCTCATATTGCATCCATCATTCCGCAGTCGCTCGCGTGCGACCTGCTTGATGTCTATTTCACCAGCTCCTCTTCGTCCCACTTGTCTCCCCTGTCCCCGTATGTGGTGGGCTACATTTTCCGCAAACAATCCTTCCTTCATCCTACCAAACCCCGTATGTGCAGCCCCGGCCTCCTGGCGAGTATGCTCTGGGTAGCTGCACAAACCAGTGAAGCCGCATTCCTAACCTCTCCGCCGTCGGCTCGGGGCCGCGTCTGCCAGAAACTCTTGGAATTGACCATTGGCTTGCTCCGACCGTTGGTCCATGGTCCCGCTACGGGGGAAGCGTCCCCCAACTATGCTGCGAACATGGTGATCAACGGGGTCGCTTTGGGGGGCTTTGGGGTCTCGATGGACCAGCTGGGTGCGCAAAGCAGCGCAACTGGTGCTGTGGATGATGTGGCGACTTATGTGCACCTAGCTACCGTCGTGTCCGCGAGCGAGTACAAGGCGGCCAGCATGCGCTGGTGGACTGCAGCGTGGTCCCTGGCGCGTGAGTTGAAGCTGGGTCGCGAGCTGCCGCCTAACGTTCCACACGCACGGCCAGACGGCGAGCGAGAGGGTGAAGAAAGCGACATGTCGAAACGGCACCCTTCCACGCTCATTGCGTCCATGGGACATAGTCCTGGAAGCTCCTCCGTCAATGTCACCGAAGAGGAGCGGGAAGAGCGCCGACGTCTGTGGTGGCTCCTCTACGCGACGGACCGCCATCTGGCCCTCTGCTACAATCGCCCTGTTACCCTGTTAGATAAAGAGTGCGGGAGATTGTTGCAGCCGATGAATGACGATCTGTGGCAGATTGGTGACTTTGCCTCGGCTGCCTACCGCCAGGTTGGACCCCCAGTCGAGTGCACGGGGCACAGCATGTTTGGATACTTCCTTCCTTTGATGACGATCCTGGGGGGGATTGTCGATCTGCACCATGCGGAAAACCACCCGCGCTTTGGGCTTGCCTTTCGCAATAGCCCGGAATGGGAGCGCCATGTGATCGACATTTCCCGACAGCTGGACACGTACGGCCGCAGCCTGAAGGAGTTTGAAGCCCGCTACACCAGCAGTTTGACCATGGGCGCAGCGGACAACGAGCCGTTGGTCGAAGGCTCCCACTTGGACCATACAAGTCCTTCTGGACGCTCCAGTAGCACCGTCGGATCCCGGGTGAACGAGTCCATTGTCCACACGAAGATGGTGGTGGCCTATGGTACACACATTATGCATGTCCTGCACATTCTTTTGTCGGGTAAGTGGGATCCGGTCAATCTCTTGGAGGACCATGATCTGTGGATCTCTTCGGAATCGTTTGTCTCGGCGATGAGTCATGCGGTCGGTGCTGCGGAAGCGGCCGCCGAGATCTTGGAGTACGATCCCGACCTCAGCTTCATGCCGTTCTTCTTCGGGATCTATCTGTTGCAGGGTAGCTTCTTGCTGCTACTAGCGGCGGACAAGCTGCAGGGCGATGCCAGCCCTAGTGTCGTCCGGGCTTGCGAGACGATTGTGCGTGCACACGAGGCCTGCGTTGTGACGCTGAACACCGAGTATCAGGTACGTATCCTTCTGTTTCTAATTGGCTCAACTAACCCACTGGTAGAGGACCTTTCGCAAGGTTATGCGCTCGGCGCTCGCGCAGGTTCGAGGACGGATCCTTGAGGACTTTGGCGAACAGCAGCAACGCCGGAAGGAGGTGCTTGCGCTGTACCGCTGGAGCGGTGATGGCAGTGGGCTCGCATTGTGACCGCTGTGATCATCTACGCCTACTCTGCGATGACTGAATCTAATGACGGTGTATAGGTCAAGGACTTTTGGTTATTATTTCATTCTATATCCTATATCTCTCTTTTCACTTGCATTGTTCATTCGGGCTACCGTACACAGGCTCTATGAGTCGGCGTATGGCGAAGGGTGCAGCTGTTTTGGTTTCCGTGTCTATATGCATTTAGTATATACCTTGCGCCTTTTTGTTGATATCTGGCATCTGTACACTAACTGCGGTCATCCTGTACATGACGTACATATATAGCATACATGCATACTTTATGAACGGTAGAATCACCCACTCATCAGCCGAGGTATGACGCCAACACCACACCAACATCGAGATAACGCTTATCGCGATAAGCTTCCCCATCTTCCCTCCACCTCCCATCTTCCCCATCATCATACCTACAATCCAACCCCCTCCCATCCCCAAAATGAAACTAACCACCACTCTAACCCGCCCTCTCCTCCGATCCCATCTCCCCAAACTCCTCACCCCATCCCCATCCCCATCCCCATTTTCATACACCCCAATCCGCCACCTCGGCATCCCCCCCGCCTACCTCCTGGACACCTACATCCCACGCCACCAACTCCTCACCCCCATCGAAGTCTCCAAAAAGCGCTCCCTCGCCCACGCCCACCTCCAAAACTGCAACCTCTGTCCCCGCCGCTGCAACGTAAACCGCTACCACAAAACAGGAACATGTATGATCGGCGCCGAAACGGCAAAAGTGAATGTGATTGCGCCTCATCGCGGCGAGGAACCCTGTATCCAGGGGTATTGTGGAAGCGGGGCGGTGTTCTTCTCGGGATGTAATATGCGGTGTGTGTTTTGTCAGAATCATGTACTTATGCCCTCCCAGTTGTATATATGTAATGTATGCTAACACCCACGGTACTAGGAAATATCACATACATTATCCGGTCACGATCTCACGCCTACGGACCTAGCAACCTGGTACCTCCGATTACAGAATGTAGGGAAAGTGCATAATATCAATCTCGTGACGCCGGAACATGTAGTTCCGCAAGTGGTGCTTTCGATTCTCGAGGCGAGGGAGATGGGCCTTTCGATTCCGGTTGTGTATAATACGTCTTCGTTTGATTCGTTGGATTCGTTGAAGTTGTTGGATGGGGTGGTGGATATCTATCTTCCTGATTTTAAGGTGTGGAGGGTGGAGACTGCGAGGCGGTTGTTGAAGGCGGAGGAGTATGTGGAGACAGCGAAGGAGAGTATTAAGGCGATGTATGGACAGGTGGGGGATTTGTGTTTCACGAGTGATGGGATTGCGAAGAAGGGGGTGTTGGTGAGACATTTGGTGATGCCAGGGTTGGAGGAGGAAGGGAGGGAGATTATGCGGTGGTTGGCGAGGGAGGTTAGTATGGATTTGTATGTTCATGTTATGGAGCAGTATAGGCCGGATGCGTATGTGGGGAGGAGGAAGAGGAGGGTTGGGGGAAGGGGGGAGGAGGAGGGGAGAATGTGGAGGGAGGTGGGGATGGAGAGGTGAGGTATAAGGAGATCAATCGGGCTGTGAGAGAGGAAGAATGGGGGTCTGTGAGGGAGGCGGCGGTTCAGGCCGGGTTGTGGAGGTTTTGTGAGGTTAATGAGAAAGGGGGGTTTCATTTGTAGATGCGTTAGTGTATGTTTGGTGAGTACCTAGGAAGAGGTTAACATGATTATTTGGGATATTTTGTCAAGGCTTTCCATCTAGGAAGAGCTGCCATTATTGTGAGAACCGTGGTTCGAATTAGCCACATGTAAAGATGCAACCTTTGCCCTTTGAAGTCCATTCGACTCTCCGATCTGCCTCAGCTGCAGAGATATCCAGTCACGCTCAGTTGGTGTAGCAGACGAGGCAGTTCCAGCAACGAAAAGAGGCCATATCAGGGTCATGCCACATCCAGCCGGAATTCCACCTTGCTTGTTCCTGAAATATGCTTGCACAATTGGAACACTGGAGCAGATGCTCCTGATGCTATTTCGGATGGCAGTATAGGAAACGGTGAGAATGGGATTGTGGAATGATGATGATGGAAGTCTGAATAGGTTGCGGCGCTGTAATAGGACCTGATGTCGTGTTTCGTGGAGGATTATGCGAGCACAATTGCATAGATTGCAGGTGTTAATCATCGAGAGGTTATGCGAGAGATCATCTGCAGTCATAGACTCGTTCTGATACTTCGCGGACCATGCCTCTAACTCTTTGTCGATAGAGAGAACCTCGGAAATATATCGTGAGAGTGCATCTGTACTGGAAGGGTTCTTGACGAATGATATAAAAGCGCAGATTCGCACAATGATATCAGCCAATTGCCCAGCAGGTGTCTCCTGTACATCCTCGAACCTTCGGGCCTCAGCTATCCACTTAAGCATCATACTTGGTATGGGTTTTCTTTGTTGGAGACAGTTGATAAGCTACCAAATTGTGAGAGACTGGGATGTAGATCAGGGAAAGGGGAGTCTTACAACTTCTGTGCGCAGATGTATGAAGATATTCCGCCCTGTCGGGCTTTGTAGCTGATTGAGGTTCCAGAGATAACATAAGGCTAATTCACCTCTCTCGTGCTGGTTCCAGGAGGAAAGATTAATCCCGTCACATGTCACTATCTAACTGGAATTAGCACGTGTTCGGTCACATATGGTATGCGTGCTGACTTCAAAGAGATTTAAGAGCATCACGGTGACAAGTAATTGCTCAGATACTGTGTGATTAGGCTCCGTAAGCGCCAATCTTATACCACGGAGCACCGATGAATATCTTTTGAATGCTGCCTGTCGGAAATGCGGGGAGTGGTGCAGATTTGCTAAGCTTGCCATGCCAACGGCCTGAACGACGTTGGATAAGTACCCATGTGCTGGTGCCTGAGAGTATATGGACTGAAAAGAGCTACGACGGCCATAAGACAGCGCAGCATATTCCGAGATATAATGATGGATGAAGAATTGTAGGGGCTGCTGATCTCTGCAGGGCAAGGAGGGAGTGGCGTAGAGCTTGTGCATGGATTGTTGCACCCAGGAGTGGATTAACCCCTGTTGACGTTCATCCGAAGTGTCAGACCCTGGCTGATGTTTACGAACTGTGGCGACTGGACTATCACTGGCCTGGGCAGTGTTGGCTTTTCGTATCACCTGTGCGCTCTGATTCCGGAAGCGAAGAGAGTGGACGTCACGAAATCCTGTACATTCTGCCCCTGCTCTAAGACATTGCCCGCACGATGGCTTGGTCATGTCACACTAGTCCAGGTAGCATCTGTTAGATCCAGGACAATGTCTATCTTGGGGATCAGCGCAATGACATACCCTTCGTCTTCTCACTCTGCATTCTAAGCACGCTTTACTTGGTTTCCCGCAATAGACCATAGCAGACCGTAGCGAAGGTGAGTGCTCATGCGAGAGTATTTAGTCAGGTTATAATAATTTATTGATAAGGAGTGTTCGTCATTTGGAAAAGGCATAGCCATAGAATGTAGCAATAATCGACTGAGATGTCGAAGTGCATGTCTCGCGGGGGATGACGGGTCGACCAATCAGAAACCGATGATCTTCCAGTGTGGGTCAGTCAGGCATTTCTGAGCTGTTACAGGTATAGACCGTATCTGTTTGTAAGTGATCTCATCGTCCACGTATCATTTCTCATCCATCGTAAACACTCGCCGCCGCATCTGCAACTCCCGTGCCTCCGGATCCGACAATGCATAAAGCAACACCGCTTGTCTTCCGCCCTCCATCTTCTCAAAGCTCACCATCCGAACTCTCGAATACTCCGGCACATACCCATCTTGCCCAGCCGCCTCCCGCTCTATAGCCGCAGCCTCTCGCACCTGATAAAACAAGACCATCGAATCATGCGGTCCTTCCCGGTGCGGCCACGACTGAAACAGGTCCAGCACTCGACCCCGAATCTTAACATCTCTACACTTAAACCCCACCCACGTCAGAGGCAGCAGGACCCCCAGGTCAGAAACCACGTTAGGGAGATGATTATCCGCACGCTCAGTCTTGAAACTGGTGATGATCTTCTCGGTAAGATCGACGGATCGCTTCCACTCCTCTTGATACTGGTCGTATACGGTTTCTCTCAACTCAAGAAAGGCCCCGATGCCGGTGGTTAGGATGATCTGGTACAGACGGATTGTGTCTATGCTCCGGACTCCTTTTGCCGTGGTGGGGCGATATCGTGAGAGGAAAGCTTCAAATGCACGAATGTGGTGTTGCAAATTCGTGTACTGAGTTTGTTGCTCGAGACAAAGAGAAGCGTAGTCTGTGGAGTGATTGCGGAGAGCTGCTTCACAGCGCGGCCAGAACCGCACCATGTTGTTGATCATCGGATCGAGCTTATCCTTTGCGTCTTGAAGACTTTCCAACTCTAGACTATCATAGTGAAACTCCGCGAGGTGCATGTCCGACGGATGTAGTTTGATAACAGAATCGGAGGAATCAAAGTGCGCCGCCTGGACAGTCAAATGCGCAAACGTGCGACTAAGCGCAGTTTCGGCAGTAAAAGTATCCAAACCCGTCAGGATAGACGAACGAGCCTGCGGGCCCGTGTCATGCACCAAGATATACGCCCCATTCCGGAGGTGCATCAGCGCATTGTGGTAGTTCTCCTGGATAAAGTCGAAGAAAATGAAGATAATACAACACACCAGGGCCGTTACTCGGAGCTGGGGGTCATTGGATCCGAGTCGTTGGCGGAGAGCCTTTATTGCGCAACCGTATTGCTCCAGCGCGAAGAGTCGATAGTCTTTACTTTTCTTCACAACCGCCCCCGACATCATCTCATTGTCCTCATGAAGTGCCCCCAGCGCCGCCACAGCGTGCCCGACCGCCGGCTCAGCCTGACTCATCTGCAGAACAATCCGTTGCCATAATTCGGAGTCGAACAGCCCTGTCATCATCGGCATAGTATGGCTTTGGAAGAAGGCGAGACATCGTCGTTCATCGGAGGTCATACCAGGGAGGTTAATATCGATGGGTCGGAGCCCGGGTCGGAAGCGCGCTTTTGCGGGGAGCTGGAAGACGGGGTATCCATCACAGGTCCGGCCCGTGGAGGTGCAGTTCGTGCATGATGATCCCGGGGTCTCGTCGCATTTGATGCGCCTTGCCCGGCAGGTGCGGCATCCAGTCCGGGACCGGGAAGAGAATACCTTCAGACCTTTGGATCTGGGACCCATCGTGGGTTGCTGACTGCATGACTGCAGCTGCCTTGGACCCCTGGCGCTTAACAGCTCGAATCTTCCGGGCCGAGCCGATGGGGCCGACGGAGCTTCCGGTCGGAACCGAGTATCTGACTAGATAACTGCGATGGAGACAATAGCAGAAGATGAGGATGAAAGGATTCGGCTGAGGCCAAAAAGGCCGCTATCTATTTTCTCACTGCCTGATGTAGTGTTCGGAAGTTTCATCCCATAAGCGGGCATCCTCCGCACATCATACGTGGCTAAATTACCATATTCTCCACTGGGATTTTTCCAAGGACATGAAACTGAGCATTCTGGTTTTTCTTAACTCAAAGCTATACCCAGCTCCTAGAGTATCAGGACAGACCGACATGCTCTGATCATCGCAACATAACACATTCCAGCCGGGTTCCTCATGGACATGATCGCAGAAAGATTCAACGACGCTGACATCGGCTTCAACGGTGCAGTGTGGCCCATTAAATCAATCTGCAAGCACCTCAACAAGTATCCACTCAGTAAGTTGTAAGCCAATCGTAGCCCCGACATATCAGACATGACGCCTATAGCAGAGCGAACAACTACCGCTCATTCCATTCGGTGTCATACCTCGGATGCGCACGAGGCAAGAAGGCCCCATACCGACTCTCCTCTGCATCACCATCAGTATCTTCATCCTCCAGTCCAGGATGTGTAATCTGCTGGTACTCCGGTGCCTGTCTTCCGAATCGAGTGTTTATCCAGCTCGATCGCATGGCCTGGTAGAACGCAACCTATACCATCATCAGATAAGTCACTATTAAGAGGCTCGGCACTAACCTTCATGAACAGTGTCAACACAGCAGCAGCAAAAACCATCCACGACGCGCTCTGCTGCTGCTGCGTCCATGGAACCAGACAGCTCTGTCCGTACCCAAGCTGCACCTCGCAGGCGTCGTCCCCATGGGTCCGGTCCTTGAACGGCCAGGCTCGATCATGGATGCTCCGAAATCCGCAGCAGCGGAATTCATCCTGAATGGTACGAATAGGCTGTGCGTCTTTTAAGCGGAAGTACTCTTGCCATTCCTGCTCTAACCTGCAGGTCAAAACATTCTCAGGGTATAGATAGGCGAGAGCCACGGTGGCAATGATCGCCGATATGATCGAGTGGAGATGGTCCGCGATGGGAAACAGCCTTTGCCAGTGGTTAAAGGGATGAGTATTGTCTGCTCCGGCTGTGGAGGACAGTCGATTGGCGAGGTACAATGCCAGTACCGTAATCAGAGGGAAGAGAGTGGTGATGACTGGGATCCATTGAGGGAAGGGGAGAAATAGCGATGCGGTACGGGACCAGGAGAGCCTGTTGCTTGGGAGTTAGTTTGAGCCCTTCATCGGGTTCACAGATGGGATAGTTGTCTGTGGGAGGGAAGAGAGGCACTTACGCTCCCAGAATGAGAGCAATAATCGCGCACTGTACGGTCAGTCAAGCGCAAACAGACAGGGATTTGCTCGTACCGCAGACGACACCACAAAAGCTATCATTGCCAACCCGCAGATCATGGCCATGTTTAATCTTTGACTATTAAGGATGTTGAGTGATGAAGGAAAGAGACGGTCTGCCAGTCCACAAAGAAGGGGCTGGTGAGGTGAATCTATGACCGGCCAGTGACGGTCCAGGCGGGGTTGGAGCCCGTCCATGGTCTCGACAGCACCCCACTACAAATCATGCGAGGGCTGATCATCACGTAAGTATAAAGATATGGACGTTATATGCAGAGCTTCATATATCCTGAAATACGATAGTCATTAGAATTTATCAGTAGTTGAATAGTTTCTTTGACTCGATAGTCTTATAGTCGGCTCTCTGAGATATGTTGCTTTAGTAGTATTATAGAACTCGGCGAGAATGATAATTACTAGGTCATGGCCTGCGCACGGCCTTTGGCCATCCACAGCCCAAGGCGTTGCGAGGTGTCTTTGTAAGTATAAGTATCAAGCAACGCATTTATAAAAGTATGTTGTTAAAGATATCTTGTATAGTTAAGAAGTCAAGCAGCACTGCTAATACTCTGTCAATCGCTTTAACAGGATTTATCAAGTATTCTTAAAGGGATTAATCAACTACTTTCAAAGGGTTCTGTCAGGCGCTTCTAGATGGCCCAATCAAGCACCATTTCTTACTCAATGAAAGCACCCGTTCCAGGTGCTATGTAGGCTAATACTAGATATAAGAACATCATGTAAATCTCATAGTCATTATAACTACAGACTAAGCATTCAACCTGCTTCAGAATAAAATCTTCCAGACTTCTAAGGAGCTCCCCGATTTCTCCTGGTATCCCTTTAAGCGATGTCCCGAAAAACTGTTCGACCTATCTTGATCAACTCCTCAGGACCAAAAACCAGATCCTTCTCGGGTGAAACTGGCTGTCTACCAACTATCCTGCTGAACTCCAGGACCACTGAGGGCCCCTGGATAGTGGGGGGTGTTGTTTCTCATATTCACGACAGTAATAGAAATCAGCTGTGGCACAAAGCTCGGCCCGCCGGCCGCGGCTTGCGCCCTGGTACTTGGGCCTGAACGGGGCCGTGGGAAGTATTCTTCGATCGTGAGTGTCTTCGCCTCACGGGAAACTTTGAAGATCAATGCTAAGAGGACTTTGCCGCCCGAGTATCCAATCCACCAGTTGACATCCTGGCGAAGCCGAGGGAGTGACTCTAATACACCACTCTCGATCACCCAATGGGGCCAATCGGTGTCGCGGGGTCTTAAGAGTCCATTTTTGTAAGTAGAGTCTCCTTCCTTTTGCGAACGAGAGGGCGCGGTATATATCGCCGCTCCGGTTAGTTCACGCTCGTCAAGGTCGACTCCCATAGTAGCCAAGCTAACAACGGCCTGATCGGTGAAACTCCTATGAGCTTTCTCATGGGGGACCGTTACAACCTTGATAATGAGAGTCTCTATGTCGGGGAAGTAGGTCATTCGAATAGTGGCGTGTAGCTGACCACGGTTCTCAGCCAGAGCCCGGAAAGATTTCTCGGAGACATGCTTGAAAGAAAGGAACTGATTGGCGTCTCGCTGGCGTAAACGTTCCCAAAGGGTCATAACAGCGTGATCACAATCCTTTAATCCACGGAAGGTTTGTGGCGGGTACTGTCCTGTCATTGCCAATGAAGAGGTATTAGGGGTGACATAAGGTGTGGGCATCGTCTTGGTGGAGATTTCTGTCATCGGTGTTGACCCTGCCTGCGATGTTGACTACGATGTTGACGCTGACTTTGACTCCCCGTCCCTGTATTTCATTGTGTGACGTGATAGCATCTTCAAAATTGGTTAGCGGGATCACCGTGACATAAGCTTACTGACCTTGACGTAGACAAGAGGGACCGTATCTTAGTGAGAGTAGATTATATTCGGACTGGACGAAAGCTGGAGATTCCTTGGATGCAAGCCGAATAGGAACAAGTAGCAAGAGAATGAGCGGAGAATTAGAAAGAGAAGGAGAATGGAGAGAGAAGTGGAGTGGGATGGAAGAAGAAAAGGATGGAAGACGTCGTCCTGGTGAAATAATAAGATGATGGCCCCATAGAATCCTTCCAGAAAGTAGATGATTCTGACCATAACCCAGTGAATAATCTTAGATTCAATAGTACTTATAACTTCACACAACTTGTTTCCCATATAGGTCTGAACAAACACTGTATTTGAAATATTCAAAAGAATCTTTTTACAGCGCTTGGTTACGCCCTTTAGGTTGAGTGCGAGCTCTTGACACAGCTCCTTTAACTGCTTGATTGACTTTAAGAAGCGCTTGCCAGAGTCCTTCAATGCTAAATAGAGTTCCCTAATTATTGAGGATGTCTTTTACTACATAGTTATAAAATTGCGTTGCATAATACTTACTAAGGCGCTTCGCAACGCCATAGTAAATATGTAGGTTGTCTCCAGGCAATCGGCCCGACCAATCACGGGCGGTCAGCTGCCCCATCGGAGCTGTCAGCTGCCACCAAAGATCGAGCTAAGATAACGCGATTGTCCTTTTCTTCACCTCGATCTCTCAAGCTTCAAACCTGCCTTGCTTTGTCCCTCCACACCATGAAACCATACATCGGTATTCCGGCTGTTGCAGTACTCGTATATCGCGCGTGGTCGCGGAAATCGCTCACCCCGCTGGGTCTCGTTGTCGCTGCCCTGACGGCCAGCGCCCACGCCCTCCATCCATGGGCCCTTCCCTTCGTCCTGTTGGGGGTGTTCTACTTCGGTGGCACCAAGGTTACCAAGGTATATACCTCTGTCTCATGAATTTATTCGCTGTCCGCAATAGCTCATTGTGCGCTGTCAGGTTAAACACGACATTAAAGCCCGTTTGACGCTTTCCGCGACCGGTTCGGAGGGCGGCGAGGGCCAGCGTACCCACATCCAGGTCCTGGCGAACTCAGTCGTCGCTACAGTGCTTATCATCCTACATACATATGTTCTCGCTGGAAAGTCTACCGGACAGAACGATGCAACTCAGTGCTTTTCGAATGGTCTCGATGCGGCGGACTTGTTGGTCGTTGGGATTATCGCGTAAGCTTTCTGTCCTTTTTACCCTCCTATTGGAGATGCTGACTATAACTCTTCCCTTAGCAACTACGCCGCCGTCGCCGCCGATACATACTCGTCCGAGCTCGGTATTCTTTCCAAATCCAAACCTCGTCTGATCACCTCCCCCACGTTTCGGGTCGTTCCTCCTGGTACCAATGGCGGCGTCACAAGGACTGGACTCCTGGCGGGAGTGCTGGGCGCGTTCACAATCGCGGTAACATCTGCGGCCCTTCTTCCTTTCTGCCCTGAAAGCGATAATTCGTCAGCTCTGAAGATCCGGGCTCAGTGGATTCTGGCCGTGACGCTGTGGGGAGGCTTGGGCAGTGTGTTTGACAGTGTTTTGGGCGGACTGTTACAGGCTAGTGTGGTGGATAAGAGGACCGGGAAGATTGTGGAGGGCGCTGGTGGCCAGAAGGTTGTTAGCCTTGCTGAAATAATACCGTGTGATTGGAAAAATATGTGCTGACTTTGTCATCTTGCAGGTCCTTGTTCACCCTTCTTCAACTAAACCCGGTGTCCCGGCTGATACCACGGGTCTGAAGCCTGCAGGATCAACTTCTATTGCGCATGTACGCGCTACAGAGGAGGTCGCTAATACAGCGACCTTGAGAGGAAGCAGGGCTACTGGAACGTCGGCAGGGACATCCGCGGGAGAGACTGCTGAACCAGGACACGAGAGCCGGCGCGTCGAGAGTGGATGGGACCTATTGGACAACAATGCTGTGAATGTTTTGATGGCTTTCACCATGAGTGTTGGGGCTATGGGTGTCGCAAGTTGGGTCTGGGGTGTGGATATTTCCGAGTTGAACTTGTGGTAGCCTTTCCGGAAGACATGGTAATGCTACAAAATGGATATTGATGACTGCTAGCTGATTATTCGACTAGGTGTACGGAATTGTGAGAGAAAAATAAAGACGTCTGTTCTGGCACTTGGTGGTCGCTGCACTTCAAAGCTCAAGTTAGAACAAAATACCTGCCCCTATTCACCACCAGTTTGCCTAATCGGTACGACTAGCGCTTTCGGTATATCTTCTCTTGGCGTTTAGTCTGATATCGCCGCTGCTCCCTTTCCAAATAACTCATCGTGACACTCTTGTCCTTGTGATGCTCTATGAAATCATCCCACCTATACTGTGGCACAATGATTTCGTAGGGCTGCTCAGGGAACAGTTTGGTCGACCGGTACCTTGACGCCATCCCTATGGGATATATCTCGAACGAGAATAATTTTTGCCTGCCACTCAGCATGAACCCACCTGTATCTCTAGGCAGCCTATCCAGATGGGACTTGGGTGTGGCCATTTTCCTCCGATGCACGGATTTTGGGATGTTTTCGGCCGACAATAAGTGGAGGCTATCTTCCCATGACTGTTTCGAGTTCTGAGTAGCCAGCGTTACACTGACAGTTGACTCCGTGCGCGCCCTGCGTCCGTGTTTCCGAGTTTCCTGACAGATGTGCCGCCGTTGCTCCTCGCTTAATTCCGGCTTGCAGACCTGCATGTAGTGAGCCATCGTGTTCGCCTCAGGGTACTCCGTTATCCATAATTGACATTCGCTAAACCATTGATGCGCCTCGTCATAGTGCCCTTGGGCATACTTCACCCGACCTTGCCAGTACTGGCATCGTGCAATTAGTGGTCTCTCGCCTAATTTATCGGCCAAATTGAGAGCCTTCTGGACGTAGGATTCGGCCTCGTTGGGTCGATTATCCCGGAGATATTGACCGACTTGGAAAAGTGTGGAGGTAATCTGGCGTTTGTCCATCTTTCCATCAAAATAGGCGAGGAAGGGTTCGAGTGATTCAGCTCTTCCCACGTCTTTCAGCCCGGCACCGAGCTTGCCGGCTTTGATAGTGTCACGGAAGTGAGTCTGAAATTGTTTCGGGGTTGATGATGGTAGGTCTTCGAGGTTTTGACTATAGTTGTCATCGTCGGTGAAGTTGGATGGCCATGACCCGTCTTGCTCGTCGTCCCCGCTCCCGTCCTCACTAGGAAGGAGATGGTTTTGGAAATCACCTTGGTCAGTAGAGTATTGGATATGGAGGTCACCCTTGTTGTAGTTTGCCTCCATAATATATGGCCAAGCCTCGTCTTCGTTTGCGTTCTGGTCCAAATGTGTGTATTCATCGTCGCTGTCTGCTCTGATATTGAGTGCTGTATCTCGCCTGGGCGAGATACCACGCTTGTTTACCAACATTGTGTGATACATTCTAATTGAAAGGTCACTTGCATTTGATGATAGCAGATAATCAGTAGTCAGCGGGGTTAGGCTGGGTATTTATATTCATCGGTCCTCTTCCATGAAGTAGTTGTACCTCAGACCGGTGACGGTGCATACCCCTGTCAATAAAGACGCCTGCCAGAGGAACTGGTGATCAGTGCGTAAGTTCTGGTGATGGCGTTACACAAGATGAAGATTTCCCAGATTCGGGCTTTCCTGTTGAAGTTTCCTCGCAGAATAGGGCGACACCGACCGATGCGGTGCATTTACGACTTTGTCTAGGTTCCGTTGAAGATGGGGATATTTGATCAGCCCGGCGGATAAATTCCGCATAGTTGAACCCTAAAATGATCAAATGAGCTGCTGCACTGGAGGCCCCTGGGAGTGGCTGGGCCTGTTACTGGCTGAGCTCGGTGAGAGAGTTGATATGTGGCTAGTGCTGATGAACTTCTTTGTCTGCAGCCGCGCCTTGTCTAGCACCTAACAGGAGGCCCACTTGAGGCATATTACGCGTTAGCTGGTATAGATAGATAGTGTTGCCAAATTAATGGCTCGAAAAAGAGGCGTAGTTGGGGGACCAGGGATATGGTGAATACCGATGTAGATTGTCGATCTCGATGATATCCGATCAGAGCGGATGACTAGATAAAACGAACGAGTCATCGAAAAAGCAAAAGCACGCAGGCTCCTTATAAGAAAGACGACAGCTGACCTAGCCCGCCTGACTGGGTGGGAGAATTCCTATCAGCTGCAGGAATCTTCCTGCAAAAGCCCATAGATAGATCGGAGGCTGGAGGGGAGCTGAAACAGCCTAAACAGGCAACTGGAGAGCCAAGTGGGGCAGGCAAATGTCACAAACTGGTCCAAACACGGCAAACACGGCAAACACGGCAAACGCGCAATGCAACCGCTGCAATCACTGCAACAGATGCAAACCCAACGTCATCCTCGTGTTGGGGGGCCGTCTGGCCTCGGGCGATTGGACCTCTCGTCCGCATGCGTCACTGCCACTGGCTCCATCGGACTGTGTGTGACACCTAATTTTCCTTGGAAATAAACCCGGGTGGTGGAATCCCAAGCCATCCCACCGGAATGCACCCTGCCCAGTATGGTCTGATTGACCTGCAGTGGCCTCGACGGCTTCCACCGGATCGCGGTGGGACAGACTGCCCTGATCTTACTCGCGCTTAGGGCGTCCAGACCATCTTGATGACTCGCTCAGCCATGGTGGACTGTTTGCAAGGGCCCCTGTTTGAATGGCCTAGGAACTGCCTATCTTGATACTAATAGTAGAAAAGTGGGACATCGACTGGATACTTTACCTCGCACCCCCCACGCGAACTTGCAGTTCAGCCATTGGTATAATTTGATCTCCCTGTCGTTGATTTTTCTGCATACTCTCTCTGCAAGGACTGAACGGTTCTCCTCATCTACCCCTCTTTCGTGCCCGAGGACGCCCGCGGGTTGTGCGCATATTATATTATAAGCTCGGTGGCTTACCCTTGACCCGGGGTATTTATTCTACTGAGCGGGTGGCTTTTATGAGCTGTTGCTTTCTTGCTCTCTTCTAGACTCCACTCTCCTCAAATATGTCTCCCTCGTACCCGCTCGTGAAGGGCGTGGACATTGTTGATATCCGTCAGAATGACGTGGAGTTCTCCCTGATAAATGACATCCAACGAGGTATCGATCCCCCAGCAGGCAGCACTCGGTCCATGCCTACAATGCTGCTCTACGATGCTGAGGGGCTCAAGCTTTTCGAGGACATCACTTACCTGGAGGAGTATTACCTCACAAATGCGGAGATCGAGGTGCTAAAAACGCACGCCAAGAGAATCGTTGAGCGCATTCCCGACAATGCGCAATTGCTGGAGCTTGGTAGTGGGTGCGTTCCCTTCTCCTCAAAGCACAACTTAAGGTGACTTCAGGCTCTAACATTCAATAGGAATCTGCGGAAGATCGAGATTCTTCTCCGGGAATTCGAAGCGGCAAGCAAAAACGTGGACTACTATGCCCTGGATCTATCGCTGTCAGAGTTGGAACGCACCTTTTCTGAAGTTTCCCTCGATCAATTTCACTACGTTGAGTTTCATGGCCTTCATGGAACATATGATGATGCCCTCACCTGGCTGGAAAGCCCAGAGAACAGACAGTCACCGACAGTGATAATGTCAATGGGCTCATCAATAGGGAACTTTGACCGTCTGGCCGCAGCGAAGTTCCTGTCACAATTTTCCAGACTCTTAGGACCGTCTGACTTGATGGTGCTTGGCTTGGATAGTTGTACTGACCCGGACAAAGTTTACAAGGCCTACAATGACTCTAAGGGCATCACACAACAATTTTACGAGAACGGACTATCTCACGCCAATGATATACTTGGATACGAAGCATTTAAGCCTAGCGAATGGGATGTTGTGACTGATTATGATCCCGTGGGGGGACGGCACCAAGCATTCTATGTGCCAAACCGAGACGTTACTATAAATGGGGTATTGCTTCCAAAGGGTGAAAAACTTCTGTTTGAGGATGCGTACAAGTATGATGCCACACAGTGCGAGCAGCTGTGGCATGATGCAGGCTTGATTCAGGACGCGGAATTTGGGAATGACTCTGGAGAATATCGTATGTGCACCCTTGAAAGTCCACGACGTTGCAACTGCATGTCAAGTCGCACAGCGTCGAATAGCGCCATGTTACACCAGCATGGGTCCATTTTGCTGACAGTCCGCACAGTCATCCACGTATTGTCTTCGGCTGCTCTGAGCTTCCCAACATCGTCTTCACAGTACGCAGCTCAACCTACCCCAAGCTTCGAAGAATTTCAGTCTCTATGGACCGCGTGGGACATTGTCACCAAAGCAATGGTACCTCGCGAGGAGCTCCTCTCCAAGCCGATCAAGTTGCGGAATGCGTTGATATTTTACCTTGGTCATATTCCTACGTTTCTTGGTCAGTACTCAGCATGCCTAATCTAGCTTGCCGTGTAAGGGAGACATGTTGACTGTGCAGCAGATGTTCATTTGACCCGCGCACTGGGCGAAAAGCCAACTCATCCCAAGTCGTATCGGCTCATATTCGAACGAGGAATTGATCCCGATGTGGACGACCCTGAAAAGTGCCATGCCCATAGCGAGATCCCCGATGAATGGCCTGTCCTTGGAGATATTCTGGACTATCAGGCGCGGGTCCGAAGTAGGGTGCGGTCCGTTCTCCAGAAACATAATGTCGCAGAGAATAGAACCCTCGGTGAAGCTCTCTGGATTGGCTTTGAGCATGAAGCTATGCATTTGGAAACGTTCCTTTATATGCTCATTCAGAGCGAAAGGACAATTTCCCCTCCCGCCGTCCCACAGCCGGATTTTGAGAAGCTCTTCCAGGACGCTCGGAAAGAGGAAAGGCCAAACGAATGGTTCTCTATTCCCGAGCAGACGCTGTCGATCGGACTGCATGACGACGGTCAGTCCGTTCCTCGGGCCTCTTTTGGATGGGATAACGAAAAGCCCGAGAGAACCGTCACCGTCAAGGCATTCGAAGCTCAAGCGCGGCCAATTACCAACGGCGAGTATGCCAAGTATCTACAAGCAAACCAGCTGCCCCAAAAGCCCGAATCCTGGGTCTTGATCAAGCCCGGTCAGACCTACGCGACTTCAAATGGGGCCAGCCAAGGCAGCCGTCGCGCTGCGAATGACTTTATGGCGAACTTTGCCGTTCGCACCGTGTTTGGATCTGTCCCGCTCGATTTGGCCCAGGACTGGCCGGTGATCGCGTCGTACGACGAATTGGCCAAGTACGCCAAGTGGGTGGACTGCAGGATCCCCACCTTTGAAGAAGCAAAGAGTATCTACGCTCATGCAGCTCGGTTGAAGGAAACCAGCCATGGCGTACTAAACGGGCACAGGTACGTATCACGATGTTGTCATTTTAGCCGATAATTGCAGGGCTAACCGACACAGTGAAACCAACGGTGTCAATGGACATGGATACATCAAGACCAACCCCTTGAGGCCTCGCACTCCGGATCACCAGCCGGTACAATACCCTTCGCGAGAGTCCCTGCCGGTGTTTGTTGACCTCGACGATTGCAACGTCGGGTTCAAACACTGGCACCCTACCCCGGTTATCCAGAACGGCGATCGACTCGCCGGGCATGGAGAACTAGGGGGCGTCTGGGAGTGGACGAGCACGGAGCTGGCCCCTCATGACGGGTTCGAGGCTATGCAGATCTACCCCGGATATACATGTAAGCTCCATGGTCTATGTATTTGATCGCGTCTAACTGGCACAGCCGATTTCTTTGACGGAAAGCACAATATCATTCTTGGAGGGTCATGGGCGACTCATCCCCGGATCGCAGGACGCACCACCTTGTAAGCATCGCATCACTTGTTATCCTAGTGGTCCTGGAGCTAACATGCGCAGTGTCAATTGGTACCAGCGGAACTATCCCTACCCCTGGGCTGGAGCACGGTTGGTGCGGGATATCTGAGTGACGTCTTAAGAGAGAGGATTAAGCGCAGTTGATGCAATAGGCTGCAATTGGTTGCCACAGACAGGCAGGTCACCGTGCACCGGTACACCGTAGATTTGGGTATCTCCCACCTGTGGGAGAAGATGTAGTTCTATAGTAGGATCACTAAGGGCCCACCAGCGGGGAGCCGATGACGTGACCCCAATGCTACCCCTCCTCCCCCATCTTTTTTACTCTTCCGCATCCCCGCCTCCATCGTCTTCCCCATTTTCCTTCTCCACGTCCCCATAGACCCAATTCTCACCATGTCGGTCGCGAAAATCACCACCATCTCCCCCATCACCAACCGCCCCCTTCTCACCCGTACCGGGGCCTCCCCGGAGGACATTGTGCGCATCGCCGAGTCCGCCCAGGAGGCCTTTCGCTCCTTCTCCGAATCAACCACTCTTAAGCAGCGCCAGGAGATCGTCACTCGAGCTCTAAACATCCTTGAAGGGAGAAAAGATGAGCTGGCCAAGGAGATAACCGATCAAATGGGCCGGCCCATCGCCTACACCGGGGTCGAAGTCGCGACTGCCATCAAGCGAAGTCACTACCTCACCCGCATCAGTGATTCCGTTCTCGGTGATGACAGCATTATACCGGGTGAAGAAGAGAAGGGCTTCAAGCGATACATCAAACGGAAGCCTGTGGGCGTTATCTTGATCATCTTTGCCTGGAACGTACGTGCCCACTCCACTTGTATACCCGTCGCATAGTATACTAAGCCGAAATTACAAAGTATCCCTACCTTGTCCTCGTCAACAGCTTAATCCCGGCCATCCTGGCCGGCAACGCCGTAATCCTGAAACCCTCGCCCCAAACACCCACCATTGCCGAGGAAGTCACCGCGGCGTTTCACGAGGCCGGCCTCCCCTCGAACGCGCTTCAATACGCGCACTCCGGTTCCGCCACTCTCCTCGAAAGCCTCGTTCGCTCCCCCGCCATCAATCACATCTGCTTCACCGGTTCGGTGGAAGGCGGGCTCGCCACGCAGAAAGCCACCTCAGACCGCATCGTCAACGTCGGGCTGGAACTCGGCGGCAAGGACCCGGCGTACGTGCGCGATGACGTGGACCTGGCTTGGGCGGCGGCGGAGATCGTCGACGGGGCGATCTTTAACAGTGGGCAGAGCTGTTGTGCGATCGAGCGGGTCTACGTGCATCAGAATGTCTACGATGGGTTTGTGGCGGAGGTTAAGAAGGTGCTGAGTGGCTATCGGGTCGGGGATCCGTTTGACCCGAAGACGCAGATCGGGCCTGTGATTTCGAAACGGGCCAAGGAGGGGATCGAGAAGCAAATTGCTGAAGCGCTGGAGAAGGGCGCGAAGGATGAGACGCCGCCGAACGAGACCTTTGATAATCTTCCTGCAGAGGGAAACTATGTCAAGCCGACGCTGTTGACGGGGGTTACCCATGAGATGCGCGTCATGACGGAGGAGACCTTTGGACCAGTGATCCCGTTAATGAAGGTGGAGGGCGACGCGGAGGCCGTTAAATGGATGAATAGTAGTGATTTTGGGTTGACGGCGAGCGTATGGACGAAGGATGTCGCGGCCGCAGAGGATCTGATCGAGTGGGTCGAGGCGGGGACAGTGTTTATCAATCGGTCGGACTATCCCAGTCCGGTGAGTCTTCTCTTTCTCTTTGCGATCTGGAATGTTCTAACAGATAGCAGGACCTGGCCTGGACCGGCTGGAAGAACTCTGGACGCGGCGTGACGCTCAGTCGATTCGGATTCGAGCAGTTTGTCAAGCTGAAGAGCTACCACATCAAGGAGTATCCGAAATAGACGGTGATCCGGCGCTTTGTTTGTTTGTTGATAGACCACAATGACTTTGAATGACAATGACAATGACAATGCCAATACCAATGACAAATTCACAATCAGCCAAAACAGCCATAAGCACTAACCTCGCCATGAAAACCACTCCAACCAACCCCGTCCCTACCTACCTAAGCCCACCGAGACTATCCCCAATATACTCTCACTAATCACCACCCATACCAATCACATCCCTCAGCAGATCCAGACCCCCAAGGGCGTAACCGCCCAGCAATGAAGGCCATGGTAAAAGAAAGCGCGCGTATGGACGGATCGAAGAACCGGATCCTGGCCCGGAGGAAAAAGGTATTTGTATGACTGTGAGAGGGGAGGACATTCCTGGTGTGACGTCCTACATTCAGAGGGATTCAGGACTATTCTTTGTAGATAGGTATGGGGTTCTAGAAGGGGATGATATGATTTGGTTAGTATTAGGGAGATAAGAGTACTCCGTATAAGGGTATTCATATTGATTGTTTTTTGAAGGGTAGATAGAAAGATGGATAGAGAAGATTGTCTACACCCGCAGACCTTCCTACGCTACTTACGGAGTACTATCCCCATATCCAACCCCAATAGATACACAATACTACAATGAACAACACCCACAAACCCATACATACCCATACCTAGATAGATCTAAATCTAAACCCCTGATACCTACGTACCCAAATACCACTCACCTAAATCACATCTCTAGAAGGAATGCCTGCTGAACTTCTTCCCGCGCGATCAGCGACCCTGTAAAACCAAGTAGGCATAGGCATTGTTCGTATGCAAGGGTTCACACAACTCCACGTAACTTGGTTGCCACCCTACCGACCTGTCTTTTTTCGATTTACTGGGTGGGTATCTAGATACGGAGTACGGAGTGAGGATATGGTGTTTGAGACTAGATACCTAATTACCTCATTATATACGTGGTAGGAAATGTATAGTAGGAAGAAGAGGACATAATTAGGTGTAAGGGCGGATTGTATACACTTAGCCATTGTTTGTTTTGCAGATTGCTCTACCTAGTTACTAGTACTTACTTACTTACCTCACAGTAGGATGTGAGTAGCTTTGTTTCCAGCTTAGATACACCAAACTCTGTATCTATATCTATTCTCATTCTAAATTATTCCTCTACTTAGATACTAGGTATCTCTAGATAGATAATAGATAGAGTAATTACTGTACAAAACACGAAGAATGCCGGCTATCTACCCCCGAGAAGCAAAAAAGGCAAAGACAAAGGCTAGAACCATGACTCAAACCAGCAATGCTGACTGACCGACCTCCCATCACCCCAACAATGCCAATGCCACTCACTGCCACTGCCACAACGATAATCGATCTATTCTCGTCGCGTTTATTGCTTCAGCTGCTTTGACGATCGGGCCGATCGGGGACAATAAGGCCTCCACTACCTATTTACCCCCGATTGAGGTGTAGTGCTATTCCGGTTTGGGGTTTTAGCTAGGTACGTAGGTAGTTTGACGATTTAGGAGGTAATCTTTTATTTTATTTAATCTATAATTGAATTGTTATGTTATTATTCTTATAGGTGGTGTAAGTGGTGATTAATGAATGAATGGTTGGCGCCTTGTTTTGGGTATCTTGGCATACCTACTTGCGATGCCTGGGGCGGGTGGGCGGGCGGTGCCTGGCGACGTGGTGTTTGTTTCTATGTTTGTTCTACTTGCCGTGGTACGCAGGTCGTACATGTACAATTGGGGTGATGCTATAAAAAACAATACGTAAGGCAAAGTAGGTATAGTAGATACTTAAGTGGCCAGCCAACAATCTTCGGAGAATAACATCCTGTAACCCTGGGCAGTGGACAGGACAGGATAGGACAGGACGTAAACGCAAGAAAGGGGGCGCATATTTGCTTCTGCGAACCACCCCCCGTCATCTTTAATGAGGGCGCGACACCCGGACCAACGCTGCCAGGGGGGAAACTCACCATACAAACTTACAGCTACAGCACCACCACATCACCACTCTCCATTCTGATTCTGATTCACTACAGCACCACCACCAGCAAAGAATGTGTCACATACGCAGTACGAAGCCTTCACATACATAAGGCTGTCACAGTGGGTTTGTCGTGCCACAGAATTTGCCGATCAGCTTAAGCCTGCATTGCACGGGCGGAAAACCGTTGTTCGAGAGAGGGCCAAATCGCCTGCAGGGCGTCGGGGTTATCTGCTATATATCCTGGCCGGCCTCTTTTCTTCTTTTTTTTCTCCTCTTGGTTTTCTCCAGCGCCCAATGTCCTAGAACTTGCCGCCTGTCCTTCCTTTTCTATTCTTGTTCTTGTTTCGGTGTTTTGCATCCCTGGTCCCTCGTTTGATAGAGCTCTTGTGTGGCGTCCACTCGCTTTGTTGATCCGCTTCGCCTTAGTCCCTTTTAATTGCCTCGGTCCTGCTTGTAGATAGTGACCGATCTCGACTCTCCTTCATCCTGACATCTTCACATCACATCACTCCCACCTCACTTCACCTCAAACTCATCTCAATCACCATGGACTGTTTTCGGCAGATTGCTCGACTGGTCAAGTCCCCCTTTCGGCGCGAGAAGCAGCAGAAGGTGTTGGAAATCGTGAGTCCCAGCCCCCCCTCTTCTCTCCCCTCCGCTCCACCTCCCCGGCCCCCAACCTACCAGCCATACTAATGCATCTCAGGGTCCCCCCACCGACTTTCGAAAAGAGGAATTACCCGCGTTCTTCACGGATGACGAGTCAGTAATCTCGCGCCCTGACTGTGCTGACCATCAGTCTGACCATCGCTTGCAGTGCGGCCACCCTGCACAGCCGGGGCTCGACCCTCGACAAGGAGAAGGAAGCGGCCGCCACGGCCATGGAACGCCAACCATCGACACGAGACAAGATTAAGACGCACGTCCGGAGGCTGAGCGTCCGAGTCGCCCGACCTCTTTCCAACGCCGATGAGCAATGAACCGGTGCCGGCCACTGCAATGCCGGTCCATTCGCCAGTTACGCCCAGACGGAATCATACCCTCCATCGTGATCACAGTCTGCACCTCAGAACAAGAATGTTGGAACTTCGTTCAGACGCGACTTCTTGGCCTTGGGATCCACGCCGCGTGGATTCGGCGGACGTCCGCCTAACGACGAGGAGGATTTCTGGCCCTGCAACTCAATGGGTGACTGATGCGGCTCTGGCAGCCCATCAAAGTCATCAAATAATAATCTCTTCCTAGATTTGGTCGCGGTTGGTGTACTGTATCTACCACTCATAGACTGCACGCTTCTCATCCCACCCTCTCCTGTAGCGCGATGCAGCGAACTGCTTCGCAAGCTAGATGTAGAGCGCGGTTGCGTCCGAGACGGCCGTGTTGGCGTCCTTGTCCGTGCGTCCAGATCGTCGTCTTCCCCAGTTGTTTCACCCAGTAGATCGTCCTCTGCCTCCCTTGCCGCCCCATCTGTAACGCTGTCTCCGCTGCCCCGGCTGGTCCCAGCAGCCTGCATCCCGGCGGCCGCCCGCGTCGACGACTTGATACCCTGCATGCCGACCAAGGACCGCACCTTTCGCGGGCTGATCATGAGATCATGCAGCGAAGTACCCGCCCAGATCCGATCTTCCTCAGGCCCCTCCGTCTCCTCTTCAGAATCCACAGCCGGTCTGTTTCCAAGTTTCTGCAAGCCGGCTTTCTGCTGGGCCGACAGCTCCGCCGCTGCAGCCTTCTTCCTAACCTCCTCGCTCGTCGGGGTGACTCCATCGGTCGGGCGAGCGATATTCTGTATCGCCGTAGCATTTTGAAGCTTGGCTTCCTTTTTCCGCCGTAGATATTCCGCATAGTGCAAGTGCTGGGTGAACGTTTGCGCGACCGCGTAGAACTCGTCCTCAACCATCATGTATATATCGTCTTTGTCGAACCCCTCGCGTAGATACCTTCCACACATTAACAATCCCTCTTTCATCTCTACCTAGTGACCACATACTCTTCGGTCGGACATCGATGAATCGGCGAAGACGGCGGCGTAGGAGCTATCCAGCAAGACGTCAGTTACCGGCCTATCATCATGAAAGTCGCATCGAAAGCAGAGCACATACACGATCGGAGAAAATCCCGCCTCTTTATGCGAGACCCCGGGGTCTCTGCTTTCGGTGTCACATCGTCCTCGCTTCTGGGATCCGTCGTCTCGGGCTTCACGGCTCGTCGTGGTGTCGAGGCCTTTGGCTCTCGTTTGATGGTCGCTCCATTGTTCAGCCACGGGAGATTCCGGGGCATCCTTGTTGCTGCTCAGGAGGTGTCGGTAACCGGCATGATCTTCTCGAGGAGGGGAGGGAGTCAAGTGAAGATCGGAGGGAGTGGTGAAAGTCGCAGAGAACGAAAGAAAGGGTCAGTGCAGACCGCCGAAACGCGGCTTTCCGCTCCCCGCCTCCGCACGGGTGCCTGGCTTAGATCCACCCGAAGAGTCACAACAGTGACAGCACATTGCTCTGGTGCGGAGATGTTGTCGGTATGATTCTTGCGTATGATGGTTCTCTTCTAGGTAGGGAGAAGAAGGGAGCTTGCCTGGCAAATTGTGGTCTCTCCGGAATGGTCCTAGGCAAAAGTGAAGCGCTTCGCCGCTGAGCTACAGAAGGCTTGGGGGTAGGTACTTGTCCTTATTTGATCAGAATGAGAGGGAGAAAAGGGAAGAAATATTGGGGTTTGGACCATGGTCCCCTTCTAGTTATGTTCCAATAGGTAGAGCGCTTACTGTGTACAGCTGAGAGACAGGGTCCTCCATGCAGACCGTCTCCAAGCCATCACGATTCACAATAGATGTCTGTGCAAATCTCGGGTCTCTGATTTCAATCTATTCTAATCCCCATATCAAATCCGTAGTACAAACTCTCATGCTGCCCTGAAACGCCGAAAATCAAATCATAACCCCCATGTCAATCAACATGCCAAATCCCAGTGTTACAAACAATCCACGTGAAGTAAATCAACGTCGAATAACGCCCGTCCAGTACAATGCCGTGAAAATCTGTAGCTGGAGCGTAAGCAGATAGGTATTCTCCACCCTACACCTCACCAGGCCTCTTGCTGTTACAGCTCACGATCTTCACCTTATCCGCTGACACGGTGGTCTGGTTATCTAGTTTGAACGTAACGTCTTTAATAAGGAAGGTCCAGACTTCGTCGCAGAATCGGTAGGTATCGAGATGGCCCTGGATGATGACGAAATATGTTAGCTTCGGCTACCTCCTGGACATTCTTCCCCTCTGCATCCAAACGTACCTTGAACGTCAATCTGGCGCGCACTTTGTCCGCAAGCACTTCCGTGATGATGCGGTCAAAGGTGGAGAGGATCTTCATCGCGAGCTGAGGCTCGATCCGGCCTTCGTTGATCAGGTCATCGAGAGTATCGGTAAGGGAGAGTCCGAGGCTGCACATAAGCGTTAGTGGTATGTCTTGGAAGGTGGTTGAGGGGACTGCAGTACCTGCTCCCGCGATAAAGCTCGTAGTATGCCTGGGCGCTCATGTTTAGGGTGACAGGGAGAGGCGACAAAGGAGATGGAGACTAGAGAGCGTAGGTAGGTGGAGCCGGATGATTGCGATCAGTTGGTCGCGGGGAGTAGATATCTGCACGTGATTCTGAGTCATGTGATGGTGAAGCGATTACATCAAAGGAAGGGCGCCACTCAATATCAATCATTTTGTTTCTTCGTGTAAAGTGTAATTGAACTCTTTGTTTCGCTTCAAGATACAATGAGATTGGTTTCAGAGTTTTTCTCTCCGCTCCGCATTCGGACAGCTCGTCTGTCAGATGCTTTCTTTGGAGCAAGGTATATAACTTCCACTGCGCACAGGTTGGCAGACACAAGAGGTTGGTAAATATCGGTCTTGTTTCCCTGTCGAAGATAAGACTGAGATCAGCGTAGATCAAGAATCACCTCAACAAAATCGGACAGATGCATCAAGCCCGACATCACAGGAAAAGCGCAAGCTAGAAAAAGCCAAAAGCGTTGCTCAAGCAGACCAAGAGCTCCGAGAGCGGCTCGAGCAAATGTCTGGTGGAGGCGGTGCTGCAGGAATCGAGTACGAGGATGGGAAGCCTAACGCCATGAAACGCAGCGTCCGAAACAACATGTTCCGCTATATCTGAGCCAGGTGACAACTACCCGTTGCAATGCATCCACAACAGGGCGTATGCCAAGGAGGAGTGCTCACGCGAGTCGAGTCATAGCATCCGATACCGATTGCCAATTATTTGGAAAAACTCAAGTCCTTCGATAAAGAAGCTTGGCTGAACCTGGCTCGTCCAACTAGTTGCAGTTGTATGGACAAGTGCGAGTTGATCCAACGAGGCTTCCAGCTGGATCAAGGTATCTGGCAATGCCAATCAATGACCACAAGACGACGGATCATGCCCCAAGGAAACCTAGGCAGAAACCTGTTCGAGAACCATCAATACGAATGGATGTGACTGTCAGGATAACGTCAAATTCTGTCAATTTCTGAATCCTGGGTCCTATGTATGATAGACAAGAGCAGATTAAGACTAAAGAACAGACCAACGTCTGCTTGAAAATGCCATACCCAGTAGGGTTCTATGTACCAATGATGAAACCAAACTCCTTAAATCGCTCACCAAGTCAGGCCCAAATTTCAGTATTTTCTCAATCATCATGAAGCAGTGAGAGCGCATCACCCGTTACCAACCATTCCGGCAAGGACGCCAGCACCAATGACACCGCCATCCGAGGCTTCCCGTAGGAAGACCGACTTCCCACTCTTCTGCGGGCCCGTCCTCATGATGAGCCGGTCGATGTATTGTTGGCACGTCTCCTTAAAGTTGGGATAATGCTGGATGATACCACCAGTGTACGCCACGACCAGTTCCTCAGGGCCTGATTGCCAGTCGGCAGGAGTGGGTGTAGGAGAGAGGACCGGAACAATCGGGCCGTGGCCGCTCCTAGAGTCACTCGAATTGGCTCCCTCCGGTCCCAAGGTTGATGGAGAAAGACTCTTCGATACAGCAAACAAATCTGGAGTGCCGTTGTATTCAGGCAAAGAGACATTGGGATTCTGCGGCGAACCCTCGTGGCTGTCCACCTTCAGTTCAATCTCCTGCGCACATGCAAGTAACCCCACAACTGCCGCGGCGATCAGACCAGCAGATCGTCTCTGTACAGTCCTGGCAATCTTACGAAAGACAGCTGCCGACACAGCATCCCAGCCCCACTCGCTGTTCTCTGGTGGAGGCAGAGAGCGAGACAACTCATCGGCAAGCTCCTGGTCCGACCGAGAGCGGGCAACTTTATCCGAAACGAAAGTGGTGGTCAAGGCATACTCCTGGATGAGCATCGCGGGTAGTACTCTCCTAGAGAGCTTACTGACATTTGTGAGGTAGTCATAGAGCACGAGCCGAATGAGCTCACCAATGTATCGACCACCTGTCAGGTATTCAAACGGTTGGAAACCGGGGCGTACACAGGCCCTATCAAGTTCAATATCCCATTTGGTTATGATGTTGAGCTCTCTCAACGGGAGAGCAGCACCGGCGATCGTCCATTCAGTGTTAACAACCGTTTCCTCCGCTTGTGGATCCTTTGACTTCACATGCTTCGCCTTGGAATCATGTAGCATACCGAGCTTCATTGGGATTGTGGCATTACACCCTGTGCCCACAATCATACCCATAGCCACCCGGCTATTGGGCAAAGATTTCACAGCATATGCAAGGGAAGCTAGTGTAGCAACAGTATCGTTGGTGATGGCGGCAATCTTGAGTTTGGGGAGTTCAAAAAGCTTCCGGCGTTTGCTAGAAGGCTCGAATTCGTTATCTGGGCGCCTTGTGTGCTTTTCATACCCACTCAGTAGAATTTTGCGCAGATCAAGGTCTGACGTGATGGCAAACCCTTTACCCATGGGCATCAACGTAGCCTCCGTGAGAGACTCTTGCCTGTGGTTGGTCAGTCAAACAAATTTAAGTGTAGCAATGCTGCAGCTTATGCGGGCCACAACAGGGGAATAACTCACATTATCGGGAAACTGAAGGTAATGCCCATCTCCAGCTCTTCCGGGATGTGGCCTCTTGTTGCCTCTGAAGTCAAGCTCTCCGCCACCACTTCCGCAATGCAGTCCCCAATCCACGAGAATAAGTCCTCTGCCTTGTCCATCTTCAGATGCTCCTGTATAGGCCATGCTCTTTCCAAAGTCCGCCTAACGCGCTGTCGCTGTGCTTTACGGATCGTGTCCCGGGATCTCTCCGACGCGTCTGTGGAACGTACGTCTGACTCGGTAGCTTCCCCCAGCAATTCGATGAATGCCACCCGCAGGTTAGTTCCACCGACATCAATAGCCAGATACCGGCCTGTCTCCAAGCCGGTAGGCAACCTAGTCACTGGTGTCGGCAAGAACTGCTCCTTAGAATGCAGAGCCAAATCCCGATATACGACGGAAAATCGGCGTGCAAGTTTATACAGGACGGCTTCATCCAAAGCTATAGGCGACAGGAATTCGTCAAGCATACGCTGACGTTCCAGGTATTCTTGAAAAGCAGGGTCCATGTCAGCACCATCCTCCTCGTCATCTTCCACTGGTTCTTCATGCATATGTTCATGCTCATCATCCTGGCTCTTATCGACCCCTATCGCATTAATCGACGCCATAATGTGGGAGAGCTTGAGCCGAGCTGAGCAGCAACGTAGGCAAACAGTCGGCTCGTGTGACTTGTCGCCAGCAAGCAGTGACCGCGGAATTCTTGTACAACGGAGCGGTAAGTCGACGGAAGAAAGGGCTCAGGTATTGGCTTTATCTGTTCGTCCTCGCGGAATGTCCTGAGGGGAAGGTAGGACGGGATGTGGAGAATTCAGGAATGAGAGTCCAGGTTCCGATGATAAGGCGCATACGATTTGAAGGATCCCACAATGCTGGAGGATCTTGAAGCTGGGATGTCCAGCCCTAATCGCGAATTACCGCTGTAATGGCAGTTCCAGGAACGATGCGTTGTCAACGAGAAAATGCTATCTTGCAGTCAACCTATGCAGTGACGAGTGTGACGGTTAGTTCCTAAGGTTACAGCGAATGGATGGTCGGGTCTCAACATTGTCGACTGCAGTGACGCGTGTATGCAATACGATAATGGGTGGGGGGGGACAGAAATGCTGAGAAGGGTACAACCGTGACGATCCTAATGCAGGGAGCCTTGGGTGCTGCCTCGAGAGAGAGCAGGGGACCAGCATGTAGGAAGGGGAGGGGGGAAGGTGGAAAAGCAGAAGCAGTGACAAGGACAATGACATACAAGTATTTGTGGAGATCCCGCAGATGCTCGTCCCAACCGAAGATGGCAATAAGGCTGAGCCGAGGGATGTACTCCGTAGTCGATAAAGATAAGTATGGAGAGGTATGCCGGATGGAACAAAAGGACGGGATCGACGGAAGAATGGCGGGAACCATCAATTAAGTATTATGATCATTACGATAAAAAATAACAGGTCCAGCCAGTGGATAAGAAAGCATTGCCGGTCCCCACCACACGGGAGAAGACGACGAGGAGAGGAGCAAAGGGGAGAGGGAGGGAGTGAAGAAGAATCCTAATCGGGGGTTAGGAGGTCGCAATGGACTAATAATGGAGGGAGACTAGGAAAGCAAGAGGAGAGTCAAGACGAGTCTGGAGCTGCTCAGCTCCAGAGCCGCTGGAAGGGGAGCTGATGCGACCATCGGCGCGGACGATGTGACGCTGGCCGGTCAGTCGACAACCATGGATTTGTTGATGGTTCGATCGGGCCCCATGCGGTCCATGGGCGAGAGAGCATGCAATTATTGAATATTGTGCTCTGTCGGTTCTCGTGGTGTGTCCAAACTGCCACTTTCTTCTTCCCTTGATGGTTTGCTTGGCTCATTCATTGTTGATTGACTGATTCGTTGTACCCGCCTGCCCGCCATCGTGTCTTTTCCTCTCGTGGTCTTTTCCCCTCCTGGCCAGCTCTCCTTCCTTTTCCCCAACCGACCCAACGTCACCTTCTCCTCTTTCTTCTCTTATCGATGCCACTACTTTAGTGCATTGGACTACCAACAATGGTGGTGTCCTTTTTCTGATTAGCAACCTTTTTTTGATTCGGTTGCATTTATTATTTCCCCCCCTCTTCCTTTCTTGTCCCTTCCATTCTCCCCTTTCTCTACACAGTAGTACTAGGTACTACCACTTTCTCGTTGTTGTCAGATACCTATTGTCCCAAGTGATGTCTTGTATACTTACTCAGCCATAATCGAAGACCTCATCGGCCCAATAACCCAAAGCAGGGGCGGAACAGTCGCTTACGGGAAGGGGAAAAAAGGGAAAAATGAAACGAATCTCGGAGCCACTCTTGTCAACGCCTAAATAAGCCATGTGGTAGACAGTGGGGCGATGCCTCCATTTGTTATGCACAGACTCAACATCATCACCATCGAGTCAGAACCCGATGGTTTCCAAGCCTTAGTTTACTCAGGGTGTTACATTCCAACACCCCCATTCGTTGCCAATGCCGTGTGAGTGGATAAAGAAGCAAAAGAGGGGGCATGCGCTTCGGCCTCTTTGCTTTCTTCGTATACACCATTGCACACGAAGTGACGTTCTACCGCTCCGGGTCAACCGTCATTCTGGAAAGCTAAGTGGAATCACGCCCCCGTATTCCAGCCACACATACATCAACTGACCTCTGACGGCACAAACAATAAGATCTTTCTATCTACGAGGTGCAAGGTCAACACCCTTCGTTACGGTTGTCATCGTACCATGTTGCAACTTCTTCTCGTAACGAGTTTCATAAGGCAGCAGATGGCGACCTCGGGTAGATTACCTAGCCTGGGGTGGATTGGACCTTGTCACTTGTCAGAGTCAGACGGAGTACTCCGTACGGAGCACCGTGCTGTCACTATACAGTCTCCGAACTCCGAAGTCGGAGGGCCGTTGGGGAAGTTGGAGCGAAAAGATAGCCTGCGGAGCGAGATGGCCAGTACGTAGACTACCCCTGGGATCTGCGCGATAGGCCTTAGTCTAGGGCCACCGGACCCTGTAGTAGTCCGTCATAGCAGGTTTGTTCAGTCCCTTAGCTTGTTTGACATCGGAGGTCTCTCCCTGAATGCCTGGGTCTCCCGACCAAAACGTGATTGACTACGGTGTATGGAGTCGACGGAAAGCAACTAATTCGGAATATAATTGTCACAGCACACCTACAGGGCCATTTTAGCGCGCACACTGTAGCGTGCAAGGGCTAGTCGAGTGGAGTCTTCCGAGTACTAGGCTACTAGTCCTTTGCAGTTCTGCTGGCATGAGGCCTAGTGATAGGCTGAATGATGCCATTCGCGGGCTTGTTCCATGGCCCTATATTAGTCTATCCAACAAAATCAGTTGTGACTACCTACTCCGTGGCGGTCGTGCCATGTGACGCGCGTTTCTTCAGTACTTGAAGCCTGCAAATATCGCGCATTTTCGGAGGTTTTGCCAGATGCTTCTCATCAGTCATGCGACTAACTCTTTGGAGCAGTTTTAGTAGCCCAGAAACCAGGCATTCGCCTATAGTTCATGGTTGAGCATTGGCGGAACCACCCTTGGTAGTCAGACATTATACTCCGTAAGTAGTGTCGGTCGCCCTTCGACCATCGTCCGGCTGCAGATGCAGCTCCAATGCCCTAGTCGAGAAGGCTGTTGCCAAGAATTGTATGCCCCTGCAGCGCAACAAACTCAATGTGCTTGTTTCAACGACGGTCCAGATCATGCATCGATCGCTCTGTGATCTCATCTGCTTCGCAACGTTGAAGGCTCTGGTCGAGGCTACGAGAGTACCACTTCGAAGTCGGATAAGTATGAGACTGCTCCACAGCAGGGCAAATTTACTTTCACCGGTGCTACATCTTTCGGGATGATAAGTAGAATGAAAAGCACGCACGGAAAGCATCGGATGGGTGGTCTTCAAGTCAAACTCTCCAGAGACTGATGCAACCCCAAATGGATGATTCCTTGATGGTAGTCTAGTGTAATGTAATGGGAGTGGTTGTAGCGCTAAGCGCCTTTGGAGTCATGGACGGTGACCCCTTCGATTTGTGAACGATAGAGAGAGCCCTTTCATCCATCTATCGATCGCTTAAAGTGCATGGAACTCAGCTGGCTCCATCCACGACCGGGTCGCCCAGGGAGGAGGAGTGAGTGTAACGCGAGGAGGATTTGCCGGGTTGCTCCCGGAAACCCCGCCGAATGGCAATTGCCGGATCCGATCGCGATCTCCCCACACCTGCTCTGATTCCATCCCATCATCGTCACCATCACCATCCCTTCCCTTCCCTCTTGAACTTAACCGACCAACCCCTCTGTTACTACCGTTCATTTAGCGGCTGGTAGTTACAATGGAGAAACTCCAAGTTCAACCCAAGACCGACCACGCCGGCTACGTCGATATCTCCGAGTCTGCCGTTGCGCGCCCGATCAGCACCCGACGCGACCGGGTTGTTGCTCGGCTCGCCGCCTGCTTGGGGCTCATCGCAGTAGCCTTCCTGGCTCTATCCTGGGCCCCCATCTCCTTTTCCGGCATTAAGTTCTTCTCGTGTCATGGATGGAAGAGACACCACGATGATTCTTCGCTTCAGGAAGCTCCGTTGATGGAGGATCCACTGCTCGAAATGTTTCCACCAGTTCGGGTCCTATCATCGAGTAAGAAGATTCCTCTGGAGGCTCACATCATGAGTAAATGCCCGGATGCTCGGGACTGCCTGCAACAACTTGTCCTGCCAGCTATGGAGCAGATCAGCGACAAGGTTGACTTCGAGTTGTCCTTCATTGCCGAGTGCGTGGACATCCATCCCTTCCGCTTGCCGGTGTACAAAGCTAACACTGCGCCCAGAGTATCTAATAAATCGTCGGAGATACAATGCAAGCACGGTCCCACCGAGTGCATCGGGGACATGCTCATCCTCTGTGCGGCCAACCTGCCCTTCCCGTCGGAGAGCGATACTGTTTGTCCCACAGTGTCTCGTACTCCGACTATTCGGTCTCTCGGGTTTGCCAACTGCCTGATCAACTCGTATACCGATATTCCGAGCCGTGATCTGGTTGAGGGCTGCGCCTTGGAACATGGTATCGATTTTGAAGCCCTGAATAGGTGTGCTAGTCAAGAGAACGATGGCTTTGATGGCGACGATGACGGCGATGAGCACACCCCGCCAAGTGGCATTGCCCTGCTGCGGAAGAGTGCTCTGCACAGTGCGGAGCTCAGCGTCAAGACCAGTTGTACTCTTCGGCTGGACGAATCTGTTTGGTGTGTTAGGGACGGTGGAGTCTGGAAAGACTGCGTGAAAGGAGGAGAGGGCAGTAAGGTCTCAGTGCTTGTAGACGAGGTGAAAGAATTGTGGGAGAAGGCCAATTGAACCTTGAGTATATATTATGGGATGCACGAAAGTGCTATGACTGATGTGACACCGCATGCGATGCAAAAGCGACGATTCCGCCTAACCTATGCTTTGTATCTAATTATGACAATTTGAGTATACTACCTAATGATAATTATTGATTCGTGAATCAGCAAGAACCGATCCTGGTAGCTCTGTCAATTGCACTACGTGGAAGGATTGATGCCACTTCAGCACAATACATATGGCTCTCACAAATGGCCGCTTTCCACCACTGCAATGGTTATGGCTATGGCTAGGCCAAAGCCCCCCTAACAACGATGTGATCAAATCCACGGCAACCATTCACTGCCTACCCATTTATGTGCTGCTCCATCACGTACACAGAAGCTGTATAGTTAAGGCTACATCCGCTGCCTTGTCCTGTCACATCTTTCGTTTGCCAACCAGTGAACATATATCTCACGAGACCTTCATTTGTCTTTTGAAACATCTCTCATTTTCTTTCTCCCTGCAAGCTGGCTTGGTTTGGCCGACTCTCACTCTAATCCCTGGAACAGCGACCATGTCGAGCCTTAGTACTCACTTATCCAATCCCTTCCAGCGAAAGGTCGATGAGCTCGTCCAGAAGCACGACCGCATCACTGAGCCTAGTCCGGCTTTGCGTGATATTCTTCGGGACCCGGAAGGCCTGGCATCTCTCGTAAATGCTATCCGGCGCCATGTTTCGCTCGTTCGCTGCCGGTCCCAGGATCTCGAAGACGCGCAGATCACCATTTATGACCAAGCACTGTTGGTTCTGTCGAATTATGGAAACGACCCCAGAGATACGGGCGCGCTGGAGCTCTACCTAACCGAGTTTCTGGGAATAGCGCCGATGTCCACCGTTTTCCAGGCCCGACAGTCAATCAATGACCATGTTACTCTCCAAAAAGTTCTACATAGAGGTATCTCTATTCACTCAATATACTCTGTGCACACTTCTCACTACCATCACAGTGACTGGATCCGGCCACACACCTAATAAAGCTACAACCGCCAACATCGACGCCCGTGAGAAGTCCGAGCATACACCCAAAGCCCACGACGTTAGGGAACGCCACCAGAATACCGACGGCGTAGCCCATTCACAGCCTGGCTCAAGCCCCGATGATACCCGTATCCGTGAACAGGCCCATCGTCTGATCCAGGTCTACTGCGCGGCCAAGAAAGAATATGACGACGAAAAGCATCGCGAAGGAGTGCATGATCTGAGCTTAGTCCGATATCTACGAGACACAGCCGAGAATACGCTTCTATATCTCCAGGGTAATGGCATGTCGGACTATCCGTTCATCCAGGATATCGAGAACTCTTTCAAGATGGCAAAGGATAAAGCCGCCCAGCTGTCTGGTGGTCGGGGACGCCGTTTCGACGAGCCTCGTGAGCCCAGGTACCCTCCCAAACACAAGCGGAGACGAGGGGTGGATTCTTATCGGCCACGGGATGAGTGATGGCTAAGTTGGGTGGGATTCAGTTGCTGGTAGTTGAGACATGAGTGTTATGAGATTTACTAACATGTATGCTGGAAATCACCTTGTTACTTACTATTGGAGAAGGCGAAGACGGGAAAGTTCCATGAATTTGAAGGCGAGAGAGGGACCGATGACTGGCTGGCTGTATGTACTGCTGCTATCTATGGATGGCTTGGCGCAAATCCCCGTCGTTAGTGGCCGCCACGTGCCCCCCGACTGGCTCTCCATCTTGTTTTCCTCCCATCTCCTGTACTTAAACCTCCGAATTCCATCAGTGCGGGCTATATTTTATACTTCCGGCCTATACTCACGGTAGTGGCTCACCAATTCGACCAAGACATGACGGTCTAAACCGCCACGACCCCCCGATCCACTACAATGGCCTCCTTGCGCCCGGGGCCGACCGAGGCCAACTCCTCCGCCTCCAGCAGTGGATCACCTGCTCAGTATACGCCCGTTTCTGGGTCCGAGCATAGCGCATCTCCCAACCCCAATCGTCCTGCTGCTGGGTCCTTGAAGGTACAGACGGACTTCAGCTCGGATGGCGAACCATTTTCCGATGACGAAATTGACGAAGGGTACGATTCCTACGAAGATGTGCAGCCCACCTCCAGCAGAACCAGCATGCCCAAGTATACAAGAGAGGAAGAAGCGCAGGTCATCAAGCAGTTTGACCGCAAACTCGTCCCATTCCTTGCTCTTCTCTATTTGCTTTCTTTCTTGGATCGCTCAAGTACGTGGATCACTGTCAAGTTCTTCTCTATACTCTTTCCCATATTCATCCTAAACAGACATCAGCTAACACCAACCCAGACATTGGAAATGCCAAAATTGCCGGTCTAGCAGACGACCTGAATCTCTCATCATCCCAATATGAGTGGCTTCTCACGTCATTCTACATCACCTACATCCTCTTCGAATGGATGACCCTCATGTACAGAGTAGTCCCGCCGCACATCTACATCGCTCTCTGTGTCTGCGGATGGGGCCTCGTCGCATCTTTACAATCGCTCGCTACCTCCTTCGGGGCCCTCGTCTTCCTCCGAGCAGTTCTCGGGATCACCGAGGCAGCATTCGGTCCTGGCGTCCCCTTCTACCTATCGTTATTCTACAAACGCGAAGAGCTGGCCTTCCGAAACGGCCTCTTCATCTCCGCGGCTCCCCTGGCATCATCATTCGCCAGCAGCCTGGCCTGGGTCATCGTCCGACTGAGCAGCAACGGACCCATCGCACCCTGGCGTGCCCTCTTCCTCATCGAAGGGTTCCCAAGCATCATCGTCGCCGTCTTCGCCTGGATGCTCATCCCCGATACACCAGGGACTGCTTCATTCCTCAATCCCCGGCAGCGAGTCATCGCGCAGCTACGTATGGACGAGATCAACCCCGGCCGCAAACCATCACAGCAACATCAGCAGCAGCAACGCAAATCCTTTAACTGGAAAGAAGTCAAGAAAACCCTCTCCGACCCCAAATCCTACATAACTGCCGTGAGACCCCCTCCTCTTTCACCACCACCACAACTAACACCACCTCCTCCCAGTTCATGTTCTTCAGCTGCAACGTCGCCTTCAGCTCCATGCCCGTCTTCCTCCCCACCATCATCCAAGAGTAACTCCTCCTCCCCCCTCCCCCCTCCTCCCCCACAAACCAATCCCCCAAATTAACCACCAACACAGCATGGGCTACAGCCCCCTAACCTCACAAGCCCTCTCGGCACCCCCCTACCTCCTCTCCTTCCTCACCGTCCTCCTAACCTCCCACCTCTCGGACCGCACCCGCACGCGCAGTCCGTACCTAATCTTCCACGCGCTCCTCTCCGCAACCGCATACGCCCTAATCGCCCTAACAGGGCACTTCCACGCCTCTCTCCCACCCACAATCCACGTCGCAATCCGCTACCTCTGCGTCTACCCCGCCACATCCGGGTTCTTCTCCGCCATCACCCTAATCATCACGTGGACGATGGACAACCGCGTCGCCAAAGAAGGGAAGGGGACGAGCGTGGCCCTTTTGAACGTCATCGGGCAGTGTGGGCCCCTGCTCGGGACAAGGTTGTATCCGAGGAGTCAGGGCCCGTGGTATGTTCCGGGTATGGCGGTGTGCGCGGGGTTCATGGTGGCTGTGGCTGGGTTGGCGGTCTTGTTGAGGATGTTGTTGGGGAGGGAGAATAGGGGGTTGAAGGGGGAGATGGCTGGAGAGGAAGAGGAGATTGAGATGGAGGAGGGGGGTGGGGAGGAGATGGAGGTGCTTATGGGGAGGGAGACCAGGAGGAGTGGTTCCAGGGAAGGGGGCGAGGGGAGGAGGTTTACGTATATCTTGTGAGTGTGAGATAAGTCGTAGATGGATTGGATGTTTTGATATCTACCTTGGGTTGGATGAATTAGATTACTGAGTCGGCTGGGGATAAGAAAAATTTAGTGCCGAGTTAAGATAGAATATGAATGGATGTGATTGCTTAATCGGCAGATCAGCGTATTAGAGCTCCAAAACAATCAATCAGTGGATTAGTGTCGATGCGCTTGAGCTCATAACGAAATGAAATCAATGCAATGGGCCATGGTGAGAAAATTTTCATGTATGATGATCCATTGAAGGCCACGCATGTCTCTTTTTCAAAGCGCACAATAGGCGACCTTCAAGATGCTATCATCCAACGGGCTATGTATAGTATTGCTTCCTCCTCCTTTTAGAAACTTCTCTGTATGCATTTTGGTTCATGTGGTGAAAGGGCTTTCTTTTGGTCATTGGCGGTAGAATTACCATGCGGTGTGGCCTCCGTCAATCAGCATGGTGCTGCCGGTCATGAAGCTGCTCGCATCACTTAGAGCGAAGAGAGCGGCTCCCCGGAACTCCTCCGGGTAGGCCAGTCGTCCAAGCATGTTCTCTGCTTCCCAGACGGCCCGGGATGCAGGGTTCTGCTGAAACACCTCTTCCACCATCGGGGTGATAATGTGGCCGGGACACAGGCTGTTCACGCGGATGCCATGTCGACCCCATTCCATCGCAAGAGACCGGGACAGCTGGATGACAGCTGCCTTGGATGAATTGTAGACAGGGGAGGTCATTCCCTTGTTGGCAATCAGGCCGCTCATGCTGGCGATGAGCAGAATTGAGCCCTTCTGCTGATAATTGAACATCTGCCGCGCAGCAGCAGTGGCGGAGTTGAACACTCCGTTGTAGTTGATTTGCATGACTTCGTTCAGAGCCACCTGGGAGTGTTCCAGGGCGCTCTGCAGGTGGTTGATTCCGGCGGCGGCAATCATACCGTCCAGTCGCTGGTTTTTCCCGGCGATTTCCGCAAAGAGCTCGTTGACCGAGGATTCATCTCGAACATCGATACGGTAGTACTCCAGGCTGCCACCGTAGTTCTTCTCAGCGTGCTCTTGAGCGGCTATAAAGTCCGGATGAGGCTTTTCGAGACGATCCAAACAGTACACTGTGCATAGCATCGTGGGTTAGCAAAGAGCGTGATTGGCTACAGGAGTTGACTTCGCAAGTCACTTGGGATGGTACCTTTAGCACCAGCCTCCATCAGGGCTTCAGCCATCGCCAACCCGAGTCCTCGTCCGCCACCAGTGACAGCAAAGACACGCTCGTCAAGATCAAACTCGCGGAACCGGTGTCCCTTCTTGGGCTCTGGCTTCAATGACGGTATCCGGGTTTGGATGTGGTGTGCGCCATGTGTAGTCGTCGTCGTAGAGTAAAGCCGCTGCGACAAGGGCTGGATCATAGCGGATGGCGCCCAGCACCATGCTGGAGCCATGGCCGAGAGCGACCGGCACAGTACAGAACGCATGGCTATGGTGTGCAAGATTAGGTAAATTAGAGATTATGAGAAAAGACGAAGGCAGAAGAGAAATCAGATACGCGGCAAACGAGGGGCATTGACTACCACAGGGTCGCGATGGCTACAGAATGTCGTCGCATCCAGGGTTTCTGTAGGAGGACCTGGGGTTTATAGACCTGGAGACTCCACGCCGCGAAACGAACAACAGCCAGCCGGTAGCGCATATCTCCAGCTGTCGCACAAGCCAACCGAAAATAACAGGGGCCAGAAAAACACGAAGGCCGCGTGATTGCCTTGATGGGTCCATCGTCAGATTCTAGAGCTGCTTTCACGATGACTTCAAGACCCAGACCTCATCGCCCGAGTCCATCCGTGGTACCAGGGCTAGGCCATGCATACGCCATGGCCGGGAAAGCTTGCCACAGGACGAGGGACGGGCAGGCATCGGACGCATAACAGAGCAATAGGGGGGGAATGATCATGTCTGAGAAGACATCGTGACATCTGTCGTTGCTTGGTTGCTGAACCCGGCAAGCAGCCCCGATCACTTGATCGAGGGATGACGATCAATCATTCATTAAAGTGGAATGGCCCACCAGAACGGGATATCCGTGTATGGGGAGGCCGAGAGCTGCTGGATCAGATTGGAACCAGCAACGCGGCAATAGCGGTCAGGATGTCCTCCATCAGCGACCCTGGGGGCTGTTTCTCCTGGACGGCAATTCGGATGAATGGTAGGTGTCCTCTACGGATAATGCTTCCTCGGCTGTTTGAGCCGTTCTAAACAGAGAACAACTGGTGGCAACGGAGGGCGAGAGAACAGGAGCTGGGGGAAGCTCTCCCCGCTCTCTCGCTCCGAAGCTTCCATGGAATGGAAGCCCCTCCAATAACGGTCTCGGCATTGAAGTGGTGGTGTAATCTGTCATCGCAGCATGGAACCGTTCTCCACGGCTTCCGCGACCTTCCTGTAGGAAGATAAGAGTCTTATTCTTGATCCGGGTGTCAAGACTCAAGCGGCAGACCTTGCCAGGATCCTTGCTGCTTGGACCCGATTTTCTGGGGTCACCCAATCCTTCTAGACTTTCCCTTCAGTCCGGTGGTTATCCTACCCCACACGCTTGGTGTTGTTTTTGTCCCAAGCCAGTTGGAAATATGCGGTGTTTATTAGGTACTCCGTATCGATATTGTAAATGTCGGTGGCCGTGAAAATCGCCGATAGGCTCTGACAGGCCCCCTTTCGCTGCGGTTGGGTCTGGATTGCCTTCGTTACTCCGCATCCCGTAAACGACCCAGCAAAAGGCGGCGCTTTTGCCACTATCTCGCGAAGCTTCCGAATAATGACAACCCGAGACTGAACCATGGCGAACCGACCGCATACTCTGTACTTGTGTGTCCACGATCGGAGCATTCCAGGTCGCAGATTCCTCGAGATCTGCCAAGATCCCAACCTCACCCTATCTATCCACCCCCCTCCGACCCCTTACACCAATTGACAATTGGGCCGGTCTCACTGCGAGAAAGACTCCATTGACAATATTTAGAACAGAGAAGTGTAAGGACTAGGGAATGCCGCAAAGATCCGGTGGTACAGATGGAGTAATAGAGTTAACCAAATATAAACGAAAGATCCAAACAAACAACGAAAGGAATCCGATTCGGGGTCGCTCTTTCCCTGGCGACCAGGGGTGCCTTCCTATTCGGGTAATCCGTGACCAGACCGAGAACCGATCATGTGCAGCGGCAGACTTTTCACGATGTCCATCAAGTCATCAATCAATTCTCAGCAGCTGTCGCGGCCCTGCAGGTGGTCTAGATGGACCCGACCGGCCGAATGATGTCCCTCGTTTCATCTTCACACAATTGGCCATGGGCCTTCGCGAGATTGAGGCCATCAGCATCTCATTCGATACTATTCATGCACGTAAGTATGAACTAGATAGCACGTCGCTTCGGGATTAGTATTTTCTTGCTTCGGTTCAGGAATATATCAGGCAGCATATTTCGGTATTCATTGGTTGAACGCCCTTGAAGTAGTACTTATGTACCATGTCAACGCGGTAAGATCGGTTGACTGAGGATGGAGTCCAAGCTCAAGCCTAAGTGTGTGACAAACAGGTGCCAGGGAACAGGACGCGTAGGGGCAGGAGGTAAGCGGACGAGATAGTTGCATCTCGCCTCGACTCACACTCCTGGGGCATAGGGCGGAACACATTACGGGACCCTAATCATAACCGAACACCTACACCGTAAAGTCATGCTATTCGTAAATCATAACCTGACAGTCATAGCTGGGTTCCTGCTTATTAACCAGTCGTGGTCACCACAAGAACCCTTGACAGTGGGAGAATGGGTGTCCCCGAGCAATGGCAGCCAATGTGCCAGTAACAAACAACATTCTAGTTATGCCATGCCGCCGAAGGTACCTGGAGCAGCAACCATACCACCATTAGCATTGCCGAAGTCTAGCTTCATGAGCAGATGGTCAACACCAGCCGCTTTGCGAGGCACATAGTGGCAAAGACCAGGCCCGGTCGCTGAGCCATTGGCTGAAAGGAATTGCCCGTTCTCGCGCGAGTCCTTCCCAAAATCGAGCATCTGTCGTCCCTCGCCAGATCGGCTGTCATCGATATCTCGTAGTCGTGCCACAGCGTCCTTGATCCCTGCCTCGACACTAGCCCGTGCAGCACCAAGGGATTGCCACACCTCCCTTTCTTCTGCTGCGTAGTCGACTAAAGCATCTATAACCCCTTCATCAGTCTCCAGGTCCATGTTGCGCTGTATACCTTTCAGTCGAACTACGAGTGCAATGAAGTGTTCGACACTGGTCAGTAAGGCTCGGAGGGCTTTGGTAAAGGGTATGTCCGTGAGAAAGAGTGATTCAGTGAGGGCAAAGAGGTATCGGCGGTGTGCAGCTGTCAAGGTTTCGGGATCGTGCCGTTGTATGGCCTGACTGGCATCTCCAAAGCCAGAATCGGTCGGAATATCGAGGCCCTGAGGATGCTTACCCTTAGAGGAGGACGCAGTCCCGGGTCGAGAGCCCGTTTTTGGAGGTCCACCTTCAATCCATTCCCGGAAGTGATGCCATGAGCCATTAAGAACTTCGCCCTGGAAGTAGCTTCCTATCTCTGACAGAACAAAGAGAGAAGCACTGCTCGTCGCCCAAATTGGCCTCATCTGCCGCGTTCTGGTGCTGTCTCTTTGTCTGCCAAGTTTAAGTCGACTCTGGCCGTAAGGAGTGCTGCTGCGAGGCGGGCCCCAGGGAGAAGGGTGGACTTTCCGAAGGAAAGTATGCTTCCACAAATCACCCAGATGAATTTGGGCTCGCCGAATGCCTAGTATATAGGAGTGTATCTTGGAGTAGATTGAGATATCTGAGGCGGAGAGAAACAGGTCGAGGGGTGGACGGACTTGGGCTGAAAGGTATGTTGGGGTCGGGAAAAGAAGGTCATCAAACGCGACGTCCGAGATTCCGGTGCCCATTTCGACCTCAACCATGTCGGGAGATAGCATCGTCTTGCCATCCATAGCCTGCTTGATCGATAATCGGAGCAGATCCTTGGCGAGATCGAGCTCATCGTCTGCGGGGTCTTCTTCAGTCTGCAATGAGTAAAGCTCTGACAGTGTCTGTGACAGTGTAGTCACAACGTCTCCTTCCTTGATTGAAAGGCCCCCTAGTCCTTCCGCAGGGTTATATTTAGAGACTGAATGCACGTGCTTTCGATACCTATCTTGAATACGGGCATCCGCATGAGATACAAGCGCTGTCGCAAATTCACCACGTCTGAGCAGCAGAAAGTCATGGAGAACGGAAAGAATTTCGAGTATCTTTTGTAGTGGGAAAAGCTTGGAGAGAGTGCTTTGCGACAAAGAGTATCGGATGGCATTTACAGCACTTGACAACCTCGGCGCTGATATAGGCGATTTCAATGAAGCAAGATGTTCGATATGCTCCGTATGCAGCGTGACTGGGGTAGTTGATACAATAGCCGAAGGATTGACAGTGGGCGCACTGCGCTTTGCTCGAATGAGGTTCAAAGTCTTTCCGATGAACAAGATAGAGGAAGCAGTATGAGTTGTTACGTATTGCGGTAGGAGTTCGGGATGCACGACGAACTGAGTGGTAGGAAAAGGCTGATCACCCTCGCTCGTATTGTCGCGTTGAATGAAGAAATCAGACTCGCCGAGAACGGGAAGGTTTCCATACAATAGCCATGTGGACAATTGCCTCATCCAAGCAGTTTCCGCGATCCCAACCAAATGCAAAGCCATCTCTTTCAGATCAACGTAGCCTGTTTGCGACTCCGTTCGAAGGTGATCGATCAAAGCCACGCCAGTGCAAAGCTGGTCTTGATCTCGGGTGTCTATGGGCCATATTAACCGCACGGTCTCCCAAAGCCACTCCAATCGTCGTGTCCATGGAGAGAATTCGCCAACAATCGTCGACAACGGCACAATTCCGTAACCACCCACGTAGCCACTGTCCTCGACTAGGATCGCCTTCTCAACTTCCAATATTTTCCTTTGAAACTCCCCCAGGTGGCGTGAACCGATGGCCGTTGAAACAGCGCGACAGATAACGGAAGGATGCGAAGAAGAAATTAAAGCGGTATGCGCTCGCAGCTCGGCGTGGAGACGGCTCAAACGGGCAAGAGAGGCGAGGAGGGCTTTCTCCGGAGGGGAAACCAAGGGGAAGGCATCTTCAATGACAACATCCGCTTCAGACTGGGAGTTGAAAAGAGGCGAAGGTTGGCCCGAGAGGGAGAGGAGGATTTCGTGGAGCATTGTGCGCGGATCTCCCTGGCGAAACGGTAAAGTCAGATAAACCACCCAGGACCTCGGATATGGCAGCAAACCTCAAGGAATGATCCTTATTTTTCTTGGACTTATGACGCTGCCAATATAAAAGCCCACATCCGAGGAGCTCGTATCGACACATGTACTGAAGCGGCCGCAGAACAAGACCCTATCACAAGAGCTCAGAGCCACCGCGTCAGTCGAGGCAATATAGCACCGCGGCGCGTCGCGAGAAGTGCGGAGCGGAAATGGAAACGGAAGAGAGCATAGACTAGGCTATGAGGGTTGAACAACTGGCTGGCATGAATGTCGGTACTATCCAAGGCACTTCTTACCGCGGCCTATTCCCATCCGGAACCAAGCGCCTGCAAAAGGGTGAATGCCTTCATCACCGCCGCTTGTTGATCTCGTTCGGTGATTGCCGTTTCGCTGCTGTTCGTGTCCGCGGGGTTCCAGCCAATAGCCATCGTTGATTTTGCTGAGTCAGCGCTCGACAGCTTGTCCCCTCTTACGTCGCCGCCGAGTGAGCTCGCAACAACATCCTTCATTTAGTGATCTTTCTTCCCTCTGCCCCGCCTCTCTCACGCCTTTTCTATCGTTGGTTTGCTCTACTTTTGCTTGTCTTTGGTTGCTTAAAAAGCTCTGCTCTTGCTATAGAGTATCGCCTGTCTGTGTCTTCCATCACCTCAACTACCTCCGGCCGCCTCCGCGTACCTCACCGCTCCTACCCCTCCTCCCTGAGCCTGCATCAGGAGTATACTGCCAGAAAGTCTTGCTCTCAGCGGCAAGGCTTTCGTCCACAAGCTTTCACAATTCCTACGGAAATTCCCGTTCGTGACGCTGCGAAGCTGGGAAAGCGAAGAGCGTCTGCTGACCACAAAGCTCCGCCGGAGAAGAAGATCATGACTGTATGTCTCCTCGTCAGATAAATTTGCATTATATATGGCAAGCTTTCGACTGCTAACCATGTCTAGGACGCCATGATGCAAGTGGATAATCCACAGGAAACTGTGGAGGCGATCAAGCACGGGGAGATTGACGAGTCGCTGTACAGCCGGCAACTGTAAGTGTTTCATCTACAAATCTCTACCTCCATACACAACGTTGATACTGACTGGTTATGCCTTACCTAGGTATGTTCTCGGACATGAAGCTATGAAGCGTATGGGCTCTTCCAACGTGCTCGTTGTAGGATTGAAGGGTCTGGGTGTCGAAATCGGTGGGTACAACTTCCTGCGCCGAGGCGCCACATGCTTACTGATTGTTTCCAGCCAAGAACATTGCTCTTGCCGGTGTCAAGTCCCTCACGTTGTACGATCCTGCTCCTGTCGCCATCTCCGATCTTTCCTCCCAGTTTTTCCTCCAGCCTCAAGATGTCGGCAAGCCGCGCGCCGAAGTGACAGCCCCAAGAGTGGCCGAGTTGAACTCCTACGTGCCCGTCACGGTTCACGAGGGCAGCAACCTCGCGGATAATCTTGAAGAGTTGAAGCGCTATCAGGCTGTTGTGCTCACTTTGACTCCTCTGAAGGAGCAGCTTGCGATCGCCGACTTTTGCCACAAAAATGGTATTTACCTCACCATCACGGATACCTTCGGTCTTTTCGGATACCTTTTCAACGACTTCGGAAAGAACTTTACTGTTGGTGATGCTACAGGTGAGGAGGCTGTCAGTGGAATTGTGGCGGCTATCGACGAAAGTGGCTTGGTTTCGGCCCTAGATGAGACCCGACACGGGCTAGAAGACGGTGATTTTGTGACTTTCTCTGAGGTGAAAGGCATGGAGGGCCTTAATGGCTGCGCTCCTCGCAAGATTACCGTCAAGGGTCCATACACGTTCTCTATCGGAGATGTGTCTGGTCTTGGAACGTACGACAGTGGCGGTATCTTTTCGCAGGTCAAGATGCCCAAGTTCATGGATTTCGCTCCCCTCAACGAACAAATCAGGAAGCCCGAATTCATAATCTCGGACTTTGCAAAATTTGATCGGCCAGCGCAGTTGCATATTGGTGTCCAGGCACTCCACAAGTTTGCAGAGGCCCATGGCGGTGACCTCCCTCGCCCTCACAATGATAGTGATGCCCAAGAAGTGTTTAAGATTGCGAATGAGCTAGCTTCGACCCTAGAAGACAAAGTAGAGTTGGACGAGAAACTCCTCAGGGAACTGAGCTACCAAGCCCGCGGTGATCTGAATCCCTTGGCCGCCTTATTCGGTGGCATTGCGGCGCAGGAAGTTCTGAAGGCGGTCTCCGGCAAATTCAACCCTGTACAGCAGTGGCTGTACTTTGACTCCTTGGAGTCCCTTCCTACCTCCATCACTCGTTCCGAGGAAGCTTGTAAGCCTCTCGGATCCCGCTATGATGGCCAGATTGCAGTCTTCGGCAAGGAGTTCCAGGACAAGATCGCCAACATCACGCAGTTCCTCGTTGGGTCCGGCGCTATTGGATGCGAGACCCTGAAGAACTGGGCCATGATGGGTCTGGGAACTGGTCCTAAGGGGAAAATCATCGTGACCGATATGGACCAAATTGAGAAAAGTAATCTTAACAGACAGTTCCTGTTCCGTAGCAGGGACGTTGGCAAACTCAAAAGTGAATGCGCTTCCGCAGCTGTGGAGGCAATGAACCCAGAATTGAAGGGCAAGATTGTCACGCTCCGGGACCGTGTCGGACCTGACACCGAGCATGTCTTCAACGAGGATTTCTGGCAAGGCTTGGACGGAGTTACGAACGCCCTCGACAACGTAGACGCAAGAACCTACGTTGATCGCCGTTGTGTCTTCTTCAGGAAGCCCTTGCTGGAGAGTGGAACTCTCGGCACTAAGGGCAACACTCAGGTTGTTCTTCCCCGCATCACTGAATCATACTCGAGCTCCCAGGACCCGCCCGAGAAGACTTTCCCTATGTGCACTTTGAAGAGTTTCCCCAACCGGATCGAGCATACTATCGCCTGGGCCAGAGATCTCTTCCAGACGTACTTCGTCGGTCCCCCGGAGGCTGTCAACATGTACCTTTCCCAGCCCAATTACATTGAGCAGACACTCAAGCAGGCTGGCAACGAGAAGCAGACTCTGGAGCATCTGCGTGACTTCCTGGTGACTGACAAGCCTCTTACTTTCGATGACTGTGTCGTTTGGGCTCGTCAGCAGTTTGAGGCCCAGTACAACAATGCCATCCAGCAACTCCTTTACAACTTCCCGCGAGACTCCAAGACCTCCTCTGGCCAGCTTTTCTGGTCTGGACCTAAGCGTGCGCCTACACCTCTGAAATTCGACAGCTCGAACCCCACTCACCTTTCGTTCATCATTGCTGGTGCTAACCTTCATGCTTTCAACTATGGAATTAAGAGCCCTGGCGCCGACAAGGGCTATTACAGGAAGGTCGTTGACAATATGATTATTCCTGAGTTCACTCCTAAGTCGGGTGTCAAGATCCAGGCCAACGAGAACGATCCTGATCCGAACGCTCAAGCTAGCAGTTCTTCCTTTGATGATGGTCAAGCGATCCAGCGCCTCGTGGAGTCGCTTCCATCTCCCAAAGATCTGGCTGGGTTCCGTTTAAGTCCTGTTGAATTTGAGAAGGATGATGACACAAACCACCACATCGACTTCATCACGGCCGCCAGCAATCTCCGTGCCGACAACTACGACATTCCCCAGGCTGACCGCCACAAGACCAAGTTTATTGCAGGCAAGATCATCCCGGCCATTGCCACCACTACGGCGTTGGTTACTGGGTTGGTCGCCCTGGAGCTGTTCAAGATTATTGACGGCAAGGACGACATTGAGCAGTACAAGAACGGCTTTGTGAACCTCGCACTTCCCTTCCTTGGCTTTAGTGAGCCCATCGCTAGTCCCAAGGGCAAGTACATGGGTAAGGAGGGTGAGGTGACGATCGACCAGATCTGGGACCGCTTTGAGGTTGATGATATCCCCCTCCAAGACTTCCTCAAGCATTTCTCGGACCTGGGCTTGGAGATCAGCATGGTCAGCTCTGGTGTCAGCCTCCTGTATGCCAGCTTCTACCCGCCGTCCAAGGTCAAGGACCGCCTTCCTATGAAGTAAGTACCCTGGCAACCCCCCGCGGCGAGTGCAGTGCTAATCTCTCATGATATAGGATGAGCAAGTTGGTGGAACACATCAGCAAGAAGCCGGTTCCCAGCCACCAGAAGAACATCATCTTTGAGGTTACTGCAGAGGATCAGACGGAGGAGGATGTTGAGATTCCGTATGTGATGGTGAAGCTGCAGTAGAAGATAATCCGCAAGCTTCCGATCCAAGTAAAGGCCCATGATCTATAATTGGATTTGTTTAGTCACGCCTTAGAAGCAATGCCATAACTCAGTGTTCTTTTTTTCAAATCTTACATAGATGATTGTTCTTCTCTTTTCTTCTCTTTTCTAGGGTTGACTGCGTTGCAGCGGGCGGTGATGAGCGATGCTGAGCAAGGGGTTTGTCAGCGGGGCGATAACCAAGCCGTTATCAACGCATCCGTAAGCCAGCCAACGCCCACGTCATTGGCTCCCGCCTCGTATCGCCCGCCTCGACTTTTTGTATAAGAACAAGCCAGTGCCCTTCCTTTCCATTGCCCTTAGTCACTCATGTTTCCAGCTCTCCGTCGAATCCGACCGGTCTCGCAATATCTCTTGCAGCCCAGAACCATTGCGTCCCTCCCACGTTCAATCCCCTACAGAAGCTCCATCCTCCCCGCATCACCCATATTCTCTCCAAAGCGCACCATGGCGGTAGGCTATACACCTTACCCTTTCCACTGCCATTCCTTTCAAGCTAACCCCCCACTCTCGTATAGACCGGCAACACCAGCAAGATCACCGATTGGGTCAACCCCGACGACAAGTCAGGCGAATTCAAGCGCCAAGTATCGGTCTTTCGCAATTGGATCTCCAGGGAACCCGGCGCTGAATTCCCTCCTGAGAAGGGCCGCTATCACCTCTACGTCTCATACGCCTGTCCTTGGGGTGCGTTTTCGCTTCATCCTGACTACATCCACATATACTAATACCATACTCCCACAGCCCACCGAACCCTTATCACCCGCCAACTCAAAGGTCTCGAAGACATCATCTCCTTCACATCCGTGCACTGGCACCTAGGCGAAAAAGGTTCGCTCCTCCCATCCAATCCCGAGCAATCAACCCCAAAAAATTGAAAAACGAAAGCTTACACAATAACCCCCCAGGCTGGCGCTTCGCAACCACAGAAGAGCAACAACCCTCCGAAAACGTCACCACCGACCCCCTCCACTCCGACTTCACTCACCTACGCGATCTCTACTTCTCCAACGACCCGGACTACACCGGCCGCTTCACCGTCCCCGTTCTCATCGATAAGAAGACCAACCGCATCGTAAGCAACGAGGTAAGCCCCATCCCCATCCCATCCCCTTCCCCCAGACAACCACCCACCCACTAACCACTCCCACCGCAGAGCTCCGAAATCATCCGCATGCTCTACTACGAATTCGACGACCTCCTCCCCACCCCCTACAAGAACCTGGACCTATTCCCTCCCTCCCTCCGCTCCTCCATCGACGCCACCAATGACTGGACCTACAACGACGTCAACAACGGTGTGTACAAGTCCGGGTTCGCCACTACGCAAGAAGCATACGAGAAAGCCGTAACGACGCTTTTCTCCTCATTGGACAGAATCGAAGCCCATCTTGCAGAGACCGCCTCCAAGGGACCCTATTACTTCGGGTCTGAGATCACGGAGATTGATATCCGATTGTTCACGACTATGATCCGGTTTGATCCCGTGTATGTGCAGCACTTTAAGTGTAATATTCGGGATATTCGGTCCGGGTATCCGGCTATTCATCGCTGGATGAGGGGGTTGTATTGGGATGTGCCGGCGTTCAAGGAGACGACTAACTTTGAACATATCAAGAAGCATTATACGAAGAGTCATAAGCAGATTAATCAGTTTGGGATTACCCCTGTTGGGCCGGTGCCGGATGTGTTGCCCAAGGGGGAGGAGGTTAGGGCCGTTGTTGGTGTTTGATGAGCGATTAGGATATTGAATTAGATTAAGCGGATGGGTGACTGGCTGGCTGGCTGGCTGGCTTGTGCAAATAAGCAAATTTCATTTCATCTCAGCAATGTTTCAATATGTATATCTATATCCATTTATCACCGCCATGAGTGCTGTGTGGGGTATAACCCCTACATACATTAGGAAAGAAGAAAAGCAAAGGAAAAAGGTCCACCCCGGCGACACCTCGAGAATTTCATTATACAGAGAAGCAAGAGACGCAAAGATGAAACTCCATGGTATGCTTTGCCGCACGATGACGCCCTTCATATGCTAAGAAAAGTCGGACATGTGACTCTCAATCAGTCGACTGGTGGTTCTCGGGGTACCAGTGATGAAGGAGACGAGTTGAAGTGTTGGGCAGGAAAGGCGCAGCAAGAAAAAAAAAAGGGAGGGCGATGCTCTATTGGAGAGTGGTGTGAGACCGAAGGTTCGATCCACACTACCACCTAGAAAGAGACAATGGTGTGGCCCGTGGGGTCACTGGCTTTATGGGTATCTCGAACGAAATGTCTAAAAATAGAGGTAAGTAGAAAGAAATGCGAGAGAATATGGCGAAACAACGGCTTCTCTTCCCAGCTTTGGTGCAAATATGGCAGAATTTGGTTCAAACAGCGCGCAGAGCTTCGGCCGTTGCCTCGTCGCGGCTGTTTATTTTAATCCTAGTGTCCGCTTGGCGTTTTCGTAGACAACGTAGCTGATAGACACTGCGGGTGCGACCTTGAGGAGATTCGGTGTGAGTCCTTTGTAGAAGCCCCGGAATCCTTCCGTCTGGATCGTTTTGCGCGCAACGTCCCCAATCCCGTTGTAGGTTGCAGGGTGCAGGATGGTGCCTTGGGCTTGCATTCTGGTACGAAGAACGTTCAATGGATAGACGACCGAAGCACCAAAGCCTCCACTCATAGCACCGATCGCCCCGGTGGTGAAGTTGTTTAGAGGGACGTCATCCTCATGGCAATTCTGCAGACGGGCTTTTCGGGCTATCAACGCTCGTTTCATATATTCGAACGTAGACAGATCGAGGGCGGCGTAAGGAAACATGCCGACAAGACCGAGGGGCAGACCGCGGAAAAAGCCAAGGAGGCCGTGTTTGTTCCACACCTTTTTGAAGGTGGCGGCAATGAGTCGATTCCCCTTCAGTCCACCTTCGACCGTGTCGCACTGCATACGGCTAGCAGCAACGTGAGTTCCACGAAACACGCGAGTATTATGATGCAGAATTGAACTTACAACTTCAAGGTATCCAATGGGTAGACAAAGCACCTGTCTATGCGTCAGATCGGGTAATTGGATTGGAGGGGTAGTGGTTCAACATACTGGGCGACCATGCCACCGCAGCCCCCAGATAGAAACTGGGACACAGGCATGAGTCGTTTCGTGTCACCATGGCCCTCGAGGCGAGCAAAAGCGCGTTTCGCAGACTGTCGCACGTCAGTCAGTTTGGCAAGCAGGTTCAGTTCACAGTCAAGTATCTCACCTCATAGGCACCAAATTTGATGGCAGACTCGGGCATGACCTTCAAGACATTCAACCCGTTTCCTTCATTTGTCAGAAATGCACCATCCCGGCCGAGTGTCGAGGCTTACCTGCAAACAAACTCCGAATACCTCCTGCACGCCAGAGATCTTTCACGGCCTCGACCAGGGTTTTCGAAGCCTTCCCCGCTGCGCGCAAAGGGGCCCCATCCTTCGCCGCACGGACAGCTGATGTCTTGACGCCGGTCTGAGCAATGAGGTAGACTTTGAGCCGGTCCAGAGGGGCAGTGGCTGTCCTTGAAACGGCGCCTGCGATACCGCCCGCAAGGAAGTAACCTAATTGAGGAGTATTTTCGGTCAACTTCTGTTCATAATATCGCAAGGTCATCCACATGGCGACAGTCCTGGGTATGGGCAACCACTCCAATTCCAGGTCACCATTCAAGGGCACAGAATCATCCTCAAACACGACTCCAAGCTTGGCTACGCCGGTGGCTTCCGCGTAAGCTGAGGGAATCAGGTTTGTCAAAACGTGCACTGGGAAGACGTTGGGCAGGATGGTCTGTAAGGCCAGGATAGAACGTTTAAGAAACGAGTGGTCTGTACCTAAACCCTGCAGATCATTGATGTGGACATCTCCTTCCGGGTTTAGATTTCCCGTGGCCGTGTAGTATGACAGGACAGAGCGGAGGTTGGAAGGCGAATAGGCGGGCAGGAACAGAAGGAAATCCCTGGATTCCAGCAGATGATCAGTTGGGAGCCCCGGACATATGCAGCTGACTGCTCTAGCACATACCTCCACTCCGCATAGGAGATGACCCCATCTTTATTGCTGTCGACCTCCGCAAAGAATTGTTCCAACCTGGCGTTGGAGACGGTTACCCCGGATTTTGAGAAAGCGCTCTTGAGCTCGTTCTTATCGATCTCGCCGTTGTGATTGCGGTCGATACTCTCGAACAACTGCCATAGACCGATTTCGGTATGGTCCACAAAAGCCCGAAATTCTAGTGAACATTAGGTTGGGAAAAAGACCGGCGTCGAGCCGGGCACTCTCAGCAGCAGTGAAGCTATGGTGTGGAGCGCGTGAGCTTACCAGGATAGTCGATATAGCCATCACCGTTGGTGTCAACTGCCTTGATGATCTCACGCAGCATGGGGTCCGCATTCTTCAGGGCTGTATCAAGATCGTTGGTCATCTGCACTCAGCCGCACGGGATCCGGTCACGGAAGTTACTTACGATGATCAATCTTTTTCAGACCCTTTTTCAGACCATTGAAGTCAAGATGGCCTTCTTCCTTGGTGTCCAGGCGCTGCCAGAGTTGGGCAACTCTCTGGTCCCGGTCTTTTTTCGACTCGCCAGTGTCCATGTTCGGTTTCAAGAGATTCTTATCACAGCTGCGTCATTATTTTTTTAAGGAGGGGTCACAGGATTTGAAGGAATCCCTGTTGCGACAGGGCAGAAGCTGAAGCTGGGCGGATAGTTTGGGCATCGAAATTCACGGAGCTATGCAGAGGAGTTATAAAGCTCGTGTTAAACCGGAGAACATTGTAGGGTCAGCTGGAGGGAGAGGGGGGGAAGAGCCGATAGTTAGCCGTGAGAAATCCAGGCGCGATGATTTGCTTCCGTTACGACATGAACCGGAAGAAAACTAGACCCCGGCCCGGTTGCTTTCCATTGCCCGGCTAGACTGCTTTGGGCAGGCTTTCACTTGCCGCCTTCGCCTTGCCTCGAGTTCGGCTCCTTCGGCCTCGCACTTCCGACCCTGCACAACATCCTTCCTCTTCACCCCCGATGCCAGGGTATGTGTGCCACCGTGCCTTGACTTGGGCTCTTCTATTCAGAGTTCACCCATTCTTCTGATTCAGTCATCGGCTCTCTCGTGAGAGAGTGGGTCAGATACCTATACTACTCCCTCTCCCTCCCCGCATGCCCTAATTCCAACCGGCCAAACACCCTGTACATCCACCATCCAGCACCTCTCCGCCTAAGGAGACACCATGGTGACCGTTTCGACCTCTGCCATCTTAGATTAACCCTACGCGACTATTTCCCTTCCCACTAGACTCCAGCAATGGCTGCTAATTACTGGGCGTCGACGCAACGTCGACACTGGCTCTTCTCGCGAGAGAAGCTAGCAGAGATCCGGGACAGCTTTAGAGAAAGGGACAAGGTCGCCCACACCCAATTTCCTTTGCCGGATCAGAGGTTGCTGAATATCTATTTCAGTCAACGTAAGATATCAGCGCCTTGACCTTGCAGTGGGCGTTCGAGCTCACCATTCCAACAGAACTCATAAAGCTGGGCAAGAGGATGTCGACTAGACAGCAAGCACTGGCAACAGCCCAGGTCTATGTCAAGCGATTCTACACCAAAAACGAAATAAGACACACAAACCCGTATCTGGTTGTTACCACGGCCTTCTATCTTGCCTGTAAAATGGAGGAATGCCCCCAGCACATTCGCTTTGTCGTGGGAGAAGCCAGAGGTCTCTGGCCAGGTATGGATCACCGATCTCGAGGCAGCCATGCACTTCCCGCTGACCTGATGGCAGAGTTTATTGCCCCTGATGTGTCGAAACTCGGAGAGTGCGAGTTCTCCTTGATCTCGGAGATGAACTCCCAGCTCATTGTTCACCACCCATATCGGACTTTATCCGAGCTTCAACCAGATCTATCACTTACTTCCGATGAAGTTGCTCTTGCGTGGTCTGTGATCAACGATCACTATCTCACCGACTTGCCGCTGCTATATCCGCCTCACGTCATTGCCGTTATGGCAATTATCCTTGCGGTGGTTTTCAAGCCAAGCCAGACGAGTTTCCACGGATCAGCGGCACCGCTGGCCAGCGCAATGCGCGACGGAGGCATGAACATCCTTGCAGCATTGGGAGATAAGAACGGCAACGGGCCGCCTCCCCGAATCCAAAAGCTCACAGCATGGCTCGCTGAGAGCGAGGTGGACATCAAAGCCGTCATTGAGTGTACACAAGAGCTGGTGTCGCTGTACGAGGTTTGGGAACAGTACAGCGAAAAGCACTGTAAAGAGCTTCTTGGTCGAATGGTCAAGAGCAAGAATCTGGACAAATGAACATACCCGGTCCATGCATTTACATAGGGTTTCAAGCGGCGTTCAAAGGGTTTAGTTTTACGGAAGCATGTCTGCGAGCGAGATTCGGTTTGATATTTCGGTTTTAGCTGGTTCCAGATGATTTAACAGGGTTGCATTATAAGCAGATGGATGGCACAGGGGAAAGGGTATAAGAGATTCCCAGATAAGCGAACAAAGCAAATCACCAGGGAAACAAACATCCGTCATTCCAGCTCAATCTTAAGCAACACATTGGCGGTTGCCTTGGTCGGCTACGTACTCCGCGGCCCTCATCCTTGATAGGCAACCAATCCCACCCGTAAGCCACAAATATCTGATAAGCTACAGAGTACCTACATCTTACTCGCATAGGTAGCTCAACTACTCCGTACATACCCGTCAATTAACACATAGACAAACATATCCCCGACCTATCTACATAGCCATACATGCATGCAAACCGAATCCTCCGATTACCTCAGGAATGCAAGATACACGTAACACAGAGCAACAAGCTCAATCACTACAGGAGTAAGCTTAGTGGAATCAAATTTCCCAGATAAGGTTTAGTCATAGCTCCAGAGATTATGGTGGCTGTGAAGAGTTTATACGGCCCTCCACTTTCAGGAGACCAAACTGTCATAACGAGTCAGTAGCCATGTGTGCCCGACCTTAGTCTATCTAAACCCTGTAAATACATGCCTGTTGGTATTAGCTTCCTTTGTATGCATGCATGTACGTATCTAGAAGAAGTTTCTGGAATGCGTGGAGAAAGTGCATTCTGGCATGTAGGTTCAACAGGGAGGCAACGGATCCAGGGGATGAATGTCATTTGACTCATTTAATTTGAGTCAGAATGTGCATAATGGGCGGACAAGGGATACAAATGATCTACAGTAACTTAATACCAAAAGTATATCTATGTTTGTGTTTGTGTTTGTGTTTGTGTTTATTTGGAGGTGGACTACTTTGACTTGTGTTTGTTGTAAGTAGGTATCTGGTGAGGGTTGACTGTTTTGGTGTGGGTGCGAAGTGAATGTAATGTAACCTTCAAGGTTTCTACCACTCAAGCAAATCGTTGAAAGAAGAAGGGTTTTCAATTTTAAACCATCCTACTTGGCTCCTTGACTGGAAGCCACTTTAATTGAGTTTACTGCTGGGCGCCTAAGGAGCAAGAGCATAACCATCCCGTTTGCAAGAGTAGCACAAGGACTTCCGTACCACTCCAGCCATGCCCTCTCTCTATACTTTGGGAAGCGCCTACCTACATGCGTATTGCGGACAATTCTCAGCGATCGAAAGTTACTCAAGAGCATGATGTCGTCGATTGGACATCTCCCATGCAAACTGGGCGCTTCCTGAGACCGTTGATCAAACCAGGAAAGTAGATCGTGTTTCATATCCCTTGCTTCGGGGTACGTATGCAGGAGAAGGAAGTAGGTAGACCCCTCTGTGCTCCGGGCTTGAAGCTGAGACAATCTGAAATGTCTCATCGAATAACACTGTCCTGTCCATAGATAAACATATATTCCGGAAATGGCGTCTGGAGTGCAGCTGATCCTGCTTCACGCCTTCCCCCACCATTCACCCATGTTTCTCGGTCCGTATACCCCAAGCCAACTGGGGGGGGGGCTAGGTACCACCTATCTACCTAGAGTCTTCACAACGATGCAAGACATTCCTCCCGTCGAACTAGGCGCCGATAGCCCGCAGGGTTTTGTATGAAAACCTGGTAAGATGAATACCTTTTTCATACGAAGGATACGATACATACGACAGGGATGAATGCCTTGGTATCACCCGCAAAACTTGATGAGAATCACCCCCCCAAAAAGCATGAGGAACCAACTATACCGGATTCCAACTACCCCTGCCTTAGGCATTGCAATGTACCTATCATGAGATGAAGATCATACAACAAGGTTCCTGTCCCCGGAGGGGCAACTCCAGACCCGTCAGTCGCTTCCCATCTACCGAAGAGGCGGTGAGGTGGTCAGATCTTAGCAGGAGCCAGGAGGAGCATTATCTTGCCGAGTTGAGCCAGAATTCATGGCTCATGGCTCATGGCTCATGGGGTCCAGCGCCTTATGCACGCGGCAGAGAGTGCGTGAGATTTGAGGACTGAGGACCTCTCTGGCACCAATGAATACTGACTAGTGATGCCCAATCGCTTGTGCAGACAAAAAGCCGCCCCCATTCCATCCCGGGTTGCTCCAGGGTACGTATCCTACTCTCGGGACTGCATCCTGCAGTAGTCTGCAGGCTTGGAGGAGCTGTGACCCTGTTAACATGCATTCCACGATCCATAATATATTATGTCTGCTGCTATGGCTGTTCCAGTAGCCGCCATCAGTCCTGCCGGTCTTCCCACTTCTCACTAGGAGGTGCATCCCCATCCTGCATTTACGCTACCCTCGACCACTGACACGTCGTTTCAGCCCCTGGGTTTAGCGTGGACTCAAGGCCCAGGCGCCGGGGAGAGTTGTTCTGCGGTCAGTGGGAAAGGAGAACCCCCCCTCATGAGCCGTGACAGCAGATCGGACTACGTACTAGTCTGCTCAGTGCTACCTAGGTACTCCGTACTACTTACTATTATTATGAACGTTTACTGCATGGAGGGAGGTGCAGGATCATGCAGTGGTCGTAGCGCTTGCCCCATGTGGACAGGAATATAGGAGAGCAGATCAACAACATTCAACGGACAGCAGCCAAGCCTGGTTTGAGATCCCGATGCTTTGCACGGCGTTCTCCGTCCGTCCCTGGTCGACTTTTTGCGATGAATGGCAATGTAAACAAACCCGCTCGTCTGGATTGGGAGGGAAGGGCGGGGGGTTGCCATGTTTATTTGTTTACTATTACTATTCCGTAATATATTAGACGATTCTTATTTGGGACGTTAGTACTACTGACAATAGTATCAGCTGACTATCCGCCCGGATGGAGAAGATCCAGATTATCAAGTGGAGGATTAATTTCTGTTATGGAATACTGGTCGAAGCCGTCGAAGGGTGGCATGGCAGGAGCAGCCCATTATTAATCTCATTAGTCAATGGTCAACTTTCCAGTTCAATGGTTGGGGCCCGCCAGCTAGATAATTAGGAGCAACTCCCTAGAAGTTAGAACTTAGAAGATAAATACTACCACGCCTCAGAAAAATAGGAGTGCCCCGAGACCAAGTGGCACGGTTCAAGGGAAAGGTACCGAGAATAACAACAACGAATCAGGGTATCTAGTCGGTGGGGCTCACCACATTTTTGCAAATCATTACCCGCAGCTGTCGTAGTGAGCATTTGCCATTTGCCTGCTTGCCAGCGCATGCCTGTCTTCGGAAGCGGGAGCCACATCCTACCCTTTCCCCCTTCTGAAATCTGAACACGAATAATGAATGGATGGATTCATTCGATACCTGACGAGGTACGGAGTACAGACAAGGTACTTAGTACGGGTACGGTGGAGGATCCTCCGGGTGACCATGAAACCGCATCCTGGCTAGACAAAGCATTGCCACGATCTCTTTGCCATCGCCCTCGTCATCACCCCATGCCACCGCTAATCGGCGAGATTATTCACCGATTCACACCTCATCGTTATGTAGATCCACTGCCCCGGACGGGCAGTTGTCGACGGCAGTCTGCATCAGACAACAAGCACCGGCATCATCGTACCATCATCCGTAATACCTACCTTGCCTTTTTGTTCCGGACGGTAATACAGCCTTAAGGTCCAGGCTGAGACCCGGTCTTCATCCGACAGCCGCTTGCACTCCTCAAGGTTGGATCGAGGACATCCAGATATTAGGCGTCGAGGAAGTGGTGCGTCGCTCTATGCCTGAAGCGGCCTAGACTGCTTCCTTTCGACGTCACTTTAGTCCACTTAATAGCCGATTAGAGCCGCCGATATCTGCATCTGATTGGAGTAGATTGACGGTGGCTGCCATGAGCCCACCAAGAGCCGTTCACTACGATTGGTGATTGGTGGTCGGGGCATTGTCTTGCCACTGGATATCCGTTGACAGGGTTCTGGTTGGTCCTTCAACTGCCCTAAAACTGGTGCGTGACCAAGTTAGCGCGGGAACATCTGGGCCTGGAGGTTACAGACTTACTGACGATACCACGGATACCAACGAGGGAGTGGATGACACCGGTGGAAGGGCGCGTACGTGACCGTACGGACGACGAGGGGGGGGGAGTACCGCCCTTCCCTTGCGGATCTCCACCGACTGCACTTTTCGGCGCTCAGCCCCAGTGGAATTAACCACTGCAGCCCCTCTTGCTCTGTCGCCTCCGTCCGCTCCGGGCGCTGCGACTCTTTTCTCGCTCCCGGTCTTCTTTTCAACTCTTGTCCCGCCATCCGTCGATGATTCCCCATCCCACAACACTAATCGCAAATTCGCCCGCCACCATCCTCCCCCCCCGATCTAGTACTTGCCTACTTTCCTCTCTTACATTCACTCCCATCCCAATCTTTATACTATCAATCTTCTTCCCTTCTGCTCTTGTTTCTAAACTCAACGTTACATTCCTCCGACCACTTGTCATTCTTCCACCTACATACCCTGTCGCTTTTCTTTGTCTAGTCCGTTCGGAGTCCATACTGTCGGTATATCTGAGCGCTGGTCCTTGTTTACTTCCGCCTTTGAATTCCTCCTTGGCTGCTTCTACACGATATAACCTCTCTTGCCTCGTCGGTGCTATCATCTGTCCCTCCGAGCCACAATGTCGACCTTCTTCTACAGTCATCAGCAACAGCAACAGCACCAGCACCAGCACCACCCTCACCATGGCGCTGCCGCTCACATGACGACCTCGAACAACCACCATGGGGGCCGTTCCCGTCGAGGACCTAAGATGGCTGCTCAGAATGCTCAGCGCCAGTTTCGAGGAGTGAAGAGTATGAGGGAGCTCGCAGAGGCCCCAGCCGTGACCGCTTTCCGTGCCCGCTTCGAAGCTGGGCGGTCTTTCGATCTGGATGACGACCTGGAGTTCTGCCCCGGTCTCCTGACAGAGGACGATGTATGTTTATAGATCCTGGCCCGGAATTCTCTCCACTGGACTGCGATTGTCTTGATGCCGACCCCAACTTCATGGAATATTCGATTAACCCCTATTTCTACAGCTGCATTCCATTCACTCGACCTCTTCGGATCGCTCATCTCTCTCCAGCGGATCTCCTGATACGTCTCCTCTGCAGCATCAGATCCAGCCTGTCCAGCAGGTCACGCCCTCTATCTCGCTATCTCCTGCTTCGAGCAACTCCTATGTTCATTCAGGGGTTAACGGTAATCTTAATCACGTGAACTTCCAGCAACCGTCCGCAGTTCGCACCCGCAAGGTGATCCCGATTGTCAACCCCAACACCGGCATGACCTTGACGAGCCCGCCTACTTCGATCTCCCCTGCCTCGATGCAGAATGCCCAGCGTCGGTGGTGAGGACCGCGATCTGGCAAGTCGCCGTTCCATTCGGCGAGGGGCCTCTTAGGCCCATAGCATGTTTCACCACTTCGTCCGACTTCTGCATCATCGGGCACCCTAACCGCGGGTCATAATCTTTTACTGCTTTGTTTTGCTTTTGTTCGACACGGCCATCGCATTCTAACGATCCTACTGAAATTCTCCTCGCCTCCTTTTGGCTTTGACGAGCGCAAAAAAAAAACAGCCAGGATACACCAGTGTTTCTCTGTATATACACCTTCCTCCGATGACGACTTCGAGCACTTTATACCTAGACTGATGCTTTCGGCTTCCTGCGAGCGACGGCGCCTGCGATTCGATTTTTGCATTCCATCATCAACGATACCTTGTTTTTATCTTTCGGTTAGGGAAAACTACGTGCTTTGACCTCGAGTTTTGGCCGCGATGATGTATAGAAAGCGCGGCGATGTGCCATTGAGGCGCGCATCTATGGTCCGGAGTTGCTTGTTGCTTTTTTTGGTTGCCCACGGCGGCGACGCCAGATTGGTCTGGCGGTTTCTCCACATATTTCGGCTTGGTGTTTTGTCACATTTTGGGTGGGATGGGTTATTTGCTCATGCTTTTCAGGGATTTAGAAAGGCGGAAACGATATACGTCTGCATTGATTGGGCTTTGTCGAGTTGTTCGGGATGTTTGGCTGGTTTCGACCTATACTTCGCATATGTTTTTTATCTCTTTTTTTTTTGGAAAACCTGTGATTTTTATTCATGTACATGGGCTGGGTGGGATTGGTGACGCGCTGTGAAAATCCATGGATTGGATGAGGAGTTCTGCTGGGGTCACTCGCGGGATTCCGCGAGGGCCGTTGTCTGATGACGACCTAATTCGCTTCTGTTCGCCTCCGCGTTGATTCGTTCGGATGTTCTTCTCTCATGTTCTTCGATTCCTGGGGACTCCCGGAGAGTGTGATGCTGTATGATCTTCTGGTTCTGTTCGCTTCTGGTATTCCGTCTCTTGGCAGATCTCTTTTGTCTATACGCTGCTGCACTATGCGGGTAATACCTATACATAGCTGTGAATTTAGCATGGATTGTCTGATATTGATTATTGATTATTGAGTATTGAGTATTGAGTATTGAGTATTGAGTAAGTGTAAATGGATTAGATGACTGCCATGACCTCATGGGGTGTTGATGACGGGGGCGATAAGCGGTTGCTGCCCCAACAGCGGATGGTTGAGTGGTTGACAGCATTGCCGTGGATAAGGCTGAATGCAGACAATGAATATATTAATAGTTCTGCAACCGTAAAGAGTCAACTGCACCATTCATTCATCGTGCATTGAAGATGTCCCATGCAAACCGTTCAGTAGTAAAGAAATTAATGAAGATCTACACGATGCGATTCCCCTACCTACTTATCTGGCAACCTTGTGTAACCCAGTCTGTGATGTCATATCCTTGATTGGCGGTCTCAAACATGGCAGACCTGTCTTTACCATCACCACGCCTACCACCATCACACTCTCTACAGTATATCGAAGATAATCACCACATCTATCTTACAAATTCGAAGCAATCAATCCCAAAAGCAATCCTCGCGTAATGAAACAATTCATGATCGATTAGCCACCTCCATCAAACTACGTAGGGGAATGATGATGATGATGATGGGAGACTGCATCCACATGCATGAGCATCCATGACGTCACCGATGCTACCAGCCCGGTCTCATCCCTCCCATAGTAGGTAGGTAGGTGATTGAGTAATTGCCAGACACTTGAACTGAATTACCCGAGGTGGAACGGATTCCATGGAATTGTAATTGGGGAGAGTTAAGTACATAAGGCCGCCACTCATTTATCTATCTAGCTTCTCTGATCTTGGTTATTATACTACTTACTACCTACCATCTATCTATCTACTTGGCTATTTATTGGGATTGATATACTACGCTGTTAGATCTTGCCTACTTACCTATCCTATATCCTTGGAATAACGAGAAGTGTAAGTACATCTATCCATCCATCTTCTTTGCATTATTGTTCTTATGGGTGGTGGGAAGACATATATACACCTACATCATCACTTCCCTCTCCCTCCACCATCCATCCATCCATCAACCTACCTACCATCCATCCATCTATCTAGATAACTAACACCACCAACCCAGCCCCAAAAGACATACACACACAAAGAAACAAACAAAACGAGCAAAATGTCCTTCCTCCCTTCCATCCGCACCACCACCACTCTCCGTCCCAGCACCTTCGCCCTCACCCGCCCAACCACCATCTACGCATCCCTCCACACCAGTATTCCCCGCCGAGGCCTGAAGGAATCAGACCACAGTACGTACATCCATCCCCCCCCCCCCATCCTTCCCTTTACTCCAAACCTTTACCCAAATCCCTCTCTCTGTATCAATCTAACTAGATAAACCCCCCGGCAGACCGCGAAGACCTAGCCTCCATCTACGAAGCCGAGAAACACGACCAATTGAGAAGTACCAAGGAGGGAAAGGCGAAGTGGAAGCAGGAAATCGCGAGTGATAGTGAGGCGTCGGTATGGTTTTCATCATCCTTTTATCCTGTTACCCTGTTAGGGGAGGGAATGAATGAATGGATGGATAGATGCTAATGGAGATTCTGGACAGGTCAAGGCCGATCGCGGAGAAGTGGACAGTGACGATAAGAGTTTCGGGGCTATGCAGGAGAGGACGAAGGGGTTGCCGAATCGGGATGGACCGGTTAATAAGACTCAATGAGTAAATAAATAGGTTATGGTGGATTGTTGGGTTGATGTGGATTATATCTTGAGGAATATTATGTGCTATATCTTTGTTTGTTTCTTGTATTGTTATTGTTGTTGGGTAAAAGCATGAGATTGAGATGATATTTGACTCTGCCAATGTAAGGAATGGTATAATAAGGAAATAAGGGATTGATAGTATATGGGTAGTAGTGTATTGGAAACAGATGCCTTGGATGGTTATCCCAAGTGTGAGTGTGAGTGTGTGCAAGTAAAACCCATTATAACAGTAACGCCCATAATCCATCCCCAATTGACAACTCCAATCCACAAATGTAACGCCTCCAGGATCATCCCATAATCATAATAAGCAAGAAGATCGTATACCTATGAGGTCCAGGCACACTCATTTCAAAAGGACGATCAAAATGACCAAGATGATGATCAATCCAATGATTGTCATCATACTCCAGTTATCGCCCGCACTTCGTCGGACTCGATCCAGTCGCCGTCTCGCATTGTCTAACCGACCCTGATGTCTATCCACATGACCATCCATATCATCCAACAACGCAACATGGCCCTCGAGTTCGTCCCCAATTTGGATACTGAGCTGGTGCTGTCGGCCAATCGACTCGCCCAGTCGGTCGAGGTGCTCATCTTGGTCGCGCATGATTTGTTCATGATGGTCGTAGACCTGCTGGTTGGACATGTCGGAGGTATCCACGCCCTGTGGGGAGGGCGAGTCGCGGTACGGCTGGAACAAGTTGCGACGGTTGAGATCGTCCTCTTCGGCTGCGGAATCCATGAACCGGACGGATTTAGAAGATGGGTGCTGCGGGACGGGCTGTTTCAAGTCCGGCGAGGATTTCTGGATGTTGGTGAACTCGACGGGATCGTCTGCTGCAGCATCCAGGCCGTGGAATTGGGATGACAGGTCTCGGTATTGGGAGTGTAGGTGGCCGAGCTGGTCTCTCATATCGGCGGCGCTGCCGTCGTTGGATTCTTCGAGTCGGGCGCATTCTGCTTCCACGCCATCGATGCCCTCTTTTAAGGAGTCGAGGGAGCGTGAGATCTCGCCATCTTGGCTGTTGGGTTCGAGGTCGAGGGAGATGGCTCGTTGCCGTTCGAGCAGGGAGAGTTTGATGTGGTCGGCAAGGAGGAGGAGTTGCGAAGGGTTTGGCATGGCGGAAGAGGATGAGATGGCGGTTGGATATGGGCAGGATAGAGAGAGAGAGACAGAGCGTGGTATGTGATGGGTTGGAACAGGGAAATGAGGAGTTGGGCGAGGCTCTCTTAGCGCGTGAATGGTCGAGGCAATGCGGAGATGTCGGATCCACGGCTGTTGGCAGTGGACAGGCAGGCCTGCAGGCGTGCAGATGACAGGGAAGATGCAGGGACTGACGAGAACGATGGAGGGATAGATACCTAGTGGATGGATGGAGGGACGACAGGAAAGTCCAGAATCAGGAATCAGGAACTGGATCTCGTTCTGGGCCGATCTTCCTTCCGCTTTCCGCCGCATCGTCCCATTCAACATCGCCATCCCATCCATCCATTTCATTCCCCCGCAATGGCCTCGCCTTCCTCACGTCCGCCTCCTGTCCTCGCCTCCCTGACTCTCAACTGCATTCCGGCGCCCATCTCCACCCCAGTGTAACTTTCATGGGGGTTCGCTTTGTGCTATTGTTTCATCGGCTCACCCCTGTGGCATCTGGACACTCGGTCCCTTCATATCTCCCCCTGTGCAGGGCGACCTCGATCGGCGGGGGATCCGGTGGCTTGACAATATAAGCTGGACCCTTCCTGTGGGGGGAAGGGGCTGGAAGGATGACCAGCATCACCCTCGACGAATTGCGCGCTATGGAGGCGAACTGCGACCGCGACGAAGTCGTCGACTTGCGTTCTCTCGAGACCGTCTCCAGCTACGATGACCATCTCATGTGCCCCATCTGCCACTGCCCATTTGTTCGCCCGGTACGCCTTCAGTGCGATCATGTGTTCTGTCAGAAATGTCTGAACTCTGCCATCACGGCCTTTGCCGCCAGTCGAGATGACTTCACCTGTCCCACCTGTCGGACTCCCACGAGGGGTGTTTATCTCAACGTGCCCCGCCTGCTGCTCAATATGTGCGATGATATCAGGGTGCGGTGTCCTTGTCGGGATGAGGGCTGCCAGGAGATCATACCCAGGGGCCACGTTCAGTTGCACGTCGACAAGTACTGCGGTTACAGACTCATGAAATGCCCGGACGGCTCGTGCAGCAAGAAGACCCGAAAGAAGAACCTCGGTCCTGAAGGTCGGTGTCTGCACGAGCCTCATCGATGCCTGCGCTGCCATGAGTATATCATGGAACAGGACTACGAGGTACGTCTATCGCGTCAAAGTCACGGGGCATTGCTAATCATATCCATTTCTATAGGAACATGTCAAGGAACTATGTCCGAGTCTCAAAACGACTTGTCCCGACTGCCAGACCAGTGTCCTCCGTAAAGCACTGAGAGAACACATCGATGCCTGTCCTCAGGTTGTCCATGCTTGCACCGCATCGAAATATGGCTGCCCTGTCAAAGTCAAGCGCGCAGACCTGGCGACGCACGAGCAGACTTGTCCGCTGATAGCCATGGGCCCGTACTTCGAGGCGCAGAATGCACGACTTGACTCCCTCGAACTCACCATTCGTCATCTCCAACAGCGCAACGAGATCTTCGAGGACGGAATTGCCAACATCCGATCGACATTAGTGCAGTCATCTCGTGCTCTAGCCGAGCCGGAATCTTCTCCGGCTAACTCCGACCCTCCTCGTCGAGAATCATCAAGCAACCAATCCCAGATTGACAGCTCCAATCTCTACACCGCAGCTACCACGAACTACTTGCTTTCCCTCCACGAATCTCTCCGCGAGGAAGTCGGGCAGCTGTCCCACGCCATCACCGATCTAGACGCTCGTGCCAGCATGGCACTGATGAACGAATGTCTCCGATTGAAGGAAGACATGGCGCACACCAACGCAGCCGTCGGCAGCATTCGCATGCAGGTGCAATGGCTCCTGAACCCGCGTCTGCAACAGAGCCAGCGAGCAGGTGCGCGTCCCGGCAACGCCAACACCGGCAACGGTAATCCTGCATCTGCATCGGGGCCCAGTAGCGCCGCTGGTCCATCCACAGCCTTTCTTCGTCCCCGACGACTCAGCGACAGCGGACGAGAAGGTACCAAACTATGATCGACAGCGCGATCTTTGGTGCGTGGTCATTAGAATAGGTATGACACGGTAATCGTGTTTCCATTTTCTCTCTTTGCTGTCTGTCTGCTTAGCTGTACCCAATACCCCTAGGGGTTAGACCAATCGGTGCGTTGGCGGCTTCGTGTTTGCGATATGACGTGATATGATATCCCTTATTTTCCTACCGAGTTGGTTCATACTCTGTTCTGTTTCCAGATACAGATCAGCATGGTGTGGTACCTTTCTGTTTTATTCTGTTCTGTGGTTTTCTGGTTTCTGCATTGTCCCTCCCACATAGATATATTCCCGCAGTCCTCTATCCCATGGATGTACATACTATTATTGCCTCAAATCTCGAATGTATATATTACCCCAACCCTCATACCCCCCAAGAAAATCATACCACTTAGATCAAAAATAAACATCCACATACAAAGACCCCCCCCCCCAACACAAACAAACTCACAACTCTCTGCCTAGGAACCAGTCCCCTTTCTTCACCCATCCATTGCCTTATAATCAGAACACTCATCACAACCCCCACCATCAACAAAAACAACAAAAACAACATCTTTCCAATTGAATCCCCACCCCAAACAAAACCCAACCGCACCCCGCCCCCGAAAAAAGAAAAAAGAATAAAGCCGAACGCGGGGGTTGAACCCGCAACCTTGAGATTAAGAGTCTCACGCTCTGCCGATTGAGCTAGCCCGGCTGATTGGATGGAAAAGACTCAGATAAAGTATTACATAAGCTTAAGCTTAGATTTGGGGGTTGAAGGTGCTGTTTAGATTACCTAGAGGACTGTGCTATCTATACTGCCCCTAGCTACTTCTTAGCTGGAAGTGATAGTATTCTCGACGGGATACTTTCTAGGTTACGTCTAGTTCTTCTATTCGGCTTTACTTGAGTCAGGTGTCCTGACCACTTATTCAGAAGATGGCATAGGTGAGGCTTAATAGTATTGATCTTAGTGGCTGTATAATCAACTGGCAACTTTTGGTGTCATTATTATTATATTACTTCCTAACGAACCTCCGACGCTACCATTCCAAAGCTAGAAGCTATACCGCCTCTCTACCTCGATTGATCCATCGCTATCTGAATCGGCCATGCGTTCCGACTGGGTATCGTCTCTAATCAATCTCTCGGATTCGTCGTCTTTTTCAGTCTCCAGTTTCACATCGTTGCAAACCATACAATAAGTTGACCACCAATCCCGCGCACGAGTATAATCACGCATCTGCTTCCTCAGCAGCGCCTTCCACTCCTGATCCTCCTGGCTAGTAGCAGCCGATGTACAGACATACTCCCACCAAACAGGGTAATAGCCCGAACACTCCCAATCGAGAATGCCCGTCACCTTCCCGTCTTCCACCATGATATTTTCAATGGCGAGATTGCAGTGCGTGAACGTATAAGGCCTGCCAGGCGGCATCACCCTTCTAAGATCCTCATTCATACTTTTCGGATGATTATTCGTTATACCAAGACCCATGTCGGCCCAGAGTTCATCATCAGAAGAGAATGGGCCGTGTGGAGGGAAGGGGTTGTCGGCTCTCTTGTATGGGAATAGAAGGCTGGAGTAGATTGGGCGCCCACCTACCCCTTGTATTTTCTGGTTCTGGAGGCCGCGAAGCTGGGAGATATAGTCCGCCGTCTGCTTTGCTATGCTTTCTTTCTCCTTCAAAGAGAGTCTCGGCCACAATTCGCGGAGTGACTCGCCGGGTATGCGTTTCATTAGGATGAAAGTACGGCGGTTTTCCTTCCAGGATCCGATTACCGTGGGGACAGGAATGGTGGTGCTTTCTCGCACGAGATGGGCGTTAAAGACCTCATAAGTGCGATGCATGGGACCCCGATCCTTGAGGATCAGGCTGGAACCAATGGCCCAGATTCCTCGGTTACGGCTTGCATGGACCAGTTTGACGTCGCTTTCGTAGCTGCAGTTCCGTTGGCGCTCCGAACTCCAGCTGCATGCGGTACAGGGGTTGTTTGTCATATCGTGCAACTTAATATGATGGTGTTGTTGATAAAGAAAGATCGGTGTGGATTAAGGATAGGTATGGCCGCAGAGAAAGCCAACAAGTAACCCGTAGATATGTGTTGTGAAGACGGATTGATGAAGATATCGACGGTGATCTGGTGAGAACAGACATCCATAGATATCTTCAGGAAAGTTCAAGGATGGTGAGTCGTAGATGTAGAAGGAGCGATCATACTGGTCTAGCGTCAGCATTATTGTTCATGGCGGAGAATACCCCCGCGGCCTGCAAGGAATCCCCGCTCAATCATATACTCAAAGTACGATCGATCTGCTAGGTCCGATAGTACCTATTGAATTTTTATGATTAATTGTCAAAACTACGTTAAATTGGAAGTCAAAGGAAGCCGACCAGTCTGGAACATTTGCTATCAAATGCCTTTGACCGTGGGGCGGTTCAGGTGGAGGCAATATTATTGAGAAATTAACTTTCACTCGCCGAGTCGAAGAGAGCATTAAAACACTGTAGGAACTAGGTAGTGGTCATTCTCACTGAAAGTCGACGCAGTTTGAACTTGGAGGGCAGACGTGCTGTCACTAATTCTGTAGGAAGAAAATACAAAGGACATAGAGCATGAATCAACCTGTAGTCATAAGCCCGACATCGCTAGCGATGAATCAATAATATCCTCCACCATAGTTCTGTCCGTATCCGCTTCCGTGTCCATGACTCGAGTAGGAACTGTAAGACTGCTCTTCATACCCTCCAGATGGACGCCGAGGAGGGCTGCCGCCAGGTGGTGGTGGGTAATGTTGATGGGGATGGTCTCCATGGTGCCTCCGATGACTTCCATTGTGTGCATCATAACCAGAGTCTGCAAAGTCAGGGGGAGGTGGATGGTGATATGATTGCTCCTGGGTGTGACTCTGACTATGACTCTGGTATTGATACTGATAGCCATGCTCCTGATGGGAAGACTGCTGCTGAGTATATTGAGTCTGCTGGTAAGACTCATACTGTGATGGGTTCTCAGACGTTGAGGCCTCATCCCTAGACGACCCACCCACCATCAGATTGCCAAAAGCGCTGTTCAGCTTGTTCAAATTAGAAATTCCGGGGATGGGAAGGCTGGAGAGCTTGTCCCAGGGAAGGGAGGAGCCCTGCGGCTGCTGCGACTGGGGTGGACGCTGCTGATGAGATCCGTGACTATGTCCACCACCGTGTGCATGTGAATGACCGCCCTCTCCAGAGCTGTTCTTGCCCTGTCTCACTCCCTCCGCGCTGAGGACATCGTCGAGGTCAGCGCCTCGACCGGGCCTAGAGTGCACCCAGGACTCGACGGCCTCGAACATTGTTCGATGGGCTTCGTTCCTCATATTGCGCAGAGCCGGATGGTGGAAAACCTTCAAGCAGTCATCCAGAACTTGCTCCTCGGAGACGTTGATGTTTTCCCAAGCATGCAGAACCCGAGGTGCTACGTACTTCAGAATAGCAGACGCCACCTGTCCAGCTGGCTCGTTGAGAATGTTGGAGAAGTGGTCCTTGGAAAGCAGTGAATGGGTGGGATCCGTGCAATCCGGGTCAGTCCATGGTTCGTACTGATGCTGTCCAGAGGCATCGATCACACCGGAAGACCCCGACTGCAAAGACTTGGAAGCGGCGTTGATGATGGGCCGAATGAACGGAGCCAGCAGGGACATGATGAAGACGGTTAGGGTCTCGGTGATCTTCTCAACGATCGCCTCCAAACCGGGGATCTTTTCAATGATCGACGAAAGTTTCCGGACAACCTTGTCTCTGAATTCAAGGATAGGATAAATCTGCGCAATGGTCTTGCTTGGATCCAGGTCCTGTAAGCCAGACCCGGACTGGGCGCTCCCTGCAGGTCTTTCGTTTTCATTTGCCCGGAAGCTTCGGACATCATCCCCAAAGCCTCGACTGCGGGATGAGGTTGGGAAATCGTCCTCAAAGCCTCGACTGCGGGATGAGCTGTAGTCGTCAACCTCCCTGGCTGTACCGCGCGTTGTGTAGCCAGAGCGAGAACCGCCAGCACGGTTTGCAGACTCCTGAGCCTCGGAGCAGCGCTTGAGCTCCTCTGCCTCTGCAACGAGATCCTTGGTCCCGGGAATATTACCCAGAAGACTAGTGAAAGCTCCGAGAGAGCCACTAGACGAGTTTGCCTCAGCATCCCCGAGTGCAATATCCATCTCGTTGACTTCCGACTGGGTGAAATGGTCGGTGGCTTCTCCGAGCACAGAATGGAAGAAGTCAACCATACCAAACGTTCCAGTCACAAGCGGAAACACCTGATGGCCACGAACATTCATCTGAGTGTTCACACCGGTATGCGGGAAGACGTTCCTGAAGCCCATCTCACGAAGTGCAAGCTCGCAGTAGTTCGTGTGCGCCGCGAAATCTTCCAGAGTATGGAGGCCCTGGCCCAGGCATCGGAGAGCTTCACAAAGGTCCTCGTCGTTTCCTTTTCGGCTTCCGTGCGTGTATGTCCGTCCGTAGTGGATACTGCGAGCCAAGCTATACTTGATGTACGCAGCACTCGTAGCCCAACCTCCCTGCTCATTGGCAATGTAGTTCTTCATTCCCGTCTCCGGATCGATGTCAAGCTCGACCTGGCGAATCGGACCACGAAGTCGTTCATCGTACTGGCGAGCGTCCTGGTTATCTGCGTAGTCTTTGGGGTTACTGCAGGTGACGAATACATTAGAGCTCATCCGGATAGATCCCCTAACACAAAAGACAAACATACTCGATATGTTCCTCCGGACGATAAACCCCCAACCTGTCCGAAGTGACCTCAAACTCCGCTGTCGCATAGCCAAAAGTCATGAAGGACAAAATCCAGACCAAAATTCGAATAGTCTCAGTAGGGAGACTCTTTAGCGTACCGACGTCCATAGCCTGTGAGCTAAACCAAACCATCAGCTAACGTAGAGGATATCGCGCAAACAGAAATACTCACTAATCCCGCAACCAGTTGCCAAAATACACGCGCTTGATCATTGTGGATGTCCATTTATGGCCTTTGATGAATGCGACGGTCTTAAGCATATCCTCAATATCTCCATGGCGCCAGTTTTTGCCCTCAACGGCCGAAATAGAAGCGATGTCTGACCCAAGTTAGCATATAATAGATGACAAGGTTGATCGGTGTGATTTACTTCCAGCGCCAAAGGCCCACGTCTTGGTTGGAAGGACAACGAGCAGCAGTCCCAGAACAAGCAGGACATGCGTGCCCAGCCTCATTCTCGCAGCCATGGCTGTGGGGATCTGCAGAGATGGTAGAAAAAGAGCTAGCGAAATGACAAGCTGCAGAGGAAGAGGAGGTGCATGCAGGAGGGGAAAGGTCTTATCTGCAGATTCACTGCAACCGGTGTCAGAAAAGATAGGAGCTAGACAGCAGAAGAAAATTTGAGCTCGAAGGATTTGATGATCGTGTTTGTCATAGATCTGGGACCAGACACGGCAGAAACCCAGCCAGATCTCGGAGAGACCCTTGATGCCCCGCCATCAACCCAGCTGGAGCGGGAAGATTACTCTCTCTTGTTCGTTCAACGGTGTGGCTTAGAGCTCGGCAGCCAGCATCATGACAGTGACACGACGAAAATTCACATACCACCAGAGTACGACAATACGAGGGCGGGCTTGTGTAATGCGGTTTCGGAGGGAGCCATGGCGCCGCCGGTGGCTTTGCTTGGCATTACTCGTTACGCTCTTGCTGGCGGGGGACAGTTGATATGTTTCCCCATCAGGCAGGTATACATGAGCGGGCGGAGGGTATCAGTGCGTCTTTCCCGCGATCAACGACCCTTGAAGAAGGTACCATGCCGCATCTCCACTGTAGACGGTCGATAGTATGTCATCCCGCCGCGTAAGATTGCATATCTAAGCATTTTTAACGTCCCCGGTCGGAGTTTGGGTCACCGTAGGCGGAACTGCCAAGTATCAATTTCGTCATATGGTCCCAGCTCCTGTTGATCGTCATTCTCGGATGTTGGGAAAGTGGGCCGCTGCTCGGCCACTGGTTCAACCCAATGCTCGGCAGTCTGGGCAGTGTAATTTTCACCTCCAGCCGGACACAATTCTAAACGGGGACAAAACGCTCGATCGTGGACATGACAATACGGAGTACAGCTCTTTTGGAACCAGGGCTTCAGTACGTATTTGTGGAGGTGGTCTGATCTCGACTTATCTGCCTCCCAATGGTGGCTGGATGTAACCATGGAATGGACGGGCAGCGCAGCCCCGCCCGATTTATCGATCAGAGTGCCGCGGGGTAAATAATAATAATCAATCAATCAATCAATCAATCAACTTCAGCAATCCGCGTTGGTGGATTACTCAGGCGCTAGTTTCTACGGACCTATCGACCAATTCTCTCCCCTGCTTATCAGACAACAAAATTCTCCCCTGGGGAAGGTAACATGTGGCTGACAAGGTAGCATCCCCTATACTACCACGTTGTTGTGTAGAGACTAGATAGGGGGATCAGAGGACACTTATTTATAGCCTTGTCCGGTAGTTCGATACTAGAACTAATTTCTCCTTCCCCGCCTGAGCTCCTTCCGACATCTCACCTCTCCTGCACATCATCCCAACTGCAATCTACAAAACCCAACAACAATCCCAGATCATAACCAGCTCCGATAATAACAATGACGGCAACTCCTTATCTCGACGCTCTCCAAAGAGACGGCTTCGTCCGCATTCCTTCCCTCCTGACCCCCGACGAAGTTGCCCACTTCCGCACCATAGCTACCGATGCCACCACCCGCACCCGCACCGGACAATGGCCTCACTTCCGCACTGTCCCCAAGCAGTTCCCACCCTGGCCCACGACACCTCCGCCGGCCTCGGAAGGCGGTATCTGGGGTGTCCAGCATCTCCTGCACCCCGAGATGCCAGGACGAACGGAGTTTGCGCGGTTTTACTTCTCCGAGAAAGTCCTGGCTGTGGCGGAGGAGCTCTTGGGATTGAAGGGCAAGGCAAAGGGCCAGGATGAGCCGCTTGTGATGGAGTTATTCAATCTGTTGGTTGCGCCCGAGACGAAGGACTTTGAGCTACGCTGGCACCGGGATGATATCCAGGAGACTGTGACCCCCGAAGAGGAGCTGAGATTGCTGGAGGCTAAGAGCCCGCTTGGGAAGCAGTCGCATGCGCAGTATAACTTGGCTCTCTGCCCTGATTCTTCCCTGATCGTCATTCCGGGCTCCCATCGACGGGTGCGTACGGAGGTGGAGCGCAATGCTGCTCCGTATGAGCCGGAGCTGCCGAACCAGCTGATTGTGGAGTTGCAGCCCGGGGATGCTGTGTTCTATGACAGCAATATCCTCCATCGTGGGGTGTATAAGGCCAAGTCGGAGGGAGGCGAGGAAACTAGGCTTACCCTGCATGGAAGCCTTGGATTGAATGCGCCTGCATTAGCTGCGAATGAAGACAAGAAAGTTCGAGCTACTGCGGTCTTGCAGCATGGCGTTGGTGCTTGGGTGCATCGGGAAGATGCCGCTTTTGGCATCGGGGAGCGGCCCGAGAAGATGAGGGCAAACTTGGTGACCATGGGGACAGGAGAAGGGGTTGGTTACTCTCTGCAGGGGTAATTCGGTCAGGAACGTAACCTGAATATTGAAGTGTAAATAGAAGTGATAGCTGTTAATATCGACATATAGGCACGCCGGTCTATTTATGATCATCGAGCAAATGAATGTATCAAGTCTCGTGTCTAGTATGAAGTCGATATATGTGCCCGGACTGAGGGTATCTTAATGAGAAAATAATCCATCCGCCTATGGCCAGACGCCAAATGCAAAAGAGAGAAAAGGGAAAACAAGGAAGTACCATGGCCGTCACAGGGTATTATCGTATCGTCGTCACCCATGCAAAGGTCGCTGTCCATACACGTAATGGAAAAGAACATAGACATGGTAGTTCGAGCTGACAAGCTCCGCCTGTACTTTCTGCACAAACTCCTGAGCCTCTTCATACGTATATCCCAGGACACGAGTAAAAATGGCGAGCGCATATGGCTCGATAGAGTCGTAAAGTGTCAGCTTCCCCACCCGTCCGATCTCTTTCAAACGCGGGGATTTCGGCCACGTGCCTACAGGACACTGTTTCGAATGATAAGTCACTCTTCAACACCATATCCTACAAGTGGAAAGACTAACCTTGTATATGTCATCTGTAACGTTTTGAAAACCGGCGCGCTGCATATAACCCCGGACTTCAGGAGCAATGTTCATACGCTTCCCAAATTTGATGCTCCCCTCATCTAACTTCTGCTGCAAAGCCCGTATCATTACTGCATCTTTGCAGGTGCCATCATCAGATCGTATCCAGGTCTCTGATTCTTGGATCTCTACCCAGCCACCGGGTTTAACATGATCGTAAGCCTGACGTAGAAGCCGCTCCCAGTCGGCGATGCTGCCACCCATGCTTCGAGCATGGATATAGTCAAATGATTCCTCCTTGGTGTAGGCCCAGTCACTCTCCGCATCGTCGACGGTGAATGTACAGTTTGGTGGTGCCCAGTTGGGTTGGATTGGACTCAGGTCGGTGCCCATGATCTCCGCGTTGGGGAATTCCTCGGCCATTTCTAAGGCCCAGATGCCTGTGCCGGTGCCGACATCGAGAATGCGCCGGGGTTGGTGTATTGGGGCACGAAACAAATCGCCTCCCAGAAGAAGTTTGAAGGCATGATGCATTAACGCGAGACGATCCTGCTCTTCTTCGTCGTTCGGGATGGGATATTGTCCATAACGATAGGCGTGATATCGACGGCCATTTTCGTAGCAATAATCTCGTACCGAGGAAATTGTGGTGAGGTTGGATCCGATTAAAGATTCCGAGTCTAGAAGGGAGTCCTCGTCACTTGTCTGGTTGGGGGGTCAGTTTTTCAGATCATGCTCCCAGAAAATCGAGTAGGAGACAGAAAAAAGAAGGTTCAAGTTTGCGATGACCATAAGCATTGTACCTATGCAGCCATACATGAAGAACGAGTGAAAGGTCAGAAAGAGAGGAGCTTACGTCTACCTGAATATGCTCGCCCCCATCTGGCTGGGGCATGATTGTGGCGATGGCGAAGAGAGAGAGAAAAGCGATGGAAAGTGCCGCCGAGGACCACCAGGTTTTAATGCAGTCTGTGGAACAAGATGGGAGGGCGAGCAGGGGAATAGCATGGCTACTTGACTAGTCAACTACCAGTCAGTAAGTTAACTTACTCTTTACTACCTTGAAGTTAGTTTCCGCCTACTAACATTAACAAACTAAAGTCGTCAGTAAGATACGGGTAACTGCGGTCGGACAGGGGATCCGTCCCGGGGGACAGGCCCTCGGGTCACTACTAGTACGGCGGTGTGTCTGACTGACTGTGCGGGTGCCGGGGCGCTGGGTCGGGGGAGACGCCCGGTATTGCTTGGTAGCTTGGTATTGTCACATCCCTTCAACTGCCCACGTCGCCCGCTCCCTCTCATTGGCTGAACCTTCTCCGGACCGGCAACCATCCCAGCCATCATCTGCAGCTGCGGCGCCATTCTCGCTGGGGAGGGACTGCACATTGGTCCATGCGGCCGAGGTAGTGTGTGCCCTAAAGAATTTGGAATTGATTCCCCTCGCCCTGGGTTCACGCTAGTATGTACGTAGCAGTCGGGTGGTCATCAAACCTCAGCAGGGTTCCTTCTGACTTCTGACTTCTGACTTCTGATTTCTGACTTCTGACTTCTGCACCTTCTTCCTTCATCCAACACTTACGTAAGCTTGAACATGTACATAAAACTAAGCGAGTACTGTGGTACCCAGTATCTAGATCTCTACCGGGAAGCCCCGTCGCCGGTAGCGTAGGGAATAATCCCTAGAAATCGAATCTCACCATGGAACACAGATAATGATATACATAGTAAGACACAGATGGCTGAGAAATGCCCTTCCACCTCCAGCTGGTCCAAGCCCAGCCCCGCACTCGTGACGGCTGGACCCGTTTCGGCCTTTCGGGATCCCAATCACGCCAGCTGAGCTGATCAGCCACTGGTCGGATGCAGGTAGGTAGATATAGTAGTATACTATCGGTATGGAGTACCTACTACCTATTACCTACCTAGTACCTAGGTATCATTAGGTAGGAAGCCTCACCCCGGCCCATCTGGTCAAATCTCCAGCGGCTAGTTCTTAGTCGCAATGATTCTCCACCAGAGGTACACAGCGTGCGAGGAGGAGAACTTGTCATGTCCAAGTGAAACCGAAGGACAGCTGTTCGACCCACGTGCAGATGAGAATGCTAGGTATTCATGTGGTTTTGAAGGTGAGGACAGGCAAGTGTGACCAAACTACTCCGTAGCGTGCGCAAGGATTCAGTGGAATGGTATCCAATAAAATGGCCGTAAGATGTGGTGAGAAGGCATCCATAGAGAAGATTGCCAGCCTTGTTCGTGACCTCGACACCAGATTCCGTATGGTATTTCCGGTTGTAACCGACCGGCCTACAGTAAAGAGGGGATCTTCCGCCCAAATCTCTCTCCACCCGGTACCGTCAACGTTGATCATCCTTCAAACGACGCACCACCTATCTATAGTTTGGGCGATGTGATAGGTGTTCAAGTCAAGGCGTAATATTGCAACCCCGGTGTGGAGGCGTCACATCGTCGATGATCGATGTATCTACTCTGTACTACCTTGGCCCTTAGATAGTGCGCACTAGGGATATTTTCCCTCTCTCGAAAGAGTAAATGCATGACTGTCGGGTTGGGTTGTCCCGGACAGTCGGCTGTTGGTTTGTCCTCAGCTGCAGGTGTCTACCAGGTAAAATGGTGGAGAGGTGCATGGCTCCGTCCGTTGCCGACATCTTCTACGTTTTCTGCTTAGACAGGACTGCACCAGCAGTATTCATTGCGACGACTAATCCCACCTGTTCATACAATCATTAGGAGTATCTATGCAAGCATCCAACATGTTCACCCGTAATCTCCATCGACAGCTAATTAGAAAGCGCTATCCGTAATCTGTTGGCACCAGCCCGCACGACCGGCCAGCAAGTCCAATCAGTTCAGACTCTGTAGCTTTTCCTTCTCGGCCTGAGTCAAGCCATCATAAAGCTGCTGGAACTCGGGCGTACTGCCGGCCTTACGGAAGAAACCCAACAAAAACTCTTGCGTTTCATCATCTCGCTTGCGCACCCCGAACACACTTTCTGATCCGCCCTCGCCAAATGCCATGAGCTCCTGCTTCGTGATGCCCAGATTTAGGTCAAGGGTGTTGCCCGGCATATCTTCCCATTCATCGTCATCACTGCCTTCCTCTTCCAGGGCAGCCGCGGTGGCCGCGTCAAGTTCCTTGCTGCCGAAGGCAGCAGCCAGCTCCTCCACCAGGACCTTGATGATCTTCAAGGGGGCTGTGACCATCGTGTATCGATCAGGGTTATTGCGGGTCTGAGATCGGGTCTTGATACGGCCAGTGTCCTGGATGATGAGATCGCCCTTGACCTGCACTTGGAACAAGCGAGGATCTCCCAGGCTGTACAGCGCTGCCAGCGCAAAGATGTTTTGTTTGATTTCGTCGTACCCAGCGAAGTTGACCGAATTTTCGAGCCACTTGCTCAGCACAATGGGCAACCCAGGCTGGCCGCGGATGTCAACCTGTGCAAGGAAATCAACAACTTCGGCGGCACTGATCAGCGTCAGCCGCGCAAAGACGAGAATCAAACTCTGGATGAACTGGGCCTGCTCCGCGGTAGCAAGTCGCCGGGCAACAGCCTGAAGAAGCTGTGGCAGATAGGGACCAAGGAATTCGGAACGTGCCTTTTCTACCAACTCTGCGGCCAGTTGCCCGACTTCTGTCGCCGCGTTGTCATCGATGGAGGGGCTCAGTAAGCGGTCAATGATAATCAAGGTAATCTCAATTGCTTCCTTTCCGCTCTGTGGGTCTCTCCAAGTAATGAATTGGTTGAAATCATGAGAAAGCATATTGCGGACTGCCTCCGTAGCTGGACGGATCAGGTCTGCCTCGGTTGAATCGAGCAGCAGACGACTCAACTTGGGCATGACAGTCTCCACGAAGCCGGCAGGCAAAGGTTCCAAGGCCCCTTCTGCAAGAGCCCGTAGAAGGTCCGCAGCCAAAATTGTCAGAGCATTTTCCTGGGTCAGGTTGCCGACATCGATAGCCCCTGTCAAAGAAGGAAGAACCTTCTCGCAGAGACGAACAAAATTCTCTTGGCCACCCCCGGCAATAGATTCTACAATGTCCTCGAATGCTTCCGTGACGATCATAGTCAACTGAAAATTGGTAGCCCCGTTACTGGCGACTGCAAACAGCACATCAATGGCGGCAGACGACAAAACAACATTGGGGTTAACCATGATTGTATCGCGAAGTGTCTCTGCGATGGTGACCTTGAGGTCATCACTATCGGACAGTTCAGAAAAATCCTGCGTGGCTACGAACTCCGACAAGGCTGAAATAACGGCAGCTTGAAGATGCACGGTAGCACTTGGAGGAAGTGAGGGCATAAGGTCCTGAAGAGATCGAATGCAGGAGACTTTGACTACTTCAGAAGCATCTTCAGAGATCGTCTTGAGAGTGGCTTCGAGGTAGGAGACAGCGGTTTGCTGGAAAGACGTGTCTGCGACCTGGCATAGAATTCCGGCCACAAGGTAGCCTCGGGCTCGCAAATACTCGTCTTCTTGTTGGATGGAATACTGAATGATGTTGCTGAATCCAGTAACCAGCTCAGAGGGTATCTGCTGGGAAACCTCGCTGAAGTCCCGAAGTAGTTGGTTGAGAATATAGAGGCCTGATTCTTTTGATCTCCACCTGCATTAATCAAGCGGTTAGTCTTCGCCTGAATTTTCACGCAAAGGGTCCTGGCTTACGTAGAAGATGGATCAGAGAATAGAGCATTCAGGTACGCGTGTAGGCCTTCAACCGTAGTGTTCTTGAGCCATTCTCCGATCTTGACCACGAGATCTCCACTGCATGTACGGGGTGTGTAGTTTGCAGTAACCGAAGTCTCCTCCGAGAGGAAAAGATTCACATCCACGCCCCACAAACCTTCTTCCTCCGATGTAATTTGAGCATATGAGCCCGCCAGCCTCATGATTTCGGGCAGCCAACTAGCAGTTGCCGCAGACGGCCCGGCGTTTTGAAGCTGTTGCTGAAGCTCTGCCTTGACCGGTGGCGCCTTCAAGAGCATCTGGATAAAATCCAATTCCTCGAGAACTAAGAAGTCCAGCGTGTATGGGAGTCCGTCGACATCCTCCAGACGACCTTGCCTCTCATCGTCGATGTAGAATTCGTGATAAGTAGACTGTATGTTGGAAAGCTCAGTCCAGATAGTGGAGAAGTATTGGGGGCTCTGGGCTGTCAAAAGTCCCGGAAACACCATGCGAATTTTCATCAAGATCTAACGGGTGGATAGGGTTAGCATCAACTCGGCAGGGATAGAGAAAGAAGATATACCTTGACCACCTGCAACTTCAACCCAATAACACCTCTCCATTGGGAGGGTATCTCGGCATCTTTAGACTCTTGTTCACTGGGAGCTTGTGGCAGAGGGGCCTTCAGAGTCGAAAGGAAGAACGGAGACCAGTTACCATGTACTTCGTCCATAAATTGTTTAACATCCACCTTGTGCTGTTCGAGAACCATTTCCAACGTATCAAAACAAGCCCGGAATACTGCGACTGCCAGAGCCCTCAACATCGGCTTTCTCGACTGATTGGTGGCCACGTTGAAGAGGGTGGAGACGAGATCCCGAGCGACATCGAAGAACTGATCCTCACTAAATCCGGTGTCCACAAGATCCAAGAGGACCTTCAATGCACCGTGAAGAGCACTGGTGGTACAGTTGACATCATTTATGGTCTGCAGCAATGATTGCAAAAGGTCTGGCCACTGTTCGGGGTAATCGGCGCTGGCGATTTTGCTGACGATGACACTGGCAGCCGACTTGACCTTGCGCTCTGGAGTATCGGCAACGGTGGCTAAGTCCAACAGAACTCGTCGAAGCTGGGCCTTGTTTTCGTCGTTGACAAGGAATTGGCCTTTGTGTTCATCAAGAACCGGGGACCAGGCATCGGCGATGAAAGCCCGAAGAACGGAAAGGGCAGACTGACGGAGGTTGGTAGGAACGGAGTTGTGCGAGGCTATAGCAGCAAGAGTGAGAGGGAAACTCTCGTCGGGATAAAAACTTTTAAGTCGGAGTTCAGCAGCCTTTCTCGTATCGGCGACCGGCGACTGAGTGTCTGCAAGCAATGTTAGGAGCTCTTGCTCCATGGTGATAGGGGAGACACGAGGGTGAGAATATGGAGATGATCGATAAGAAGACAATCGTCGAGGAGTATTAAATGGATAGGGCACCTGGATCTCAATAAGTTCCAGTTGCTGGAATTCCGAAAATGACTTTGTCAGGCAATGATTCTGGAGACACCAGGGCCCACGTAGAGGATCAAATCAATATCAATCGCGAATTGTCGCGTCGTGGAGGGGCAGAAGACGAGCGGGAAGAGGGAGGCGGTGAGGGGTCGAATTCCCCCCCTCCCCAGCCCCATCGTTCAGCAACAGGTACTACTAGATAGTAGTAGTATGTCGGTAGCTTCCTTTCCGGCCAACCGAGACAGGTTTAATAACCTGGCCTATTATTATTGCCTAACTGCGTTTCTTGATTTTAACCAATAACCTTGACCAATTCTCGCGTGCTGTGCTGCTCCAAATGCCTCGATGGCATCACTTCAATTACAACCGACCTAGGTTATCTTATTATTCTCTTGCCCTGGGGACTGCTACCTACAGCGGCTAGCTATCCTGCAATTCGTCTCGCTTCTCGAGCACATTGGTCGCCAGATGAATGAAAGGGCCACAGGACATTCGGGAGTGTCAGAAGTATCCTCCTCCATGTTTGTGGTTCCGCGTCATTTTACTGATCACCGGAAGATTGCTAGTCTAAATTCTACACGCAATGGTTGACTATCCTTATACAACTTCGCTCTTTCTCTACCCAAAATAAGGGTCCCATCATAAAGAACCCAAGAGACACGGGTGTAACACAACGCAGTTTCTGACTTTCAGGCATACACCTACGCGGGCAAGTCAACCATCGATTTAGGTATCCTCAACCAGCCACATTCGATAGTCTGAAAGCATTCCAGTCTCAAATAATAGGGCTACAATAACCTCCGAGGTCGGCGACTCAGTGGCCATCCGCAAGACATACAAAAGCGGCAGTCATCCAATAACGATCTCAACACCGTGAGATACAGTCATCACAATGGAGACCCTAGTAGCTGTCCAATTAGAAAGGAAAGGAGTAGGTGGTGCTGGGTTCACTGAAGTCATGAGAGATCAATAGCAGGGAATCGGACCTTAGTGGCCAATGCTGTGGGTATATCCAGATTCGTGCTGTTACAGGCTTACAGGTTGCTCGCCAACAGAGGCATCGTTCTCCATGGAACAAATGCGAAGGCTCGGGGAGAGATCGTAGAGAACACAACCCGAGCGAGCACTTCAGAGGAGCAGCAATATGTGAAGGAGCGAGACTAAGTGGACGTGGCATTTTTGTCTCAGTTGCTGATCTGTTTAGGTCGAAGGTTTCTGTGGAGAAGATCTGACTTCAGTCCAATCATAGAAGGAGAAAAGAAAATCCCTTGGATCACTGTGAATCCATTCCGGGGCCACTCATTGTGTAATCATGTAATGATGGGGAGAGACAGTACTCCGTAGTGATGTTGAAACATCTTGAGCTTGGGGCAGTCTTTCTGATGTCCTGCACTGTACTTTTGCACCTGCTGTATGTCTGTGTGTATTCTCCCCAGGTTTCATGTCCCCGAGCGCCTGATGTATGTTTTATGTACTATGTATTGTGGCATGTACGAAGTACAGTTGTGTAAAAGGTTTAGGTAGTGATCACCGGGCAGATAGGTAAGTGGCGTAGATGGACTCAATGCATTTCTGAAAAGGATGACAGAATGAATGGAAGGGGGGAGTCGTAAGTCGATCATAGTGGGGTTGACGAAGGATAAACCGGCAACTCTGATTATATAAGGCCAACTGAGGGGCGGGAACGCCCAAAGAAGAAAAGTACGGTGTTGGAAATTGTACTCCGTTTGCTGTACCTCAATATTATTACCTCTGGGTTGACCATACGTACTCTTACCCAGTTACCCTCGAAAGATCGAGTACCATACAGTCAAGCAGCCGCGGGTACTGTACTTATGGATCATCGAGGAACAACCTAGAAGGCGATCGCATGTCCTAGAGCGATTGTGTCGAGATACTAATAATAATAACATTCAGGGATCGGGCAATAATGCGACTTGCGAACCTGAGGGCAATCCATACTACTACTAGTAGTAAGCCCCGGAGTCCGCCGCAGGGAGGGGTAAGCTCAAGATAGCTTTCGTCTCGCACTAAGCATTTTTCACTTATCGAAAGATCCCGACAGTGAGGGACGCCGTCTGCTTCTATAGTAGGCACTCCGTACACTACCTAACTAGGTATACATGCAGCAAAGTGCAGACAAGAAAATAAATGAACGGCATATAGGCTGATTGACGAATTGAATCCCGGAACAAACCAGATGATGGGCGAAGAGCTTGGACTACGGAGTACGGAGTAGATACCTAGGAGAGACTACTTAGCTGATTTAACTTTCGTTCCTTTTAGTTAATCGCTCAGATTCCTAATTCTTATTATTGCTGCTGCTATTCTCTACCCCGGCCACCTACGTGTCGATTCAAGTTTGACTCCATGCTGATCGGCTCTGTGAGCTGGAGAAATCCATCCCACTACTGATCGGTTTGGCTATGTTGTCCGTACTGGCAAGGACAATACAGTTACAAGCTAGATGCTTACATACCGCCATCCCCTGCCCAGCGAGATTCTTTCTTTTTCATTCCATTTTCCCTGCCAACAGTGTTTCCATGACTTTTGCATTAAGCTACCGGCCCGGTGGGCTTTCAGGTTGTCTAGGAGTGTAGTCGTAATGCATCATAACCAAATACCTCTATCTATCTAATCCTCTGTTTCGCCCCCAATCTGCCGACGGAGTACTCCCTTGTGTGACTCCTTTCGCTCATTCAGCCAGCTTACCAACCCCTACAGGGAATAGCTGGGAGGAATAGGCAGACCCGAATACTACTAGGGATAGTAGTATAATTCGATGGTAGGTAGCCTTGGAAGGAACGTAGGCATTCCTCGGTGATGGAACATGCGCTGCCTACTTCCTACTACTATGATGATTGCTGCAGGGCATCCACACCCATGACGCAACCACGTGACGGGCTGGGAATCGTGACTTGGGCGCCTTTTACCTGGACGACTCGTCGCCCGACAAGCCTTCCCCTCCGAAGGACTGCCTGTCTGCCTGCCTGCCTGCCTGCCTGCCTGCGATTCTCTCTCTCTCTCTCTCTCTTTCTCTTTTCCTATTTCTGTGCTTTGCCTGCGCCTTTTGCTCGCTCTCTTTGCATCTCCCTCTCTACTACTAGTTCTGGGATCTGAGTGGGCTTCCCTGGGTGTCGATTCGGCCCTTCCCAATCATAACCAGCGCAAGCCTGAGCAGCCCACCTCTCCCTTCCACGCCGCCCCCCCCTCAAAGGGTTGGTTTCCTATCGTCTGCCGTCCCTCCTCTCCCTAGACGCAGAGAGCAAGGAATTAAAAAAAAGGATATAATTTTCATCTTTTTTCTTAGCCAAGTAATTTTTTTTTCTCTTTTATTTAAAAAAAAAGTTTTTTTCCAGGAACAAAAACTTCCGAGGGAGAGGGGAGAGCCAAAGAGGAAAATACTAAAACGGGAATTCCAACCAGGGAAGAAAAAAGAAAAAAAAAAGGAAAATTCCATCAGCAGCAGGAGCAGCATCATCGTCGCCGTCGTTATCGTCAAGCCAGGACTCTTCTCTCCTTAATCCTATCCCAGATCTCGCTCGCCGGTTGTCACCATCTCAACGACTCCATCCATGCTCTGAGGTCTGCTTGTTTCGTCTCGTCCACCCAACGTATGTTTTAATCCGAAGTCCTTTCCTTACTTTTCAAGCCCCAATCCAATCCACTCACCCCTCCCCTCCCTCGTCCTTCCCTCCTTCCCTCCCTCTCACTCTCGTGGGTTCCCTCACACTCGTTCCCTTAACGACATTATTACCCAAGTCGCGCTCTCTTACTGCCTTTCCTCCCAAACACCACCACCACCATCATTCCCACCCCATCTCCGCTACTTCCCACCACGCCGCCCTATCTATTGTTACTCCAACACCACCAACCCCCCCTTTCCGAATTTATTTTCCTATTACCAACTCTGTTCTTTCTTATTTCTCGCTATATTATTTACCTTTTTCTTTTCCTTTCTTTTCTTTGATTGCTTGGGTTCAACTGCTTGCTTCCTCGGGGCCGGGTCTGACCTAGTACCGTTCATTCGAACTCCTGTTCATTTCCTCCCCTCCTTATTTTGACCTCGCACACCCACCCCCCTCAACTTCAACCTTTAACCCCCCCCCACTCTTCCCCTCCTCGCCTCCCCCCCCCTCCCCTCCCCCGTTGTCGCATAGCAATAGCAAAGTGGAAAAGGGACAAACCATCTCTCATGCGTGGAAAGGAAGACCGTTGTTGACTCATCGTCTCAAAAAAGGCAGAGCGATGATTAGCCTCAGGGTGGAACAGCACTCAGAATCTCCGAGATCCCGTCAAGACCATCTTTTCCGTGGAAACGACGATACCAGAGCCTACGACGGCAATGCCGATTGCCAGTGAGAGTACCACCGTCAACTCCGTTACTACCACCATGACAACATTTTCCGCCCCGGTCACCGCACCTAGATCGCTGCCCAACAATCAGTCTGCGTTGGCGGCATCCTTCACCAACTTCCTCACCGTCTCGATACACCAGATCCTGTTCCTCCGTTCGGTCTATCCACGAGCCACGTTTCTCCCCGTGCGGGCCTATAATTATCCCGTCCGACAATCCCGTCACCCCAAGGTGTGTGATTACATCAACGACGCGTCAATTGCGGTCGGAACGGAGATCTTGAAAGGCACAATAACCGCTGTCAGCATTATCATTTCCTCTCTCCGTACGAATCAGCCCCTCGAACGATATGCCTTTGACTTATCGGGCTTCCCCCGTGTCCCCGCTGGCGAGGTCAATACCACCTTCGAAGACAGAAGGGAGGAACCAACCAAACCGGGTGTTCCCGTAACCGAACGGGCTTCCGCTCCGACGACAGTCGACCTCGAAGCGCAATTCCGAGCTTGTCTAGCGAGACTAGCTTCTGCGTGTGCGCGACTGACGCCTTTGCCCCGGGACGATGAATTCAGTTTTACCGTCTGCATCGAAGTGCGAGAAGATGCTTTACCTCCCGCAGGGACCACCACCGAGGAACAGACGTGGATTGTGGCCGAGCCGGATAAGGTCCACCTCAGATCATGCACCGCCCCTTACTCTGTTTCCAAACTGAGAAACGGCGAGCCGCAACAGCCGCCACCCAAGGTGTCAAACGGGCGCGCCAAGACAGTCCCGGTACGACGTGTAGAAGCCGGAGAGCTTCGACTGGAACTATGGGTGGAGGAGGCACGGCAGAAGTTCAATGAGCCGGTGGACTCGGAACATCCACCGTAAGCCTCGGATCACCATCTACATCTTCTTGCCGTGTTCATCTAGTTCACCATTACCTTCTGATTGCACTGAAACATGTTTCTGCTCCTTATCTCATATCTCCATTTATCTCATTCTTGTTTTAGCGTGACCAATGATCGAACATACATGATGGATGAGGAAATTAGGCACTGCCGTCCGAGTGAGCGGCGCAAATATATAAAATGGGGAGCGGACGATTTTTGGGACTCGCATGGCATTACATAGATCTGGTTCATATCTTTTCCTGTCTTTTGCTCGATTCTTTCTTTCCGTCCATTGCTGCCTGTCGTCATTCTGTCACGTTCTTTTCTTCTTTCTCTTCTCTATTACTACTTTTTTCTTTTTTCCTTTTTCTTTTCCTCTTCCATTTTCTCTCATCTCTGGAGACATCTATTTTTCCCCAAGCATCTTTCTCCATTCTCCTCCCCGCCATTTCCCCGGAGTGTTCTCATTTTCATACCATTTCCTATTGTATCCTGCTCGTCTCCTTCGTTGAGATTTCTTCAACTACATGATCCTAGCAAATTCAAATATCTAGCCACTAGCTACCACGAGGTTGCCAGCATGGTCCCCACCGTCCGGGGAGGGTTCTCGAGAGTCCTGTCCGTAATCGCTAATCCTGTCTCCACCGCATTTCCTTGGCAAATCCTTGTTTCTCTCAGCGTGTGTGTGTGTGTGTGTGTGTGTGTGTGTGTACGTGTCGGCGTCTGTTTCTCCCTCTCCTCATTTGGCGGCCGTGGACGTGTTCGGAATAGGTATCAGTGGGGGAAGGATTTGGACGCCTTTTGGGCGCATCGAAACCAGCTGATGATGAGATACAGGCGTCCACCTCTCGGAATAGAGAGCGTCAGCATCACTGCGTTTCCACGCCGCCTTCTAGGGAAGAAAGATTAAATTTGGGTTGCGGGGTTCAGCATATGCACAAGAATTTGCCCATGGCAGACTTGCGTGCCTGATACCAGTGGGTGTGGTTGTTGTTGGTTTGTCGAATCGATTGGCTCTGGTAAAAGAACGCAGAATGGACCGGCTGTCTGGAAAGAAACCTAAAAAAGGTTCCAAACGCATCATGTGAGTCATTACTTCCGCCTGTATATTGTGGCATCTATGCGTGTTGTCATGTGCTATGCTCTACTATGCTGCCCATCCTATGGTCTCTCCTGGTGTCGAATACTACAACATTTTTTTGTTATCACCGTTTGTTTATGATTGGTTGGTTGTTATCTATTGATCTGATTTGCGCTGTGTCTTGCATCATGAGCGTTAAGATGTGATGTGATGTTACGGATATGAGATAGTGAGTAGTAGACTAGATCAGTTCTAGGTAGGTAGGAAGTTTTGCATCGTCATTTCTCCTCTAGTTTGTTTGATTCCTCTCCCCCGACCCCTATTGACCTTGCGCCTGGACTATATTTCATCCAATTTAGCTGTGTATGTATACTATGCACTTCGTCCTCTCCCCCCACCGTATTGATTAATTATTACCCAGTCAGAAACCATACCTATATACATTACAGTGCAGACCACAATCACGTGATTCAATGTAAGTAATCACCAAGTAACTCTTACCCCCCCCCCCCCAGACATTACGGGGGACGAAAGAAACGTGACTAGATCACCTGATTTGGTAGACACGGACTTATCTTCGTTTGCGTCTGGGTGGGTGGTACTTTAATCCATATCCGGAGAATCTGGGTCTGGATCTGGATAGAGAGGTATGGTGTTATCTTGTCATGTTTTGAGATTATTAAGGAGAGTGATAGGTAACTAGGATTCGAATGCATACTAAGCTAACGGAAAGGGAAAGCACATGTGAACTATCGATTTCATTATAATCAGGAAAAAGGGGCATTCTAAATTGGACATAGACCAGAACCGTGATAATAGGAGATGAGAAGAGAAAGGGGGATAGGAGGGGCAGGGGTCATTCCACGAGGGGAGAGGCAAAAAGTAAAGAAAGAGTAATCAAGATCCTGGTGATATTTATCCTAGTGTTAAACGACACTCAGTCAAATCAGGTCGTAATATCCAGGACGTCTGGTTGGCTGTCTGTATGCTCATCAAAAATAAGGGTATCGCTGTCGGACTATCTGGCATGAGATGAAATTGGTGCGCAACGCTGAATAGCTAGGATGTGTTCTTACCCAGAAGGACAAAAGATGGGGGATTACCAGATGCTGAGCCCGAGGGAAAGGAAACCACACGGAAATCAAATCGGGAAGATATGAAAACGACACACGATATCAATACCGCATACGCCACCTCGATCCAAGGCGTATCGTTTCGTTTCAGATGCTCTCTTCTGCGCCGAACTGTAGCCCAATTCAGGGCAGCGGGTAGTTTCCATCGTAATTATCGGGTCGCATATGAAACCCATAATAGTCGGCAAGAATCTGCGTTTCGGGGCGCATTCTATCTGCAGGCGGTGCGTGACCCGGCAGGGCACCAGGATTCAGATCTCGACGGAAACCTCCCACAGGTAGATTCCCTTGGTTTTCACGCGCTCTCCCAAACTGATTTCCTGCCAGTTGGGCCTCTGGATAGTTGTAGCCCTGTCCATAAAGACGATCGCCGGCACCCAGGGGTGGAGGCATGGGTGGATAGTTCATGGTCCGAAAAGGTTGATCATGGACTAGATCCATCTGCGCATTCCGTTGCATACCTGACCTTGTAGGTAGGTTGACTATTCGTTGGCGGGGGTCTTGCGCAACCTGGGGATGGCCCGCATTTCCCCAGAGCCGGTTTTGATATAACTCCGCGCGGGGAAAATTATTGGGGCGCAGGTTCGAGGCCGACTTTTTCTCTTTGTCATTATGCACCCGCAATTCTTCTTCCGTCAGTTCGGGGTTTTGTGCCAGTAAGGTCCGGATAGTTGTATTCTGGGCTTGCTCAATCTCTTTCAATGAGCGGTTTTCTGCCGGTTCGTCGTGGGTACGACAATTTGTCGGAGGGCGCCCAAAGTGATTGTACTGCTCCTGGCTAATGTCTTGCTTACAGACATAGCACATCGCACAGTTACACTTGGAGCAGATCATTTTATTGCACCCGAGCTCTTTGATAATCTTCACCTTGCATCTAGGGCAGTTTCGAATCAGAGCCTCACTCATTGCCTCTTCGACCAAGTGGCGCTCGGGGAGCCCCCTTTCTTTCTTGGCTTCATGGCAAGTCTTCGGGATATGGCTCTCATTTTGACATAAACGGCAACTGATCAGCTCACACGCGGGGTTTCGGCACCTGAATTCGCGGTCCTCTTCCACGGGCGGACAGATGGCCTTGAAATCGCAGAACGGACAACCTTCAAGGCCATCCAGACCAGCTTTTTCAATCTCATCCTGCTGCTGAAGAGAGTCAAGCTTTTCCATCATATTCGACCCTAGCGCTTCTTCTAGCCGTGCGCGTGCAAATTTTGCTTGACAGCCACTGGTGTCAAAGCATTGCAACTGGTACTTCATAAGCCCAATTTGAGTCTCCGCAGACTTCCGGATGCATGCGAAGCAAAAGAAATGAACATAGTCTCCTTCACAAGGGAGCGATCTATTCGCTGGGACATCGAGGTAACAGCACTGGCATTCGACGAGGTTCCCGGTTCGATTATGTTCCTCCTCATTTCGTACCTCGGCCTCCTGATCCTCCTTCTGCTTGCGAAAAATGGCTTGACAGGCGATACGCTGGTCAGCCATGGGGCTTTGATTCTCAAAACCGTGCCACTCACCATCTTCCTTTTCAGCCCTCTTCTTGGCGGCTCTCAGTTCCTGATTCAGGTTCTCAGCGATAGGACCCTCATCGTCTGGTCTAACATTGATTGTCCTTTTGGCCTTCAACCTTGTGTACTCGTTTGTGTGTCGATGCTCTTGAGAATGCAGTGTCAGGAACGCAGAAAAGAGCTCTTTTTTCTCGTTCATGACTTGTCGAATATGATGTAATGGAGTCCAGAGAAATTCCTTGCATAGAAGTTGAGTACTAAATCAGTAGTCAGCGTCCAGAGTCTCGTGGGGAAATAAACAATCCACTCACGCCAGCTGAAGATATAGACGACCGCCTCGCTCAGGCATATTGGCCATCCATTCCTTGTCATCTTCTTCCGTTTCTGCAATCTTCCTCTTCTTGACCTTGTCCTGCTTGGGATAGTCAGTTTGCTGTACAATCTCGTCGACAACATTCTCCTTCAATAACCCCTGTTCGATCAATCTTGGCTGCCCATGAGAGCCTCTGTGGCGATCGATTAGCTCTTCCACATATTGATGGCTGATATCCGGAAAGATGTCCAAGATCTGTGTCAGCAACGCGTCTTCCTCGGTAAGGTCGATGAAAACTGGTCCATGTCGCGTCTCAGAATGCGACGAGGCCGAGGTAGACGCAGATTCCAGATGAAGACTATCGCGCTCCCTAGCGACAGCGCTGATGCTACTTTGTTTCTGTTTCTTCATGGGGTTGTCGTAGTCGGGCAAGGGGTAGGGAGGAGGAATCAAGTTCCAATCAATATCGTTCGTGGCGATGTCCCAGTGGTTCAGCTCAGCAAGCGCAGGGTTGTTGTTGTAGTGGGGGTCTGAATTGTCACCGTTCAAATACCCCAGTCTTAGAGGGAGGTCCGGATGCGTGGGTCCGTTGAAGTGAGGAAGCTCCATTGTTGTCTCAGCTTTGAGCAGAAGAGCTCAGTGACAAGTATCTACTTCTGAAGTGTGTATGAAGGAACTCTCCAGGAACCAACGAACTAAGGGCTTAGGCAACAAGCAAATGGTCAGGTAGGGAGCAGGTAATTAAGCAAAGATTCGTTGAGGATGAACGAGAAAGTATTGAAAGCGTGCAAGCAGCGATGCCTGGACGGAGAGACCCCGCAAGGAGAAGTGAGAGGTATCGATGATAGGCGTGATACGCTCGGGCAATGAAAGCAAAAGGCTGAGGTTATACTATAATGTCCTGAATGTTTTGCGGCAGTGCATTGAGCAACACAAGTACAACCAGAACGTGATCATTATCATGTGTAGACCTGACAAGCATGAATGGATGAATGGAATTACCAAGGCTGTCAAGGAACCTACTCAACTATGGATCAGGCTCGCCCGAGGCCACCCCACCAAGACTGGGACCACCCACACAGCCTTCGAATGTGTCGAGGGTTCGTCCGGTCACAAGGTCGCTAGGCTATAGAGGGTTGGATGGAGGATGTATAGATAGATAAATAGCGGTTGATCATCCGTAACGAAAGCCGCCCAACGGGGAATAGTAGTATCCAGACCGAAGGTTGGCACGCACAGTGGGGCCCAAGGCCGTCAATAATGCTGGGGGAGGTCCAACCTACAACGGGGGGTTACCTAGCCTGATCTCGGACGATCGACCCAGGAACCAACCGGGACCAGCAGGAGTTTGTCAAGCCTAGGACGCTAGGCTGACAAAATGAAAAGAGCAGGCTGTCTGGACGGACCAGCAGCTTCGTTGATGAACGGGGCACCTCCAGCGATGGATGGGGAAAACTCCGGGATTCAGAGGAATCATGCCGCTTTCTTTGAAGAGGGGGAAGGAGCAACCCATTGACAGCTGCCCCACGTGACAGGTACCGGCAGTTCCCGACCGCCTGCCAGGCACGGGCATGAATGCTAACGGCTAATGAATGCATGTTCCCCCGGCAGAAAACCATGACAAGTACGGGGTACGGAGTACTCCGTAAATTGAACTGAATAGGCGGGATTCATCTTACATATTAATTTCTCTTGAGCGGCATCTCACGACCAGGATCCCCGCGTCATTGGGAAGCCCCAACCAACGAACCAAGGCCAGTTGCCAACCCCGCGAGCCCTATGCCCTAAAGACGCCCGGGCGTCATGCGCCGCGCGACGTCACGGAGCATGAGACGCGCCGTTCCAGGCAAGTCCATCCTCTCTCCGCTGCGCTTGTCGCCGCTTGTCGTCGGCTGCCGTGACGAATAGGATCAGCTGTCCGGGCGCTGTGGGACAGTCATCCAGGACGGTCTACTTCCTTATCGATTAACTACATCTTCCCCCTTGCGGGCCTGTCGGACTCCGGTGGAACAAATACGGGGTTTGTTCCTTCGCGCCAAACAATTGAATTGCTAGACCTAGCCGTGGGCTCCTTCGTCGGATCTCTTTCACTCGATCTTCTTTCTCACCACCGTGTCCAGTTCCCTCCACCCCGCAGGAAGAACCACCCCCTGCCTGGTAGACATCATCATGATCGCTGCTGATACCTCCTACTTTAACGGCACCGAGCTGCCCCAGGGCGACTCGCCAGACCTGGTGCTGGTCCCCGCCACCCCAAGGGAGAGGATTGAATCCATTCGACTGAACAGCAAAGCATGGAAGGGCCGTCTGGACCTTGACACGTACATCACACGAGAGAATCACCTGCTGCAACAACCGCTGACCAAGGATGGCCTGACCTGCTGGATCTTGGTCGATCGCAGAGAGCCGGAAGAGCACAGAACCATCCTGAGTTCTTGCGAAACATACAAGAAAAAAGCCATACTGGCGTATGCTGGCAAAGCCGAGGACGTATCCACTCATGGCGTTGGAAGTGTGTATTGCCGCCCCGACTTCAGAGGCAAAGGATACGCCAAGAGAATGATGCAGGAGTTGATCAACAAGATCGAGACCTGGAAGATGGAAACCGAGACCAGGAAGTGTTGTCTGTTCACCATCTTATTTTCTGACATCGGAAAAGATTTCTATGCCCAATTCGGCTGGCAGCCGTTCACATCGTCTCACTTTGCACTGTCGCCACTGTCCGAAGAAGAATATGCCTCTGCAAATGCCAGGGCCAGCTTGCCAAAGGCACGAACATTGAGCCCGGAGGACGTCCGCAAAATCATGTGTAACGAGACGGTTTTGCAAAAGGAGCGTGAGCTGTTGAGAGAGGCCTCCGAGCAGTCATCCGTCCCGAAGATCGCTATTGCGCCCAACTTCGAGCACTTCGAATGGCACTGGGCGAGGGAAGAATTTTATGCCGAGAGATTCTACTCCGACCAAGAAGTACCTCGCGCGAAGGGTGCCGGGGAGGACAGCGCAGGGGTGTACTGTGCCTGGAACAGAAATTTTGGTGAGACGCCTGAGGAAAACACCCTATACATCCTGCGGTGGGTGTACGATGAGCCGACCTCGCCAGAACAGGCCGAGAAAATCGTGAGAGCCATGGCAGCAGTCCTGCGCCGGGCTCAACTCGAGGCACATAGGTGGAACATGGCAACGATTGAGTTTTGGAACCCAACCCCGCTGCTGGAGAAGGCGGTTGCTGTGCTGCATCCCAACGCCGAGCTTGTCCACCGGCAGAAGAGCAGCATTGCATGTCTGAGATGGACAGGTTCCGAACACGGCATGGGCGCGAACGTGGATTGGCATTTGAACGAGAAATATGCCTGGTGCTGAGGTTGACCGGCTAACTGATACATTTCCTCTAGAATTAGAGCCTCAGCGCTTCTGTCGCTTTTGATTTTTGAACAGCTCGTGCCAGTTTCGTGTCTTCTTCGCCGTGGTAGAAGCACTAGCATCTGTTGAGAGATTTTTCTTCAATTTTTGTCGATCATCGTCGTTGACAAAGCAGATAGTCGTTGGATCGGGAAATCTATGCTTGTCCTCCTGTACACCCGCACTGTTAGTCAAAGACATATGGAGACCAATTCAGATCCACATACCGTAAGCTTCGAGAGCGCAACCTCCTCCCTCCAGCCCTCGGGCAAATGGTCCTTCCAAGCATTCAGGAACTCGCTCCGTCCAAGTGCGGCATTTGCCGTGGGTGCCACAGCCTCCAGATACGTCTCGCCAACCCACCGCACGCACCCCTCCTTATCAATACTTGCCCCTACCCAGCCGATAAGAATCAGCCCAGCCCAGGAAACCCACAGATCCTCAGGAATTAGGAAACTTACACTTCATCTCCCCCTCCATCAACAAACCCCCATCACTATCACCGGCCTCACAGACCCTTCTTACAACCGCCTCAAACAGCTCCCTCGGCCACTCCCCCTCCCCATTCTCATCAAGTACCGACCTCCACACATCACGCACCAGGAACTGCTTCCCCAGATCAATGCCCTGTAGTACAGAGCCCTCCACCGCCCGCTTCCACACCCCAATTTTCACCTTCGCCGTCGGCACCCAACCACGCCCCGTATCAGGTAACACAAACGCGCAAACCTCCCTCCAGGCCCTCCCGCATTGCATCCGGGACACTGGAACATCAGCAAATACCCCCTCGATAATCTTCCTCCGATCTGTCGATTCCGACAACCTCCCTTGCTCAGTGTTCCCATCAGAAAGGGAATCATATCTCCCCAACAACCCCTCGAGAACGGGGATGATATTAAATCCCTCCTGCGGGGTATGCAATTCCAGCGTGGACCCACACTTCGCGATCGTAGTCATTGTTTCGGAGAGGTTCATGTCGGCGAGGACTGGGTCCTCTGTGGTGGTGGGGCCGCCGACGACGGCGAGATTGCCGCGTTGGATGCCATCGTCGCTGGGGCGGAGGATGTGAAGGGAATTGGAGGATTGGACTTGGCGGATGCGGTAGGTTTGAGTTGGGGTGCAGAGGTTGATGTATTCGCGGGTGGTGTCGGTGGGAGGGTCAGTGGGGTTAGATTCTTGGGAAGAGGGAGTGGGGGATTTGATTTCGAGGCTGTGGTTTGGGTTGATTAGTATTATGTAACTTAAGAGGTAGGACATTGGTTCTGGATGTTCGTACGTGGGAGGATTGTCCGAGGAAAGGAGCTCTGCGAGATCCGCTGGGAGTTCAAGTAACCGGAAGGCCTGTTGGGGGGCCGTGTGGGTGAACAGGATGCTTTGGGCGGATTGAGTGGACATTGTGGTTTTGTGGCTCCGAGGAAGGATCGGAAGACCGATTGGAAGACTGGAAGTTGGTCAGGAGGTCCCCTTCCAGGAGGTGTGTGTCAGATGTGTGAAGAGCATTCCGAACGGAGGGTCTCGACGCGGTACGCGTGCTTTTTCGAGATTACTGATAGCCGCACGGGCCACAGCTTAATCTGCACACAACACTTGCGATTGTACAAGGTGAATCTGCTGGAAGAGAATTACATGAGTCAGCTTGTCGTTTTCAGTAAAATTCATTGGTCTATGCTGTACAAATTAAGAGATATCATCTCAGCCATAACAAAGATCAACAAGAGTATGTGTATCTTGTATGATCATACAATCAAGAAGGGGGAAGAAGCAAAGGAAAGCCAAGTGTAGACCCAAACACCATTTACACAATACAAGAGGCCACCTAGAAACAGTAATTTCAGTCACAGAGAAGTCACCCTGTGGCCAGCACAGAGGTCGGACTGGTCAGTAGAGCAAGGAGCTGACCTCGTGGTTCCTGGGAGCAAACCATGCTGACCAGATCCTTATGACTCGTTTCGACTGTTGCTGGACCTGGAAGCTCGGGGCAACGTTGCCTTATTGCCTGGCTTGGTTTCTGTCTTGTGTCAGCCCTTCCAGTGCATTGTCGGCACCCCCTTGCTCTTTGGCAGCGGGTTGGGCTACAGGGCCTTCTTCGCTGCCTTTGGTACTATCGACATCCGGCGATGCTGTCGAATCACTGCTGTCTTTCCCCTGCCCTTCCTCTTGGATTGCATCTTCGACGAATGCATTGTCAATGTCCCACTGCGTCTTGGCATCCTGGAACAGAGTCTGAACACGTTCGGCACGCTCAGCCTGTTCTTGTTCTTCCCTCTCACGTTCCTGTCGCTCCTGCTCCATCTCCTCCATATGCCGGAGGTCATCTACACTCGGCTCGTAGAGATGCCAAATTGTGTAGTGTGGAAGGCCAATGACCGAAAATCCCATACGCCTCGCCATCTGTCAAGCGTTAGCATTGTGCACCTGTAAATGCAAGCGAAACCGATCTACCTTTCCAAATCCTTCCGTCTCGGCATGCTTCTCGAAACTGAAGGCCGGGAAATGAACTCCCGCGCGGAAGACTCGGGCCTTGGCCAGGATACTAACACCCCCCACTCCATCGAGCTCCATCTCCATATCGGGGTCTCCATATGGATCACGAAGATAAGCAAGATGAGGCCGCCATGTGGCATACTCAGCATAGCCCTCCACAATAACCGCATCCTCGTCCAATGTTTCGGCGAGGGCCAGTGCGGTTTCTGACTCCTGCCACGAGTTTAGATCGTACGGCTGTTCGCCTCCTAGCCAATCTGGCAGGGGTCGCCAAACATCTAGTTCAAGGATTAGACGACAATCAAAAAGGCGCACGGGAGTAGGTACTCACTCGGTACAATCACATCCTTATCATGCCTCATGAGATCCTCCAAAATGGTCTGTGGGGCGGTCAAAACATCTGCATCTCTCCAGTAAACCCAGCTATGAGTCGGGCGGAGAGTGGCGCTAAGCAGCCAATTCCGGGCCTGGGCCATCAGCTTTCTGCGACTGGCCTGAGCAGCAAATCCATGTCTGCTCTCCACATCCTGCGTCACCTTCTGACCGAAGTCCTTCTGAATGACCGAGATCTCGCCGAACGACATACTCGGATCCGGGTCGTTTTGTAGTTCATCCAGCATCTCCGACAGCATCTCCATCGTATCATCTTTAGAATCCGAAACCAAGAAAGCCAAATCTATCAGGTTATGGGGATAGGTAAGGTTGCGGAGATGCGAAAAGAACATTGGCAAATGGGACGAAGCGTCCCTGAGAGGTGTACACATGAGCACTCGCTCTCCCTGTTCCCATCCACTCCCAGTCCCCTGCATTTTTGACAAGTCATAGTGTCGGACGGTTTCTAGTTGTAGGTCTTCGACGGATGAGACGATTCCGAGGGAGACTGCGGGGAGGAAGAAGGCTCGAAATGACGGGAAGATGAGGACGAGAAGGAGCGTTGAGGCGGCGGCAATGAGACACAATCGTTGGAGGAGTTGTCTGCGACGTCGCAAAGCCGGTTGTGGGCGCGGCTGGAAGCTAGCGGTCCAATGTCAGCACGGAACACCCTGTGGTGCAGCTAGTTTGAAGATATAGATGCCAGATTGCCGGTTTGCCGACAGCAACCTCCGTTCATGTGAAGAAGGTGATGGTATGCGATGATCAGCAACAGGGACCGCTTACCGGTGGGGGGAGATGGAAAAGGTGTTGTTGCTGCCCTTCCCGCGAGGGTAGGCAGCATAGCCATTCGAGAAGGCGTGGTGCCTGTTCATCTCTCCTACAACAACAGCATGTAGCTAGGAAACGGGTCCCGAAGCAAAGAACCTCCCGGGCTCCTAGATCCCGGAGAGATGGCCACCGGCTTCAAGATTCCCACCTGGAATGCGCTTACGAAAGGAAAAATAACAGCCGGGGGTCGGGGGGCGAGGCAGAATGGCCGATAGACGGTCGCAGATCCAGGGGATTATAAGAGAGGTACCGGAAGGGATTCAAGAGGCCGAACGAGCGTGAGAATTGAAGGGCGATGATCTGACGGGAACATTGATTGCGTCGACTGGACGTAGGCTCAAGGCGGCGGCGAGCAACGACGACCGCCCAGGAGAGAGACACGACCAGAACCAGAATCCAGGCCAGAACCGCCTTCCCGCGCCCTGAGCCGTTTCCGGCACCATTGCCCTCTCCGTTTGCAGCCATGCAACCTCCCTCTTCCACCCATCTTTCCCCTCTCCACGTTTCTATTGCTCGACCGGTTGCTGCGGTTATCCATCTTGATTGGTGGCTTCTTCATCCTGTACAGTTCATTTTCTAATTACAGCAAAGTGCATTCCCCTAACCCAAAGAACTCCTTATCTGCCGACCCAAGTTTGAAGGAAGAGATAAAGTAACGCCTTGAATATGCTCGAAAATGCTCGATAATTTTTGGCATGCAGAGAAACAGAAAGAAGAGAAACCCCCGAGCGTTTTATGTGTCCCGATCAACGAGCAGTCAGCCGTGATACCCGGGACTGAGGTGATCCCATGCCCTTGACGCCTATCTCGACCTGTCGCATAATTTTTTGCAGCAACCCATCCATGCGTGGCACATCCCGCAACGCCGGAATGACGGATCCGGCCTCGTATTCGCTGTCCAAGATATAATATCGTTCCCTCCCCCAGTTCTCCACCGTCTCCTTTTGGAATGCGACTCTCGCAATGACTTTGGCTGGAACGCTAGCCTTGTTTATCGCACTCTTGGAGAATACCCGCAGGAATGGTCGGAGTCCAGACCGGGTTTGGTGTGCCATTCGGACCGATAACGGGGCTGTGGTGGTTTGGTGACTCTCTCCGGTTAGACCGCCGGGGTCCATGGTGTATACATTGAGCGCAATGTTGCCCGTCTACCAGTTCGGCCTCGGTTAGTGGGGGCGCATTGCGGACAGGGTATCAAGGACTACTCACGAGTACCAGACTCCGACGCAGGGCATACATCGCGGCGCTCATTAAAAGCTTGCTACTTCCGAACCGACTGGTCGCTTCCTTGGTGCTCATTGGTGTCCCTGGCGGCTGGACTGCACTCTCCGGGCCGTCTTTGTCAAAATAATCCAGGGATCCCTTGGACATGGCGGAACAACCAACGTTGATCACCCGCGCACCACCGTTCGGTGTACCGTCGCCTGCGCGGAAAGCCTCGAGCAGGCTCACGGTCAACAGGAACGGGGCGATGCAGTTGGTCTGATAGACGGGATCGTACCCATCTCGTGTGACTTGATCGGCAACGTATGACGAAATGGCGGCGGAGTTGATCAACAGGATGACGGGAGGGATCTCTTTACTTCGAACTCGCTCGACGGTGTACTGAGAAAAGCTCACGATGGAGTTGAAGCAGGCCAGGTCCGCCTTGACCACCTCGACGGACCGGGGACCGACGAGGCGAATCCTGTCCGTGACATCCTTTACACTATCGGATCTGATATCGCGGGCCACCAGCAGCAAGTGAACGAACGGCTGTGCTTTGGCGATAGCGACGGCTATCTCGGACCCGAGTAACCCATTTCCACCCGTGATAATTGCGGTACCGACCAGTGGAGTCCCCATGGGAGCGTGGACAAGCGAAAACCAAGAATAGACGTTAACGGTAAGGGGGGTAATAAGAGTTGTCAGTGTAGAACCACCAGACTCAGCGTAACATAGTTAAATGGACACTAGAGAAAAAAAAAATCAAGAAAGACAAGAACACAAGAGCGGCACCCAAAGAAGTTTAAAAATAATGGAGAGCCCAGTCCAGTCCAATCCAGGTCCAGTCGAGTCCAGTCCAGTCAAGTCGGCTTCCTTCTAAGCGATCGACAAACAGGGTTCATTAGATAAATCCGATCAGAACATTTTGCCGTCGGGAGTCTCCCGCAAGGCGAACCCACAGCTTCACCCGAATAATTATAGATATGCAGTAATAATAATAATCCTAGCCTCCTTGAAAGTAAGTACAACTACCAATAACAGGCGTAGATTTGCCTGTCTGCGCGGCTCCTCAGCTTGCTGACAACTTGTGCAATTGAAAAGGAAAAAATAATAATATGAAGAAATTTAAATCAATAAAATAAGAACTGTGTAAAGAGGCGGAAGAAAAAAAAACGTAAAATGGCGAGATCAATCCCGAACCAAGGAAATTGAGGATCGAGGGCGCCGCCGGGAGCCGAAGGTAAATCGAGTCAGTCGGGGGGAACCACACCGGACCAGGTACTGAAACCGTGGGTGGGTACAAGAAAACTAGTAACTTGAGGACTGAGTACTAAGTACTAAGTAGAGGTGAGGGATCCACTCGGAGGAAAAGTAGAAAGGGGAGATGCGGGACATTGAGACTTGGTATACATACTAAGAGGTTATTAATAGATGTGCAGATGGGGAGTGGCTATGGCGTCAGTGGTGAAGGAGGTAAAAGTAAGTAGTAAGTGATTGACTGACTGCACTGAGCGTGAGAGGTGTAACGAACGACTATGGAGTACCTGAGGACTTATAAAGAAGTTGGGTTAGGTTAGGTTCTTTACTTATATTTGGGAAATGATCAGGCCACAATTATAATTATGATCTAATTCCCTATAATTGTAACGGTACTTTCTGGAGGTATGAGACTTTGCCAGGATCTTTCTTATTTAGTTACTTTCTTGTGTACTTAATTTAGTAAAGCAGGCGAGACATACATACAGACACATCGTACAGGTACATTCCCCCCCGCCTCTTCATGCAGTAGTGAATTTCTCCCATGTCATCATTACTCTTACTTATTGAGTAATTGATTCCATACAACTCCCACCGAATAGCCACCTACTCGACGCTTATTCTCCGATACCTTCCATCCACTACAGGAATATCAACAACAAGCACGGTTCGAATCCAAAGAGCGACCGACCCTGGAGACAACCCCCACGGACAGGAAAAAAGAAATAAATGATATCTGAAGTCATCGGTTCATATTGTCATGGGCCTGTGGGTTCGGCTGGTTTCACGGAGTACCCGGACTCTGGACACTACAGTAGTGGCAGTGTTAGTATACATCGGAATGTAAGTAGGTGAATTGAAAGTTGGAACAGTGGCGTCTGGTAGTCTGGCAATCGCGCGATCGAACGCATGTTCTTCTGCAGCCACAGGGGGACTAGTATATTCATTGCCCACTAATTGGGAGATGACCGGGGTGGGAGATTGGGATTGGGACCGGGGGTGTACGGTGCGCGTGATGTGTGTTGCGTTATCTCCGAGTGATGGGTTTAGGATCTCGGAGGTAAATCGAGGAATTTAATACTGGCGGGGGAGCATGGAGTACTGTGGGAGGTATTCTATGAGTCTGTAGTATCTAAAGGTGGTTGTGGTGGTGGGTGTATCAGGTACGGGATCCTTCGTGGTTAGCATGACATTAATGACTAAACAGCATATGGGACCTCAGTGCACTTCTCGTTGGGTAAGACTACTAGCCATTGACATGAATGCAATGACGCATAATACTAGCCGCGGAATCCGGTGGATCCAGGTGTCATCGGGGACGGCGTCTTGGCCGCTGAGGCATCCGTGGTGGAAGTCGAGGGGATGGTGATACGAGATGACCCCGCCGCCGCTCCGATGGACTGGACACTGCTGTCGTGGTTGTACTCGCCACCCCAACTGCTGCTGGAAGAGATAGCGGTATGTTGCCTCGTATTCACTTCACACGTGTTGACGTCGGAGGGTGACATTTACATACGGTAGAACTTAGCTGACACTGACAGGCAACCCGGGCGGGCTTTACATCCTCCTCCGCGCGGACACCCCCGTCTATCGCAACCGAATGATCTTGGCATTGCTGACCGGCTTGGTCTCTTGGTCGCTCCTTCCACCCCCCGGGCATACGGGAATGCCCGGCCGCAAACACGCATGGGAGTCATGTATAACACGGGACAATGCAAGCAACGATACATATCTCATTTCGGCCCAAGGTTGTGCAACCTACAGCCGCAGCTGATCATGTCGTACTGTCCGGCCCTCGGCCTCGGACTTCAAGCTGATATCGACTAGGATTTTGACCTGCTTATCCCTCCCGCCGATCAAAGCCTTGATACCCTTGTCAACGATGTCTTCCATGCGGATCTTGTTGGTGATCAGGGGTCGGGGGTTCAGTTGTCCTGCAGATGAGTTGACACAGTCAGCACATGGCAAGGTGTGGTAAGCAGAGCCTCGGTTGGCATTGACATACCCGACCAGATGGCTTCGATGACCGCTTCGAAATCTCCGTCCTCGTATATCACCGCGCCAACCACATGTTTTTCTCGCAGAACCACGTCCAGCGCATCAATCACCGGTTTCTCCCCATACAAAGACACGATTGTCACTGTACCTCGTGCTCGGATTCCTTTCACAGCGGTATCAAGTCCAGCCTGCGCAGCAGAACACTCAAAGGCCACGTCTGCGCCGGCATCGCCGGTCATCGCACGCACTGCAGCCACAATATCCTCCGTCTGAGGATCCAGGACATGCGTAGCACCCAAAATGCTGGCAAGTTCTCTCCGCTCCGGCGAAGTCTCCACAACGACAACGGACTCCATACCACGAGCTTTGAGAACCAGAAGCACAGCAAGCCCAATAGGCCCGGCTCCAACCACCAGCGCCGTACGAGCATCCTGCGTCGAGCAGCGATTGACCACATGCCATGCCACGGTTAACGGCTCAACAAGCGCTACACAATCAGCAACACTAACACTTCATATACAGTAAGCAGAGATAACTCACCCCCCAGATCCAACGGGAACCCTTCGGGCAGCTGAATAGCCTGTTCCTCCTTGACAACGACATAATCCGATAATCCTCCAGCACTGCCTGAGTCCATGCACCTCATTATATTAGCCATACACAAGAAGGAAACCAGAGATAGAGAGCTCACCACTAAAGCCCACAAACCCCAGATTCCTACAACAATTCACCCATCCCCTCAGACAAGCCGCACAGCCCCCGTCAAACAAATCTGGCTTTACAGCCACCTGATCCCCAACCTTCGCTCTCGTCACTCCCTTTCCAATCTCCACGATCGTACCACTAAACTCATGACCCAGTGTCACGGGCATTTGTTGCCTTGTGATAGGATGTGGTGTGCACGGGACAGTAGCAGGTCCATGGAGATATTCGTGGATGTCTTCGGGCCAGGTGAGTATATCGCTTATAACATTGAAATAATCTGAATAGATAGACAAACATACCACTGCCACAAATACCCACAAAAGCCGGTCGAATCTGCCACCGTCGGCGACAAAAAACCCCCCATCAGTCGTGAATAACTCTTAAGACTAAAAGATGTACCTTGACCTCCTCCACCTCACACACCGGCTCCTCCACCTCTTCAACTCGAATATCCCTCGGACCGTGGTATCGGACTGCTCTCATAGTGAACACCAACACCAACACCAATCACTATCACAATCAGGATTACGATCACGATCACAGTCACAATAAGTCAACTTATCATATACCCACCCGTCCAATCAACAATTCTAGAAAAGTCGGAATAGTCCCAATTATAGATTGATAATATACCCAGTAGCTGTAGCTGAGTGAATGGGTAAGATACAAACCCAACTAATATATTGTAAGTATGATTCTGGCGAAGGGCAATAAAAGCTGGAAGAAGAAGAGGTGGATTTGGAAGAGTGAGGCTGACCAGAAGGAAGTATGTAAGGAAGTACGAATAGATGGAAATAAGTAAGCACGGTTTGGAAGTTGGCGGGGGGTTGAGGCGCTGGTTTGGTTTGGGTCCGTATTCGCGGGGGATCTACGTATGGTTTGTTTTTGGTTTGTTTTTGGTTTGTTTTTGGTTTGTCTTTCTTTTCTTATCTGGTTGGTTAGGTGGGAGGGGTGCGAGCGGTATAAGTTACTACTTATTATGGATGGGCAGGAAGAGGGGCGGTGTTGGTAACGATGAGGGGTGGAGTTAGGATGGGGATTGACTATATTAAGATGTTTTTAGGTCATGGATAATGGGTTTGGGCAGGTAATAATGTATCATGGATGAAAATGGGGGGAACTATTGGTCGGTTTGGTTATGGTCTGGTTGGAGTTGCGGCTGAAATGCCGTCAGGCTTGATATCATGATAAGAAAAGAAACATCAAAAGAAATTCCTCGTTTCTCGTCTAATCCGCAATGGCGCTATCAATCATATGACCTATTTACGTTCTGGGTACTCCGTAAAGCTCACTTCCCATTGATTTTGTTTTCGTCTTCTGTTCCATTATTCCGTTATGTTACCTGCATCAATCCCTTACCGGACAGTCGCTCCCTTCAGGCTCTTGACAGTGCAAATACCGCCAGACAGGGTCTTCAACTTGCCCAGAGAAGGCTTACCCTCCTGGCCCTGAACGGCCGGGACGGCACTCATCTCGAACGCAACCTCCAGGTCGTCGGTGGTGGTGAAGCCGGGCTGGTAGGTCTCCCAGACCTTCTTCTTAGGGTTGAGCACCTTCTCGGGCTCGCCCTCGGTCCAGCCATCGAAGCAGATGCGCTCACCGGCCGGGGCGTCGGCAGGAGGGGAAACGAGCTCGACGGGTCCAGCGTGCGAGTCCTCACCCTCGGCCACACGAGGAGAGGCGGCCAAGACCATGGCGCAGGACTTGATACCACGCATGGTGACCGGCTTCAGGTTGCAGACGGCAACGATCTTACGGCCCTGCATCTCCCCCAGGGGAACCAGCCCGTTCAGACCAGAGCACACAGTGCGGACAGTCTTGCCAGTGGCCTCGTCCAGAGAGGTGTTCTCGGAACCAGGGGCATCACCGCAGTCGATGGTCGAGACGTAGAGGGAGTCGGCGTTGGGGTGGTTGATGGCACGGAGAATGTGGCCGACACGGAGGTCGATGACGGAGGGAGACGGAGGCGCAGCAGGAGCAGGGGCAGCCTTGGCCGGCTTCTCCTTCTTTTCCTTCTTCTCCTTCTTGGGCTTGCCCTCGGGCTTAGCGGCCGCAGCAGCAGCGTCCTTGGCCTCGCCCTTCTTGGCCGCAGCCTCGGGCTTACCCTGTCCGACGACAAGGGGCTTGCCAGCATCGGGGGTCTGGCCAGCAGCAGCAGCCTTCTCCTTCTTCTTGCGCTCCTTCTCCTCCTTGGGGTCGACGGGCTTGGGCACGAAGCGCACGTCGTTCACGTCGATGCTGACCTTCTCCTCCTCGGGGATCTGCAGGGCGAAGAGGCGGCTGTTCTGCACGAGGTCGACGTGACGCACGACGTGGTGGTAGCCCTGCTCACCGGTGCGCTCCTCCGGGGTCCATTTCTCAACGAGGGGAGCGACCAGGGCGTACACGGCAATATCGGCCACGGAGGGCTTCGCACCGAGCAGGGTTGTGCGGGTGGTCAGGTGGGTGTTGACCTGGGAGAGGATGGTGGAAACAACGGGCTTGTCATCCTTGGTGAGGGCGGTCTGCAGACCGGAGATCGTGGCGAGCCATTGCTTGATGTCGGCCTCTTCCGCGACGGAAAAGCTGGTCTGCGGAAAGATTTTGGGGGTGGCCGTCTGGAGGTCGGGCTCCGTGGCGTCGGGGGAGACGGCGTTAGGGTAGGAGCGGTAGAGGAGGGAAAGGAGCGAGGACTCGGGGGCGGAGTTGATGGCCATTTTTGCGAATGGGCGAACGGCAGGTAGGAAAAGGGACGAGGTGGTGGACGAGAGAAGAGGGGCAGGATTGAATCCCAACTGGCAGCGTTCAGTCAGAGGACGAGCGAACCGCGGGGTTCTGCTGGCGACCCGCAGAAGCGCCCCCGTTGGCTTGAGGCGCGTCACCTTGTCGCGGCTACCAAGATCCCTGGCGAGAGGGATCTGATTTCTTTTTTTTTCTTGGAAAAGTGAATTAAATTAGATGGGGTTTACAAGATGGATGGCAACGCTAAGATGCAATTGAGCTCTTCGACTCTGCACGCGGCTACAAACATTTTTTCTTTTCCCTTTTTTTTTTCCTCCCTTCCTGGCTGATCGCCGACTGCCCAAAACGTTTTAGGGCTGCCGGCTGACTCAGCACGGCGAATTTCTCTGGCGACCAACACCGATCTAAGTACTACGAGTTACAATGCTTTCATTAGACTCCAAATATAGCCTTCCTTACGGAGGCAGATTATTCTTGCTTGGATAAATGTTTCGACTACAGCCACATGACCCCGCCTTGACTCGCAGACCCAAGGCAATCCGGTGCACGTGCACATCCATCGGGATGTAGTCCTAACTTCAGAAGATATTATTACATGCAGGTGAAATTACATGAGAAAAGATCACTTGGGAGCGGCAACACCAAGGGAGGGGCCGCGCATGTCGAAGACAACAAAGAAGGCCTTCAGGAAAATGTCGCCCAGGATCTGCAGCGAGGTTCCGCCGTTGGATTGGATGCCGCCATAACACACTAATCGGGAATCAGTCAACGCACATTCTGTATCGGATTGGGGTCACAGATGAGAACTTACAGGCCTGTCCGGTGGTAGTGTTGGTACCAACCTTTGAGAAGTTGATCAGGTTGCCGGGAACAGTGGCCAGGCTGGACGAGCCGATGGCAATCGAGAAACTCGGGAGAGTGGTGTTGCAGGGATAGATGTAACCACCGACACTGTCCACGTAGGTCGAGTTGGGGACTTCCGCATAGTAGGCAGTAACAATGTCCTCGTTCAGCAGCATAAGGGAAGTGCCAGTGTCCGCGATCGAAGTGTTCACTTTGTCAATTGACTTCAAGTCTCCGTCAGCAACACGGTATTGAGGAGTTGAGAACTGCCAGTATCCGTTCGAGGAGTCCACGCTGACATTGGCAATGCTGCCCTGGTACTTGCTGCTGTCGATCACACCGAACTCGTACTCACCCACTCCGTCGCTCTTGAGGGAGGCAGTCATGACAGGCACGTCCAAGCTGGGCGCGACATTGGCGAAGAACGTGTTTTGCGCCTCAGGCTGAATGGTGTTTATGGAAGAAAAGCCCATGCCGACCAGACCGTTGGAGTTTGTGTCCTCGATGAACGACTCAGATACTTCGGTGGGAATACCAAACGCCTGGTCCTTGACAACTGCACCGCCAATGTTGACAGTATCCTTTCCGACGGGGCCAGCGGCGTACGAGGAGTCGCCATACGAGACGTTGAAGCTGTATCCGTCCATTTCCTGGAATGTCGAGGAGTTCGAGGGGTTGTATTCCGTATGGCCTGGCAGGGTCTTATTGAGTCGCGTATCCAGCACCCAGCTGCAGAACAATGTTATTAGGATGTCAAAGAAACGATGCATGTTATTATGGAGACTCACAAGTCCGACGAGCCCGTGTCAAAAGTCATGACGACCTTCTGGCCACCGATGATAACAGGCGATACAAATTCGGCATCGTCCTCCACCGAAGTAGCACTGACTGCGCCAGTCTGGTCAGGCTCCGAGACGTCATCGGCCGCAACAGCAGTGTGCGTGGTGGTAATAGGCTCGAAGTCTACCAGGTCGATGCCGAGGTTACTGGGAACAATGCCATACTTCCTGTATGCTTTGCGGAGAGCCGAGGGGCCATGCAGAGCACCGGTTCCACGACGAACTCGTTCCACCTTGAAGGACCGTGCCTTGTGCTGCGCTCCCGGACCATGTGGTAAAGAAAGAACGCCGTAGCTGAAAAAAAGAGCGAAAAAGAGAGACTGGAGGAGCTGCATGATGCTCACTCCTTAGTAAATTTGGCGGGCTGACTGTAAAAGAAGGATAGGGCCCAACGAGTTTCAGAAACAAAAAGATTGAGAAGAAAGTATTAAGTATTTGGAGAAGACTTCCTTTCCAGAAGGAATGGGCTTATAAAGGGGGGGAGCAGTATGGGGGCCGAGTCCTGACTTAGCCTGCTATACTCTGATACGAGGCAGAGGAATAAACTGACGGAGCAACGAGCAGATCAAGAGAGCAGCGATCAGCCCAACAAAGCCAGCAATCGGACGAAAAGAATGAAAGAACTATGACTTAATTGTCTAGAAGGGGGAAAGGGGGGGGGGGGGGGGGGGGGAAGAAAGGTAGTCTATAAAAGCTCAGGTGAAAGGAAAAGTTTGGAAACGCATCCAAGCTCGAGCGACTTAGTACTAGGTAGTAGTAGTAGGACTATAATAATCCGCCCAAGACACCAAGACTTACTCGCATGGTCCACCCAGCACGGAGGGGTGGCATTGTTCCAACTAGCTGGAGCATTTTGCTCAAAGGTGGAATCGTCAGCCAATCGAGGCTATCCAAGCCCATTCGCCCGGACTGATGGGGGGAAGCCATCTCATTTGCCTGACACGGCGGGGGGCGGGCTGCTGGATCTTCGTCTGCATTGCGGAAGAAGACTCCATCCCAGTCTGGCCCTGAGCCTCTGGTGAATGGGAGCGCATGGGCGTGAAGCCTTGACAGCCGCGGCGGCGACTGCGTGGACTTGACAGCGAACGGGGCGAGTCCCTGAGTGGCTCCCCCTGAAACCGCTAACCGCCCGGCCCCGGCACCGCCGGCCAATCACCACGCCGCCATCATGAAACACCAGCGTGCCTCAAAGTCCCATGGATGGATAAGTCGGTTCCAACTTTGGGCGCGGCTTCTTCACTTGCCTTGCCAGTGAGCCTGTGAGCCAGTAGGCACTCGGTTTTAATCAGGCAGCACGTAACACACGATACTCATCCTCCTCGGCATGTCAATGGGCGCAGGCACTGGTTGCCGGCACTTCCATCGCACCCGTACCTCGAGCGATGTATGGACAGCTGGAGTCTTACTCAGCCCTGAAGCCGCGTAGGCAGCTGAGTTTTAGTGTTCATGGTCCCAGGAACCTCAAGAATTGGACGAATGATTTTCTGGCTTGCGTCAACTCTCAGTTGGAAATTCTGCATGTGGCGGATTTGCGCAGTGTTCCTACGCAATAACAGAACCTGGCGGATCGGCTAGTCCGGACAACGTTCAACTACGGGGACTATCTACCCTTTCGGTTTGACTTCGGGGTCCCGTCGCGGATCTCAATCAGTTAATCAGCGGATTTCCTCTCTTCAAACAGAGCCAAGCAAACGGTGAGATGAAAAAGGTCGACTGTGGCCGGGCGGGGGTCGGATTAAATATGCCAAGGGGGGGCAGGCCCAAAAACAAACTTGGCGGAGGCACGGCACTTCTTGCGCCAAGCAGTCGTTCTTGACTTGCAGGCTTGCAGCCCTCCCCAGGCGCATTCATGATATCGACCCAGATCGACAGCAACCAGGCCTAAACTTGATCTAGGGCTTAGTGAGCACTAACAATATAAAGGTCGGTATTTGCCAGGAACACGCCAACTGCTTTGTCCACGAGTTCTTTTCCGTGCAGCCCCCAAACTATAGCTCGCCCCCAAGGGTATAGTTGAAGTCTAAGAAGAACGTCTGGGGCCACGAAAAATGGCACGGGGGGTGGAATGAGGAGGTCGAGCGAAAACAAAAGTTGAAAAAAATTTGGTATCTAGATGACTCTAAGCCCAAACGCCTGGCACACCCATGAGAAACCCTTGGCTTGCTATCCCAATGCTCAACGCCGTCAAGTACAAGGTCAAAGAAAAGAGAGATATAAATCACTTTGCCACATCCTCTGGCAGCACGTCGTTGGGATCCTCGCCGATCATCTGAACAACAGACCGTACAACTTGCTTGATCGCTTTCGATGCTGGGCTGTCCGGGTAGTGATCCACAAAGCTCTCTCCATAGTCACATGCCATTCCCACCCTCGGGTCAAGAGGCACTGCGCCTAGGAAAGGAATGCCCATCTTCTTGGCGAGTCGCTTCCCACCGCCCGTTGTAGCCCGGAAGATTTGGGTCTTCGTGTTGCACGATTGGCACACGAAGCCTGACATGTTCTCGACTAATCCCAAGATTCGAATCCCTGCCTTGCGGCAGAAGTCAATCTCCTTCCGAACATCGAGCAATGAGACCTCCTGCGGGGTAGTGACAACGACAGCGCCATCCACTCCGGATTCTTTGAGGAGCGAGTTGACGGAGAGGTGCTCGTCCGACGTCCCTGGGGGCGTGTCAATGACCAGGTAATCCATCTCGCCCCAGTCTACATCCTTCAAAAATTGTTTGATGAGCCCATTCTTCTTCGGGCCCCTCCAAATGACTGCATCATCCCGGTTGGGTAGCATAAATTGCACGCTCATCGCGGCAAGGTTATCCGTAACCCACACCGGACTCCAGCCTGCATTGCTCACATGGATCGTCTCCGCCTCGACGCCCATCATTTTTGGTATTGACGGCCCGCAAATGTCCGTATCCATAACGCCCACAGTTGATTCGGGGTTTGCGGCGAATGCGTGGGAAAGTAGTGAGGTGAAAGTCGATTTGCCGACACCGCCTTTTCCGGAAAGTACTAGGATTTTGTGTCGGATTTGCGAAAGTCGTTCGGTGATGATGGGGATATCGGGATCGGGGCCCTTGGGGGCAGATGCACAGATGGATTGGTTAGGACAACCAGCGCAGGCGTCCCCTTTGCCTGCTTGTTCAGACTCGGGTCCAGGACAGTGTTCTTCCCACTAGTTAATAAACTACATGCGATATCCCCATTCCAAGCTAGACATACCTGGCTCGGGGGCAACTAAATTCGGTGCCATTTTCGATGACGCCTCGAAGGCAGCCGTTGGCTCCTCGAGCGACGGTGCCATCTTGATCTTTGACCTCTGTTTTGCCCTTCTGATCTAAAATGACCTACCAAAGCACAGCAGTAGTCGATAATCAGGTTCAAGAAAGATATCGCTGTGTATAATGGGAAGCAATTAGACTCAAGAGAAAAGTGGCGGAGGAGGGACTGCGGGCGGATGCTTGATAATCAACCCGTGACACTTATCGGGATGACAAACCCTCCGGTGGCGATTGGCGCGCGGGGGTTTCGATCGCAGCGGTGTCGGAGGCGCGATCTCTGATAAGATCAATGTAATCCATGCCAGGAACAAGGCCCGAAGCAAACAAACCTCTGCATGCTTTTTAGGGAATTGACTTCCGCAGTGCCATATCTTTCCGCTGCATTAATGGGACAGGACACTTCAGTTTTATTTTAGAGATCCCGACAGCCATATGACCCATTACTAGCAATTCATTTGATCACAGTTGACTTTACAATACGCACAAGTCCCGACCATATGATCTTTCTCCCCAAATGCCGTTGAACAAGGTCATATGAGGCTCCTATAAATCAGGCCAGTCAGTCTAACCCAGTTCTTTACGACAGATAAATCGAAAATTGAAGCTGTATATTCAAAAGCTCCGACGAAGCCTTCTCAAGGAGGGGGATCTATTCAACGGCAGGTGGGATGCCAACCAAGCAGGTCAACGGAGGGGCAACCGTATCTCAATATATTGTAGGAGGGGTAACGCGGATAATTTATGCAATGTCAGAACTTTAAAGAGTCACAGCATCCACAAGTTGGTGTCGCAGTGATATCATACCGTTCATGAAACAAGGACCGAGTGTTCGGTTATGGCTAGGAACTTCATAGAATCCCGATTGCCTTCATGAAGAATGTGTGGGTAAATAGCTCTGCTACCAGACTCAATTACGCGCATGAATTAAATATCCCTGCAAGCCAGAATGTCCTCATACCTACGGACGACATGGAAGCACCTTGCTTAGGCATGTCAATCAATTCCCCTCCTTGGATAGCTAGGAAACTGCAGTACCTCATATTCTCCTGAGAGGAGGGGCCAATGCTTGTTTTGAAGGGTGTGTTGGATCCATAGGGAGTGCTCGTTGTAGGCATGCGCTATCAGGTACAGATTTAGGTGCATCTACCATCGTAGTCGAATTTCATATCGCAGCATTCACGGCATCCTATTACAAATAATTCAATCAACCTGTGGGTGAGGATCAAGCGCGGTCACCGCCAGTAAAAATCACATTCAAATTTCAATGTGCAGATGAGTTGTCCGGGGAAGCTTCCGAATGATAGGAGTGAGGGGGGTGCATCGTTTCGACCAAAAGCTTTGTGAATCACACTTGAGGGCAGCAGATGCAGGCAGAAATAGGTAATGCGATATTTTAGCTATCTCTGGTGGGCGAGGCTATCCTCTACCAAGGCCCGGAGTCCGGTAGTTCCCACCGACCCAATATACGATGGATGGGTGGGAAGGTCGTCGGACCCTGGACGTTGGGGATCCCTCTGTTCCGTCCAGTTCCAGCCAATTCTTCCCAGGAAAGCGTCATGGTTGGCGTCAGTAGGTCACTGTCAGTCTGTCCGGGACTACGGGACTCTTTCCCCAGGCAGCGCACGGGGGTTCCACTCGCTAGCCGACAGTGGACACGGGGGGAGGAGAGGTCGCTACTACTGTTTCACTAGCTCTCCCCCAACGCTTTGTAGAATAAATATGTGGATGGTCTTCCGACTCTGCTGCTGGCGGCTTTACTTAAACTCCCTCAACCAAGTTGTTGTGTGCTGTTCCCTTGTTCGACAACAACTATCTCGCGTGAATCCCCCAATGCGGCTTGGTGACTCAGATCGAAGGAGCACGGACCAATCATAGTTGCCTGGCCCTTTAAATACAGCCCGCGTCCTGCGTCTCTGTCACATGCTTCTGCTTCTGCTGTGCGCTCTTGTCACTCTTCCCTCTTAACCCTCTCACTCAGAAGGCATTATGGATCGGGGCCTCTCAACAGGCACTCACCTTGGGGATGACGGGCTTCGCGAGAGGATTCCAACCCTTCAGTCCCAGTCATCCCTCGGCACTGGGGCACTCACTGCTGCTGGCGAGGTCGAAGCCAAGGACAGTGCAAACAAAGACAAGAAAACCTTTGGCCGGACCCCTGACGGTACAGGTAGGGATTGTCCCGGATTATACTTCGAGCCCGGTTGATAGTTGCATGTCCATGCCATCGGTTGACAATGGCGTACCTTATCTTCCTAGTGGCGGAATTATTCGGCTAACTTGCATGATTGTCTCAGTGTTCACGGTGCCCCAAACCCATGACATGGTCTCTCAACTCCTGTCGCCCTCGGAACCTAAAAATTTGTCGGACCTCATAGTTCTGGCGATCTTGGGAGCACACATCCTTCTGCTGTGGTGGCTCCCAGTAGGTGCTAAAATACCAGTGTTTGCAGCCATCTATCTCTTCTGGCGTGCAGCTTACAATGCTGGAATAGGATGGCTTCTTCACAACCAGTCTCATCACAAGACTTTGGTCCGCTGGGCGGAGAAGACCAGGATCTTTGTGAACCCGTCTACCAACGAGAACCCACACCCTCACTTGTATAAACTGCTCAAGCGGGAACTGGAGACTAAAATTCCTACAGACTACTCATTTGAAGAAGCCCCGATTGAGTACAACACCTGGCTGGTCTTTAGACGTCTGGTGGATCTGATCTTGATGTGTGACTTCACATCATATTGTCTCTTTGCTATAGCATGTAGCCACCATCCTCTGGGTGAGAGCATGCTGATGACGATATTGCGTTGGTCGGCCGGCATTGTGCTGGTCCTGTTCAACCTTTGGGTCAAACTAGACGCACACCGCGTGGTCAAAGACTATGCTTGGTACTGGGGAGACTTTTTCTACCTCATCGACCAAGAGTTGACGTTCGATGGCGTCTTCGAAATGGCCCCCACCCCATGTATTCGGTCGGGTACGCCGGATACTACGGTATCTCTTTGATGGCAGCCAGTTACAAGGTGCTATTCATCTCCATAATCGCCCATGCAGCTCAATTCGCCTTTCTGGTGCTTGTCGAAAACCCGCATATCGACAAGACGTACAATCCTCCTCCACCGCGGAAGCGTATGACGGAACAAGAATCTGTATCTGCATCATCTCAAACCACCGAGCCCTCCAATGCGCCAGCATCGGTCGATGATCAACTGCCCCAAGCGACAATGTACCCAAGCAACCCTCCTCCATCGGTCCACGACTTGCTGGGATTCAACAACTTGGATTTGTATCGCACGACAGATACTTCCTCGGTGTTGGTCCAGTTCCTCGTATTCGCACTCACTGTGCTGACACCCTCGACGCCACGATACCAGTTCCTGTTCGTGGCCAATGCTACAATCTGGAGACTTTGGTTTTCGATCGGTATCGGCTATCTTCTGAACGAGCAATCCAACTGTAAAGCGTGGACCCGGCATTTCCTTAAGTATGGCGAGACTCCGAGCGAGGCATGGAACCAGTGGAAAGGCACCTATCACCTAAGCATGATTATGTGCTACGCTAGTTTCATCGCTGCTGTATGGAAAATGTACACCTTCCCCGCCGACTGGGGCTACGGTCTGGTTTTGCTCCGCCATGTTCTGGGTGCCGGGCTCATCAGCCTGCAGATCTGGACCTCGGCCAGCATCTACGAGTCGCTCGGGGAGTTCGGCTGGTTCTATGGGGACTTTTTCTTCGACGGGGCTCATAAATTAACGTACAACGGGATCTATCGCTTCCTGAACAACCCCGAACGAGTGCTGGGTCTGGCTGGCGTCTGGGGCGCTGTCTTGATCACAAGTAGTGGGGCAGTTACGTATCTGGCCCTTCTAAGTCACATTCTTAGCCTGGCTTTCATTCAATTCGTCGAACGTCCTCACATGCAGAAGCTCTATGGCCGCAGCCTGCGACAGGATGCGGGGCTGGTCAAGAGCCTGAAGCGAACTCTGCCTCCGACTCTCCGACAGCTTCACGGAAGCGTCGACAAGATCTTCGATGACTCTTTCGAGTTTATCGAGGATCTTATCGATACCGCACGCCCAAGACTGGCTTCTGGCGTTAACACATTTGTCAAAGATACAACTGCACTATTCCAGAAGTACCCCGCTCGTGTAACCATCTCCCGAATTGACGAGGACCTTGCTGGATTTGATTCACGGGATTATACTCTGGAAATTGAGGGCACTGATTCATCATCATCTCTCGATGAGTGCGACAAGAGCAGCGGCAGAGAAGGTGCCAATGCCCGCGTGCCTCTCGACAGACGAGGTGACTTGAAGAACCTGGTGTTCGAGTACGGGTCCCCAATCAAGGTCAAATGGACAGCACCTCTCAATCACTCCAAGAAGGACTGGATTAGCCTGTACCGCGTTACTGATAACACTTCTCGGGAGGTCTCGCGTGTCTCTTCTCAAGCCAGATGGGTCGCAGTGAACGAGGGAATCTACGACAATCTAACCTGCGAGAAGGGCATCATGAGTAGTGATGTTGTGGCTAAGAATGAGGAGAATCGCGATGTCGCTACCGGCGAAGTCATTTTCTCTGGGGATAAGCTCTTCTGGACTCAGGGTGTCTTCGAATTCCGCTATCACCATAACGGCAAGCATAATGTCATGGCAATTTCGAGGCCTTTTGAGATCCGTATCCGCCGGTTCGATGAGGAATCATTCGAAGACAACCAAATGTCTGTCGAAAAGAGCCTGCTCCCTGTTGTCCGCAACTGCTTCGACTGCGACCCTGAAATTGCCCCGGAAACAGTCGAAGAGCAATTCGGAAGCCTGGTAGAACGAGACGGGAAGTTCGCTAAAAGAGTCGTCTTCGCCGTGCATCAGATGTAAGGCTCCTTCGGACCGTACAATCACCTAGAGATATACTAAGCTGCAATCATAGGTTCGGTATTGAATTCGCTCCCGAAGTTGTCCGAGCTGATGGGACCGTTCGGAACCTGGCTTGGAGAATATGTAATGCGAAGAGAGTTCTCGTGAGTAGCTTCGCTTGTTTTCCCTTCTCGAACATACAACCTAACAAGATATATTTACAATAGGCTCCTTACAGCATGACTAGAGATGGTGCTACAACGCCCACCGAGAGAAACGAGGAGAAGGTAGAGGCATAATGGTTTCTATTGACAGGGGGGAGGATGAAAGATACTTGCGGGCTTTCATGTTTATTTGTTTCGCGGCTCGACCCCTAATGACTGGGAATGCATTCTGTTTTGTCGCAGCTGCGTGGTGACTCGGAAAGGTGAAAATAAAATGGGTAGAGAAATGAAATTCACGGTCTTCAGGTGTACATAGCCTTTATAGTACATATCCCATTTCTGTTTCCCTAGTGCTTAGGTTCTACAGGGAATACACGGGGGTTAATTATCCGAATGCAGCAGATATTGAATTCAGATCGAAATATGAAAATTACTACAAAACTAGCTATGAAGAAGATTGGTGAACAACCCAAAAAGGTAAACTCTGCAGGCAGACATAGTCAGCTCACGCTCCACCCAACTAAACGTGGTTACGATGCAAAGGCAGACAGCAACTCTACTCCCTCCAGAGAAGAATATAGAGAAGTGTAAAGTAGAACTCAGCCAAGCCGGTAAATTCATCCCTTCCCCTGCCAATTCCGATCCCCCAACACGCCATCCAAAACGAACGGCGAGCCGGGAAAAAGGCCCTGACACAAGTCAAGCACAGCAAACGAAGCAACGACGACAATGCGGAACAACAACAATATAGCCTACCCCTTCCCAAACTCCACAACCTTCCTCCCTTGAACTGCCTGCCGATCATCCCCGAAGAGATGATGGTGAGCAGTAAGGTCCAGTATAAGGGAGATGGAAAAAGTAGATCATTGTGCTCATGTGCAAAACCTTGTTGAATGATTAAAGGCTCGAGGGGCGGTTCTCCAGAGGAGATCATTGAATGGATTGACTTGTTGTCATCATTGTCGGTGTGTGATGTGGCTGTGGTGTAATTGAAAGTTGTAAGCATACCTTTTGGGATCGTTGGGTGATGTGACTTGGGTGTGATTGTTTACAGTGCTAGATGGGGTCTTGAGAGCTGTCAGTAAATTGTGGACTGAAAGCAATGAATAAATAATTGGTGAGGTATCCAATTGGATCAGAAAGTTTTGGTAAGGTATTTTGTTTTCTTCAAGGTTTTTGCAGAAGCAGAACTGAAAAAAAATTTGTCTCATCATAGAGATGTTCCGGTTGGGGAACGAAAGAGGAATTGGATTGGGAAAGAGAGAGCGTACCGATTAGTAATTTACGATGGTGTATGAAGAGTGTTCGGAAGTTATTATCCTGCGACTTAAAACATTGTCAATACAATCATACAATCATGAGAATGAGTGGACACAAGGCAATGTGAGGGGTTATAATCAGATGGTGATGCATGTATGTTCAGGCCCATTTATTTGTCGCCAGAACTGAAAGATTTTTGGATCTTGCTCATCATAATGGTAAGGATATAAAGAACTGGGGGTAACTCACGTTATAGTCGTTAGTATCAAGTTGATGTCGATTGAAATCATCAAAAGCCAGTCCCAACATAAAAGACGTGTGGCATTATTGTGTGGTGCGGAAGAAGAAAAGGAAAAGAGAAAGCCGAAGCGAAGCAGAAAAAGGAAGAAAAAGCAGGAGAGGAAAAACGCCGGGCCGTTGGGCGGTGCTCCACGCAGCCCGCGCTGCAAACCGTGCAAACCACCCTCAAAATTGTAGATGGCCGTTTCTGGACGTCGCCAGCAGCTTCATTTGCCCATCCCAATTTCTTGACGCTTATCCTCGTCTCGCTTCCTCGATCGCTTGTCGCGCTGGTTAGAGGATGCCAAGTCATGTGTAATGACTGACAGACGAAGAATCAATGGGCCGCCTAGCGGCACGAGGCCGGCCGTTTTCGCCTCGTCTCTAAAGTCCGCCTCAAGCATTTCCACTGCCAGACCTCGCCGTCAAAGGCAGCCCGATGAGTTGCGCAAAATCTGTAAGAGTCATCACTATAGCTTGGTGCGATGAACCCTGCAGCTAATCTATCTCCGTCGCAGTCCTGAAAACCGGTCTCATTCCTTCGGCTTCCGGTTCCGCCTATCTGGAATACGAACCCTCCGCCTCTCTTGCTGCTGCTCGCTCATCCCCCCAATCCCTCATCCCGCCCTCCTCGGCTTTGAAGCTTGCTTGCACAGTCCATGGCCCGAAGCCCCTTCCGCGCTCGGCTAGCTTCTCCCCCAATATCGTTCTCACCACGCACGTCAAATATGCGCCGTTTGCTGCCCGCCAAAGAAAAGGACATATCCGCGATGCTAGCGAACGGGACCTGGGTGTGCATCTAGAGACAGCCCTCAGAGGCGTTATTGTCGCCGAGCGCTGGCCCAAGAGTGGTCTGGACATCACCATCACTATCCTGGAAGCAGAAGATGATCGCTGGTGGGGTGACGCCCCCGATTCACATGATGCCCCTTGGGGAATGATGAATGTGCTGGCTGGATGTATCACTGCTGCATCTGCAGCTATTGCCGATGCTCGTATCGACTGTCTAGACCTTGTGGCAGGAGGTGTGGCCGCCATAGTCTCCGATGAGACAGAAGAGGGCGAGCCATCCACCCCGAAGCTCATGCTCGATACCGACCCAGCCGAGCACAAGTCTATCCTCTCCGCCTGTGTGGTCGCGTACATGCCTTCTCGGGACGAAATTACAGAACTCTGGCTAAAGGGCGACCACTCCAAGGCATCTTTAGGCACCACTGATCAGAACCTAAGCCATGAATCTCTCATAGATGGGGCAGTGAATGCAGCTCGGGGGGCTCATACGGTTCTCGCGGAGGCTGTGAAAGAGTCTGCTGTGAGATTTGCTGGCTTACCAACTGGCGGAGACACACTGTAATGGGTTCAGAACTGTGCTAACGTGGCGTTGATTAATACCATATATCCTTCCATTTTTAGCACCAAATGCAATACGCTCCCAGCGTGCCCTAGTTACACTTCCCCTGTTCACCCCTGTACTAATTCTATCATCCGCAACTTGTTATAAATCACCATTTATGGCTATCTGGCGTGAGTGATGTTATGTTCCAGTGATTGATTCACTGGAAGAAGCAGGATTCCCTCTCTCCTTGTGTTATAATCTCGCACTTGCCCTGTACCTCTCCTCACTTTTCATCTTTCTCGCATCCAACCTCCATCTCCTCCAAGCTATCTCTCTCAGTCAACTCACCATCTCTGCACATCACCCTCACATATCACAGAAGCTCTATCTACCTTGAATTCTAAGAACCGAAAATGGCTCCTAAGCCCACCACTCCAGACCCCAGCGTCATTTTCCTCTATGTGTGCCTCATGAAGTCCGACTTCAAAAGCGTAAGATCCCCTACAACCACCCACAAAGGCGACCCTCTTCCCTACCAAAACAACCCCCCTCCCAACAGAAAGAACCCAACGAATACTAACATTCCTCCCAGATCGACTTCAAAGCCGTCGCCGACGCTACCGAGCTGAATGTCGGTGCTGCGCGTATGCGTTTCTCCCGGCTTAAGAAGCAACTTGATGCTCTCGTCAAGGCTGGCGGGAAGTATGACCTCAAGCGCGGCGAACTTGGCGAAGCCAGCTCCAGCGCAAGCACCACCCCGATGACTACTCCTGTCAAGAAACAGGCCCCCAATACCGACGACAATGATGCCGCCGAGGGCGCTTCCCCCGCCAAGAAGAAGAAGAAGAGCCCGAAGCGCAAGAGGGTCGAAAAAGACGACTCTGACGATGAGCTTGTCGGAGACAATAAGGAAGCTTCTGATGAAGATGAGGAGAAGTGAGGTAATGTGCCTGGTGTGGTGCAAGGAATTATCTTCTTTTTTTACGGAATGGGACCAGTGAGCTGGGATTGGAGTCGGGGGACTGGAGTCAGGATTGGCGTTTGAGGGGTTGAATAGGTTGGGAGATCTCACTAGTTGGGGAATAGGGCTTTGCATTTCTTATTTTTCTTTGCTCTTGGGACTTGCTCTCTAGTTGAGTTTGGTTTTGATATGCCCTGAATTGAAGGTTGAATTCCTAGTCGTGAGGTGTTGATCCACGTAGAAGCCTATGCTAGATCATTCTTAAGTTGATGGAACTCGCCATGCTCGGGACAAGCATGTTTGATAAGTAGAAGGAATCGTTGAGAGGGGATGCCTTCGTATGTCAATTCTCTGGTGTTTCGTTGCTACCGGCTTAAGGATACCAGAAGGCTAATCTCATGTTGGTGATGCTCTTGCTCTCTGGGTCTTGTTTACTGAGATGATCATCCGACGTATTTGCACCGGCATCTCCTATTATAATAGTTTTTATACTGTTAGTAGACTCGTCACCACTTGTCTATATACTTGAGGTACTCTATTTATACTTGAAAGTCTAACAATCTCGCTCTAGACTACTAACTACAATATTCCAATAGCCATTTACCATACCAATCTATATAAGATACTACGTAAAGTCTGATGAGGCGTTACTCAAGGTCCTGTGCCCTGTGTGAAGCTCTCCTTGTGAAAGTCCTTGTATAGCTTAAAATCCTGAATAAGGCTCTAAAAAGGCTGCCATATGTCATTACACTAGATACTTCGAACGGCATCTGGAGAAGTGCCTTCTATATAGAGCATATTGCTTCATTATACGGATTGAGTAGGCGAAAAGTGTGGTTGTGGTTGTAGCCTGGTCGTTGTGGCTGTAGCGCCTCTCTATTCATAAATACATTGAAGTCCAAATGTGCGCATAACATACAATAGTATTTATCCATATAACCAGGCGGGAGAGCGTATGCTCTATGAAATACCGATTCGTATTCTGACAAAGAAAGGAGTGGCTCCTGGCTTGACTTAAAGCCGCCGTGGTATTGTACGAATACAGGCTGCAGGCATCATAGTCCAATCAATGCGGCGCAGCCATGATAATATCTCTGCGACAAGGTCTTTGTGTCGAGAATTGCTTTGTAAAAATTCGAGTCATGTTCAGGCAGAGTCAGCAATCTTTCTGCGGTATTTGGAGCTTCCCCCATATGCTATGGAGCATGTACATGCAAGGCATCGTATGATCGTACGATCTTGTGTACAAGGCTACCTACAAGCTCCCCAAGAGCCCTTTGACTAAATTAGCCGATCGATTTGAGGGCGATGGTGATCAAGCCCACGGCGCTAGCGTCAATCAGGTTCATGATCGGAAGTGACGCCTATAATAGCCCGAGTTAAGCATTATCTTAGTCCCCAAGAGCCACTTATCTTTTGATATGGATATTAAAGATATTCTAGGCCGGATCCCCAGGCATAGATTAAATCACATCCTCATTTATGCTAATCTAAGTCTGGGTGGACCTGCTTGAGATATACGGAAAAGATAGGAAGACCCGAGCGAGAAATAGATGAAGTCTTCGAGGGAATACGTATGCAGGAATAGAGGTTAATAAGATGGTTATTTAGTAGTAATAATATCCAACCGCGGTGAGCTCTGAGGAGTGAGCTGCTTGCCATTGACGCAGGGCATGGTCCAATTGTTCATCTCTGGGATGAGATACTAGTTGGCAATAGTAGCATTTACCTAGCCATGGTCCTACTCTGTCTTGGCTTCCTCTTGATGGTCTCAAGAGAGGGCATAATGAGAGACAGAACGGAGAGACGAGAGACAGGAAGGAAAGGAAAGAAAGCCGCAATTCCCGGTGGTCGGCGATGCTTCCCAGCGTGGAATGGTCGCGACCAGAGCCACCCCCTGTGATTGGCCCCTTCCCCTGGCCAGTTTTTTCGGCTTTTTTGGTCTTCGCTTGCCATCTCCAACAATCCAACCAGTCTCCAGCTTGTCTCCAGCCAGTTCCCCAAATGCTTCCTGGGCCCCATTATTATTATTATCTTTGTAGTATCTCTTTTCTCTAGTTCTCCTAATCAAGATCCGGGCTATCGCCACCTCGGTGTTTCAGCCCCTGAGATAACTCGATCATCTCCATTCCCACAATCTAGCTAGTACTACCTCCACCGATGATTGAATGGTTCGTGGACTTTTGACCTCCCATGTCCCAATCTCGGTGTCGGCGACAGAGAAAGGAGGGGCAGTGTGATGAGGACGCAGAGAGTGGAACAGCTAATTAAAGTCCTGTCACAAAGGATCCAACGTTCTCGTGTCAATCCGAACTGTCACCTTCCTCCGTTAGTCCTGGGCTCCCAATAGCGGCCCAGGGTCGGACATCCAGGATGACCTGCCCCTGTCAATCGATACGGCGAATGGGGCGATTTCAAGGCTGATTATGCTGGCGCTCGGCGCCAACAGGACCAGTGTTCGCTGTCGACGGACGATCAACTGCCTGATATGTCCACTAGCTCGTTCCTCTCCTCCCCGCTAGCTTCATGGGTGCTTGTGTGCTCCATCCGGCGCCACGAGAGTGGTTCTGACTGGTGCGGATTTGACCTTCCAATGGCCCTAAGCCGTCAACTCCTCGCCGGTCTGCTCGTCCCATGAACTCTGTTTGTCCTCGACGACGCCCCACCCGCTGTCGGGTGGCCTATGGGTACCGCAAGCTCGCTAGTAAACAACGTCAGGTCTGGCCTTTTTGCTAATATTGGCATGTTGGCGTTACTAGCTTGACCGGCGACTGCAAGTCTTGCAGATCCAATTTCCATGTCCTTGCTGTCAGTAGTGTAGCACCCATGAATTCCAAAATGAAAGAATTTCATGATTTTTGGCCGTTTTTTTCATGAAACGGGATGGCCAGGAAATTTATGAAATTTAAGCTAATCCTCTTTAAGCGAAATTTTTTTTCAAAAAAAAAAAGATATAAGCGTGAATCGAACCTGTGATAACAAAAAATATTATACTACTAGACTATCTGTCTAAATTAGTAAAAATTTATTCTTTTTTTTAATATATAAGTTGTAATATCGCGCAATTCTTTTCTTTTCTCGTAGAAAAACACTATAAATCTGTAATTTTATATAGTAATTAATCCTAATAAAAAAGATATAAAAAATATTATATCGTGTACAGATACATATATTCTAGTATAAGTATGTATACTACATATACTACCCGCAATTTTTAGTTAATTTTATTGATTAGTCAGACAAGGATCCACTATTATCACGTGATTGAAAGAATTTGAAAGGCTTGAGCCTTGCAATATTTCAATATTGCTGCAACGGGTCAAAAAATCATGAATTTCAGCAACCCTAGCTGTCAGGTGGACTTGGAGCTTTAGGTTTATGCATAGTGGATATGAGGACGTTAGGGTTTGGCTGCACGTTCTACACAGTCACAGTGGACTCGACTTCGATTGTACAGGGAGGGCACTGGCCGCTGGATTCCACAATGGCCACGGAGAAGCCTGTATAAGGCTATAAGCGCGCCAGGCCGCGCCGTTCGACTAGGTTGACATCTATCGCGGAGCCATAGTCTTCGAATTTGACCGGCGCAATGTGCATCTAGCTCGCAAATTTCACTGGTACCCTCCCGTCCGCCGGCTCAGCCCCATCTTGTCTTGATGGATTACGGGGACCTGGACCACTTCTACCCCTGATACAGACAGGAACAATTATCGGATCTGCGAACCGCGCAGCTATCCCGCGTAGACTGTCAATCCTTTGTTCATCTGCCGTGCCTCTTTTCCTCCTCCCAACCCTTCTCCTTGTCAATTCCTCCTTCCCGTTACTCTCCATTCACTCGAGTACGGAAAGTTCCTGCGTTAGGCGACTTCGATATGAGTTAAACGTTATCATGACAGCAGCTCTGGATCACAGTCATTTTCTAGTTTTCGTTTCTTCGCCTTGATCGTCGTTGTCATCTCTTGGAGGGATCACTTCCTGACATTCGAGGGTCTGGTCACACCTATACGACAGTCAGATCTTTGTACAGCCAAGAGCGGTACCAATCGCATTACATTCAGACAAAAGCTGGCCGTATGGTCTAGCTGCAGATATTAATCTGAATATGGTTGCCTTGAGACGATTTTTCCATGCGGAGAAATCTTCGCCGGCAAGCTCCGACGATCAAGATGCCCAGGCAGGCAGCCCAGGAGGCGATGATCATCACGCGTCGCCTAACATAAAGCCCTCTCAGCGCATGGCTGCAGAAAACAACTGCCAGAAACCTGAAGAGCAGGGAGATGTAACGCGCGGACGTATGCAATCGCGACCTCTTTCCGCTCGTTCGCAGGCGCCGCCATCCCGTGCTTCAAATCGTCCCCCGGAAAGAAACCCACGGCATGTCGACTTGCTTGATGCTTTGTTCTCTTCACACCGGTATCACATTCAGAGCGCTAGCACTTTATCGCCAATTACACCTTACAATGAAGACATAGCCGAACGGAACATGGTCCCTTTCTTGAGAGGATTAGCACTCAAGCAGAAAGCCTACTCACGTCCTGTCTCGGCCCTTTACCAGGAAGAGGTGGCAGACCGCAATATTTCTAATAGCAGAAATAACACTCGCTCCCTCTCCCGCAGTGCTAGCGCGCGATCCCGAGCTACGCCTCCTCGTACCCGGCAGCTGGGTTCTCAAAGGTACGAAGAGGATCGTCCTCTTTCAAGGGCCAAAGGCACAATTATGCCAAGGTCGTATTCTCCAGAAAGTCTGGCCTCTGTGCCTCGATCTCGGACTGATGAGCGTGCTGGCTCTTCGAGAGAAGCAGCCTCTCAGAGGAGCAATTTGCGGTCTCAGAGATCAGCTCCAGACTTGCTATCTGAACGGCTCAGTGCGCCTCAGGAAGAGGCCAGCTCAGGCTCGAATGGATATTTGGGTGTCCCCCCAGCTTATAAACAAGGCAATAACTGGAGTAATACGCCCTTGCCTGACAGTCCCACGCTACCATTATCGATGAGACATGATAGCAGCATGAATGAGGACCAGTCTGTTAGGAATGCACCAAGCACTCGAAGTGCTAAAAAGAACGTTCGTGACCTTTCCATCAATACGAAACTCGCGGCTCGAAAAAGTCCAACCACAAAATTAGCACATCGCGCCATACAGCCGCCTACCCCAAGTGCTACTGACGCGAAGCAAGCTCCTAGCATTGCAGAGGTTATGAATAGCCCTCTTCCTGTAGCAACTCCGACATCCGTCTCCCCATTGCCTCCCTTTAACGAAAAGGTTACGGAAATCATGGATATGTTCAAAGAGGCCTTCGCTTCGACACAAGTCGTGACACCCCATCCTACCTTTGAAACTCTTCAGGATGCTATCGTTAGGGAAATCAATTCTCACGAAGCCTTTCAGCGTTTGTCTTTTCCTACTGAGCCGTCGCTCACACCTTCGCCCTCTCAAGAATCCTTCGACAGAGCCCTTCATGTGCCATTGTGTCCGAGTTTAGGGCTGGAACGGAGTCTCTCCGCAAAGGAAGGTCAATTCTCAAAATTCATCGGCAAGAGCTCCTTCAAAAAGCACAAGAGAAGTCCAGACCAACGCGAGAGCATATCCACGAGCGTGCCTTTAACGGCTTTCCGAGCATCCGGTACTACAAGTCGACGGAGGCACACCGATGCACCACTTCCATCCATAGGCTTTCTCGGTACTGGAGAGACGAAGCAGCAACATATCGAGAAACCCGGGGAGCAAATGACCTATATGGACCTCCTTCTTAAATCCGAAAATTCTGACAATATTTCGATTAAGCAGCAGCCTTATGACAACCCCAACCATTCTGTGTCTACAAAGACCAACTCGTCACACGGTGAATTGGAAGATATTGGTAGGGCACCGTCTGTCCTGCACATGTGCGCACAGGCCTCCCAATCAAGAGACCAAACAAGCCACAGCCAGATGAGCTATTCAGAAGACGACAGCGACGACGAGATTATTCAATTACCCAGTGTTGGCGAAATGCCACAAGTCTATCTTCAGACCGTCGATCAGAACAACGTGACGTTCATGACCAGGAAAAAGATGACGCCCAGAAATACATACACGCTCTGGCCCCGGAAGCCAACTGCCAACGCCAATACCGGAAGCACCATCCCCAGTGACCGTGTTCCTTCTCGGACATCGTCAAGAAATGGAAAGCAGTTTTAGGAGACTGCACCGATTGGTGCAATCATGTTGGCTCTCCTTCATGATCTGTTCTTTCTCAACCCAACTTGCAAATGACTCCGAAACTATCCCCACGTCTACTACCTCTGTCACTACTCATACTCGATAATCCGCTCTCTTCATCCCATCATCTGCATACGACGTCTTAATGCAACAGACAGCACGTTAAAACTCATATCGATCCCTGCAAATTCTATGTGACATTCTTTTTGCCGACACAACTAACAGCCCAGACGCTCTTTCATCTACACTATATCTCGTCTTACATTCCTTTTATCTTATATACGGCTCATTCAGCTTCTCAAATTTTCCGTTCATCCATTCATTGCATGTGCATGCCTCACTTCCAACATCCTAGCAGTGTACTGTATCTTCTTCTTACCCTCTCTGTCTTTCTTTATCCTCTCTCTCTCTCTGTGTGACTCCCACCAACGGAACCACTAAGTACTGGGTTCTACCCCCACATATTAAATATAATCTAATATAATAAGGATCAAAAGTTCATAATATGATCTTTCAATTCAACCCGCTAGCTACTGAAACGACCCATATCTGACTCCCCGATGGTAAACCGATAAAAGGTATCTCAAGGAATATCTGCCCTTACAACTCGCATCATCCCATGCATGCATGCATCTAAACTCCTTAATTTATCTGTCTTGTAATTTTCTTTTTCTTTTACGTTCGTAGATATTTTTCCTTGTGTCGAACTCAACGCAAACTGTATTGGCAGGAATGGAAAGTCATAACAGTCATAGGAAGGAACTGGATGAGATGAGAATGTAACATCCGAATCCAACATGATAGAGCGCGATTAGTACGAGCCTGGTAGATGATGTTAGCTGGTGCTGGTTGAAATGGGAGGGGTTGAGTATAACTTACGTCCGAACATACACCACTTCTCAGCGAAGCGGGTACACTTGGGGTTGGTACACTTGGTCTCGCCGGGGACGATACCCTCGGGCTGATCGAAGGGAATGCAGAGAGACTTAGCACCCATACTAGGAGCACGGGCATCCTGGGGCACGCCGGAGTCTTCCTCGTGCTTGCGGGCACTCATCTCCTTGATCTGGTCCTCACACTCCTCAGTCAAGCAGAAGGGGATCAGGCAGACGTTCTTGTCGTTGAGAGCAGGGGTGAAGTCGTCCCAGTTGGTGATGATCTTACGGTGGGAGCTGTACTCGGCGTTGGCACGGTCGTACAGATCCTTCTGGATGGTCTCCAGGAGAGCGGGGACGGCGGTCGAGAGCTCGGAGATCTGGATAGGGGCCTTGGCGTCCTTGCCGGGGATGTCACGACGAGCAGCGGTGACGAAGCCACCGGCAAGCTCGCCAGGACCGAACTCGAGACGCAAGGGCACACCGCGAAGTTCCCACTCGTTGAACTTCCAGCCGGGGGAGTATCCCTCTCTCAGATCGCTCTCGGCGCGGACACCAGCGTCGCGGAGGACGGAAACGAGGCGGTCGACCTCGGCGTAGAGGTTCTTGCGCTCCTCGTCGGTGGTCTTGGCGGTGATACCGACAGGGACGATGATGGTCTGAGTGTCCGCGACACGGGGGGGAAGGACCAGACCGCGGTTGTCACTGTGGATCATGACCATGACACCCAGGGTACGGGTGGAGAGACCCCAAGAGTTCTGCCACACGTGAAGGATATCACCCTTGACGGCGGGGTCCTCAACAGTGATGCCGAACATCTTACTGAAGTTCTGGCCCAGACCGTGGGAGGTACCACCCTGGATACCACGGCCAGTGGCGGGGATGTAACCCTCAACGGTGGTGGTGTAGAGACCACCGGCAAACTTCTCCTTCTCGGTCTTCTGACCCTTGACGACGGGGACAGCCAGAAGCTCCTCGTAGATACGAGCATAAAGATCAAGGATCTGCAGGACCTCCTCGTGGGCAGCATCCTTGGTCAGGTGCGCCGTGTGGCCCTCCTGCCAGAGGAACTCTCTAGTTCTGAGGAAAGGCTGGGGGTGCTTGAACTCCCAACGGACGACAGAGTTCCACTGGTTGAGCTTGAGGGGCAGGTCACGGTGACTTCTGATCCACTTGGCGTAGTAGGGGTACATGACGGTCTCCGACGTGGGACGAATGGCGATCTTCTTCTCCAGAGGGGTGGAACCACTGTAGCAGAGAGGGCATATCAGTAACCTGTCTATCTGGGGATGGGGGTAGAGATAAGGATTCATACGCGTGCGTCACCCAGGCGACCTCAGCGGCAAAGCCCTCAATGTGGTCCTTCTCTCTCTGCAAGACATCCTCGGACACGAAGAGGGGGAAAGAGCAGTTCTTGACGCCCATCTTCTTAATGTAGATGTTGAACCACTGTTGGATCTCCTCCCAGATGAAGTACGAAGCGGGCTGGCGCACATCAGTATAGACCGTCGACTTGGGCGGACATGGCAACCCACCTTGAGAATGAAGCATCCGGAGACATCGTAGTAGTCAAGCATATCACCCTTGGTGAGAACCTGCTGGTACCAACCGGGGAAATCCTCCTCCTTGGCGACATCGATACCGATCAGAGCAGCACCCTCAATCTTCTTCTTGGGAGCCTTGGCAGCGGGCTTCTTGGCCTCCTGCTTGCCAATTCCCTTGTTGGCAGCCTTCTCAGCCTTGTCAGCAGCCTGCTTGGCCAGCTTTGCGGCCTTCTTGGCGGCATTCTTGGAGACCTCTCCCTGAGGGGCGTCGGCATCGGCGGGGTTCTGGGTGCGATCAGGGAGGGTTTGAGGGGCGGCGGCCTCGACGGGGACCGCGGCGTCAGCAGGGTTCTGGCTTGCCATCTTGGGGAGGAAGCGAGGAAGGGTCGGATTGGAAAGGAGATGCGGAGATAAGAGAAAGGAGCGAGGGGGAGGAGAGGCGCAAAGGGAAGAGGGGTTGAGTCAAAGTGGGATGCATCTGGAAATCTTCACCGCCCCGGCCGGCAGAACTTTTAGTGCAAACATTCGAGGCGAACGTCCAGCGGCTTCAGGCATTCTGGCTGTCGGAGCTCGTCTTTCCCCCTTGCACCTCTTTTTCCGTCTGTTTCACGACCATGGCAGGCATCTTCGAGCAACCGCGGAATGCGGACACCCTCTGTGAGCCTCCTCTATCCCCTGCATCCCCCCTCCCCTGACAGCTATCACTGACCAATCTCGCACAGTCTTGGGGGGGCAGAAAATCACCGGCGCTGATGTGCGGGAGCAGAACGGTATGACCTGACGATTTCCCTCGCTCGAGGCCCAGGGTGCTGACGACGCTGCAGTCCTTGCTACGCAGGCGATCGCCAATGTGGTCAAGAGCTCTTTCGGCCCGTCCGGTCTGGACAAGATGATGGTGGATGATATTGGTGTACGCATCACGCTTCGACCCCGCGTCGGTACAGAGCAGCTTCCTGACGGTCGTATAGGATGTCACGGTTACCAACGACGGTGCAACCATTCTGAGCCTTCTCGATATCGAGCACCCCGCTGGAAAGATCCTCGTGGATCTGGCCCAACAACAGGATAAGGAGGTTCGTCCCGCTACCTGGCTCTATCCCCTATCTTTCGTCCTATAATCACGACGCTGATACCTTTCTAGGTTGGCGATGGTACCACCTCCGTTGTTCTTATTGCTGCCGAACTCCTCCGCCGTGCCAACGAGTTGATGAAGAACCGCATACACCCCACCACCATCATTAACGGTTACAGACTAGCTTTGAGGGAAGCCGTCAAGTACATGAACGAGAACATCACCACAAAGGTCGAGACACTTGGAAAGGACAGCTTGATCAACATCGCGAAGACCTCCATGTCCAGCAAGATTATTGGCTCCGATGCCGATTTCTACGCTAACATGGTCGTTGATGGCATGCTGCTGGTCAAGACCACCAACCAGAAGAACGAGGTTAAATACCCGGTCAAGGCCGTGAACCTGTTGAAGGCCCACGGAAAGAGTGGTCGGGAGTCGGTCCTCGTCAACGGCTATGCCCTCAACTGCACCGTGGCTTCTCAGGCCATGAAGACCCGGATAACCGATGCGAAGATTGCTTGTTTGGACATGAACCTGCAGAAGGAGAGAATGAAGCTTGGTGTTCAGATCACAGTCGACGACCCCGACCAGCTGGAGAAGATCCGTGAGAGGGAATCTGGCATTGTCCTCGAGCGGGTGGAGATGATCCTCAAGTCCGGTGCTAATGTTATCCTCACTACCAAGGGTATCGATGACATGGTCCTCAAGACTTTCGTTGAGAAGGGAGCTATGGCCGTCCGGCGCTGCAAGAAGGAGGACCTGAGACGCATTGCTAAGGCTACTGGTGCCACCTTGGTCAGCTCACTCTCCGACCTCAACGGTGATGAGAAGTTCGAGACTTCGTACCTGGGACACGCCGAGGAAGTCGTGCAGGAGCGGATATCCGACGATGAGTGCATCCTTGTCAAGGGCACCAAGGTCCACACCTCTGCCTCCATCATCCTCCGTGGCCCCAACGACTTCAGCTTGGATGAGATGGAGCGTTCCGTACACGACTCTCTGTGCGCCGTCAAGCGTACTCTGGAGAGTGGCAGCATCGTGCCTGGTGGTGGTGCCGTCGAGACGGCTCTTCACATCTACCTCGAAGAGTTCGCAGTCACAGTGGTACGCAATAACCCTGTCCTATCAAATAAACTCCTGTCCAACTAACCCCTCTCTCCAGGGCTCTCGCGAGCAACTCGCCATCGGCGAATTCGCCCAGTCTCTCCTGACCGTCCCCAAGACCTTGGCCGTGAACGCCGCCAAGGACTCCTCCGAGCTCGTTGCCCAGCTCCGTGTCCGGCACGCTCTCTCCCAGCGCGTCCAGGAAGGTGACGCCAACGAGGAAGAGAAGGCTATCGCCAAGAAGAAGACGTACCGCAACTACGGTCTCGACCTGACGAAGGGCCGTGTCCATGACGCCCTGAAGGCCGGTGTTTTGGAACCCAGCATGGGCAAGATCAAGCAGCTCAAGAGTGCCGTCGAAGCCTGCATTGCCATTATGCGTATTGATACCATGATCAAGTTGGACCCCGAGGTGCAGCAGGATGACGGACACGGTCACTAAGTCAGTCGCCTTCTTTCTCCTTCTTGTCTGATGCTTGGTAATGCTACGTACCTATTCTGGTTTCCGCTCGGAGTTCTAGACTATGGGTGAAGGCGAGAAAAAGTATAATAAGATGTCATGAGTACAAATCTACCCTAGTATTGATGTACCTGGTTCTTAATATGTACCTGGGTCCTAATCGGTCTTAATTGCTGTTAAATGTAGTGCTTGCTCGACATGAGCATTTATCTATTTACTTCAATTCCTTGGGAGTTTTGCCTGTGTCTAGATGTCAGTAATACAAGTATATACTAAGCAATGCTGACCGGCCATCGACATTTTAGAAGCCATACCATGCAGTCCGGTATTATACTGATAGTTACTGAGTATTAAGCTAAAGTACTAATAAAGAGTCAAGGACGATAGTAAGTGGTATGTTAATCCCCATTATGAGGCAACTGAAGGATCCTCGTTGCCATGCAGTAATATATCCGACGCTATGAAATACCGTAGTAGTACCTTCTGCGGAGCAGAAATCCAAACACCCGCTAAATAGAACATTATGCTTCAACGCCATGCAATGCATGCAAGAATGGGGAAACAGTGAACAAAGGAAACAATTAGGTAGTCCTGCAAAGGTCATTCGTCTTCGTCATCATAGGAGTCTTTGGTCTCCGCCCAGCCACAACGCCATCTCTTGCCTTCTGCCTCTCCACTGGTTCGAAAGTCTCTAGCTTCGGATCCTTCACGCCAGCATCGAGCACTGTAGTCATCACTGACTGTGATAAGTTCGCCGTCGACGGTCCATGACACGGCGGAAACTTCTTTTACGTGGCCTCCGACTAGAGGTGTTCCAGACTGGTAGATGGGAACGGTGTCTTCCACCCGTCCTGAGATGGCGCGACGGAGGCTGGAGCGAGTGGAAGAAGACGGCATCGGAGGAAGGAAGTCATCCTCAGTAGTGGTTTTCTGGTCCTTCGAGAGGAACCTTTCGTCAGTTGGGAATAGAACAGCACAATTGTCAGCACTTCCGGCAGCTAGCATCTCTGGTTTGTCGCCAGCGGCTTTGCGCACCCCGACTTTAACATAGAAGGTTGCAACCTGGAGACGTGGGTGGCGGAAGCCATATAGAGGTCCAAGCCCTTCTTTGTCAGATCCGCCTGAGCGGCGTGGCCGATTGTTGTTCAGGGAAAGCTCAGGTGCACTTCCCAGAACTAAATGTGAAGTTGAGTACGTGTATACAGTGCCATCTCGACACAGAGTGTAGAGTCTTGCACCGTCTCCACCTAGAGCCATTGACGTAACAGCAAACCCCCGGTACTTGACGTGGCTGTCCGGCTGTCGAGTAGTAGCCAGAGGGAGGACTGGACGACCACGACGATTGTTATGCGCTGTACGTAGATCCCATAGCCTCACACAAGCATTGGTACTGGAAGCCGTAACAAAGAGGTTCTCGCGGCCCGGTGGAAGGAAGGATAGAGAGGTCACAGTGATGTCCGAGCGGCGGGCCTGAGGTTCCAGCATGGAGGTTTGAGACGTCCAGGCATGGGCACCGTGAATTGTACTCAAGACCTGTGGAAAGGCCGTTTTTGAGGTGATGGCGCCAGCAGTAGATTCTGCATCAGATTCAAGCGAGCACCGTGCCTGCAAACTGGGCCTGTCAAACCCTTTGCATCGAAGATCCCATATATTGACGTTACCATCACGACTGCATGTGGCAAGAACTTTGTTATTGGCCGCTGGTTGAAATTGAACCCGCTTAACGGAGGAGACATGGTTGGATAAGCAATACACCGGGGTTTGAGTGGCCATGTCGATAACCAGCGCTGTTTGGTCTCCAGAGGCGGTTGCAAGTAGCATATCATCGGACGAAAACTCCAAGTCCATTATCGAGTTCGTGTGGGGACGGAAGGTGAGATATGCCCGGGAAAAGCCGCTCTTGTCGTCTTTGGCAGAATCCAATAATCGAATGCCCCCCTCCTCATCACCTACTGCAGCAAGACTGTTGGCTATAGAGCCAATTAGTAAGTACAAATGGACAATTGGAGATCCTGGTATCAACCCACTATTACATGCTGCCGTGCAGAAGGGAAGAACGTAGCGGTCACCAGGATTGTTGGCGCAATTGTGGCTATCACTTGGTCGAGAATAGAAGTTCGAGGTCAAATCCTGCCAGCCTTCACGACGATGAGAATATGTTTACCAGTCTATAGGGATGATGTGCAACTTACTAGCTCCTGAATTCGATCGTATCGTCACTCGATTCGCTCGAGTCCCTGTAACACTTCGCATATACAGCGCTCCAGATGTTTGCAATGCTTGCGAGCGACGAACTGGAAGAACTTGTCGAGAAGGTTTTATGATAGGACTCGATTTTATATCATCCTCATGTGTTTCAATGTTAAGTTGGATATCCCGAACTGGCCTTTTCACCTCTGCATCATCCTGGACAATATTTCGAACGTGCACCTTTTTAAGGGGTGATGACTGCAACGGAGAACCGATCGAAGAGAATGAGAATTTCCTTTTCCGGCTTGGGGTTCGCAGAGGTTCGTGTGCCTCCGGTCTATGTTCAACGGCCTTGGATGTCCTTGTAAAGGCGGGCCCCAGGCGATTAACCGCCGGTGAGCTGAGGGCTTTCAAAGCCTGACGATTGGTTCTGACAGAACTGGCACTGTTCCCACCATCCAGCATAGAGCGAGGCGTAAAGAACCTTCGAAACGATCGTGGAGTAACTGGAGGAGGCTTCTTGGGTTTGCGCCGGAAGCCCACATCGGAGGCTATTGAGGGTGGAGAGGAAGGCAGCTCCTGCGAGGACGGAGGGAAAACGGGTTCAGACCGGGGAACGTCGGGGAGATCAAGCCTGCCATTCATTGTGCTCCATAGATTGGTCAAGACACACCGACATTCTACAGGAACGAGTGGATGGGGGAGGGGAAGGAGGGGAGGAGGGGGGTGTCCTGGGAAAAAAAGAGGAGGCCGAGAATGGAGGCATGGCGAGTGGAGCTGGGGGCCGTGGATGATGTCCTCCTCCACGGCGCGGAAAAGAAAAGTCTCGTGTCGACGTGCCTTTTCGTGTCGCGACTCCCCCATTCCGGCAGGCGGTGAGCAGCCCCATTAAAGTGCTCCGGGAGGGGCCTTCCTCGCCAGGAACAGAAGGCGGTCGCGCCGCCGATCGGCTTTTCCGTCCAGAAATTTTAATTTTTCGTCTGCAAGACCGCCGGTTTGGTATTCGGTCTGGGAGCTTTGGAGCAGTTCATCGTGTCCGTTTTTGCTCTCGGACACTTTCGACTACTACCACAATGGCTCCGATCAAGCGCAAGGGAAATGCCGCAGAGGAGGCTTCTGCCCGTCAACCCCAGAAGCGTGTCCGCGTCGGAGCAGAGGATCGCAAGAAAGACCAGAAGAAACAAAAAACCGCCTCGAATGACAGCAAGTCCAAGCCGGACGCAGAATCTGCGCCCAAAGCTTCGGAGCTTTCGGTTCTGCGCGATGACGAGCCCTCTTTCCCCCGTGGTGGTGGAAGCGTTTTGACGCCTCTCGAACGAAAACAGATTCAGATTCAAGCGACGAAGGATGTTCTTTTCGAGCAGAAGGGCGCTAGACCTTCTTCCGGCAACTTCGGAGATGATGGACTGGAGGACGACACAGACATGGAAGATGCCGGGGATGCCACATCAGCCGGTGCGAAAAAGGATCGCAAGCGCAAGACAAAGGGAAAGAAGACTACAGAGCAGGATACGAGCGAGAGTAAAGGCGTTCGCATTGAGGGTCTGAATTTCAAGGTACGTTTGTTTGACTATCAAAGGGTAGTGTTTGCGCTTCTTGGAGCTCACGAAAGTAGCGTATTCAACCTGGCACTATGGTACTAGGCCAAGTCTCGAGTATCAACGCTCACGACATCGGAATTTCCCTACCTAACAACCTCACCGGTTACGTCCCCTTAACATCCGTGTCCAAGGTGCTGGAGGAGAAGATCGAGAAGATCCTCAAGGATGACGGAAGCGACGAGGAGGACGGTGAAGAGGAAGAGGAGGAGGATTCGCTGGACCTTAACAAATACTTCTACCTCGGCCAGTACTTGCGAGCATACGTTGTCTCTACGGGAAGCAATGCAGCCGATGCCAAGTCCAAGAGCAGAAAGCGCATTGAACTTTCTGTCGACCCAAGACAAGCTAATACTGGGCTTTCAAAATCGGACTTGGTTGTCAACACCGCCGTTCAAGCATCGGTTGTCAGCGTGGAGGATCACGGCTTGGTTATGGATCTGGGCCTTGAGGGCGGCGACGTCAAGGGGTTCATGTCTTCCAAGGAAGTTGACCCCAAAACTCAACCCTCGGCTATCAAGGAAGGCTCGGTGTTTCTGTGTATGGTCACTGGCCAGAACGCTAACGGCAGTGTCGTCAAGCTGTCCGCCAACCTTCAATCCACTGGTTCGATCAAAAAGTCACACTATCTCAGCACCGCTCCTACGATCACTTCTTTCCTCCCCGGTACCGCAGCGGAAATCCTTCTGACCGAAGTCTCGTCAACCGGAATGTCTGGAAAGATCATGGGCATGTTGGATGCCACGGTCGATATGGTGCAATCTGGAGGAAACTTGGGGAAGGACTTGGCCAATAAATACAGTACTGGCGCCAAGATCAAGGCCCGTCTTGTCTGCACGTTCCCAGCGGCTGAGCCATACAAGGTCGGCTTTTCACTGCTCGATCACGTCGCCAAGTTCGCCTCTGATGGTGGCCCCGGATCTTCCGACGACGCCCCCGCCATCTCTGCGATTGTACCCGAGGCTAAGATTGTCACGGTTGATCCCGGCCTCGGTGTGTATGTGCAAATTGGTTCGACTAAACACATGGGATTCGTTCATGTGTCAAGGCTTTCAGACGGACAAGTGGAAACTATCTCTCCCGAGGTTGGCCCCTTCCGAACCGATTCCATACACGAGGCAAGAGTGGTCGGATACAGTGCAATTGACAAGCTTTACCTCCTGTCTTTTGAGAAGAAGATTATTGATCAGCCATTCCTCCGGGTTGAGGATGTGACGCTGGGAGCCGTTGTGAAAGGAAAGGTGGAGAAGCTTCTGATCGGAGCCAATGGAGTCGATGGCCTGATTGTTACTCTGGCTGATGGCATCACCGGTCTTGTTCCGTCTATGCATTTCGCCGATACTGCCCTTCAATTCCCGGAGAAGAAGTTCCGGGAGGGTATGACGGTATCAACCAGAATCTTGTCGGTCAACTTGGAGAAGCGCCAGATCCGTTTGACCTTGAAGAAGAGCTTGTTGAACAGCGAATCCGCCATCTGGAAGGACTACCAAAACATCACCCCTGGCACCCAGTCTCCAGGAACTATCATCAAACTCCATTCCCATGGTGCCGTGGTTCAGTTCTACGGCTCAGTTCGGGGCTTCCTTCCTGTGTCTGAAATGAGCGAAGCATACATCAAGGATCCTTCGCAACACTTCAGACTCGGACAGGTTGTCAATGTTCACGCGCTGAGCGTTGATGCCTCTCTCGGAAAGCTCGCAGTCTCTTGCAAGGACCCTGAGACATTCACCGAGGCTTACAGAAAGGGTTTCGAGAGCCTTCATCCCGGCATGCTTGTCTCCGGAACTGTTTTCGAAAAGTCCACTGATGACATGCTTCTCAAACTGGACGAGTATGGCCTTGTTGCCCGGCTCAACGTCGAGCACGTTGCCGATGGCTCTCCTTCGAAGCAGGCCTCGACTCTTTCGAAGATTCGTGTTGGCCAAAAGCTCAATGAACTTATGGTGCTCGACATCCAGCGCGCGCACAGGCTCATCAAAGTAACTGGCAGACAAAGCCTCAAGAAGGCCTCCAAACAAGGTCGAATCCCAGCCAAGTTCGGAGATGTCCAGGAAGGTGCTGAGGTCACTGGTTTCATCCGTAACATTACGACGAACGGATTGTTTGTTGAGTTCCTGGGTGGCGTCATCGGTCTCGTTCCCAAGCGACTTGTTGGTGCAGAGGATGTCAACAAGCCGGATTACGGCTTGGCCAGATCTCAGGTAGTGACGGCGACGGTGCATTCGATCGACGCTGATTTCCAGCGATTCATCTTGAGCATGAACCCTTCGGAGGCTACCCACGCCGGTGCTAAGAAGAAGGCCGCTGCTAAGCCTGAACCCTCCCCGGCTGACGATGCCGTCGCTAACGCCATCGATGAGGGCATCCAGTCGATGTCTGATTTCACCTTCGGAAGGATCACTAAGTGCAAAATTGTTTCGGTCAGGGCGACTCAAGTCAACGTTCAGCTTGCCGATAACATCCAGGGCCGGATAGATGTGTCTGAGGTCTTCGACAAGTGGGAGGACATCAAGGATCGCAAGCAGCCATTGCGGTTCTTCCGCCCTAAGCAGATCATTTCCGCCAGAATTCTGGGCATCCACGACGCCCGCAACCACAAGTTCCTTCCTATCAGTCACCGTAGCGGAAAGTTCCCAGTGTTCGAGCTTTCCGTGAAGCCGAGTTTCCTGCAAGCGGCCAATCCCAGTCCCCTGAACCTGGAACAAGTTCAGACTGGCTCTACTTGGGTTGGTTTCGTCAACAATGTGGCCGATGACTGCCTCTGGGTTAACTTGTCGCCCAATGTCCGAGGAAGACTGCGTCTTATGGATGCGTCGGATGACTTGTCTCTTCTTGCCGACGTGGAGAAGCACTATCCTGTGGGATCTGCGCTGAAAGTCCACGTCTCAGCCGTCGACGCTGAGAAGGGGCGTCTGGATCTGACCGCCAAGCAACGCTCTGAGAAGCTTGCGTTTGAAGATATCTCCACCGGGATGATTCTGCCTGGAAGAATCACCAAGGTCACTGAAAGACAAGTCATCATGCAGCTCAGCAAATCGATTGTCGGTGCAGTCGATTTGATTGATATGGCAGATGATTACACCAAGGCCAACCCGACGGTGTACCAGAAGAACGAAGTGCTCCGCGCGTGTGTTATCAGCATCGACAAGGCTAACAAGAAGATTTCTCTTTCGCTGCGCCCATCGAAGGTTCTTAGCTCCTCTCTCCCCGTTCAGGACAAGGAGATCTCCTCCATCAGTCAACTCAAGGTGAATGATGTTGTCCGGGGTTTCATCCGGAGGGTTGCCGACAACGGACTGTTCGTGACGGTCGGTCGTGACGTTACTGCTTATGTCCGCATCTCCGACCTTTCAGATTCCTACCTCAAGGAGTGGAAGGACTCTTTCCAAGTTGATCAGTTGGTCAAGGGCCGTGTCACTGTAGCGGACTCAGAGCAAGGCAAGTTGCAAATAAGTCTGAAGGAGTCTGCTTTGGACCCCAAATACAAGGCCCCTGTTACGCTTCATGACCTCAAGCCTGGTCAGATCGTGACTGGAAAGGTCCGCAAGGTCGAGGAGTTCGGTGCCTTCATCGTCATTGATGGTTCCAAGAACATCAGCGGCCTTTGCCACCGCAGTGAAATGGCTGAGGGTCGCGTGGAAGATGCCCGGACTTTGTACGAAGAAGGCGACGCTGTTAAGGCCAAAATCCTCAAGATTGACCGCAAGCAAGAAAAGATCTCTTTCGGATTGAAGGCTTCTTACTTCGATGATGACGAGGACGAGGAGGACAGCGACGACGAAGGCGACGATTCCGAAGGCATCAGTCAGGATGGCATCGGTGGCGTTGATGTCGACGACAGTGACGAGGACGACAGCGATGTTTCCATGGGCGGTGTCGACCTCGAGGAGGATAGTGAAGACGACTCTGAGCAGAGCGATGATGAGGCGATGGATGACGCGCCTGCAAGCCGGCAAGTTGGAGGCCTTGGGGACGGCGGCTTTGACTGGAGCGGCAACACCAAAAATGACGAGAAGATGGATGTCCAGTCGGACTCGGAAGACGAGGATGCATCCCGGCAGAAGAAGAAGAAGAACCGCAAGCCAGAGATCCAGGTGGACCGCACTGGTGAGTTGGACGCCAACGGACCCCAGTCGGTCGCCGACTACGAACGACTTCTGCTCGGTGAGCCGGATTCTTCGCTCCTGTGGCTTCAGTACATGGCCTTCCAGTTGGAGCTGGGTGAAGTCGAGAAGGCAAGAGAAATTGCCGAGCGCGCTCTCCGTACCATCACCATCGGCCAGGATGCTGAGAAGTTGAACATCTGGGTGGCCATGCTCAATTTGGAGAACACGTACGGCAACGACGACACTCTGGAGGATGTCTTCAAGCGCGCGTGCCAGTACAACGATACTCAGGAGGTCTATGAGCGGATGATCAGCATCTACATCCAGTCTGGAAAGAACGAGGTGAGTTTCTGACCACATCAATATTTTCTCCTTCCCCTTGCTAACGGAGTCTCCTACAGAAAGCGGATGAGCTCTTCCAAACCGCTCTCAAGAAGAAGATCTTCCAGTCGGCCAAGTTCTTCGTCAACTATGCCAGCTTCTTGTTCGATACCATGGCTGCTCCTGAGCGCGCTCGTGCGCTGCTTCCTCGCGCCCTTCAGTCGCTGCCTTCTCACACCCACGTGGAGACCACCTCCAAGTTTGCCCAGCTGGAGTTCCGTTCGTCGAATGGAGACGTCGAGCGTGGCCGGACGGTGTTCGAAGGACTCTTGTCCTCATTCCCCAAGAAGGTCGACTTGTGGAACATCCTGCTAGACCTGGAGATCAAGAACGGCGATGCCGAACAGGTCCGCCGCCTGTTCGAGCGGGTTCTGGGTATCACCAAGAAGGGGGGTGCCGTTGAGGCCAGCAAGAAGGTCCGGCCCAAGCAGGCCCGCTTCTTCTTCAAGAAGTGGCTCTCGTTCGAGGAGAAGCTCGCGTCTGAGGGAAGTAATGACAAGATGGTGGAGGATATCAAGGCCAAGGCGGCGGACTACGTCAAGTCGCTGCAGCAGGAGTGAGCATCGGTGTTACGGACATAGAGAATCCTTGTATATAAAAAGCATTTCCACACAAATATCTTCGTTTCTTCCAGCTGGGTATTACCATCTAATTATTATCTAAAAGATCCATCATCCCCTTCTCTTCTCGGCCATCAACCGCCGATACTCATCGACAATGTTCCTTCTCTCATTAGCCAGCTCCTCTCGCCGTCTCAAACTGCCCACCGCCGCCGGCACGTTAGCCACATCGACCTTGGCTCCGCCGCGCACCTTGAAAATCTCCCTGGGCTTGGTCAACTGCGGCGGCGCCTGCACCACATCCAACGGACTGATCTGCTTGTTCATCCGTTCGCGCTTCAACTTGGCCCACGGATCCGGATCATCCCTCACCACCTCCTTCTTCTTCGCTCCTCCCCCACTCTTCTTCGCCTTGCGCTTCCCGGCCTCAACATCCCACTCCCCCCACAACCTCAACTGCTCCTCCATCTCCTCCTCCCTTTCCTCCCTCTCCGCCGCCTCCCGCTCCAGAATATCCTTATCATCCTTCCGCCATTGCTCCTGCAGCCGCCGCAAATGCTTCTCATGCTTCGTCACCCTCGTCTCCCGGATCTTGGGCACATCAGCCGCCGCCGGCTTATTGCTGCGCTTCATGTTCGACAGGGGCATTTCACGATCAACTCGCGCCGCGAAATCGGAGAGTTTTTCTCCCGGCATGATCTTCGGTTTGATTATCTTCTCCTCTTCTTCATCCTCCCCTTCCTCTTCCTCATCCTTTTCTTCGATGTTGTTCTTGGCGATGGGCGTGGGCGCGGGTGCGCTCTTCTTCTGATTCTTCTTCTTCTGTCCGGTGGTTACGGGCACTGGCGCCTCTTCGGAGTCAGAATCGTCAGAGTCATCATTGTTCCGTTTGCGTTTCTTTTGAGGTTTCGCTCCGCTCTGGAATTGCATTATGCGACGGAAGGCCCGGGGGGTGTCGTCTGCCCATCCTGTTGCGGGGTTGGTGGAGTTGGGTTTCGATTTGGATTTGCGGGTGGATTGAGATGATGTGGTTGTCGTCTGTGATTTTGGTTGTGGCTTGCCCTTGGTGGGTTTTTGTTTGGGGTCGCGGACTGGAAGAGGCTTTGCGATTACGGTGGGTGGGAGGTCGTAGGTGCTGAGGTTGGGGTTGGGGTTAGTGGGGATGATGGTTGATGTGGGATTGGGAAAGGATTGTACTTGGCATCATTTTGGCGGCGCTTGTGTTTGTGAGGCATTGTGGCGGTGGTGGGGGAGGGGGGTGAAATTGAAATGGGTAGATGGAGTCTGGTGATGGATGATGGATGGGGAGTTGAACTTTTTTTTTCTCGGGGCGGTTGGCGGCGTATCTTATCGCCGCTGATAAGCTAGCTACGGGGAACTTACTGTTCTGGGGATGGGGTGATACTCGGTGGAATGCAAGATACAACGCGAAGGGTAATCTCTTTGCCTTTGCCTTACTCAATGTCGAGGACTCTTTTTTTGCAGTTTGGGATGAGGCTGTGTTTTTCTTATCTTTTAGTAAAGATGTTTCAGATCCATTGTTGTTAGTCTCTATACTATGATATACTTAGCAACTTAGGGGCCCTCGTTGTTTAGTTCCTAGCAAACTACCCACCGACTTAAGCATAGGGCAGCGCTAACAGAGCTAAGCCTCCAACCGTATACTACCATGTCGATACTACACAAATCCCTCAGGAGGGTCTGCTTAGCAATCCAGACCCTGGACCAGTGTACAGCCCCAATTTCTAGGCCAACATCCATGCATTCTGGATGGACGGAAGGACGGATGGATCGAGGATGGAACCTACTATCTAGATAGCGCCGGACTCCGAAGTGGGAGCTAGTCTGCGGTGGACAGTGGTCAGTGGACAGTGGACACAGGTGAATGTGACTGACCATCCCATCTCCATCCTCCTCCCTCCGTAGGGCCAGCCAACTAACATCCTCCCATTAGTGCCTTTCACAGGACCCTTCCATCAAACTGCTCCAGCCAGTGGTAAGCGCATGAGCCCTAGTGCGTTGGGCCTTAGCTGCAGCGGCCTGCACTAATCAATTCCCCGATCCCTGAGGGTCTGGATAATCGGCACATCCTTCGTTGCTGGTGCCACTGTCGGCGACCCTGAGGGAATTTTTTTTCTTCTCTCTGTCCCACGATGGGCGGGTCATCCTTCCATCTCACTCTGATTCCTTTCGGTCTCGAGACTACCTAACTAGGGTATGCTTAGGCAACAGCATTGAAGGGTAGGGCCGTTTTTTGCGCCCCAAGGTTACAGATGAAAGCTCTAGAGTGGATTGCTAGTGAAGAGGGAGGGTTAGACAGGCCATTGAGCCGACGCAACCTTGAGCCAAAGCTAGATACTACTAAAGTTGAAGCTGGCCAGCTGCCCGTGCGGTTGATGTGCCGACGGTCCAATGGCCGGCTGGTCCGCTGCACATGGGCGCCTGGCTCGTTCCCGACTGTCGCGCCTGCAGAAAAAAAGTAATAAACATACAAAAAAGAAGAAAAAAAGAAAGAAGGGTTCGCTTGGATTCTAGGAAGAATAGACTGGGTCCGCGATGAGGGACAAATGCTGGGGCTGTGCTTTGGTGAAGCACGGGGAGAGCGACGGAGTATCAAAGTATACAATGGAACAATGGAGATGGCCGTCGGGGTGGGGATTGCTTCAGGCTCGTCCCTCACTCAGACACTCACATCCCTCGGAGACTGGCGGCATGACGCCCAGGGCACTTTCCCGGAATGGGGAAGACCGTTGTGGCCCTGCAGCTAAGCAGAATCCCGGGTGTCGTTCTATATAACTCCTATGTCTTTCCTCCTCCGTCTGCCTGTCTGTTCCTGGTCAGCAGTGGATGGATGGATAGCATCATGGTTCCTTCGTCCTCATCGACCCCTTCTTCCACCGTCTCCGTCCAGGACTCCCTGGACGTCAACGACGAAGCAGACTGGATGCAAAGATACCCGGGGGACAAGGATCCGCACAGCGCGGCCACCAGCGACTTCGAGTATGAGGACGATGTCGAGGCGACGCCGGGGATCCGCCCGGAGCGACCGCGACCGCGATGGTGGATGCGGGGAATCCTGCCTCTTATCGCCGCCTCCTTATCGCCTCGGGAGTCTCGCCGCTCCGCAGCAGACGCTCGGCCTCTACTCGCTCCCGCCTCTTCTTACTCCACCTGCAAATCCTATTCCTCCTCGCGACAACACTATTGCACGTTCAAAGTGTTGCTTCGTTGCTTATGCTTCCCGCTCCTGGGGCTTCTCGTTATGCTGTGAGTGAGGCCCCCCCCCCCTCGAGTTGGGTGATCGGTCGCTCACACTCCCGCATAGAGGCATTGTCCAGTTTATCTCCATCGCCTGCGGCATTGTCGTCTCTTTCTTTCCCGATGAAATCGACCGCGCAACCGAGCGGTGGCGTCACGGCGATCGAGGACCCACCATGGACATACTGCATTGGCCTACAGACATCTCCAGGGATATTGTCCCGGCAAGATGCCACTCCCACAATGATTACTGGCGTCCTATCCCGTTGTATTCCGCTCTCCAGGCCGGCTGTGTCAGCGTGGAGGCCGATGTGTGGCTTGTCGACAACGACCTCTACGTCGGCCATACCAAGTCAGCGTTGACCCCCCAGCGGACCCTGCAGAACATGTACATCAACCCGCTATGGCGAATCCTCGAACAGCAGAACCCCATCACCGACTTCCATCCCCATCGCGACCAACCGCCGCAAGGGGTGTTCGACACCGATCCGTCGCAAACCCTAATTCTGCTGATCGATATCAAGACCGATGGTCAGGAGACCTGGCACCACGTGTATGCCCAGCTCGCGCCACTTCGCGAACGCGGCTATCTCACCTACTTCAACGGCACTGACCTCATCCCTGGCCCTATCACTGTCGTGGGCACGGGCAACACCCCCTTCAATATGGTCGTGGCCAACAACACCCACCGGGATATTTTCTTTGACGCGCCGCTAGACAAGCTCGCAGAAGATGACGACAGCCTGCTTAACAACGACCAAGGCGGGGATGCAGTAACCTCCCGCTCCTCGGAAAATGTCGGTCAGGGTCTGTCCGGTCTCCCCGACACAGAAATCAGAGCAGACACCTTTGATTGGACCAACAGCTACTACGCTTCAGTTTCCTTCAAGAAATCAATCGGTATGCATTGGTCCTTCCGCCTTACAGAGCGCGAAGTCGACAAGATCCGGGCTCAGATCCGTGGCGCTCATCGTCGTGGCCTCAAAGTCCGGTACTGGGGCGTACCGAGCTGGCCGCGGAGTCTGAGAAACCATCTCTGGAGCATGTTCGTCCGCGAGGGCGTCGACTACCTCAATGTCGACGATCTCCTGAGCGCCACCCGCCAAGACTGGCAGCCCCGTATCTCAGACTGGTGGAATTGACATATCTTTCTCAGTGCTCCTCCTTCATTCTTTCACCTCCTTTCTTTTTTTTTCTTCTCTCACCTTTCTTATTCCCTCCTTTCGCTCATTCTCATGTCTAGAAAGAAACGATTGCACATTGCGACGGCGTTTCGGTTTTGATTTCCTTCCTGTTCGGTAGATACCCACATGATGGCTTGGTCTGTGGTTTTTGGGTTAGGTTAGGTTAGGTTAGGTTAGTTCTTACTAGAGGATGCTTCTTACTACTTAGCTTAGATACAAAAGAAATGAAACAGGCTAGATACATTTTTGGATTGCTACTTTTCATTAGAAAGTTAGTTTCATGACATTTATGGTTCATTCATAGTATGTATGAGGTGGGTATCATATATCTATCGAGATAGGGGCTAACAGGCAGTCACTCGAGTGAAATGACTAGCCGGAGCACAAGTACGTATGTATGTAGGCAGAGCAAGGTACCTTGGGAGTATACAACATGGAAACGATGCAACAACGAATCACAATCACATGCAAAATAACGCTTCCTCGCCAAACTCCCTAAACACCGTCCCCTCCTCCCGGAGGATCCCACCCAACCAATCCTTCGCAGTAGCAAACTCCTTCGCGCCAAACTTCACCAACACGAACCCGGCTCGCACACGCGCCGCCGTAAACGTAACCTGAGAATCATAGTTCGGCGTGGACTCCATCACCGCCGGAGCTGAGGACGCCCAATTCCGCGCCCCGATTCTCGGCAACGAGGTGAACCGATCCATGATGAAGGATGCGAGTTTTTCAAAAACAGGTCCGTAGAGAATCAAGGTGCCCACAACACCGTGCGGCCGGGTCCGTTCCCGGATCAAATCACTGCGGCTGATTGTACCGGCGTCGTTTTCGAGGAGGTCCACGTCGACTTCGTCGTCGAGGATGAGTGAGTCGCGGAGGAGAAGCTTCTTCTTCTTTTCTGTTGATGTCTCTCTCCCCTCGTCGGTATTCATCCACACCTCATTCTTGCCTCGCCACAGATGGAAATCCCAGCTCTCGCCTCGGGAGGACCGACCCTCTGTTACCCAGTCGAGGATGCAGAGACTGCTCTTGTTGAGCCCGTCAACGGTGAAGGTCTGGATCTGCTCGTAGCGGCTGTCTTTGTAGGGCACGGCTGGGTCCGGAAGGTAGCAGAGGGCGGCATCTTCGCCAATGTGCACGTCTAATGTCTGGCGACTTTTATCGGAGAGGATATGTTTTGGGGTGCCGCGGTGGCCTTTGACGCTGGCGTTGGGCTCTGTCTTGAAAATCTTCGTGCTTCCTTGTGGCGTTGTCACGACCATGCGGGTCCGAGGTTCGAGGGTTATGGAGACGGAGATATGATCGCCTGGTAATAGACCGCCGCCGTAGGTGAGGAGGTAGAGGTGGACGGGTTGGGAGGGACTAGTTGATGAGGCCGAGGTTTGCGGAACAAATCCGGGGACGCGAGTGAGGAGTTTCAAAGGATATTTGTAGGTGAGGGTCGTGAGGGTTGGAATTGATGGGGGCAGGAGGGAGAGGACGACCTTGCCTTGCCCTGGCTTTGCGATGGATGACTCGAAAGGCGATTTTATCGGCATGATTGATTGATTGTTGTTTAGAGGAGTGTGCAAGAGGAAGAGGAAGAAGGAGAGGAGGGAGGAGAGGAAGAATTGTGAAGGCGAACTAGTGATATGGATGGAAGAAGAAGAAGGAAAAGAGGAGGACAAGGACGGATGGCTTGGCTTTTAACAGCATGGTATTGCTTTTATCCATGGCTTTGTGAGATGTGCATTCAACTATGTGGAATGGCGTCACGATGCTTGCGTGAGACTGGATTCTTTCCCCAGGTCTGAACGACTATTGAATGTCCTGCGGCGGCCTGACGATCTTCCAGACTTTGGGGCGGCAGTACGGAGAACAACCAAACAACAGGCGGACTGTACGACGGACGAGGCGATTCTCGATTTTGGAGAGTCCCTGATGCCTGCAACTCCTCAGCCGGGAGCGGGGTCTGGAGTGATCCCGTGGATGAAAAGATGGAGTGGCAGCTCTTGGCTGTTGGAACAGTTCAATGGCATCAAACTGGGCGTCTCGCGATGGAGCCCGTCGTGGTTTCCATTACGGCATCGATATTCCGCCTCCGCTTTTCCCGCTTTTGGGTCTTGCGCAAGGGCTAGGGTTTTACCTGGTCAGATGGTCCGACGCCCTCTCGGCGCCAAGCTAGTAATACATAGTACTGTTACAGTTACCATACGTCCCATCCCGTGACCTGCGACCCATCCAATCCAAAACAACATCGTCGCCTCAGGCCGCCACAGCCTCCGGCCCCGTCATCGCCAGGCACCAAAGCGCGTCGTCCGTCAGTCTGTCAACGAGCAAGACAGTCCAAGTCCACCTCCGTTGTCCACCCCCTCCCTCCCCCTATCCCTCCACCTCCCCCCCTCCCGAATCTCGCAGGCTTTCAATTGCCTCCTCATAGCTCGTCCAATATCCGTCGAGATCCTCCTCCCACGGTCCGCTTGCAGGGACGTGCCGTACGCGCGCGCAAACCGGGAGACCCAACATCGCGTTGACGGGTCCCGTCCCATCTATCTTTGACAATCACGAACCCCACGTCCAAGTACGCTCTGCCTCCCCGGGGTGCTCCCGCATCGGTAACCCCCAAATGACATCCATACATTTCGACTGACATTCGCTTGATTGCAGTGCTCTAATATCTCCCACGACAGACAACATGGAAGCCGAGTCGCCCCTCTCTACACCTCAGCCGGACCCGACCCAGAGTGACGCCTCCCCGTCAACAGACAGGAGGAAGTCCGGCCGGGTGACGCGAAAACCCGAGTTGTATTCGCAGAGATATGGCGCCAGCAACGGTGCGCCCGCAGGCGGGGCTAAACGCAAGCGCACCACGACTGGCGATGATAATGATGATGACGATGAAGAGATCAATGAGGACGCGTCGGAGGCTGAAAGCGATGAGCCTGGCGACGAAGACCCCGACGAAGAGGAGTTGCGGGAGAAAAAACGAGCCGCGCGCAAAGCAGCTACCAAGACGCAGTCTTCCGGATCAAAAGCGAAGCCCAAGTCTCGCAGTGTGAAGAAACCCAAAGTCGCCGGCAATGGACTGCCGAGTCGCCTGGCCCTGCGACCTGCTGCCAATGTGAGGAAGCCGGTTTCCCGTCCCAGACAGATGAAGGCCCGGCTCACTATGGCTGCTCGTGAAGGCGGTCTTTATGGTAGGTTGCATACGACAAATTTCCGGCCTGAATGCCATGGCTGACATTGTTATCTAGCGGAGGTCTTTGGCAAGGGACGAACCGTTGAAACGGTCGCTGCGGAGTGGCTCACGCAATATCAGGAAGCGCAAGATGTTGCAGTCTGCGATATGGTTAATTTGATGCTTAAATGCGCAGGAACCGATCTCGAAGTCAATACTGATGATATTGAAGATGTCGACCACGCACCGGATCGCGTGGAGGATCTGGAAAATCAGTACCATGCTCTAGGGATCTCCGAATATCCCCTTATCTCCAGGTCTAGAAAGCTGAGGGCTTTCCAGCCCGTTCTGGAGAGTTTCTTCATGACGCTGATACAAACGCTGCACCATTCCTCCGTGCTATATACCGATCCAAACCTTTTCGAGAACATCCAAGTTTGGATCTCCTCTCTGTCCTCTTCCCGGTGTCGGCCGTTTAGACATACCGCTACCATAATTTCTCTGGCAACTATGAACACTTTCTGTGAAATAGCTCGAGAGGTCAACACCACGGTCTCTACGTCCCGCAAACAGCTTGAGAGTGAGAAAAAGAAGAGATCGGTTAACAAGGGCCGAGTCGATGCTATTCAGACCGCCATCGACGAGGGTGAGCAGAAGCTGGAGACGATCGACGAATACCTGAAAGATGGGGTCAACGTCGTTTTTGTCCATCGCTACCGTGATGTCGAACCCGCTATTCGGGCAGAGTGCATGGCAGCCCTGGGACGATGGATGCGCAGTTATCGCGAATTTTTCTTCGAGGGCCAATTCCTCCGATATTTCGGCTGGATCCTCTCAGACTCCGTCGGCCAAACGCGCGCAGTTGTGGTGGACCAGCTCCGACTTCTATACGAAATCAAAGACAACATGGCTGGCTTACGATCGTTTACCGAGCGTTTCCGCCAACGGCTGGTTGAGATGGCTGCCCACGATGCGGAAATTACAGTGCGCACCTCTGCCATTGAGCTGCTTGATCTCATCCGCGAGACTGGTTTAATCGAGCCTGCAGATGTGGACACCGTCGGCAAACTCGTCTTTGACTCCGAACCCCGAGTCCGCAAAGCGGCTGGTCGCTTTTTCGTTGCGAACGTTCAGGATGTGTTCGACTCAACGACGGAGGAGATGGGGGAGGAGTGCAACGAATTATTCGGCGATGAAGACGAGGACGATTTCGAATCGCCCAAGCGCTCTTGGATCAAATTCAAATGCCTAGCCGACATCTTCCAAGCCTACGACGACCTAGAGAACGAGAGCGCGGAAGAGCCCGTGGCTTCCAGAGATGCCCTTTCGGGGGCTCCAATGGACACGCGCTTTGTCCTTGCTACGGAGGCCATTTACCCCCATCTCAGTGACTTGGCTCACTGGCAAGCTCTGGCGGGATATCTTCTCTACGATCACTCCCAGATTCCGGAAGAGCCCAGCGAGGACGATGCTGTTGCTGTGGTCCGAAGATCATACAAGATGCAGGAAGGCCAGGAAGTGATCCTTCTGGAAGTGCTGTGCTGTGCTGTCAAGCTGCGTGTCCTAGAAATCGCCAAGTCGGACATCGATAAGAGGGGCCGAAAAGTCAAGGCCTTGACCGACAAAATCCCAGAGCTGCAGGAAGAGATCGCACATAGTTTGGCGCAGATTATCCCGCAGCTGCTGAACAAGTACGGCTCCGTCCCAGAGGCAGCCTTTGCGGTCTTGAGGCTGGAACATCTAGTCGATCTTGAGAAGATTGAGGATATTCAAAAGGACGCGGCCGCTTATACTTCGTTGTTGAACGACATTAATAAGCAGTTCCTCACGCATTCAGACCAGGATGTTCTGGCCGAGGCTAGTGTTGCTTTCATCCATGCAAAGAGCTCCGACGACATGCGCGAGGCGATGGAAGGCAAGATCCAGGAGCTGTGGGATAACACGGTAGAGACCCTCGGTACTCTCTCTCAGAACGAGGAGGTGGCAGAGGGAAGCTCAATACCCCCCGCCACACTCAATGAGCTCATCAACACAGTGATCCGGATCTCGAACCTTGCCAGTGTAACTGACTGTACTCATCTCTTGGAGTCTCTGCCGTCTGGTCGAGCCAAAGGGAAAAGGACAGAGCGTTCGGAAGCGCCTTTCAACACCCTTATGCATCTGGTGAAACGTGGATTGCGCGAACAAGAGGACGATGAGGATCTAGCCAAAGCAGAAACCGAGTTGGTTACCAACAGTATACGGACGCTCTTGTTCTACTTCATGTGGAAGGTGCAGACCTTAACCACGGCCCTGAACGCAGGGAAGGCCTCATTCAACACGGCATACTTTGAGGCGCTGACAAAAGGCCGCGAGATGTTTATCGCGACTCTTGTTGCTATCATGAAGCAGCGCTCGGGGCTGGACGATGTGCGTTTTTGCGCAGCTACGACTCTCCTAGACCTCCAGACGTTGTTCGGCACCCTTCGCCATGCTGGGATGACTGCAGCGAATGACGAGGATGTGATTCTCCAGACTCAAAGCCTTGTTCACGAGATCGGAGCTGAGCCAAAGGCCCTCATCACCAAGATCCATGGCATAGCAGAACGTACGTATGCGAGAAAGATACGTCTGCCTCTTGAGCCTCTTGACGACGAGGCGCCTCTTTCCGACGACGAAATCCGCAAGGCACCCGAGGATGAAGATGAAGAGTCCGAGCCCGAAGAAGCCATGGACGACGAGCGCCTACGGTCGAGCATTGTAGCAGAACAACGGCTGTGCGAACTGACCGGCAAGATCGTCCTAGCCATCGTAGGTCGCATAATCGACGCTTCCGGGTCAGACAGTGGCGAGCTGAAGAAGAGACTGCTCAAGCACAAGTCCGAGCTGGGCCGAAACTACCGCGAAGTCCTCGCCTACCTTGGAGACCGTAAGCCCAAACCTGCAGCACCCCGGGTGGCTCAGCCAAGAAGTAAACAACCTTCGGCGCGAGGCAAAGGCCAGAACGGCTCCGGCGCCAGCAAGCAAGCAGGAGACCACAAATCCGCCGAACGGATAGATGAGGAGGATGACGAAGACGACCACGACGGCGACTCTCCCGTCGAGGACGACGATGAGGACCTACGCGCCCGGGGCCTTCTCGAAGAGGAGAACATTGACTTAGAGCACGACGAGGAAGAAGAGGACGAGAACCCAGCCGGACCAGATCCAGACGAGGACGAAGTTATGGGTGATTAGTTCGTTGATTTTCCGGATGAAAACTAGGGAAGGCAAATTCACGGTGACTTACTACTACTATTACTTACTTCTCTGACTTGATTACGACTCTTTTTCTTTCTTCCTTTCTTCTTACTCTTCTATTTTTCTGTTTTTTTCTTTCAACAAGCCGGGCCTTTCCCCCCTGCCTCTTTGCTGTTATTATGTAGCTTGATATCACACTACTCTTCTTATACTTCGAGCTCTTTTCATGGACAGGAATCATACGCCCTTTCTTCTATTCTACTACTATTACATCGATCTCCTCTTACTCAAATATAAACCCCATCGTATCGAATTCTGTTGACGCGTCAAGTCTCCTATACATCTTCGGAGTTCAGTATCAAGCTACTACCTAGCTAACTAACTAACTGTGTTGTATCTACCCGTGGGATTGTTCAAGCTTTTGTTTGTTCTTCACGTGTGGCGGTTTCTTTCTTTTTTCGTTGATGTCCTTAGTTATCTCCACGCGCTATGGATGGATGTACGGAGTACGGAGTAAATACATAGCTGGCCCGGGGGGTCGGTAGAAACTAGGTTTATTTGACAGATTCGAGCAGTTTGTAACTATACTTAACTAGTAGTTCTCGGTCATAGTATAGTTCGTCGTGAAGTAGTTGTGATATAGATTCAACAATAGTCTATGGTAAGTAATTAACTCTTTGATCATAGATTATCATTATTAACATTAAGATTATCAAGTGGTGATAGTAAAATTTGTACAACTTCAAGAGAGAGAGAAAAACAAACAACATAAGGACAAGCGAGCGCCGTGACTTCACATGATATGTGGAATCTCAGCATTCAATGATAATATTCACGGTGGCGGACACCCCATAATACCCTTTGGAGTCTGAAAGAGTGAAACCAAGTCCCGAACGCTTCGAGATGGAGAAGTATCAGGGGTATCCTCAGATGGCACTTGGGGTGGAGTGGATATTGTAGAGGAGTCAAATGATTCAGACTCTCTTTTATGAACAGGTCTAGGTGTAGACGGAGGCTGAGGCTGAGGCTGGATGGAATTCCTGGGAGATAATAACATATGGTCTTGTTGGGGTGTGCCAGTCCCGTATTCAACCGATTGTCTTGGTCTCTCGGGAGGAGAAGATGACGATGGGTCTATATTCTCAGATGTGTAATGTCGATGACCTCTTCTGGGTAAGGGTGCCTGGGGTGGAGATTCTGTCGGTGGTATCTGGGGTGAAGATGTTGATGGTGTCGGGGGCGGAGACCTCGATGGTACCGGGGGTGGAGATGCTGTCGGTGGTACTTGAGATGGGGATGTTGTCGATGGGTTCGGGGCTGAAGGTCTAGTTGGTGCACCCTTGATGGACGCTGGATGTGATGGTTGACTTTGACCTGTGGGTGAATTTGGCTCCGGAGCACTTGAGCCATGCCCTGATTGTGAGGGCGTCAAAGGGGATTGTGTTTCTGAACCATCACTATGATTTCTCTCTGAAGAAAATGACGCAGCTGGAGAATGCTGAATGGGAGGTGACTTGACATATGGATCCAACCCATCGACATGGGACGAGACATCTTCACGGCTGGAGATGCTTTCCAAGGGGGATCCATTCTGTGGAGGTGACCTCGACTGATCTTTCGCATTGGCACGAAAACGAAACTTGAATTCGTTCATGAGGAGCTTAAGATGCTCGAAAGCTTGACGATATGCATATTGCAGAGTTTGGCCGGCATCGTGAATGGCGCGATTGCCTTTGCGGCCAACCGCGAGGAAAAAGCGACGCGAGGTCGATGCAGTGCTCCACAGGATTCGTTGAGTGGCCTTGGAGACGTCATTCACCCAGCGCGTCCGTTCATCAATTCTCTTTCTCAGAAGTTTCCAGCTTTCGCGCATGGCCTCACTATTATCTCGCCTTTTGGCTTGCTTGTTGGCCCGGCTGCGAAGCTTGTTCAGGCATTTCCCCAGCTCTTTCTGCAGAGTCTCCAATGGAGCCACTGAATCAAGGATTCGTTGGTCAGTCTCTGGATCAGTTTGCTCAATCATCTTATAGAGCTCCGGGACAATCAGCTCTTGTACCAGGCCATATCGATCCACGATTGTATTAAGATTGCGCTCTGCTGTCTGGAATTCGTATGGATAGGTATACTTGATGAAGAGCACCTTGAACCCATCGCACAATCTCGTCTTGAGTCACTTCCAACGGGCATTTCGATAATGAGGGTACTGTAATCGTTTTCAAAAGCTCCTTTGTGCAAACGGCCGCAGATAATGACGCGTAGGAATGCCAATCATCATTTTTGTGACCATCCGAGTAATCAGAGATACCACGCACAGTGAGGCATGGAATGGTCTCCATGATAGCAACTGCTTCCATCTCATAGCATATGATATCGAGCAACCTGGCAAAGTGGTCACGCTCACTGGCTTTCTTCACGACTTGATCCGCAGATCCCACGACTCCTTGGTGCACCTGGATTAAGTCTGAATCGTTGCGATGACTGCGAGTGCAACCATAGCCCACGGCCTGGGATTCAGCCTTTAAGCAATCACAGCGGCTGTCATGGATGTAATCTCTAACATAGAGATTGTCTTTTGTTGGTCGATAAATGGTGTGTGGCCCGATATTCTGGATGGATTCCTGCAAATTCAGGCCCTGTCCCAATCGAAACCCCAGTCGGGTGATGAAGGGTGACTCGAGCACTCGACCAGTAAGCACTACTACGGTAAAAAATTGCGCAAGGCAGGGAATGGAAAGTCCGACCCCGGTCAAGCGGCTGGGCTTCAGGAAAAGCAAACAAGCCAGGGGGGCGTCTCTCTAGCCTTGCGCAGCCTTGTCAACTACCAAATTGGATTGCCGCGGTGATCGAGCCTGGGAGCCCAAATCTCTGAGTAATGGGGGCTTGGATTTGGGGGGACATTTTATCTGGCAGTTAGGTAAGCTAGAAAAAGATGGGTCGATCCCTTATGGGACAATGTGGATGGAAAATGTGGATGGAAAAAGGGAATCGTCATTTTTAGGCTAGTTTACTATCCATCAGCATGGAACCTATTGGGCTTAGTGACTATACGAGGTACCCTCCGACTAATGCCAGACGCAAGGGAAACCGCATCGAGAACAGAATCGGTCGTCGGGTATAAAGTCGACGCCATCACCCAGTATCGGTTTACTCATTTCCCAAGGCACAGAAGACGGACAGCACCCAAGCCCACAAAACAAATCACAACCGAAGGGAACATCCAGAGGAAATGAACAAGAAGGAGACCGAAAAAGCAGATACGCCTGTGTATGAGGGATGCTACGGGGAGGTAGTAGAGAAATATAAAAAGGGGTACATGATGGTGAATCTTTATCGTGATGATCAAACAGGGGAGAAAGGAATCATGAGGCGGGGGTAGGGGAATGGAGGACAGAGGGGAAGCATGAAACTCTGAGAGCAAAAAGGGTTGAAGAGACTTTGCGAAGTTACTCCAAGCAAGGGAAGGAGCCGCACTAGAAACCCTCGGTCTTGAGTCATGGAGTTCTGGAATAGTTATGGGGAATCCAAGGCCTCCATGGACTCGGGATCGAGGGTCCACATGGCGGCGTGGTGACCGCCACGTGTAGATCTAGCGAGGAATAGAGTCGAAGTAGATGGTGCAGATCTCATGTGGGTCATGGTTCATTGCCAGTAAAATGCGTGTCAATTTTTTACATATCCATGGAGTCACCACCGTTGGCGAAGTTGAATCCGCCCTGCTGTTGCGTGGTGCCAAGGGCGAATCCAGTCTGTGTCTGCTGGGGAGCGACCTCGTCGATGTCGCCGGCCTCGTCCTCATCGGAGAAGTACTTCTCGATGATGTTGTACGCCTTCATGTAGATCTCCTCGTTGGCGTTGTTCTGGCAGTCGTGGATCTTCTCCATACCGCCGGCCTCTTCGATGAACAGAGCATAGCGGTTAACCCGAGCCTCACCAGACTGGGCAGCCTCCTTGTCCATATCGCCGACCTTGAGGATGTTCTCCAAGCCGTCCAGAGCGACCTGGATGATCTTGTTATCAGGGCAAGCCAGGAGGTCGCACAGGGGCTTGATGCATCCCTGAGACACGAGGTAACGGATCTGTTCGGGCTTCTGCAGACCACCGGAGGTGGCGTTGGAGATAGCCCAGCAGGCTTCCTTACGGGTCTTGAAGTCACCGTTGGCCAACAGGTTGATCAAGGGAGGGATGATGCCGGCATCGACAACGGCCTGGATCTGGCTAGAGTTGCCAGCGGTAATGTTGGAAATCGTCCAGCAGGCCTCCTTACGGATACCATCCTTGGTGGAGCTCAGCAGAGCAAGGAGGGCGGGGAGAGCGCCGCAGTTGATGATGACCTGGGTCTGGACGTCGTCACCGGTGACGATGTTACCAACAGACCGGAGAGCGGGGGTCTGGACAGAGGTCGACGCGTGCATGAGAAGCTCAACCAGGCGGCGAGGGATTCCGGCCTCAATGACAGCCTGGATCTTATCGTTGGCACCATCGGAGAGGTAAGAGATGGCCCAGCAAGCATCAATGAGGACCTCGTCATCAAGCATGTAGATAAGCTTGGCAAGAACAGGAAGAGCAGGGGCAATCTATAGATATATCGTCAGCGACCGCAATTTGTCGAGATGGGTTAGTTAACATACGTTGTTCCAGTCAGGCTGTGGCGTCTTGCCACGGCAGAAATTGCTCAGGGTCCAGGTAGCGTTGCGCAACATACTCAGCTTCCGGCCATCATTGATGAGGTTGAGAAGAGGACGAAGAGCACCGGCGTTGAGAACGAAATCGCGGCATTGAGGGCTGTCACCAGCAATGTTACCAAGGGCCCATACGGCCTGCTCACGAACATCGGGTTCAGGGCTGCTCAAGAGCTCAACGAAGATAGGCACGGCACCGGCCTCGATGACCACCTGGGTCTGCTGGGCGGATCCAGAGGCAATGTTGGTCAAAGCCCAAGCGGCTTCGAACTGAACAAGGGTGTGGGGGGAGCGGAGAAATTCAACAAAACGGCTGACGACGCCGGTCTCGATGACACGCTCAATGGGAGGGTTGCGCTCCTTGGAGAGCAGTTTGCGGAACTTGGTGGTGGCCTGGATCTGCTGGTCGATCTGGTCGGAGAAGACACCCTTAACCATCTCGGGGAGCTCCACGCTAAGCTAAAAGACAACCCATTAGCTAAACTGCATGAGAATGAAAACATCTTGGCTGGGCGGGATGATGAATTCCGATGATGGTCGTGTGCTCGCCCAGAGCTGGATGAGGGCTCGCCCCCCGGCGGCAAAGCGGTGAAAAGCTCGCAGAGACGCATCCGGACGAGCAAAACAGGATCGAAAACGGGTATGGAAAGATCCAGCGCTCGGTTGAAGGGCCGAAAGGGATCGAAAGATGCAAAACAAATGAAGGGACGCAGGAACAGCATACCTCACTCTCAATAGCGCTGGCCTCATCGTCACTCTCGGCAGCCGCTACGCCGCCGCCCACGCCAATGCCACCATCGCGGGTCTGAATGCCTCTCCTCTTGGCCAAATTCTCTTCTCTCTTCTGCTTTCTGATTTCAACCTGTTGTTCCTCACGACGACGACGGAGTTCGTCAGGCCGGAACTGGTTCCGGGCCTTGAACTGGGTGCGACGATGCTCGGGGATGTAGCGCTCGGCCATGGTTGCTTGGGACACAAGAGGGGTGAAAACAAAGCGCACCACAACCGGGTAGATTAGCTTGAGAGAAAGAAAGAGGGAGGAGAGCAGAAAGTGGAGAGCAGTAGCAAGATGGGGGGAGATGGGGAACCCAGGAACCTGAAAAAGGAGATAGAGAAAGAGGCTAGACAAAGGAAGCAGGACAAGCGCACGGCGAGATGGTGAAGGAGGGGAAAAAAGTGTTGATGCTTCCTTCGGAGGTGGGATTGGCCCAGTCACGGGACGCCGCTGATTTGCTGTTTTCGGCTCCGCCCGCAAGCGCCACTTCCGCCTAAGCGAAGTTGCCGCGCCTTTCTTTCTCTTTCTCCGTCTCTTTCATGCGTCTCCGTCTTTCGCTTCTCTGAAGAATGCCCCGGTTGGATTATTCAATTGGAACTGAGGTTGTTAGGAAGCCGAGAGCCTGCTCGTCATCTTCCGTTGACAGTCCGGGGCGGTGGTGTTGTTTACGTCCACCAGGTGCCGATCCGTTCGCGCGTCGATCTATCGACTCGCGGTTCAATCAACAGCACCACTTAGAAACTATATCAGGAATAGATCTCGGGCGCTTCGGTCTTTGTTCGCATGCGCTACGCACATCAGATTCCATCAATCGCGAAACAACTATGCACCCATGGACGATAACGTAAATCCTTGATCATGTCAGGCAGCTATTCCTCTCGCTTTGTGGATGTGTCCACGGCCCTCTCCTCGCAGGGCAAAGTCAGTATCATTGGCGTTGTGGTCGATGTCTTCGGTGGAGTCTGGAAGTCCCGGGGCTCTTCCAGCTGCATTACCTTCACGATCAAGGACTCGGGACTCGATAACGGCCATACGTGGGATGGCTTGAAAATCAAGTATTTTAAAGATAATGAGAGCCATCTGCCCCCCGTGCAAGTCCGCGACGTAATCCTGCTGCGAAATCTCACCGTTCGTGACACAGAATCTCAATCTTCAGCCGTGGCAAACTGACCCTTTCCTCGCAGGTGAAGCCATTCAAAGGAGATCCTCTAGGAGTCGCCGCCCACTACGACGATGTCCCGTGGGCAATCTTTCGCTTGGACCCGGATCCCATGTCCAGTCCTGCTCCCCTATGTGGCCCTTCAGACTTCGAGCCATCATCTTCCGAGAAGATACACGCTTTGAATCTGCTGAATAGCGCTGCTGCGGTCAATGGCTTCCGCAAAGCTCCAGCGTATGATGTCCCGCGTGGACCCAATGTCGTTCAAGCTGCAATATCAAATCCCAAACCGTGGGACCAGAAAAGGCTCACTCTTATCAAGGATATCGAAGAGCGGACGTTTGTTAGCCTCCTTGGGGAAATCGTCAAGATCTACACCAATGACAGTGAAAAGGTCCTCCTACATCTCACTGATTATACAATTAATGAAAGTCTGCAAGACCATCAACTAGATGATGGCGGCGATGAGGGCTACGGCGCTGAGGGAGATATCTATGGGTACCAAAAACGGCCCAAGAAAAAGTGGACAGGGCCGACTGGCCGAATGTCTCTTCCAATCACGTTATGGGAACCCCATGCATCCTATGCGCGCCAGCATCTCAAGGCAAACGACCTTATCCAACTAAGCAATGTCCATGTCAAGCGGAGCCGCATAAATGGGATACTAGAAGCCAGTGTCCATACAAACCGCACGAATCCAAACTTGGTCAATGTACACACCGTGGACCATCGGAAAGATGCACATGCCGAAGAGTTCATACAGCGTAAGACGGAATATTGGAAATCCAATCCCCGGAAGCGGGAAGCAGAAAGTGAAAACCAGCAGCCACCCAAGAAAAGTGCTAAGAAACAACGAAAGAAATTTCAAAAAGTGGAAGAAGGCCAGGTGCCTATAACAACCGCAAACAGCAAGCGGTATGCACCAAATGAGAATATCAAGGCAGGCAATCCGTCTGTCCCAACAATGTCCCTCGAAGCTATCCTATCCAACAAATTTCATGACAATACCTCATACGATAAAATTGAATACCGTCTCCCATTCCAAAATTTCTGCTATCGAACAACAGTCCGCGTGGTTGACTTCTTTCCCCCAAGATTGGAAGACTTTTCCGTCCCAGAAGACGCTTCTGATGACGAGACGGGTCCGGGAGACCCTAATCGTTTCATTAGATGGGAATGGCGATTCTGCATTCTCGTCGAAAGTGTCCCTCCCCCACCCGCAGGCCAAGCAAAGGAGCAGATGAGATTATTTGTAGCTGGCCCTAATGCAGAGTATCTGCTGGGGCTGACCGCAGTCGAGTAAGTGTGCTGACCCCTATATATTCAATGGAGACCTATGAATCCGATCTCTGACTCCAGTTTTCATATAGTCTCAGGCGAAACCCGCATGACTTGAAAGATCTGCGGGAGAAGCTCTTCATTATATGGGGCGACCTTGAGGAGCGCAAAAGGATGGCCTTGCATGATGGCAAACAGGACCTAGGCCCGGTTTCCTGCAGGCCTTTCAGCTGCTGTGTCCAAGAATATGGTGTCTTGTGCAGCCATCGCCCCGACACGGAGAGTACGAATAACGAGGACGATGAGAATGGCTGCAGCCACGATGACTGTTTCGGATGGGATAGGCGGTTTGCTATGTTTTTGACTACTATTGCGTAACATTTCTGCGGACCTTCAAGAAATACCCTTTTTTTCTTTTTGGAAAACAATTGTGGACACTAAGCCATCGACTAGTATCCATGTGTCATAGAATGGCAATGCAAAGTTCGGGTCTTTGCACCCCAAGGTCGGTTGCAGGAAGTTTAGAACTACAGTAGGGAATTCTACCCTTATTGACCGCCTGCCGGCATGATGTCTATTTACCTCCTTACTGTTGGAAGGCTTAGGCGCCCGTGTTCCCCGAGAATCTTTCTAGCTTGAATACTATTTATTACTTTTGGAATAACCATGGACACGACAGCTGACCTAATCGGTGTTGGGCGGGTTGGCTGTGTGATGCGCTATGGGGATGTCGCAGTGAAGACCGCAAATAAATGGTCAGTGCCTGACAATGCATCGGAATACACAACCCTTATCTACCAGCAGATGAACAGGACAAATGAGGAGGCCCTGAATCACGAGGGCCGCATCTATCGACATCTTGCTCATGTGGAAGGCGTTCTGAAACCGTTGGAGATCTCCGATACAGAAATCCGGATGCCGTATGTAAGCTACAGGTCTCTCGACAGGTACCTGAGTGCGAATGCGGCCATTGTAAATAACACCCAACACTTGCGGTGGTTTCGAAATGCAGCAGAAATCATCTTCAGAGTACACAGACAGCGGGTTCTTATTGCCGATATCGCAGCACGGAATTTCCTCGTCAACGCAGATCTATCGCTCCAGTTATGTGATTTCTCCGAATCAGTCATCATTCCGGTAGAACATGCTCTGGACGAGTTCATCTCGGAAGACTCTCTTTCTATGAAGTCTGATATTGCTCGATTTGGGTCCATGTTGTATGAGATCGTCTCTGGACGTCGTTATGAATTCTATGTGACATCTGAGATTGAAGCCGACTTGGACGATGGCGAATCAAAGACATACAGACAATGGCCGACGAGCGAGAAGTTTCCGGACACGACAGATGTGTTCTTGGGTGATGTTATTCGGAAGTGCTGGCTTAGGGATGGGTTTTGCAGTATGGATGATGTCTGCGTTGCTTTGTATTGCGCACATGTTCCTGGTGAAGAAGAAACCGATGCGATGCTGGACTGGAGATATGTACTTGGTATAGCGACCCCGGTGATGATCCTCACTATTGTTGTCGCTCGCCGTTTTCCATGGCAGAAGCTAGTGGATGCGCTGCCTTTCAACCGTGCAGGTGGATAAGGGATCCTCTTTGAGATGTGGAGGGAAACTGTGAAAATTCACCAAACACTGTAGCTTCCTATTAGGGATAGGTTTAATGACCTTTATCATATAATGCCACACATTTGGCTACGCTAATTTTGCTTAGGTGGGATAAGCTCGGTCTCCCTATGAATTGAGCTACCAGCCTAGTACTACTATTTGTCTTCACTGATTTACAAAGTGATTGGTCCCAAGTGAACGCATAGCCGGAATTGACACGAGATTCATTCTCAAATACAGAGAGATATATATATATATATACTATATAATAAGGTCATGGGATATCAAGTAACTGCAGGGTCTGATAGATATGTGCTATGAGAACAAACCAAGTATAAGAAGTGAATGGGCCAAGAGCAATTTTGGTTGGGAAAAAAAAAGGCAAAACCGGGAGACGATCCATCTTGCATGTGCAAAGTCATTACTTGGGCAGATCAGCGCTTGCCAATTGTTCACAGTGCTTGTAGGACAAGCGAGGGGAGGGAGGGCAGAAGGGGGGGTATTAGACCTTCGTTACTTTAACGATATTGGTATCGACGCCATGCGCGGCAGGATCAAATCGACAACTTGAACCCCAGTAGCAATCCTTTTTCCCGGGATCGGTGTGCGGACACCGATGTCCATATGTACATTCGGGGTCGTCGCAGTCCAATCCATACCGGCAAGGAGTCATGCGGGCGATGGCTGTCAGAATTGAGAGCTCGTTCTTGGTCAGTTTGCGAGAGTGGTCGTGCTGACAGTTGTCAACTGTACATTCGCCTAAGAGATAATAAAGATTGCAGAGTTTTAGTTTCTTCAGGCGATTCATGTCATCTCGTGGAATACTTTTGAAATCCAGCCGGTCTACTCGTTGACCGTATTTATTTCGTTCCACGATTTTCGGTCGCGCGGAAGCGACGGATTTCGATTGCACCACTTGGAATTCTCCTGGGCTTGGGGGTCTTGCCGATGTGGACGATAATGATGTACTGGCATTTGTGGAGGTATTGGTTGAGGACCTTGAGAGTGATACTGCACGCTGGTTTGGTGATGGGGTGAGAACAGGCGGTGGTTTGGAAGCCACCGCGGCTTTCCATGGGGCCAAGATAGGCGTTATCTTCGTATCTCGGAAGATCTCCGGAAATCGCGAGACTCGGTAGGATGCCTTGATACTGTTCAGGTCTTCTCCAAAGGGAGTGCCCTCGATCAGGGACACTCTTCCTAATAGATCAAGCTCGTCCAAAGAGTCTACCAGAATTTGGGCGTATGCGCTATCATCGGAGCACCCCAGGAAGATCTGGTGGCAGTGGCAGTTATATAAATTGAGTTTGAAGGCCTCTAGAGACGGCCGGCGGCAAGTCAGCGCGTATTTCCAAGCAGCGTATAGTTGGAGGCGCCAAAGGACATGAGGTCGCGATGCATACCTCCGATCTTCTCATGTGCGCTGTCCACTCCAGTATCCACGAGGTCGAATAGTGGATGACTATTGAAGCCTCTAGCAAATTCCTCAACTGACGATGGGTCGGCGGTGATCCCACCTCGAACACAGATCTCACCAAGGGCTTTTATGTTGACGTACATCCTTGCGATTATCTTGGGGATTTCAATGCCCGGAAAATTGCCGAAAACATAATTTTTGAGGGAGATAGAGAGCTTCTTTGCTGCGATCTTGCCACCCTCTTCCCCTGCTTGTAGGAATTCGTCCCGGAATAGTATCCCAGCCCCATCTAGAAGCACGACTATGAAGGGCTCGCGATCCTATAGGCCGATGGGCATTATTAGCACATATCAGGCCAGTGAACTGTAATGTCCCACCATAATGGCCTTGATTCGCGCGATCTGCTGCATTAAATCCATCTCATGGAGCTGAATATCGCGATTAAACCGCGTTTCGCGCTCATGGTCGAGCTTCTCTTGCTGGAAAGCAGATTCGAGCTCTGTAACCCGCTGCAAAAGTTCCTGGATGCATGGAGTGTAATGTCAACATGGAGGACTTGATGGTTTATGGTCCTGAGCGGCTACCTCGATCAAAATGTTCTTATCTTGCTCTATGGAGGCCAGCTGTTTATATCGCTCGAAATAAGCCGGGGCTGTCATGATGGACTAGATAAGGTTCGAGACTTGGAGATCTAGAGGGTAATCTGTGGAGCTCGACGGTATAGAAATAATGGGACCGAAGGGAATGGAGGGAATGGAGGGCAGCAGAGAGGGATGAAGGGGGATTTATGGAGAGGGAAAAAAATGACGGATCGGGCAGGCTGCGTGAAGCAATACGATTCGTCTGACTTTTTACTGTACATTCACTGGAGGAGAACTGCGGTGATCTACGTCCAGCAGCAGTTGATTCGCGTGGAAGATGCCATCAAGTCCCTCTCAACCGCCGCAAGAGGCGCTGGCCAGTCACAGCCGCCGTCGGGAGAGAGCCGGGGCTGAGTCAGCCCGCTGCATGGGGAACGCCGAAACCGCCTACGTGGAGATTCCCCTTCTTTCTTGCTCTTGCTGCAACTCATCTCTTTACCTACTACTTGCTTTCTCTCGGTTCGATCGCCTCTTTGGTCTTTCGTCCTTTACTTCCCCTCCCCTCCCCAATCCCCTTCCCTTTCTTCTTCCCCCGTTCCCCTCTTCGGTTATATCACAATGGGTCGCTTTGGTCTCTTGTCCCTGGCTCTCCTTTCTGTCCAGGCCTTGATTGGCGGCAGTCTCGCGGCGGTACGTTCCCTTTCTCCCGCGTGACTCGAGATCGTCTCACATTCAATTGACTTGCTGACACACTTCCCTACTCATTCAGGATGCTGTTGAGAAGGAGGAAGTTGCTGAGACCCCATTGCTCGCTGTGTCGGCGCACGCCTCCTTCCCTGCTTCCGAGATCTTTGGCGTCAAGCTCGTCAATGGCTACCCCACGGAGGCGCTGATCACCTTCAACAATGAGGAGGAGTCTCCTGTGACGGTGGCCTTCATTGGAGGCACCCTATCGGCCGTGGAAGAAGAAAAGAGCCAGATTGTTCGCAACCTGACTACCCACCGTTACAGCATTGAGATCCCGGCCGGTCAGCAGGAGAGCGTCAGCTATAGCTTCGCCACTGAGATGCACCCCCAGGATCTGCTGCTCACTCTCGCTTCGGTTATCTCGGACAACCAGGGTAATGTCTTCACTCTTTACGCTTACAACGGCACCGTCAGCGTCGTGGAACCGGAAACCAGCATCTTTGACCCCCAGATGTAAGGCACCCTCGGGCTTCCTTTTCGCGATTCAATGCTAATTGGCTCCTGATAGCCTCTTTCTGTACTTCTTCCTCCTGGCTTGCTTCTCCGGAGTCGTCTACTTTTTCTACACCGTCTGGATCGCGCCTTACTTCCCTCAGAAGCGCCGTTCTACCAAGGGTCCCGAGAACAAGTCGTCTGGCGCATCCAAGAAGGAGGCTCCCGCTGAGACTCCCAGCAGCCCTGCCGTTTCGTCTGCTACTACCTACAACGCGGAATGGATCCCCGCTCACCACATCAACCGTCCTGAGGCCAGGAAGGTTAAGGGTGGCGCGAAGTCTAAGAGCCGTGCCTAGACGGCTCTGCGGTGGCGAATTGATGGGTTGATTTGGAGGATATATAGGGAAGGGCTTGTTAGTCGGAGGGAACCTTAATTGGTTCTCTCAGCGACTCCGAAGTAAGGTTAGCGGACGAAGGAAAAGGTCACTGAAAATGTGACCGGCCTGGAGTTATTGCTGCCTTGGATTTGCGTGTACATTTACGTCAAATTGATATTGGTAATCGAAGCTCTCGCAGCTTAGCCTCCAGGGGATTGCCTTCACGGGAGCCCACATTACTCCATCAAATGGCGAATGAAGCTTGACAGAAGTGGCAGGCACGTGCTCCTTGACTCCTAGTCACATATATAGATACGCATACTGTGCCTAAACTCACAGCCGTCTCCACTCGTTGAATTCCGCCTCTAAATGTAATTTCAGTTCGGCGAATTTGTTCCCGAATCCCTTCCCACAGCGCCAGCAGACGAAGTCTCTCCGCAGGTAGCCTTCCTGGTCTGGTTGTCTCCGGACATCATCGTGAGCCAGCGGGAAGTCATCGATGTTGATGAAGAACGGGGTAGAAAAGCTATTGTAATGTTTCCTGTGTTTCACGCGGTCGCTATATCGGTCCACGGAGATAACATGAACATGCAAGTGATTCATGGAGGGATGCGCATGAATCCCACACATGATTTCTTGCTCCCAATCTCTCCCCGGCGGCAACTCATCCAGCGGCGGTTCTACATTCAGCGCCTCTTGTCTTGCCTTATCCTGTGCTGAGTGCTTCCCGTGTATTCGCCTCAGTTCACCAGCAGCGAGTGTGCGCAGCTTCTTCGTTTCCTTTCTGACCTTTTCCAGGAACTCGGCATCTTGGAACGCTTCGACGGGGTGCAGGCGGGTTTTTTGAGGATCGCGAGGAAGGAGAAGCAGGTGGAGGGTTGCCTTGGGGAACATATCATGGATAACGACAAAGTCGTCATCATAGTATACTACCACGTTGGAGGGGAATGATTCGGGTTTTGCGATGTAGGCGCCTAGGGCATCTCGGGGGCCTCCGATGGCTCGCTTCTTGGAAGTAGCTTGCTTGGAGGAGCTGGGATTAGAATGTTTGGGATGTTTAGATTTCGGAGATAATAGCTCTGTAACTGAGATGAGAGTTGTTAGCTGTGTCTGCAGCTGTTATGCAAGGAGAGTACTAAAAGCAAATGGTATGACTCAGAGCGTACAGGCATCTCTCTTCGCTGGCTTCTGCGGTTGTTGCGCTTCTGCAGGCGCGACAAGCTGTTCTGTTGAGCTGTCTAGCTCCAAGGTGGGTGATTCGGCCATCGCGATAATACTATTGTTTAGAGAAGGATGTGGTCGGTCAGTTGAGAGGTGAGATAAGGGACATTCATAGCTCCAGCCACGCGTCGAGGTATGGGATGCGGAGAGGCCGATGCGATCAGCGGCAAGTCCCCGCAGCCCTACTCAAGTCATCAAAGCGGTCTAGTGCGGGACAGCCAACCGCGGTCACAATCGCCCAGATCTCGGCTTCCTTGCTAGATACCAAGTGCACTTTTTGGATACCCTCAAAGGCCTCATTACTCCACGGGCGTCTGCTCCAGAATAATCACTGCCCAAGAATTATGGGCCCCAAGAAAAAGTCCGACGCCCGTGGAGGCCCCAAACCCGGGACGAAACAGGCCAAAGCCGCCGCCGAGAAATCGGCTGAGACGGCGAAGAAGGCGCAGGCCTCCACGGAAGAACCGAAGAAACCTTCGGTCAAGGAGGTCATTGGAGGCGCATCATGGACCGGGAAACTCCCGGTCAATATGCTCTCGGAGCATTGTCAGAAGCAGAAGTGGGAGAAACCTGAGTATACTATGGTAAGGTGATGCGGTGGGCAGATGGACGGACTTGGTTTTTTGTTCAATGCGCAAGCTGGCAATGCTAATGGTATTCTTGTACTGCAGATAAAAGTATCGGAGGGCTTTGTATCCTCCGTTATTTTGAAGCGTGTTGACCTCAAAACTCGAGAAACTATCACCCTTCCTCCCATGAAGCCCCCTCCGTCCCACAAGCATCTCGCCGCGCAACCTACGGCGTTGGAGGCGCGCCATTTCGCGGCAGCTTATGCGCTATTCCGAGTCTGCAACATGAAGAACCTGCATATGATGCTTCCGCCAACCTACAAGAAGCTCTGGAAAGAGGACTTTACGGATATCAAGGCCGCAGACACCAAGGAGGGGAAAGGATGGATGTACGAAGCAGACCCATTCCTTGCCAAGCAGGAACGAGAAAGTGCCGCTGCGGATCTGGAGAAGAAGCGGAAAGAACGCGAGAAGACTCAGGCGAAAGCCGCCGAGCGGGGGGTTGACTTGGGCCTGGGTTCTAGTGGCGACAACAAGGGAAGGAAAATCTGGTCGCAGGCTCCAAAAGTCGACCTTGGGGGTAAAGTGCGCCGTGAAATCGAGGGAATACTGCGGCAGCATGCTATCTGGAATCCTTACAATGTGGAGATTCCGGAAAGCGAACGCAAAACTATTGTCGAGGAACTTACTCGACTGGGATTCCGGCGCAGCCACGTTGAGGAGGCGACGAGCACATGCAAAGACCGGGAGGAAGTTTTGGAATGGCTTCTTATATACGTTCCGGAGGATGATCTTCCACGTTGGTGTCTACCAGAGGGATACTCGGCCGGTGTGAGCCTTGCTAGCGATGACCTTGCAAGGGAGGCGAAAATCAAACGACTGGCCTCCATCGGCTACCCTGCCGACCTGTGTTCGCGGACTCTAGACAGCAAGCAGGGCGATGAGCTTGCAGCAGCTGAGTTCCTTCAGAACACACTGGTTCATGGATCAAATCTTGCTACAGACTCTGCGCCCTCCGGAGAAGAAGATCTATGGGCAGAAGAGCAGGAAACATTGGAGGCCATCTTTGGAGAACGATACTCCAGGATATCGCCTAAAGTTTGTGAAATCAAGGGTGAAGGGTCCAACTTACCGGAGTCTATTACCTTCCGTTTCCAGAGACCTTCTTCGCATTATCCATCAGCTGTGCCAGTCATCTCCCTCCTGGTCAAAGGCATCCCTGCTTATATACGACTCAGTGCTATACGTCAGGTGGTGCGGTACTCTGAGGAGAACTTCTTGGGTGAGCCTATGATATTCAATATATTGGACTGGCTGGAGGTCCATCTGCCGGAGGTTATGGAGAACCCAGGGAAACTCCGGGATATTTCAACAGTCTCCGCTTCTCCAACAGCTACTGGATCTGTGTCTCAACTACCTGTTCGCCAATCACGCAGGAAGGGTAGGGATGTCAACTGGCAGCCGGGGTCGCCGCAGAGCGTTTCACTACGAGAAGCCTGGGAAGCCAAGCAGTCAACCAAGGCCCAGCAAGACATGACACGGAAGCGGGAATCCCTTCCAGCCTGGAATACACAGGAGGCTATCATTCGTGCCGTGAATACGCATCAGGTTACAATCATCTCTGGAGAAACGGGTAGTGGAAAGAGTACCCAGTCCGTCCAATTCCTGCTCGATGACTTGATCAAGAGAGACCTTGGCGCTGCCGCCAACATCATCTGTACGCAGCCTCGCCGAATCTCTGCCTTGGGTCTAGCCGATCGAGTGTCCGACGAGCGATGTGCGTCAGTAGGTGATGAGGTTGGATATATCATTCGAGGCGAGTCCAAGGTCAAGTCGGGCACAACCAAGATCACATTTGTTACAACTGGTGTTCTGCTCCGTCGCATGCAATCTGGCAGCGGTCCTGACGGCAATGTTGCGAGCTCCCTTGCGGATGTCACCCATGTGGTTGTGGATGAGGTGCACGAACGGAGTCTTGACACCGATTTCCTCTTAGCCTTACTAAGAGACGTTTGTCGCTATCGGAAAGACATCAAGGTCATCCTCATGAGTGCCACTCTTGATGCTGACGTCTTCATGAACTACTTTGGTGGCCGTCAATCCGTTGGATTCGTTAACATCCCTGGGCGGACCTTTCCTGTGGATGACTACTACTTGGACGATGTTGTCCGTGACACTGGGTTCTCTCCCGATTTCAGTGAAATGGACTATGAAGGAAACGTCGTACCTTCTGCACAAGCTGAAGAGTCCTTTGGCAGACTTCTTCGCAGTATTGGCATGGGCATCAACTACGAATTGATCGCCTCCACGGTGCGATACATAGACGCCCAGTTGGGCGATCAACCTGGAGGCATCCTCATCTTCCTGCCGGGTACCATGGAGATTGAAAGATGCCTGAACGCTGTGAGGAGAATCCCCAATGCCCACCCACTCCCACTTCATGCATCACTCCTCCCAGCCGACCAACGCCGCGTCTTCCTCAGTCCCCCGAAAGGCAAGCGCAAGGTCATCGCAGCAACCAACGTCGCCGAAACGTCTATCACAATCGAGGATATCGTGGCGGTCATCGACACGGGTCGGGTCAAGGAGACGAGCTACGACCCCAGAGACAATATCGTCCGGCTACAGGAGGTATGGGCATCCCAAGCCGCCTGCAAGCAACGACGTGGTCGAGCCGGTCGAGTCAGGGCCGGTTCCTGTTACAAGCTCTACACGCGCCAGGCCGAGGCGAACATGGCGCATCGTCCAGACCCCGAAATTCGTCGCGTGCCCTTGGAACAGCTGTGCCTATCTGTCAAAGCCATGCAAGGCATCAATGACGTCTCCACGTTCCTCGCCAACACACTCACCCCGCCAGAGAGCACCGCTGTCGAGGGAGCCCTAGACTTCCTGCATCGCGTCGGAGCTCTTGATCATGACAGACTAACGGCCCTCGGACGCTACCTGTCCATGATCCCAGCCGATTTGCGCTGCGCCAAGCTCATGGTCTACGGTTCCATCTTCGGTTGCATCGATGCCTGCGTCACCATCTCCGCCATCCTCACCGTCAAGAGTCCCTTCGTCTCCCCACGAGAGCGACGCGAAGAAGCCAACGCCGCCAAAGCCTCATTTTCCAAGGGCGGCGAGGGCGACCTCGTCACAGACTTCGTCGCCTACCAACAATGGTCCGACCGGGTCAACGCCCAAGGCTACTGGCAAACCCAATCCTGGTGCTCCGAAAACTTCCTGTCGCACCAAACCCTCCGCGATATCTCCTCCAACAAATCCCAACTCCTAACCTCCCTCAAAGACGCCGGTCTCCTCCCAGTCGACTATTCCTCCCCCTCTTCCGAGCCAGCAACAAGCAACCGCTGGAACCGCAACGCAAGCAACAAAGCCCTCCTCCGGGCCCTCATCGCCGGCGCCTTCCAACCCCAGATCGCGCAAATCTCCTTCCCCGACAAGAAATTCGCCAGCTCCGTCACCGGAACTGTCGAAATTGATCCAGACGCCCGAACAATCAAATACTTCAACCAAGAGAACGGCCGCGTCTTCATCCACCCGAGTTCCGTCCTCTTCTCCGCCCAATCCTACCCCAGCTCATCTGCATACCTAACCTACTTCACCAAAATGGCCACGAGCAAGGTCTTCATCCGTGATTTGACCCGTACGTTCCCATCCTCATCCTTCTCCCTCCATCTATAAGAATACTGACCAGACCCAGCATTCAACGCCTACTCTCTCCTCCTCTTCTGCGGATCCATCGACCTAGATACTACAGGTCGCGGACTAATCGTCGACGGCTGGCTACGTCTCCGTGGCTGGGCTCGCATCGGTGTCTTAGTCTCCAGGTTGCGTATGATGCTGGATGAGATTATCGCGATGAGAATCGATCAGCCTGCTTCTTCTGCTGTTACGGTGGGCAGTGGGGCTTCTCAGAGTGGTGGCGGTGGTGATCGAGCAAGTATTGCGGATCAGGTGGTTGAGGTTGTGAAGAGGTTGATTGAGTTTAATGGGTTGGATCAGTAGAGGTTCAGTATCTTGGAGGTCTTTCTTTTTTAGTCTTTTTGGATATACTAGGTCCTGGCCTGCGGGAAGTCCCCATTCCAAGGCGTTTCGAATCCCCTTGATTAGCACCATGTAACGCATTTCTAAAAGCATATAGTTAGAGACATCCTGTATAGCTGAAGAAGTCCAACGCTGCTAAATGGCTCCGTCAAGCAGTTCTTAAATGCTTCAACCAAGCACACCAAAGGGCTATTTCAAGCGCTTTAAAAGGACTCAGCCAAGTACTTTTAAAGAGGTTAACCAAGTATTCTAAAAGACTCAACCAAGGGCCCCAAAGGACTTTATCAAGTGTGCTATTCAAAGAGAGCTCTATCGAGCGGTTCCAAAAGGCTTCACCAAGTATCCCAAAGAAGTTGATCAAGAGTGCTGTGCTCTAAAAGACCCTATCAAATATCCAAAAACATAGTGATTAATTCCGATCTACGTACAGTCTGAATCGTATATAAAGATCTCGTCCAGACCTACAGTGACAGTCTGAATATACATTCTGAAGGAACTATCCAAGCTTTTTTTTTTTTTCTTATTTCCCTCCCCCTACCTTTTGACGGGGTGAAGTGGTGAGTACTAGTAGCAATATAATAACTCATTTCATAAGTAAAGACACGAACGGATGATAAAGCCAGATTTATAAGATCCCTAGATTAATCAGAAGCCTTTTCCGCTGTAAAACTTCCCTTGCCCAGGACCTGACCTTGTGTTTCTCAGCACTGCGCGCTTTGAAAATGAGGTTTGACGGAGTAGAATGTGAGTGGTTGAGTGATTGAGTGAGGTTTTGGATAGAGTGTATATTGAGATAGCGATGAGGTGATAAAAGTGTGGGTGAAAAGTTATGAGACAAGTGTGATGAATTCTAATTGAACGACGGATACTACAGGAGTCTCAGGGCAAATGCCGAAGAGATAGATCCAATTTCATTAATTTCTGCGCCATAAACCTGGATGATAACCCACAGAACGAAGCTTACTGTAACAGACGAAGAGAAAAGGTCATTTCCAACGAGACAAAGGAGATCAGGCCGGGGGGGGAGTTATGGCGATACTCAGCCGAATTCGCCGTCCGTCATAAGGTCCTGCGAATGAAAGCAATATTCCAGAGGTCGTGGCGGTGGAGGAAAGAAATGGAAAAAGAGACATAACGACATAGGAGAGAAGCGAAATGTAAAGGAGGGGATAGTAAAAAGACAGCCATCAACCCATTAACTCCCGAACCGTCCGCATGATTTCGATCGTCATCCGAATCATTAAAAGAAAAAAGTAATGGGAAACAAAAACTCCGCCTCCTTGACATCCGATTGCTGGTCATAAAAAGGAAACGAGAGAATGTGTAGGGCCTGGTCCTGGTAAGCGTCATAATGGTTAGTGGTATGAGATTCTCGCGCCCTCCAGGTTGCCCTTGATCGGGGGGTTTCTAGTATTATCGGTTGTCATAACCAGCCACGGGTCGCAGAGCAGTATGGCAAGCAAGTCCCGCGCACAGCACCTAGACATATTCGCCACTGCATATGTTTCGTGGGCAGGACCGAGAGAAAGGTGAGGAGCGACGACGGTGGCCGACTATTGGCGCTTCCAGTACTGTGCCGGTTCAAGAGACGAGGCATTGTCCCTGGTGGGCTCTGGCGGCGCAAATCCTCTTCGCATCTCGTTTTCGACGAAGAGGGAAGCACGTTTGTAGCGTTTGTCCGAGTACTTCTCGTAAATGGAAGCGTGGTGTTTGCGCGGGATTTCGCAGCATTCGAGCATGAGGGAGATAAGCGGCAGAAGCTGATTGTAAGTGTACCCAGCATAGTGAACGTGCGCGGGGGTCTACCAGATTGTTAGAATGGCTTCCAAGGGAGTCAGTATGGCCTCCAGAACATACCCAGTTGCCCTTTCGCAGCATCAGCCTAGCCAGGCAGTGGGCGCCAGCAGCAACAAAGCTCGCCGGGCTTCCGACAAAGCGCTCATCCATAATGGTGATCTCCAAAAAGTACTTGGCAAGAGTGCGAGTCTCCAGGTCGTAGTCGTCAGCCTTGCTGATCCTCCGCAAGAAGCTCATGGGACCCGGCCACCCCAGCTCGAATTGCAACATACTCAGCATGAACCTCTCTGCCTTGAGAATCTCATCGATACTATAGCCTCCATCAACCATGTAGACGATCTCCTGCACGGACGGGCAGTTGATCTCCTCATACTTGGCGGCGATGAAGATGGCAGTGGCGCCCACAAGCTGAAGCTTGCCAAGAGAGACAATCTTGCAAGACAGAAAGCGGTCGATATAGTTGACGCACAGAAAGAGGGTCTCTGGGAGCAACGAGAACCGATGGTGGACCTGCACCACCCAGTCCATGAGCACCGACCGCATGGACCACTGGATTTCGGCTTGGTTATCCATGTAATGGGCATTGGGCAGCATCTTGATCTGTCGACAGGGTCAGTGGCGACATAGAGACGATGGGATCTTCCCACTGCAAGTACGTACCTCCTGTTCTCTCATGTACTCGAAGATCTCCTCACTGTATTCGGCAACCATGCTGGTATCCCAAAATTCATCTTCGATATCTTCATCTGTTCGCGTAGCCTCCACAACCTGCTTCGCCAGAGCCAGTTCACGCCTCACCTGCTGGTTGAATTTCGGGAAAAGGACTGTGGTGGCACCCCCCGTGGTGTTGTCGCCACGAGAGCGGTAGGAGCGAGCAGTGATATACCCATCGTCTTCTTCATTGTCGTCCTCCTCATCCCAGTACTCTTCCGGCTCCGACTGAACCGGCGCGTGAGAGCCCGATGCAGAGTCGCGATGAGGCTTCGCGACGCGGCTGGGTTCAGTGACCTCAGCCGTTGCGGGAAGCTCGCGGGTCTTGGATTCCTCTTTACGATCCTGAACTTTACAATGGTCATCGTCGACCTTCGGTAGATCCTTCTCTCCCTCATCGACTTCCGAGTCCACAATAGAAGACTCTTCAGTCTCCTCCAGATGCTGTGTAGCTTCCTCCTTTACGGTGGTTTGTTTCGCAGTCGCGGCGGAACTCTGTGACAGAGAGCCCCTGTTGTTCCCCTCTTTTGATTCAATGTTGGTTTCCTTGGATGTATGTTCGCTTTTTTGGGTCAATGGCTCCGATGCGTCCTTGAACACTGTGGCTCGCTTGTTCAAGGTCTTTCTGGTATTGGCAGCCTGCTGCTGCATGGCTATCTGCTTGGAAGGCTCGATGGGTTTCGAATTAGGGACATTGTTCAAGAGGCCCTTCATGCCAGCCATCGACATGGGCCGCTGAGCTGGCTGCGACAGAACACTGGGCTTCTTTTCGATGATCAGCGCCGCTTTCTCCGCTCCCTTGGTCTGCTTTTTGCCCGCCAGTGAGATGTCATCGCGGCCCGCATGAACGGGTTTGGCAGTGTTGCTGACATCGCCAAACGCAGCTCGCTTGGAGGCGTTCTTATTAGCGCCGTTTTGGAACATGGTGGATAAGGCGGGAGTGGATTTGTTTTTCTGGTGAAGGGTTTTGCCGGCAGCGAGAGGGAAGGGGCCATTCTCGTCGCCACGGACGCGAATTCTCTGGGGCTGGACTCGAACTTCGTGTTAGCTTAAAAAAACGAACCGAGATGCGACATCTGTGAAGGGATCATCGAGGCTAGCCCCTCGTTGCGCGTCGAGTATCGTAGATATGCAGCCCATGTTTATACGCCGATTGGGCGGGAGACAGGCAGGAAGAACGCGCAATGACAGGCACATACCTTTGCATCCATCTTGACGAAGCGAGGCGGTAAGCTGAAGCCTCCAGGATCGTGGGGAAAGATGCTTGGGGACCGGTGGGTGGTTGTTTACTTCTCTGCGCCCTGCGCAGGAGTAAGTCGTCGCAGCTAAAGTTATACTAAAATGCGGCCCCAAACAAACAAGACCGCGCCAAGGGCTAGACAGATAGCGCCAGACGACGGGGCTCTGCGATGAGATTGGCTGCCACCGAGGGGAGGGTGATCGGACGATAAGGAAGAGAGAAGAAAACAACAAGTAACACCAGCACATCAACAGGAAAAGAGGTTCGGCGGCGAAGAAAGGGCAGGCCAAACACAACAGCGAGAAGCGTTCTCAAGGGCAACCAAGCATTGCCCAAGACAGTCACTTCCTTACTTGGTTACCGTCAACAACTCCCGCGCTAGTCCGCTTCGGGGGTTGCTATGGCATGCTTAGGTCAGCCGCTGTTTGCCTGGTTTGTCTGCCCCGGGAATGGGTGACATCATCCAACGCGTCTTCCCGCCAGCGCATCAATTCCCTTACGAGCCAGCTTCATCTCCAGAATCGAGCAATAGCACGTTCTAAAAGGTGTTTACTAGGGAGAATTGTGCTGCGATTATATCCCGGAAGTGCTACTGAGCAAGGACTATGGAAGTGTGGGACAATGGGCCCTGATATTCCGCCGTGGCCTTGACGCGCCGGTCATCACGAAGCCGCCGACCACCAAACGCGTACTCACGTGACCGAGCGCCACAGTGCGGGCTGTCATCTCGCTCCGGGATTCGATGCTTGGGGCGGAGGTTGGAACAGCCGGGATGCTGGAGGTGCGACCAGACGTATCGATCAGGGCATCGGATCGCGCCATATTACCAGTCTCATTGGTGTCGCATGGAACAGCTTTTATTGTCTTTGAGCGAAACTTCTCGACCAGGATGGGGCTGAGGGGCCATTCGGGTCGAGATCCAACGTCGATGCTGGTATTGCCAATGATGATCGGGGATGATAATAGCAATACCGTCAATGACTTGAGGAACCCATGTTTCCTGCCGGCTTACAGTTTCCATCGTTTACCTGGATTTCGCGGTTTGTCTGGCACCTGCGTCGGCCTGTTCTCTGGGTCCCGTTTACACCCGCGCAAATGCCAACCTCGCCAGGAAGCCACAAGTCCCCCCATTGTGGGACGCGGATCCGGCGGTACCTATCATGAAGCAGCGGGATTCGTGAGGGCGGGTTTCTCGACGACCCTCCGCGAGGAGTCGGGCCTCCACCGGATTTGCCATCACTGAATCATCATCCATTTGTGCTCGGGGAGGGTCGCAAATCCACTCTGGCCGATTCTGCGATCCCTCTGCCCTTGGGGGGGGAAAAAGCGAGAGTACGTACGGAGGAAGGAAGAATGGAACGGAATGCGGGCGAACGGCCGACTTTTGAGGTGTCGCGGGCGACCAAACGGTGAAAGCGGACTATTGAAGATACGCAAAGTTTCGGTGTGTGTTTGGCGGCTGACCACAACAATAGCAAAGCCAGCAGAATAATGGGCAGAATTATTATTATTGAACCACCGGCCGGGCTGGTTATTGACTCCAGGCAGGCCCCGCTTGAGGCCCTCAATAAGGAACACTACAAACACTACGAACCTTGTCTATTGCCACTGGATTTCGCTCGCGAGACAGGATGTGTTTCGTTCAGAAACTCTGAAGAAGAAAAAGTAATAGAAACCCGGACAGGCCCAGAGGTATCTTCTGATATAGATATAATCATTACCCTCAGAGTCCCTGCCAGATGCAGTTTCTCCAATTCCCCCCACCCGGCTAACGGCATCGTTGCGCCAGCTGGTCGCGCTTAGTCTCGCGATAGTCGAATCGATCGCCGGATTTCTAGGATCTGATTGTGTCAAGTCTTCAGTGCAACGCGCAAGGCATTGTCAAGCAGCGGAATGGCAATCAATGAACCCTCCGAGTCCAGCTCATGGCTCGCTGCGCAGTCGCACCGGACCTGCAGAGCTGGTAATGGCCGGCCGGGCAGCTGCGATAGTTATCTACCCGCGGAATGTAAGTAGGCTCAAAGTCCGGCCAAGCGGACTTGGTTAGAGTCACAGCAAAGACTCACTACTGAGTTTAGTAAGTCACTCAGTCCGTCAGTGTGGTCGCATGTGTCTTGTGCCTGCCCGAAAGTGGTGAACGAACGACGGGGATCCTTACGTAGCCCACCGTTTCCGAGGAGGGGTAAACGGACGAGTCTGGACAGGCGCAGATCATGAAACGAGGCAACAATTGGGCGTTGCTGCTCGCCAGCCTGTTGGCCCTCTTTCATTGCAGCGCCCTGGCCCAATGATCTCGCCGTCCCCAAAGACGGTGGTTGGTGGATGCTTCCCTCCCCTCTCCGGGATGCGTTGCCCAGCTCATTCATTCATCTATCTTTCCTTTTGTCTCCATGCTTGACTTCTTGACCTCTTGACCTTTGGGTTTCCATCACCATGTGGATGCACTGGCACTGGCTGATGGCTGATGGCTGATGGGGGACCCTCTGGAATTCCTGCCTGAGGCCGGGGCAAGGCATTGCGCCGTAGGAGATTTCTCCCCCAACTTGGGGCCGGGAGCATCGATCGCCCTTCAACCGGTATCTAACCATGCATGTCTTACGCTCCGCGAGTAATGGATAGCAGCATTGAGCATCGTAGGAACCTTGCGCGACCAACGTCAGGAATTGGTCGCTGCCAGAGGGGGGACAACGCTTCCCGGAGATTGTAGATAGTTTGTCGGTCACCTTTTTATTTCAAAACTTATTGTTTCTATTCTTTCAATCCTACACAGTAGATCCCAGGCTAAGTAAGGCCGGTCGAGGAGGGCCTGTAAGAAGAGGACGAAGAATGGGACTGAAGAACGGTCACTCGTCGTCCCCAGCCGGGATGTGATCGGGGGTGTCATTCGACGTGGCCGCGCTGAGGATGTGCCAGCCAACCTGGGACCTACGCCACTCCGCTTCCTCTGGCCTGCCGTCTCCGTTGGGTGCACATGGAATCATTAAATGGCAGTTGGCAGTTCGGATTAGATTGAACAATCAGGCTCAGACTCTGCTAGGTGTGTAGAAGAATGACAGGGCCGGCCAAAAGTACCTTGCACCGTGGTCGCGGATCGTCCATGTCGCCGTCCTTTGCGCCAACACCCGGCCGATGCTCCAGAATCAAACGACTTTGTCCCGACCATTCATCCCAGTACGATCATTATTTGGGAATACAAATGACAGAATACTAGTAGAATAGGTATAGCGATTCATTTTCTAGGTACTTGAAAATGGATTTTCTCCTTGATGACCCCCGGAGAAAGAGTCCCCAATCCCGTAGATGCAGTAGAAGCCGGTCCCGTTCGGACGGAATGCGATTGAGGATTTTGCGATGGAAAAAAGCAGCGCGCAAGGTTGAAAAGGCATGAATAGAAGGGAGCATAGAATCAATTCGCATCTCGACCGAAGTTGGAGAAGACTGTGGGGGGGGAATAGGGTACATTTGCGAGGATGGATTGTCACCGACCCAGGCCACCTCTGCTCGCTTTGGGTGAAACCACTCCAATCCATCCATCCATCCAGCGATCCAGCGCCCACTCCTCTTCCTCTCTCTCCTCAACCTCTCTTCAACCCAACCCCGATCGTTCTCGCCCATTCATCCTCCCATCCGACCTCCATTTTTTGGTGCATCTCTATCAGGTAGGTTTCCCTCAATCGTTCGCCATGATTTGAATTCCGCTTTGCACCTGCTCTCCCCCTTCCTGGTCCTCTTGTTCTCTCCTGACTCGCTTCGGCTCTGCGTGATGCCACCGCTGACATACCCAAGCGCTTGGTAGAACGACTCACCTCCCACGGCCCACCCCCTCCCTCCTCCCTCAACCACCATCGCTAGCCTTACATCTTCCTCTTGGTCGGATCAGATACACGGGTGCGACTCTGGACACATAGGTTTGATTTATCATCGGTGCGTCTTTGATGCTCTCCATCTTCTTCCGAGCGGTTCGGGTCGTTTCTCCCTCCAGTCTTCATCAATCCATCAGGATTCGACAGGGAAGGCCTGGGCGTCGTCGATCGGAATCGGATTCCATTTCCCCAACATCTCTCCTCCTCATTGACACATTTGCCATTGCATCGTGCTGACCTGGGTGGTGGTGGCCGACCAGCTTTTCGACCGTCTTTTTCTTGCCTTTCCCGTCGCTCTCGGCTCTTGCGACTGGGTGCCGTCCTCCCAATCGACCACCCTTTCGCCATCGATCATATCCATAAAAGCAGTCGCAGGTGGACCATCCAGTCATCAAACCCCTCTGGTTTCTCTGTTGTGGTAGGTTAGGATGGAATTTGCCCATACCCTCCTATTCCCCGTCTCTACCTCTTCCCTCCCCCACCCTCTCTTCTCGCCCGGACCGCTCTTCCCACCCGAGATCGAACAGCCGATTGATGCAATCATCAATGTAGTAGCAGTGTGGTAGCACTCCCTCTCGGACTCTCCCATCATGCAGGCTGTCTACTACGAACAGCATGCTGCCCTTGGGGAGTTGCCTACCTACACCGACCATCGTGCGCCTCAGGAGCCCTCCCCCAGGAGCTCGGTTCCCAAGAACGTCGCCTTTGAACTACTTCTCGATGAAAACTCCAAGGTCCGGGCCCGCATACCAATGCGAGTACAAATCTACCCTCATGATACCACGGATTCCATTGTGACTACCGTCAAGAATTTTTACGGGATCTACGATGGCGCTGCCAGCGGTGTCAGCTTCGAGGATGAATATGGCATCACCCTCATTGCCAGGTATGAGAACCTACGAAACAACATGACTGTCTATGTGCGGGTAATCCCCGTTCAGGCATACACAGATGGCTACGGCGATCGCTACTATGGGCATATCCCAGTCGAGGCCCGCAAGCGTCCCAGTCTAGGTGAGCCGTTCCAGATGGCGCCGGCCATGCAGCCGGCGCATGTCTTGGAACATGGACAGCCGCCTTCTCGACCGGCATCCCGACTCGCTCGGAAGCGTAGTATATCGCCGTCCGGAAGAAGCCGTCGCAGCGCATCCCAGCATAAGCAGTCGTCCCGGATGGGCAACAAGAGCAGAGGCTCGAGTGCTCATGGCAGCTTCCGTGAGGATGGCACCCCTGGTTATAGTGATAGTGAAGGCGGTTACTCTGGGACGAAGAAGTCTCGCAGCGAGCAATTTGGCAGCTCGGATATCAGCATGGACAACATCCTTCAGGATGGCCGCCGGAAACGGCCCAAGTTTGAAAGTTCGGTTCGTTGGAGATCTTTCCTCCCCCTCCCAATTGAACCACATCTTTGCGGTACACGCCCGCTAACGCCGTTTATTTTTATGTTTCTAGGAATTGCCGCTGTTCGTTCCTCCCCAGGTCCCCCTTACAACGTCCACGTCGTCGATCTCCCCTCAACGTCGGTCCATCGGTCAAGAAGGAGCAATCTCACCTTTCGCACGCCCCACCCAGCGCCCCTCCAATAGCCAGCAACCATTGCCTTCTCCCCAGAGCTATGGATATAACGAACAAGCTGGCAGCGTCAGTGCTGTGCGGAATCCCGTGTACGCCACCCCCGTGGTCCCCGAGCACGGCGGCCATCGCCTGCGCGACCGGGCTACTACCCAGTCGTCCGGGCAGTATAGCAATCAGGCCGGTCGGGGTGGCGGCCCCGGCATTCTCCCAACCCCGGATCCGACCATTGCCAGCTGCATATCTGATGAGGATGTTGCTATGCAACTGATTCGCCTGGGAGATGCGTCGAATTTCTCGCACGGCCGGACGTCGGCTTCAACGCTCGATGATGCCTTCAGCGGTGCGGCTGACGCTGCATCCTCAACGGGTGCAACCAGCGATGGTGAGGACTACAGTGATGAAGACGACGATCTACCTGCCCGGACCAAGCAGCGGCTCGACTCTAGCCCCATGCTTCCACCAGGAACCACCAAGCGCACGCACAAGCGACTGGATGATATACTTCCCAGCTTTGACAGCTCTGAGGGAAGCTACGACGGTTACGATGACGAGTACCATCATGAAGAATATCCCGACAACCAGACGAGGCATGAAATCGACGAGGACTCCCTCTACCGAGAGTCCGCTCCCAAGTCGAAGAAGGCAAAGACCCGGCCCACCAATCCGGTCGTTGCCAAAGCACGCGCCCCCAAGCCAGCACCTGTGCGCCAGAACAAGAGCAGCAAGCCAGCGACGACAAATGGGACCGTCCGTAAGGTCAAGTCGACGTCTACAGCTGTGGCTCAGAAAGTTGCGGTCTCCCCGCAGATGATGAGCCCTGTGCCAGCACGCAAGACATCAACCTCATCGGTCAACTTCCAACACCAGCTCGCCGCCGACGAGGAGGATCTGTCGACCAAGCCGCGTTGCCAGCGGTGCCGTAAGAGCAAGAAGGGCTGTGATCGGCAGCGCCCTTGCGGCCGATGCAAGGATGCTGGCATCGGCCTCGACGGTTGCATCAGTGAGGATGAAGGAAACGGTCGCAAAGGCCGTTACGGCCGCCACATGGGGGTTCCCGTCAAGAAAGCCTTCGAGCCTGCTGTGAATGGCGTCGAGACGCAATCCATCGTGGCCGCTATCCCGGTGTGTTCGGCGGCTCTCGTGGACAAGAGCAAGAAGCGCAAACGTTAGCTGAATCCTATTCAGGAAATTAGGATGGCCTAGCCTCTGATGTGGCTCAATGGCCCTTGAATTCTCATCTACTATTTCGCCTACACCTGTCGTATAAAATCATCGATGAGCTGCGCCTGGATGGCTGCATTTCACTAACATATTACACCTTTTAACATAGACGAGTTGACTTACTTCTGAGCATCGCATCCTTCCCCTCCTTTACAAGCTTTCCCGCGGACCGTTGGCTTGATCATCTTGCAATCTCCATCCCTCCCGCCTCTCCCCCGAGTCGGCTTGCCTCTCGGGGTGTCCCTCCTTCCCCCGCGGATCCTTGAATTCTGTCTCGGCTTGAACCTTGCACCACTGTCACAACCCTAGTGCTCCCATCGTTTCCTCCCCGGATCACCAACCTAGTTGCATTGACACATTTATATTTCTCTGTGGTTCCTTCTGAGTTCAGCAATTATCAACTCAATCAATGAGTCACTACCCAGCACATGATGGACTTGATCTCTTGTGCGCTATATCTGGTTTCGATATTGCACTCTGCATTCTGCCTGGCCTGTTGTTTATCATGGATAGTCTAGCGATTGATCTGAGCGGGTTGATTGACCTTCCTGAGTTGTGTCTTTTGGCGTTACATGCTGCTGTTTCCGCGGCCCCGGTTCCGTGTCGCCTCCACTCATTAGCCCACATGAAGTGCGAATGTATCTGGATTGATTGGTTGTGTTTTGAATGGCTTTGCTCGTGCCGTCTGATTTGCTGGAAAGAGGTCTAGTGATCGAATAGGAAATATATATTGATCTTCAGGGTGCGCCCGAGGTTGTAGAAGTCTCCTGACTGAATAGGAATCCATTCACTTGAGGTCTCTCAATTCAGTCGCTGCAGTTGATCCGCACAATGCGATCTATAAGTCAATGGGATCAATAGTGAATCGATAGCCTCGATTGACCCGATGAATGGCGATCGATAACCGCTTCCGGATCGGGACTAGCGCCGACTGCCTGGCTGCCCCGCATTGCCGGCCTTAGGCGCGCGCTTCCTTTTTTTCTCCAACCCCGAGCGGCGCGGATCACTGCAAAAAGTTCCATGTCCTCACCACGCCTCCGCCAGCCACTTCCTTCTCTACTCCCATATTATTCCGTGTCTTCTCTATATATTCTGCCCTCTTCTTTGTAGAGTTGACAATCCGCTTACCTCACCAATTCGTGCTCACTGCAATATCCTAGCCTCGTCCTCCCAATCTCACCTCTCAAGCCTGACCGATCCCACGTGCAAATCCACATCCTCCCAACATGCCTCCGAAAGGTGCTCCTAGACGAGGGGCACCGGCCGGCACAGCCAGCCGCGCCAATGCATCCGCAACCGCCTCGGCGAGTCCCGCTCCCAGCGCCACCCCCGGCGACTCTCAAACCGCAGCCCCCGGCCGAGCCCCCGTCCAACGACTCCAATCCCTCAAGAAACGCACACCCTCCGGCAGCATCGGACCGGCCGCGAAGCCTCCGGCAGCGGCAGGGCCACCAGCTGGTCCCGGCGAGCCCGCCAAGCCTACACTCAAATACAAGCCCCGAGCCGTCGGCCGTCGCAGTAAGGAGGAACGAGAAGCGATCGAGAAGCTCGAAGCGGAGCGCCACCGGGAGCGACTAAAGGAGGCCGCAGCCATCCAGCGCGGCCGGGATCAGGGTGGCCCTGGTGGTCGAGGCGGGTTTGGTCGGGGTCGTGGAGGACCCATGGGCTCGGCTGGGCCCTTGGGGTCGGGTATGTCTGGGCGCAGGGGTCGTGGAGGACGCTTTGGGCAAGATTCAAGACACTCGTCGATGTCGAGACGCAGTCGCTCGGTCATTGATCTGGGAAGTGCGGCAGCGAGTCACAACATCTCATCCGATGAGAGTGATGGCGAACTGCGCATCAGTATTGACCAGATCAACCTGGATAGCGATGAGGATGAGGATCAGGCCATGGTGGATAGTAAGAAGGGCAAGGCGGCTGTGAAGTACGCGGATGCGGAGAAGGGGTTGCGGCCGATCCGGGTCGAGAGACATGAGCATGAGGAGCGCGTGGTCAGTGTCAATATGGAGTCGAGCTCGAGCAAATCGGCGGAGCTGCGCGAGAAGGCCAAGGCGCAGACGAAGGAGGATGATGCGCTCTTTGTGCAGGATGACGACGATTCCACTACACAGGAGGGAGAGCCCAAGGTCAAGGCTGAGCCTACGGATGACGACCAGGTCATGACAGATGTGCCGCGTGCGGAGGAGCCTGCTACGACGGATGATGGATTGCTACCGGTGCAGAAGGTGAAGGTGCGCAGGAAATTGACACCCCCGTCGACCGAAGCGACGCCACAGCCAGAACTGGAAGCCCCTACGGCGAAGGACCCGAAGAGTCTACTACGTACGAAGGAGGATATTGAAGAATACGAGCGACACGAGCAAGACCTGGAGATTGTCAAGGACCTCTTCCATAAGGAGCCGGAGCCTGAACCCGAGCCGGAGCCTGCGCAACCGGAGGCTCCGGCTGAAGGAGAGGCCCCGGAAGTGGTTGCGAATGACCAGGATAAGGAGAAGGACAAGGACAAGGAAGGCGCGGAGGAAGGGAAGGAAGAGGACACAAGCAAGGACAAGCTGGCGGGGCAGCTGTTCTTGATGCAGTTCCCGCCTATGACGCCGAACCTGGTGGTCCCGGGCAGTGAGAAGGCCACGAGTGAAGCTACAGTGCCTAACGGCCAGTCTGCGCCGGAGGGCAGTGGGTCGGAGCATGCAGGCGTTAAGCGCGAAGACGGCGTGGAGATCCTGGAGGGCGGGGATGATGCCGGGGCAACGGGGAGCTCGTCCAAGGTTGTAACTGCGGCGGACTGGGGCCTCAGCGCGGGGCGTGCAGGCAAGCTGAACGTCCATGCGTCGGGTCGGGTGACGATGGACTGGGGAGGTATCAGCTTCGAGTTGGACCGAGCCACGGCAGTGGACTTCCTCCAGGAAGCGTTGATCGTGTCTACCCCGCCCGGCGCGGTGGACGAGGAGTTTCCGGACGACGAGAAGAAGGTGTGGGCAATGGGCCAACTGAGTGGCAAGTTCACGGTTACACCGGACTGGGGGAAGATGCTGTGATGGGTGGGGGAGAAGGCTGGGGGGGGAGTGTTGATGGCGGTGTTGTGGTGTTGGAGTGTTTATTTGGAGGCAGGGCACTCGGGGTTTACGTCATGCGGGATGGCTGGGACGGGACAATGACGATCGGATGTTTGGATAAAGATAGAACTGTCATCATGGACGATCAATGAGATGTTGCTGGCCTTGGAACCACCGACGATGGACCGGACCATCCATGGCTGCCCAGCGAGGGTATACGTAAGAAGGCAGGCCACACCACCGCCATGTGTCACGGCCCTGATGTAGGGTCGTTCGATCGTCGTGAGTAGTCTTCAATGACTCCGACTAGCGCTATAATTAGTGTTGGACCGGATACACAGTAGACGTTTGTCGGAGAATTGCGTGGACAATGCATCGATAGTTGATGCTAGATGCTGAACAATATATCGAGAGATAAGAGTATTATCTACTCTTCTCTGTCAGTCCGGTCTGTCAGTAATTTTATTAATTCTCCTGGAAAATGGCGAATGGCCCGCTGCAAATTAATGTCTCACCTGAAGGCCGTAATGGCTGTACGAACTAGCCCGATTCGCGATGCGTTCTGCCCTACCGCAGCATCGTCCCGACCAGCCCGTTCCACAGCCAATGGAGGGAAATGAACGCGCCCTCGCGTGGAGTATCCATCCCCCCTGATTGGCCGGCCGGCCCAGACCCTCATCGAATCGGGCAAAACCTATGGTCGATTGTTACAGGGATTGTGCCTGGGCCCACCGCAGCAATCCCTGACAAGCTTCTGTAAGTGGCACGAGACATCGATCAACTGACGCTACTCCCAGCCCGTGCTGACACGGCTGGCCAGGGGCCAATCAGGGAGCGAGTGGTCGGGGCCATTGCAGCTGGGCGGTCCACTATTAGGGGCCAGTGGGGTGGGGCGAGTCCTCAACAGGAAGGGGACGAGGTCGGCGCAACGCTAAGTGGAATTAAATTTCCACTAATTTGCAGCAGGGTCAGGGCCCGTTGGCCTGTCAGCGCCTGGCCGTTTCTTTCCCCCTTTGCCTTGGCCCGCGGCCCTTTTCCTCTTCTTCTCTTCTCTTCTTTCTTCCTTCTCGTGCTCTCGCTGATAGTCTGTCTCTCTTCCCGACGTGATTGTTCGGTTGCCGTTGCCGCTGCGGTGGTTGTGTTGTTGAATTCCTCACTGTCGTTGCCGTTGCCCTTCTCCTGTCTTGCTTCGCTCGACTCGCCCAATTGACTGGCGGTTTCAGGAGATAGCCTGTCGCTCACTAGATACCTCGCAATCCCTCGACCTCTACATCTGTCGCACTTCCGGTTTCAAGTTTACGCAGCTTACTCCGAATCCTCATTCCGTTGGACGGCACTCGGATTGTTGTGGTGGATTTTTCTTCGCACGAGTTTGGCCCACCACGTTCGGGGATTCCGACAGCCTTGCATTGTTTACTCCGTGACCTCCGCCTATATATACACCCACCTCCCGTCGCATTCGCGCATCTCCCCATACAGCCACCATGAAGCCCTCCACAATCATCTTCTGTCTCGTCCCGACGATAGCCCTCGCCGTCGAGGCCGACCAGGCACCGCCCGCCGTCTCCCCTACGCCGTCCCTGCCGAATGCCAACCCGCCCGCCCCGTTGCCCCAGATTTCGACCCCGTCAAATACAGACGACGATTTGAGGTTATTGGAGGTCCGCACAGTGCAAGAAGAGGTTGCAGCTGTTGAAGACACCGACGCGACCCGGGTACTGGATCAGTGGCCGGAGCCAGCCAGCGGAACGATCGGACTGGGCACGCTGGCCGCATCCACCGGGGAGACCAAAGCCCTGCGCGCACGGAGTGAAGGCACACTCGGACAAACGCCTTGGATCGGCATGGCCATCGGGCTGACCTGTACAGCTCTGGCGGCGGTGATGCTGGGGTGACCGACCTTGCAACTATACCAATCTTGCATTTGGAGTTATAATTCTTTCACGACAGTCTTTGGCGACCTGATGGGTCGCTATTTGCTACGAGCGTATCGCATATGCATTCGAACCGGACCTGCGAGCCACCCACGGTGGATGAGTCCGGATTTCTTCGCTTCTTCTCCTCACGGAGCCTGCATTACTGCATTGCATTCATACCCATGTATAGACCGGGTTCTCTTCTACTTTACGCTTCTTGTACGTGTACATGATACCTTGGATTTGATTCTGGCCTGGCCCGAGGCCCTATATTTTTATTTGACGATGTATTTATTACTTATGAATCTATTCCTTTGTTACTTCTGGACCGCTCAGGCACTCGGGTAGTACTGTGGCTGCCAATCCCGAGCCAATGGATTAATGCGCCGATCTGAGCACTTCTTTGTTTGAGGAGCGGCTGTGAATTGCAGCACATGAAGACTTGAACAAAGAGCGCTCTCCACTTGCCTGCATCCTTCACACTACTCTGTACTCCCAGATCGGAGATTTCATCCAGCGCTTATACCCTCTATCCACTTTACTTTACCTATTCACCTTACTTCACCTTTACCTCAACATTAAACAGCTCTCTGGCGGCCAACCAGTAAGTACTCCCCTTTATACAATGAACCCATACCAATCCACATTAAGACTCACAATCAGCGCTCAAGCTAGATTCCTCACCAACCCTCACTTCATTCATCCTCACGAACCAACCCCCATCCGAGCAATCCACCAACAACCCACCCATCTGAACTACCTATCACCCTACCCCAACCACAACCACAACCACAACCACAACCACAACCACAACCTAAGACCAAGACCAAAATGTCCAACTCCAGCACCGAAACCGAAGCCGACACCCCCCACAACATCCCCCCTTACACGCCCATGACCTCTCTGGGCCACGAACTCGGCGTACTCTTCGGTTTCCTCTCCGCTTGTTTCGTGGTCATGGCTGTATATGTGTATTTCTGGCGCGGTATGCCTCCTCCCTATCCCTATTCCTATTCACATCCCTATCCCCATCCCCATCCCTATCCAATCTACCTCTTCTTCCCACCCATGAACAACAACAAACCCCAACCCCCCTCACAAACAAAACTAAACACAAAATAAACTGAAAAAAAAAAAAAAAAAAACAGCAGCCGAACGCCGCGAAGACCAAGCCCAAAAACTCCGACGCGAAATGCTCCTCAACCGAGGCATCCACCACGGCCGAGGCGGCATCCACGAGAAAATGCTAAACCAGACTCTCACCACCCAACACCCGCCGCACCAACAGCAGAACACACCATTACCCGGGGCTGAGATCGGGGTGGTAGTGACGACGGGAATGGGTACGGCGATGGAAATCGGGTCGCCGAGTCTAGGGCCCGCCAGGATGGTGAATATTCATAGGAAACCGGTGAATAATCAGGGGAATAGTAATGGGTATGGAGGTGGGGAGGGGAATGGGAATGGGGTTAGGGATGGAGCTGGGGTGGAGATCGATGCGGATGCGGATGCGGATGCGGATGTGGGGGTTGAGATGGATGTGTTGGGGTTTTTGGGACATGGGCATGGACACGGATTTGGATATGGACAGGGGCAGAATTCGCAGGGTTATGGGGGACAGGGACAGGGACAGGGGCAGGGGTATGGGTATGGGCGTTGAGTTGAGCTAAGCTAAGCTGTCTGGTTCTGTCTTCTTATACTCATTTACTTCCCTACTGATCTGCTTGTGTCTATCTGAACTGAACTGAACGAAACAATCAATATCTCAACTCATTTAATCTCACCTCAATTCATCCCACATCACTCCTCCAACTAACCCCCTTCACCAAAAATCCCCTAATTACTTCCCAATCGCAACAAACAACCTATCCCCAATATCCCCCAACCCAGGCACAATCATCCCCCTATCATTACACCTCTCATCCACAGCCCCCGTCCAAACCTCCACTCCCTCGGGCCACGTCCCCGCAGCCCTAAACAGTCCGGCCTCAGACCCCAACACACTCAACATAACCACACGCTTCACACCCCATTCCCTCAACAACTGGATAGCAGCTTCCGCCGTCGCGCCCGTGGCAATCACCGGGTCGAGAAGAATAGCAGTGGAAGCGGCAGCGGTGTTAACGGATGTGGATGGATCTGGTTGAAAGGGCAGGTTGTTGTAGTATTCGACTGGTTGGAGGGTGAGACGTTCGCGGAAGAGTCCGAGGTGGTAGATTGGGATGGAGGTGGGGAGGAGGGAGTTTATTGCTATTGCCTCATTATTAGTATTATTTATCCATTATTAGTATTGTGATGATGGGTTGGTTGTAATATGGGAAGGGCAGGGCAGGGCAGGGCAGGGCAGGGGTACATACCCTCGATCATACCCAACCCGGAACGAAGAATCGGTACGAGAGCGATATCAGCAGGATCGATATCTTTGGTTTCGTATTCGGTGCCGAGGGGGTAGTATCCTGTTTGTCCATTCTATCTATCAGAGCCCTTATTCTATGGATAGTAGATTAATGAGGCAGAGGGGGGGGGGAGCATACAGTCCCCGAGGTCTTGGTCTTCCAGCCTGCGGCAAATGCCTCCACGCCTAGGATGGTCGCAATCTCGTGCACGAGAGTCCGGGTCTCGCGGGTGGAGGTCGAAGCGGATCGGAGCTGGGAGAGTTTGGCTTGGAGGAGGGGGTGGGAGGAGACGTGCACATTGGAGGGGAGGGCCATGGTGGTGATTGATTGATTGATTTGGTATTAATTGAGTTGGGGTGAGTTGGGGTGAGTTAAGTTGAGGAGTGAGTGATAAGGAGAGGGGAGGGGGGAGGGGGAGATCAGGTACTAGTAGGGTAGCTGGGTAGCTGGGTAGGGATGCTGAGGAGGAATGATGATGATGATGATGAGTGGGGAATCCAGCTGGCTGCTGGTTGACTGGTGAGGGGTAAGCAAGCAGTCAGCAGTCAGCAGTCACCTGTTCAGGTCCAGTGATCTCCGGCATCCCAAATTCCAGCTGCCTTGCTCTTTCACTCTCCAGCTTCATCCCCGCGATTGTCTCCCCTTGATAGTCTCTCTCCCCTTGATAAGCATCCGATCCAGTTCCCCGCCGATCCACCCGGTTTCATGACCCACTTGCAACAACGGCTCCATCATCAGGTTCACAACTTCACATTCTGCACTGTGGTTGCTGGTGATAGTTTACATCCACAGGTAAACTGTCTACAGGTGAACTGTCTACAAAGTATCATCCCCGCCAACAAGTTATATTTTGTGCGCAAATTACTATGGTACAACTACAAGGATCAAAGCATGTGCAATTCAACAAAATCAACTCTTCAAAAACGCAGACCAAACACGCAGCAACATGTATAGAGCGGAGAACATCAACAGGCGGGGACACGTAAACACATGACAAGAACAAACACATCCATTAAATCGGCCAGAATAATATCAAAGTGTATGAACGAAGGACTCGAAGCAGATTCGAAGCACAAGTATATAACGAACAAAGGTATCAAAAATGGCCACGGGATCCATGGCAATGGACAAACACGCTGATGCGCACATGTAGAAGGGACGGCACTAAGGATTAGGCGTAGAAGAGCGTATAGAAGGCAAAAAAACAACAACTCCACCGTGTGCTAGGATGAACACGCAGGACCAGCCGGGTGTCGAGATGTTGCCTTGGGAAAACAACCCACAAAAACAAGAAAATGACCACACCGGACTCCCGTGAGCTCTTGCGAAACCATAACGCAATGAAAGACGTCGCAGAAAAACTAAATAAAAATGAGCCAGGAACGCCTGCAGGAGCATGATGCGGCAGTCCAGATCATAGCATTCCATCGGAATCACTCTGCCGCCCCTTGCTCAGTCGTTCCCGACCCCGAAATCCGAAATCCACCAAGTGTCCCAAATGCCCAAGGAGTGAATTGCAAACAGTAATTGGAAAGGACTCACCGGGCCATAAGCCCGTTAAGCGTGCCAGGAAGCTAGTACGCCGTGCCCACGCTGGCAAGCGTCTTCGTCGGCATTGGATGGATAGGCTGGTCTTTGGCAACTCGCAGCGAGTCTTCGTAGCCGACCAAGGCTTGAGAATGCAGTTTGAATGATTCGCCCATCAGCTTTGTAATTCTGTCCCACACGTTAGCACACATCTTCAAGCAGAGCAGGCCGGCAAATCAACTTACCCCCAAACTACAACCCCGTCTAGGATGTTACCCCATACACGGGCCACGGTAGAGCTGAGTTTTCCAAAAGCGTCGACGGCGTCGTCATCAAACAGATTCCGCACCTTGTTGTAGATGGCCATCTCAGCCTCCGTTGCGGGCTCTTCGTCATGTTCCAGGCGATAGAGCCAGAGGCTGAGAATGACCATCAAGTCCAGACCACAGAGCGGGTGCTCGACGCTCCAGTTCGTAGCAGACGTCTTAGCGACCCAGTTGATGCCCTGGACAGCGGCGATTTCAATGCACTCGAAGCAAGACTGAATAACCTTGTTCATCTCCTGAGACCGCTTGACCTTCTCGCGAGCCACAGTCATCGCAGCAGCCACTTCGTAGGACGAATGGTAGCGCAATGCCTCCTGGATGGACTTGAGATCGACTTCCAAGCGAGCGCGCGTGTTGCGATAGACCGCCATCGAGTTGAAGATTAAGGGGTGACCCTTCTGAGGCGTGCTCAGCGGCACGACAATTGTCTCGGGCTCACACACGTCAAGCGAGCTCTCCCACGTCTCCAGCGCCAAACGGAGCTTGTATTCGGTGACCACGTCCTGAAGAGCCTCGAAGCTTCTCTTGTGGTTCCAGACTTGGAGAAACAGCGCGTTGATCAAGACACGGGTCGCGAACGCACTGTAACGCGTCTGCTCGCCCTGAAAAAGGCAGTCGTGAGCCTCACGGACAGTAAGAGGCGAGGACGAAGCCAAGCTACGCCGCCACGCCTCGTCGTCCGACACGTCAAGGTTCCACATGGATTCCGAGGAAGGCAGCTCCAGGTTGTCGAATTCGTCAAAGCTCATCGCCGGGGTGTGGTTAAACGTCAGCGTGAGCATGCCGAAGAAGATGTAGACGGCAAAATACGTCCGACGGCACGACTCGTCCTCGATCCACTCCTCCCGGGTTGGCTGACCACCCTCGCGCGCTTCCGTCCGGAGCTTCAGTTGATAGCGGTTTCCGGCAACCATCTGTGATAAAGTCAGCATGATTATTCAAATTACCAGTAGAGATGAATTCTTACGTTGGCAAGGAGACTCTTAATCGAACAGGTCCACTCAAGGCCCTTGGGATCACCACTCCAGCTCTCGAAGATCATGTTCAACAACGTGCTCTGCATCGCCCAAAGAGGACATTTCCGGGAGTCGAAGTTATCCTTGTGCTGCAGGAACTGGTTGACAAGCATCTTGGACCCCACATGTAGCATGAATGCATGTTGCCGCTCAAAGGTGTACAAAGCACCAATCGACAGCACCGCGAGGAGCAATGGCGGTGAAGCGGTGGTAGGCTTGAACGACTCCTGGTGCAAAAAGGGCAGGTGAGGGTGGTACAGGTTGAAATACGTCGACAGATACTTGTTCAGAGCCGGAGTCGACGGGAGTTGAAACGTCTCCGGAAGCACACCGAGAGAATCCACATTCTGAAGGCGTTCAACCACCATGTTGTGCTCAATCTCGTTGGCAATCTGCGGGGCCTTGGGTAGGGTCAGAGCCTGACTAGGGCCGGGAGACCGGCGGTAGTTCACTGGACTAACCGGCCCAGTCATTGAAGGATACGGCGACAGGGCATTCGGCGTCGAGTTTCCAGACATCGGCAGCGAATTGACCAGAGAGTGCAGGGAGGGAGCAAGGGCGTCACCCACAGCACCATGGCGGTCCATGACCGACGACAGCGTATGCGACTCGGAGCCACTCTCTTGAGACACAAACGGGGATCCCATCGGGTGGTGTTTCGTGTCAACGGGGGAAACGAGCGTATCCCAGGGCATCTGGGGCAACGTCGCATTACCCGACAGGTAGGAAACCGGAGGCTCGAGTAGCGAACCGCGTCCAGGGGAATAGGAGCGATCCGATTCAGCACGATCATTGGCTTGACCAGTAGCGGCGGCTGCGGCCTTATGTTGGAAATCTGTCATCAACATGGCTGCAGTTTCAAGATCAACCATACCGTCGCTGCTTGCCTCAATTTGTTCCAGGGTAGCAGGATCAATCGTAATCGAAGGCTTGGACGGGCCGGGCGCGGGGGACGTCTTTTGAACGCCCGCGCCACCACGTCGTCGACCCTCGGAAACTAGCGGTATCCCACCGTCCTTTGCGTGGACAGTGCGGTCATGGCGAAGGAGTAGATCTCGGCGCACAAAGGTACTCCGGCACTTCAAACACTTGAACGGCCTCTCCTTGGTATCTATAAGAGCAGCGAAGATTAGTGCCGGGCTCTCCATGGCTATTCAGACAGAAAGCATCCTATTCGAGGCGGGCAGCCCCGCAGGAAGGGAATGCGACCAGAAAAGAAACACGCTCTACTTACGCGACCGTTCGTGTCTGCTGCGATGTTCACTTCTGCTAAAGGCGCGATTACAAAATTGGCACTTGTATTTCTTCTCTGGGGCTGATGTCTTCTTGGCGGGCGAGTTGGTCGCCTGGGATGGTGCGGCTGGGGCCATTGCTTGAAAGTATTGTAGCGAAGGCACAACCACGGCTTAATCTCAGTACAACAGCGACACGATCGAAGACTGCGCTATCGTCCCTTTTGTGATTTCACACCGGTTCTGTAGGCGGGTAGACGACAGGAATTCGGTTTGGTGCCTGATCATTCCTTGTGTGGGGGAATACTGGAGGGCAAGTTGAATTTGAGAAAGGGGGTCCAGCCACAGGCGGACGTAGAGGGGAGAATAGTGGGTGCTGGTGGTAGTAGTAGTAGTGGTGGTGATGTGAGCTTTAAGCCGAGGAGGGGGCAATACGAAAGGATGGGATGGATGAACGGGAAAGGAAAGCAAAAGGAAGAGAGAAAAGAAAAAAGGAAGAGAGCAAGATGTTGAATGCTGACCCAGGGAAGAGGAAGAGAAGAAGAAGAGGAGGAGGGGGAGGGAGAGAGGGAGGCGTTGAGAAGAGGGAGGAGGAGAGAAGGAAGAGAGAAAAAGAATGGTAGGAGGAGGGGGGATGTTGAATGGATGAGGAGAAAGTAGTTTGTGAGTAGCGGGAGTCTGGTCAGGTCTGGTCGAAAGGAAGGGAGCGAGGGGGGGGGGGACGAGGGAAAGTGGTGTGGGTGTGGGAGAGTGCGAGCAAGTCGCGCCAGGACGTGGGCACAAGCCGATAGGAGATTCGGGCGATCGCTGGATCGCGACAGTGAGGCGGTCGTGTCCAGCGGCGGTGTTGGCGATTTGGGCGACGAGCGGCGCAGCGACAACAGGGAAGTGGGAGGCGGGAAAGAGGGGCTTGCCGGCGGGACTGACGGAGGGGGGAAACAAGCGAACAGGCCAGTCCCCGGATTCGCCCACGCACTGGGGCCCATAATGCCACCCGCATCATTCCCCGCCGCCCAATCATCACCCCCGTCGCCCATTCTGACTAACGGCGCGACAGGGCTAAACGGAACCCGGTTAGGACACGTCCACCTTTCCTTCTGTGACCCATATTTCGAAAAGAGAAAAAAAAGCAAAAAGGGTAAAAAAAAAAAAAAAAAAAACTAGAAAAGAAATAGAAAAATAAATCGAAATTAAATAAAATAACACCGACTAAAGAACAGACAACAAAACAAAGCAGCCCAGCCCACCGCAGCCCACATGGGCCGTACAGTAGTAGAGTTCCAACCCGTCAACCCGGTTCAGCCGGGGTTCCTCCTCGACTGGCTGAAATCGACCGTTTGTTAGAGGTCTTGGTCGATGTGAGGGAGAATCTTATCCACTCTTCATTTTCCATTTGCACCCACTACGAAGTACGACAGAACCGAGAGAAGAAAAAAAATTTGGCAAAATGGCAAAATGGGAGAAAATCACCCATCGCAATATCCGAGAAAATAACCCGAGCAGAAAAAGAAAAGTCACTCTTCATATGCACAACATTGGGCAGCATCCTACATGTTTTCCCCTGGTGGGTTATCAAGACTCATGATGTGATCTGGACAGATATTTGATCATGATTATCGTGGTGATTCATAAATCCTTATTCAGTCGTTCCCTCTCATGGTCAAATATCTATCTACTAGATATCTATCTATCCCCTGCTAGGGTTAACCCACTCCGATAGTGATCCTATCCCTGTTTAGTGCTGGCGCCCCTCGCTCAGCTTCCAGCGGTCGAGTGCAGGGCCCTAGAAGGATAATGGACCAGCAAAGCTTCGATTTCTACAACGGTACAATCAGCCGATGACCACAGGGCATAGAGGCCATACCTGGCAGCAAGCTCGGATTCAATTCTCTCCAACTTCGCTGGACATTATTTCATAGTGGGGTTTGGCCTGGTATGAGGGCGGCTCCATACGGTATGGTATGTAACTTTGTTCAGTGGGTACAAGTAGTTCGATGGGTACAATGCAGTGAGGAGGGCTACAAACTAAGACTCCAGGTTGTCTTAGTAACCTCGAGGCAGACACGATGACTGATGAGTGATTTCGGACTACTTGCTCGAGTTATCAACCGCAACCGAGTCCGGTGGTACTATCTATGTATGAGGATAGGCCATCCCTATCTGACAGCGCAGAACCACAAACTTGGTACATTCGGTTGCGGGGCCGTCCAAAAGACAGGTAGATGCTCTCGTTGTCAACAAAGGTCAGGGCACGCATTAGACTACAATTTCAGTCGATGTATCTTGGTCATTGCATGCAACTGGTCCACAGTAATCAAAAGTCATCATCGAGAGGGGGGAGAAGTGGAAGAGTAGGAAAAGGGCGTCAGGCTTAAAGGGGTTAGGCGCGGTAGCAGATGAATTGAGAATCCATCGCCCATTGCCCACACACCCCGAAGCAGTGCGCACAACCACCAACTCTTACTAGTAGTACTGCCCCCCTCTCTTCTTTTTTCCAATTTTTTTCGCCCCTCGTCAGCCCCCCCTTGCCCCTCCGGCAGGGATCCAGCACCATCGAAATGCCACGGAGCAGCTCTGCCGACCTGATTCGTGTATTGGTTTCCTTCATTTCCACCACGGAATCTCTTCTCACACACAGGCCAGTGGACGATTCGTCCAAAACCGATTCCCATTCCTCACGCTGATCGTACCTACGTATTTCATCTATCTTATCCCTCCTTCTTCTTGATCGCGACCGATGGATGGTTCACACTTCACAGGTTCATTTTCTCCGTAATTATCATCATAGGAAAAGTATGGGGCAGTTTCCTTCCCCTCCGACTGCTCCGTTTCCGCCACCCACGGATCGAATATGGTGGTTTACCCCTCTATCCCCTCTACTACCCCCTCTATCCCCTCCAACCCCCTCCTCGCTCCTTTCCTAACCCCTCCTTGTAACTCGGCTCGCCAGGATCACCATCGGTAATCCCTACGTAGACCATCCACTAGTGATTTGATAATCGGCGACCAGCCGCAAGGCTGCTCATGTCCATGACTTCATTTCCTTGTGATCCAATTTGTGTGAATAATGGAGTTGCCCGGCCTAAGTCTAACTACGAGTGGAACTAGTCCCGGTGGATCTTCAAATCGAATGCTGCCGTTGTTCCAGAGTCCAGACCCCCCCCCCCCCCCCCCGGTCCGTCACGATGACGATGGGGTTATCAGTTCGTCTCAACTCTCAAACATACAAGTAGGTAGATGTACGGAATGCGCGAACCCAATAGCGTCACGGATTGCCAAGTCAGTCGCGCCAGATATCGGACGGGGTGAAGCGTGCTTGGCTGGGAAAAGCCACCCGTTATCACGCAGCAATAGGAGAATATTGCTGACGATGTGATGTCTCTCGGTTTGACAGATCATCGCCCAGTCTATCGGTAGCCGAGAGAAGACAGACACCACTAATTCCTGGCAAGCCTCTCAGTCTCGATTGGAGGTCCCCTGGACGAAATGGGTAAAAGAAAAGGCCAACAGGAAAAGCTAATCGCTCGATGACCGTGAGGAAAAGAAGGTGGGAAAGGTGGTCAGAGGTTCAACTCGGCGCATGGTTTGCCTCGCCCTTCAGCTTGAGGTCAGCTGCTCCCGCGGCGGCCAACACGACAACAGCAGCGTCAGCAGATGAAGAAAGCCATTATTCTTTTGTTCTTCTTCCTCTCTTTTTCCAGTTTCCACCCCCGCCCCCGCCGAACCCCTGCGACTACGAAACATCTGGCGGGTGTTCTCGATTGTGGGACAGAGCATTTGTCTGTTCTGGACGCTAATGGCATGCAAAAGCTTGAGACAGCGGGCACCTGGTTCTGGAGCGATCCAGCTGGTCCCTTTAAAGATGCAAGACTGCATCATCGCCAAACACTATTGTTTCTGTTTTTGGCAGTTTGGCATCCAGGCCGAAGATGCGTCAACCTAACACCGACTACCTAGTTCCAGCTGCATAAGTGGCATGGGGAATTTGGCTCTTATACAGAGAGAGTTAGTCTAGGGCAGATTTCCCTGTGGCTGCCTGCAAGCCCGCAGTCGCGCCTAACCAGCCTCACTAATACTAGAGACTACTCGGAGACGCGCCCTCGTTCCGCGTCGGCGTCCAGAGGGGGGTTCAGAGGGTAAAGAGGGTAAACGCTCCACTGGGGGAATGATTACATACGTACATGCCGTGGTCAGATGACGCTGGACGAGACTTAGTTCCGGGCGTGTCCTTCCTTGGCTAGGTACCCGACTCTTGACGTCGACCTGGCCATGGGAATGAGGTGAATGGTATTTCAGCCAGGTTTACAACGGTCTCTGATCTGGCTATTTTCATTCCAGACCGCACCAAGGATGAAAGGCTATTATTGTCACTCTTCGACTCTGTGCATTGTGCCTATCATCACCACGAAGGTTCCCGTAAAATCCCGGCATGCGGGTGGGGCATCTCTAGTGGGCCAAGCACCCCCACCAGACACGGTTAGTTACTAGGGAAACACACATGACCATGAGGGGGGGGGGGTCACAAAAGTACCCCAGGAGGATCGTCTCCATCCGATATCGAGAATGAATCAGTTTAATCTACGGAGTACGGAGTACCATCTGAAAGTCGACAGTGGACACGGAGGGGTATATCTCTCGGCCTGCGGATCATCCTGAGTACCGACCTGGCCCTTTATCCATCACTGCATGTCACCACGGTCTCTACCAGATATTATGTATCCCTTCAACAATTTCATCAGTAACCAGGATCACAGCCCTAATGGACTCCGTCGAGATGCAGCCCGCCGACTCCCAATCAGCATTAGTGCCTGAGCAGGCCATTCTTACGTACGCGGGTCTCACCGCTTTGATCTGCCAGGAGCTCGGCGTGCAGGAATCGAGCGGTGAGCCGGCGAGCTTACGCTTTTGAGAAGGTCGGAAAAAGATGGCCAGCAGAATTCTCAAGTCAGACACTCGGCCTGCTCTTACACGTCCAGCCGCCCTTTTTCGCCAGTCGAACCCTGGTAGGAGGATTGGTTCCTCCGATCCACATTTCAGACCATGCAGCGGTCCGACCCAGTCAACGCCTCAGTCTGTCTGTATCTCATGGAAGGATGTTATGAAGCTTGCAGGTTCAGGAACAATGCGACCCTTTGGTCCGGATGACCAGATGCCAGTTGGTCGAGACCGCAGACCGATACCTTGGGGATGGTCTATCGAGCAATTTCGAGCAATATCGAGCACCTGCGTACGGGCCATGCACCGGTTTCCTAGGCTGGCGCACGGGGCCAAGGAGGGGGCAATAGTGCAAAATCTCCCATACATACCGATCCTCCCATCCATGATCGATCATTTCCGATCCAGGCTCAATTTTCTCCGGAGCGAGCGTGTCCTCCATTCCTCCAGTGATTCGGCGACTCCATTTCGAATTTCTTGGAGCACATTCACGGCGGTGGAAAAGGGGCAAAGCTCAAAAACCAGATTCGAAAAGAAAGGAAACCCTGCCTGCAGCTACCCGTTCTATTCCTTCTTTGCGCCCAGCTGCAGTCGATCGCTGGTCAACCTTGATGGCTATTGAATGCGCAATTGAATTTCCACAGGGCGTCTATGATCCACCAGGTACCGTTGCAGGAATTCAGGAACCTGTTCCCCGAGCCCGGTTCTTACACTAGCAGTAGCGAGAGAGCATCGGCAGCCGCCCAGCTAGAAGGAAGTCTACTTATCTCGGCTGGCCTCATCGTCCCGACAACTTAGGGACCTTTGCAGTTTGCAGTGACCCTGGCCGCCGGCGTCCGTGATCCGTACATCCGGCACGTAATTAGGCAGTAGTGCCCCTCCATCTCCGAACGGTCTGGAATTCCCCAAGCGGGCATCCCTCTGAGTCGGTGAAGGTTGTCACCATCACCGTCTTGGGACCGTTGGGGATCGATCATGATTCCGTGGAAGGATTCTTGACCGCTCCTATATACTATCGGGTTGGGCACTGTTCTTTCTACACATGGCATTGAGAAAATGGTCAATTGGTCCCACAGATATGCCAACAAAGTAGCAGTACACCGTACGGAGTACACAGGTTCTACTACTAGGTAGGTATCTAGCAAGTGCAAGAGCGTGGAAAACACGGGTCCCCGAACAAAAAATTAAGGACACCCACTGGGGGACCCACCGGAGCGATGAATCGCTGACGGCTGACGAGCTGATAACATTATCCGACTATCAGTAGGCACTAAGCAGGTACTCCGGAAATCCGTCTGACCAGATTTCCTGCCCTCCGCTTTTCTTTCCTGGTTGTGCGTTGTGCGACGCCTCTGCTAGCCCTAGACCTAATCCGCCCGTTCCACTTCCTCATTGTCTGACATCGGCAGTTATTTTAGCCAGTGGGTTGGTGTAAGTTCATGGCCCAGACTCTTTCGACGACCTGACGGTGTATCGTCGAGCGTAAACATGATGTACATCGATTGATCGATGCGCATAACCATGGAAAGCCGTCTGTCAGGTCGGATTTGGTATCCGGTACTGGTTCCATGGTTCGCTCCCGTGTTCCTGTTGGTCCTATTTATAATAATTACGGAGTAGTCCGTACTCGTAGAGACAACATTTGAAGCGTTTTCGGGGTTTTCTAGTGTGGTTTGGGTTGTTCGAGTTAGACTTTGTGTGGACTGGACTGTAAAGTGTAAATTGTGGATGGGTTGTACCCCATATCTAATGTCAGCTAAATATATAATTGCGGGTGTGTGATGTTTGGATATTGACAGAACAAATACTATATCAGATAGGTCTGCTCTACTTACTTCACTTCATAGAGTACTTCATAGTAAATGTATAGGCATATTTCTAGCGACAATAAATAGTAACTATTTACAACTAAATCGCCCCCTGAAAGGCATCAGGACCGATGCCACGAACCCTCTCCTCCGTCGTACCTTGTACAATATGATCTATACACCATCACACATGATACGGAGTACACCCATCTGAATCCAGCTCACATAAGTCCAAACCTAAACCAAATCCTACCTATCTACCCATCTACAAGGTACTCGGAAACAAGAAGAGAAAAATTAAGTTCCACAATAATCAAACAAAGTACATCCTACACCACCCACCACCACCCACCCTCCCAAATCTCAACACACCTATCAAATCCATCTCCTCCACCACCATCAAGACAACAAACAAACAAACGCGAACCCAAACTCAAAGAACTCAAACCCAAACCCAAACCCAAAAACCCAACCCCAAAATAAAATACAACAAACAAATAAACCCAGCAGCCTAGAAAAACGGAAACAAAGAAGACTGGATCAGACAGTCTAGAACCACACCCAACCTTCCAACACCATCCATGCATCCATCATCCATCAACCCGAAACGAATCCACAAACGCATACATCCACCACCTATCTACCTATCTATAGATAGATATCTATCAACTCGATAGATAAAAGCAACGCACTAGAAAAAAAAAAAAAAAACAAGAATCCGCCCCACACCCCATCCTCCAAACCCAGCCCAAGTTCAATTCCACAGCTTCTCGAAGCCTAGATGCGAATCCTGCGCCGACGCCGTCTCCCAACCGGATGTTTAGGAAGTGCGGGCAAAGTGGACAAAAAAATAGGGGGAGGGGGGCGAGGCGCGGCCTAGAAAGTAAACTTTGAACTACGTACTTAGGTAGGTACTGGATTTCTTCCCGCGATGAGCTAGATAGGTAAGGACGGGATGGGATGATAGGGGATCAGCTAACTAACTAACTCTTTCTTTCTTTCTTTTCTTTGATTTGGTTTGTTTCTGTGCTACGGATTACGGGGCACTATCTACATGGATGGATTAGTTGGTTGGTTGGTTGGATGGATGGAACCCGAGGGATTGGTCCGATTGTTCGGATTTCAGTTCAGATGGATGGATGATTATTATTTTTATCTTATTTTGTTAATATTATTATTTTATTCCAATGGGTTTAATCAACACTACGATGGAAATGGATTAGATCAAGAGTGTGTGGGATGGATTGTTATTATTATTATTATCATTCCATTAGGGATGACGGAAGTCCAGCAGGGCTCATATCCGTTTCCTCCGTGCTGATGCTCATTACTGTACTTAGGTATCTATCTACTTTACTCCGGAATCCGTTCCGACAGGGGTTCATTACTTCCCTTCTTCTTTTTATTATTGTAGGTAAGAGACGTAGTGAATTATCCATCCCTTGAATGGAGGGGAACTTACACCCCTTCATCCAAATGAGTATACAGTACTCCGTACCACTATGAACGTTAATGATAATCATTACCGAACGTTGAAACGCCCCATCGAATTAAACCACAGATTATTGATTGAGTTGACCCGATTGTTTGATTAGATGCTACTACTCCGTATTGTATGCTGTGAGGGGGAGAGGGGGTCAGGTCATACCCCTCCTGTCTGGTCTACCCCTGAGTTTGGCTCCTTGCTGGATGGATGCCCCTCGTGCTGATCTTGGTGTTTGGTAGAGACATGGGAGATTGGGACGTAAGGTGATAAGACATTGAGTTTTGGGAGGGGTAGATAGATGATGGGGTTGTTTGGAGTTAATATTGTAGACATTGTTTCTGGGCTTTGGGGTTGTTGTTGAAGATGCGCTAAGTAATATACTACTATGTACTTGAGTCTATTCTTTGACCCTCGGGGCAATGACTAAGTCTATGGGATATAGTACCATTAATTAGATTTGAGTGTTTTGTATTATTATCTATTAGTAGGCTATTTTCTGAGCTGATAGTATCTACTACTACTTACATCTCCGTATACTCAGCTGCAAACGCTCACCACCACCATAAGCTCACTACTAAGCATACATCTTACCTACATCCAACATCATCAACACCGCTTAGACAAGGATAACACGAGACAGTATTCCCCAACTACCCCCAATACCACCATCCATAACCCATATACTCTCGTACCCCAATCA